AGATCACTGGGTGTCTGGGCGACCAATCTGCTGCTCTCGTCGGCCAAAAGGGTTTCACCCCTGGTCTCGCCAAGAATACATACGGGACTGGCTGCTTTCTGCTCTACAACGTGGGGTCTAAACCCGTCTTGTCTACCCACGGACTTCTGAGCACCGTCGCCTTTGACTTTGGCGAGGGAAACACCATGTACGCGCTCGAGGGCAGCATCGCCGTGGCGGGCTCAAGCGTCAAGTTCCTGGTCGACAACTTTGGCTTCATTCAGTCGTCGTCCAAGCTGAGCGCCCTGGCCGAGACTGTGGAGGACAACGGTGGGTGCACATTCGTCACGGCCTTTAGTGGCCTGTTTGCGCCGTACTGGATTGACGATGCCCGAGGTACCATCTTTGGCATCACGGCGTACACGCAGCGCGGACACATTGCTCGCGCCACGCTCGAGGCCACGTGCTTCCAGACAAAGGCCATCCTGGACTCGATGGAGAAGGACAGCGGCCACGCCCTGACGGAGCTGGCCGTAGATGGTGGCATGTGCAACTCGGATCTTATCATGCAGGTACGTACAGCAACAACAGCTGAACAAGGGGGAAGAGTAAAGACGCTAACAAGGATTTACAGACGCAGTCTGATCTTATTGGAATCCCTGTCAATCGACCAGCCATGCGGGAAACAACGGCTCTTGGCGCCGCCATCGCAGCCGGTTTCGCAGTGGGAATCTGGAAGGACTTCCGTGACCTCGAGAATGTCAACACGCAGGGCCGGACCATTTTTGAGCCCCAGATCGCTAATGAAGAAGCGGCAGCTCGTTTCGAGACGTGGGAGAAGGCGGTTCAGATGGCCAAGGGGTGGGCGAGCTAAACGAGGCGGTGTCTGTAGCGTTCTTGTCTGTGCTTTCTTTTTTTTTCTTTCCTGTGTATTGTATGTATGTAGCAGAAGTGAAATACTGCTGCCTGGGCCAAGGGCTGCTAAAAACAAGCCCGTTGAATTACCTACTGTCAACACTAGTGATGATCGCTTAAGCCATTGCCGTCTGCCACATGCCAATAGAGGTAAAGCGTCCTGGGGCCGATCACATCCTTCAGGGTGAGAGGGGGGGAGACAAGAGAAACGAAGTATTTTCTTTCCCGGAGAAGCCGTAGCATGGATCAGGACATGAACTGCGCAGTGCTCAGCGTCTCATCTCCACCGGAACTTTATGTAACCTACCAAGCATCGACGTACGTCAGCCCGGAGTCCAGAAGAAGAAGGCCCCTAGACCTTCTGGGATGTCATTTGCTGCAGGCCCCCTGGTCCGCACTGACAGGGAGGGGGTAACACTCCGAATTGCCGCCTTTTTTGTGTGTGACCCCCTCAGCTCGGCAGTAGGAATCAATGGCGACAGTGTCAAATCTCCACGTTTCACCGGAGGGGTCTAGGCCTCTCTAACTGGGGCAAACTTGGGTAAAAGATTGACGGCTTACCGCCGGTGTTAGTGGACCGAGGCTCGGTCTTATTCTTCACCAACCGTTTCATTCTCCTCAAGATTATCTCTGGATCCAATTCTCCACGTTTCCTGTCAACCAAGATTTCCACCAGAGCAATCCATGTGCACTGCTTATCGCTCTTCCCCAGATTCTTACTCCACGCAACTCAATCGAAAACTCTGAGGGAATGTGGAGGTCCCAAACCCTCGGGAGAGGGATCGGCACAGTCCCCATGAGCGAGCCCTCGACAGCGGCAATTGAGGTTGAGGACCTCAACTCGACTCTCAGCAATGACGAGGGATCCAGTGGTGAAGAGTCCAGGCTCACCAACTCCAATGGGAGGAAGCGGAGGAGGGAGAGACACCAAAAGATATCGTAGGTTTTTTTTCCGACATGCAAATACCCGATAAAAAATACGAAAAAATCTGAATAGTTTGTGTCTTCAAGGTGTGAGATGTGCAAATCCCGCAAGGTAAAATGCGACCGTGCTGAGCCGGCTTGTTCATGGTGCGCCCGACACAACCGCGCCTGCGTCTACCTCGAGAGACAGAAGCCTGGGACGGCTCGCAATGGCTTCAGTGTCGAGCTAGAGGCCAAAGTCAATCGCATCGACGCGTTGCTACAAGCCCTGGGACGTCGTGTTGAGGAGCACATTGTCCAGGATCACGCGGCTTCTTCACCAAGCCTCGCATCTTCGACCGCGAATAATCTCCAAGGCGACAGTCAAGGTGGTGGTCGACTTACGCCTACAAGTCTTCCGAGAACCTCTTCAATCTCTCAGGCCAGGTCACCAAGCTTGTCCGGCACAACATGGCAAGCCGGAATCCAACCTCAGCAGCCATTGGTGATGACCAGTTTGGAGGGCCCTACCCAACCAGTCACCTCTCCAAATGCCACTGGATTTCGAAAAGACCCTTCTCTCCACTCCTTCATCATCGATCTACCACCTCAAGATGTCGTCTATAACCTCGTGGACCTCTACTTCAAGCATTGCAACACATGGTGTCCCATCCTTGATCGAAAAACGACCTTTGCAAGCTTCTTCGGGCCAACATTGATGGAGGAAGCCGACCGGATTCTACTCTATGCAATCGTGGCAACGACGCTGAGATTTCTCAAAGATCCAAGGATGTCATCCGAGATGCGGACATACTACCATGCCGTAGCGAAACACACGGTACAGATATACGCCATGGAACATATCAGCGTACCTGCTCTAAGAGCTCTCGTCATAATAACCCTGGATGAACTGGGAACTTCAAACGGTCCTCGTGGCTGGAATCTCTTGTCATTACTATCACAAAGCGTGAGACAACTAGGCCTCTGTGAAGAAACCACCGTCTTCCTGTCAGCCGACGCGTCAGAAACTCCGCACACCGGCTCCATGAGAAGAGTTGCAGCTGGAAAGCCCGAGTCTTGGATTGAAGACGAGGGAAGGCGACGGCTTTACTGGATGATATACCTCTTGGACCGTTATGCAACAATAGCCACGCCGACGTTTGACTTTATGCTCGATAGCAAGAAAGTCACGCGTTTCTTACCTTGTTCATACGACTTGTTCTCCAAGAACGTGCCGGTGGAAACAAGAGCTTTTCATCCAAGTGACGACCAGCAGAGAGAATACCTCGTCAACAAACCCGACAACCTCGGCAGTTTCACATATCACTGCGAGATTCTCATCATTCTCAGCAAGATCCACGAGTTTCTCAAGACGCCAATTGATGTGTCTTCTACAAAGGACATGGCTGAATGGCGAAACACGTACCAGACGCTTGACCGATCACTGGATGGTTGGCTGCAGAGCTTACCGAGTGAATACAGCAAGATATCTGCTCTGTGTCACTCGGATCCTGCAAGCCGTGTGGCAAACTGGTTCATGTTGCATAGCGCATACGTCACTTCTGCAGTACGGCTTCATTCTTCGGCGGCGTATCCGACCGTCAGGTCTCACATATTTGTCCCCTCTCATTACGCGATGCAGAGGTGCTTGTCTGCTGTGCAAAGCCTTGGAGACATTACCCGTGATGTCTCTGAAGCAGATGGCTTGAATCTTCTGGGACCTCCTTTTGCGTTTTCGCTCTGGGTGGCTGGTCGGTTGCTGCTGGTTCACGCCGCCGCAGTTGGATGTCCAGTTGATCCCTTGATTGACTTCTTTATCGATACGCTTCGCAATGTCGGTCAACACTGGGACGTCGCAAGCAACTACTCCAAGATTCTAAGCCGACTTGTTCAACGGGGAAGACAGGGTGACATGAGTTTCGCCGCCATGAGACGGTAGGTTTTGGACAATCTCCCTAAACAACAGCTCTAACATGACCTTAGGAGCGCGTATGACTTGGTGACACTCACATCAACAGCTCGACATTCGAGTCTAGAGCCGACATCAACACAAGTCACATCTCTGAGCGAGCTGGATAACATTGATGTCTTTGACTTTTTCAATTATCCCAGAGTTTCCAATCAGAGTACGGCGAACCTGGTCATTCGACCTCAGACTATGAATAATATCCAAGGGGACTCAGCGAGGAACGGCATACCCGATCCGGAAGCAGATTGGCTGGCTTATGGGGGGTCGCTCTTTAACTAATCTGGAACATCTGGAACATATAGAATTCTTTGACAATCACTTGTCGGATGTCATGTGCTTGTATCATTAAATCTTAGCCAGGTGTTATAGGTATACGATGGGGGGATTGGGATTGTAACAAGAGTAACACAAGATGATCGTACATTCGAGAAAGCATGATGATATTCTTTCCAGGAGTTCTCATCACTTCCGCATTAGGTGCCCTCTGGTTGTCACTATTGGCATCCACGGCCTGAATCTCCTCCTGACCAGAACACAATTCCCGACATGTACTCCGACACTACCACGCTCAGCTTGGAAGCCCTATTCTATCTAAATCTCATTCTCGATCTTATAAGCGACACAGTCGGCAACAGAACTGAAGGACTTGCTCCTGACAGACTCAATCCGGCCAGTGACTTGGTCAGATATCATCAGACCAGAGATTGCGATAGTCCCTGGGGTTCCGGTACCCCCAAAGCTCGCGTAGAACAACGTGCATAATCACACACCGAATCGATATAATTTTACCGCCAGCATCACTTATCTATGATGCGCCAACCGAGCAAATGTGACGACCATGCAGAGAGCGTTACCTTGCATATCAGACCACAGGCGGATAAATGCCAGGGTCGAACCAACAGACAACAACACCTGTCAACAGACCGACGACCCCGCCCGTAATTTTTGTCGCGATCTTGACTCTCTACACGCACGAAGACCCGCGGACCAACGGACTAGACACGATGACAAATGATCATAAGCCTTCTCCAGCTCAAACTGCCGACAGGGCTGAAGAGCTGGTGGCGCCTCTGGTGCGTGAGACGACGGAACGGTCCATTGATGGTGGATGATGGAACTGACGTGACTCAGGAAGCTGAAGTCCCGGCTGATGGCGACTCGGCATTTGTGGTTGTGAGTACTCTGGCCCTCCCCTATCAACGTGTGTCTATTGACTCGCCTCCGGTAGACTGATGATGAACTGTCCACTGCGTCATTGCGCTCAAGCATTCGCGACTATCACATGATCAATGGCCGTGGATATCATCGAGATGAGAGCAAGTCGGAATCTAATCGTTTAATTGATCCCCATCTAACTGATGCTTGCAGAATACTATCTTCCCAGCGACGAAGTACACCCTCTCACTCATCCAACGAATGAACATTACTGACTGGCCCGCAGCATGAATCAGATAGATTGGGTAACAGCTCATGAACGTCAAACTGTGTATTCGAGGCTTACGGCAACTTGGCAGATCTTCAGAACCACCAGCTTCTCCTGACATTTGGCGGCAAGAGGTATTTCGCTCCCAACGCCGAGACGGCCAAAAGAGTTCTTGATGTTGGCACGGGCACAGGAGTGTGGGCGGTCGGGTTCGGTATGTCGATATAGACCCTGCTGAAGTAAAGGCTGACCAGATTTTCGAAGCCGACGACCATCCTCATGCTCAGGTAAGATTGATGATGGTCTGTACTCGGTGTAGATGACTCAACCCAATAGGTCTTTGGCATCGATATTGCCGCTATCCAGCCGACTTTGTGAGTATCAGCCTCAACAGGCTTGAAAATTGTCTAATAATATTCCAGTGTCCCTCCAAACTGCACTTTTGAGATTGAGGATGCCGAGAAGGATTGGACTTGGAGTGAAAAGTTCGACTACATCTTTGTACGCCTCATGGTCGGCAGCTTGGCCGACTGGGACAAGTTTACACGCAAATGCTTTGAGTAAGGACACAAAACTCTCACTTACACACTTCGTTCTGACCCCAGACTCAGAAACTTGGAACCCGGAGGCTGGCTTGAAGTCATTGACCCAACTTTCCCCGCCAAATCAGACGACGGAACACTCAAGCCCACCTCACCCTTGAACAAATGGGACGAACTAACGTCTAAGGGCGCCGCAAACCTCGGAAGACCCTTCGACGAAGGCGTAAACCACGAAAAGCGCCTCAAAGAGCAGGGCTTCGTCAATGTGACGCGAAAGACGTTCAAGTGGCCCATCAACACTTGGCCCAAGGATCCAAAGTACAAGGAGGTTGGGCTCTGGACACTGGCCAACATTGAGAGGAACCTTGAAGCTATCAGCACTATTTTGTTGGCGCATGGACTTGGCATGAGTCAGGATGGGATTTTGGTTTTCCTTTCTGAGGTGAGGGCTGAAATGCGGAATCCGAGGGTTCATGCTTATTGGGAAGTGTAAGTACTACTTTGACCTTTGATCGATGGTGAAACTGACTGGCTATGCAGGTTTGTGGTTACCGGGCAGAAGCCGGAATAGTAGGTCTGGGCATGACGATGTGTAGATTGTTGGGGCTGTCTATATCGAATTGAACAAACACTAGCTACCTACCTCACTCTTGGCTGTTGTGAAATGCTAAATAATTGTAGTCGCAATACGAGAGTCACGACATGATGAATAAAGCCATGAGATATCAAGAATAAAGACAGGTATTCAGCCCTCTGCCTCAACAGTTGACTGAGGCAACTGAAACCATTGCGACATCACACCGGACAAGCCGACACAAGCAATTGCACGTCATATCTTGGCAACGAGTTCTCCATAACCGGGATGAGTCAACTGGAACGCATAGGGCCACAAATAAGAAACCGTCTCACTGTCGTCAACAAAAAACAGAGTTTGCCCAGACCCATTTTCATCGGCCAAGCCGGGGTTTCATCCGTCTTGTCTTTACGGCGCGACCAATCACGACGCAACAGATCCACGTCGCGATCCAGACCATCTTGGCCAAAATACGAGAAATGGCAGGGGAGCCAATACCTTAATTCAATGTGTCTAGGGAGGCTTGGAAAGTCTTTCTTGCACGGGCCGACATGAGTACAGGCCCAGCCTGGCTGTGCGACTTGGCCGAAAATGCCAACTGTCAGACAAAGATAAAATCCTCTAGTGACCCAGATCGCCATTTCACATTTTGAAGTTCATTTTCTACGTACCTCTACATTATGGAAGGCAGTTATAGGCCTCTTCCTGCTAACGCGCCCTCGCAGGATCCATCAACGCCTTGGCGAGGTAGTCGACCAAGCAACCAAACGCCAAGCCCGCCTCACCAGCACGAATTAATGGAAAAGACAACACCTCGGTTTAGAGGCCTCCCAGCGCGACGAAGATCACGACCAAAGCTTTGGCTGGGGGTGCTTGGGAAATGGCTCATCACGGTTGCCTTTATTGTCATCATTTACGTCATTTTGATCGGGTATTCCAACTATGAAGTCATTTCCAACAAGCAGAAGCGATACTTTAATGCGTTGATTACGGGATTTTTGATTGCGTTGGGTTTGACGACTATGAGTCAGTTGACAAACGCCGTGTCGGATCTGAGATGGTGGATTCTTAGTCGAAGACCTCGATCAGCAGGAAAGGTGAGAATCAGTACTTGCAGTGGAAGAGAGTATATACTAATATTTTTGCTCAGGTCAAGGCAATTCTACACGCAACTAGTATGACACAGGTCTTGATGCTGGCCATCAAGTCCAGTCGAACATCCATCCACCTGAGCGTCGCAGCTTGGGTCATCCTATTCCTCGTATGTTTTCTGTTCCGTTCTGTGTGAGACTTAATACTAACGACGGAAACTTCAGGGCTCTCAAATTGGCTATGCATCTCTCGGACTATGCTATTCTGTAGAAAAGACTGAAGACCGTGCCCTGCTCGTTCCTGGCAACGTCTCCATCCCCAATCTCTCTACAATCGAGACAAACAAAGTCATCAAGCAGTCTAATTCTATTAGGGCACAGCAATACACTGCCAATAGGTTTGTTTTACCAAATCCAAAGCTATTACCAAGTAGATTCTCTAACAAGCAAACAGTTACGGCACCGTCTCCTTGGCCCTCAACTGGGGCGATCCTGAGGCTATGCCCATTCCTGGCACGCTCTGGTTTGCTGACGATTACTCCCTCTTTTGCGACATCAACTACTGTTCCTATGTTTTCCGTGAAACAAACACGCAGACATTGGGGGACCCACGTGCGATTCCTGTCACGGTAACAACGAGCCGCAATATCAATGCCACCACACAATGCTCGAGCTACCCGGTTCTTCAAGGAGGCAACGGCACAGACTCGAGCATACGAGTAAAAATTGACTCACGAGAAGTCAACATCACCATCCCGCACCAGGATGGACCCGATCAGACGACATACATGACATCTACCGACGAGTCTTGTGGGGAAGGTTGCAGTATCCTATCGGTGTTTGAAGCATCATCAACTGAGCCGTGGTTCTACAACTGCACTGCAAGACTTGGGTCTGTGGCCAATGCTACCAGACCCGAGCATAAACTCGGCAGCAACCTTGCACAGCTAGCGACGTCGGCAATTGCACTGCAAGGCTATTCCAACAATGGAAGCTTTCAGTACATGACATACCCATCAGCCGCCACCTTTGGAACCCCCGTGAATGGCTCAACTGAAGCTATGGGGCTTCTCCTTTCTCGCTTCACAATCGGCGTCCTCAGTACCGTCATAGACACAAACTCAGACATTGTCGTCCAAGGCCGAGCGCCAACCATTGGGCAAAAGTTAGGTGTCTCGCACTGGGGAATCATCCATCTCATCATCTGGATAACAGCCGGTCTGCAACTACTACTTGCGGTGCTGGCAACTTGGGTGGCGGAAAAGGTGGTTGTCCCTGAAGAAAATCCTCTCGCTGAAGCACGAGTTCTACAATCCATGGTGACGGAACAAGGGCCTCAGATGATCAACGGCCAGTCGTTTGAGACTGTCCCGTTGGGCCCAGCCAAGTCATTATGGATCTTTAAGGATCAGTATGTGGGGGATGGCGTGTACGATTTGTATATGGAGGAGGTAACGAGATGATCAGACTCATAGCGCGCATGTTTTTAGTAAATTTCATATGCTTTCCTAGCGATCTACCCCTTGTTCTTGAACTGCTTCCTTCGTCTCTTGGGCTGGGTTAAATTTGCAGTGCAGTGCATCTCCACTCCTTGTGCGCACTATGTATGTATCTGCCTCGCGTGGCGTACCTATCCGACCTCCCAAATTATGTTTAAAAGTCCTCGCCAGACTCATCAATAAATCTTAGCTAACGGTTTTATGAAAGCAAAAGTTTGCGAAGTTGGGCTTGTCTGGTCAGGCTATTGTCCACAGATGTATTGGTTCTGCCGATCTCGGGCGTCGGTCTCGTGCACCAAAACAGGCAAAGTCGATTCTGCAGACCCATGTTTGAGTCAGGTGTTGAAGAAATGAGGAGATCAAGGCAAGACGATGTCCTAAAAGACGAGAGACTCTTCATAATCAAAGAACAGTTTTCACAGTACGTGACAAGCGAAGAACGAGTTCCACGAAATAAAAACCCCCGCCCTCGTGTATCTCAACCAAGATATAGCAATGTGAGGTGTTTAATTATGCTATGGCTCGTCAGCAATAACAGTGGCATGCTACGAGATAAAGACCTTGTGTTAAGTGATTTTGACAACCTTGGACCAATCGGAACTAAAGGCAACCATTAGTCATGATGATTATCAGCCGGTTCCAGAGTTGACCTCCGAACTGTTGTCAAGTCTCCTCCATCAACTCACACGATAAACACTTGATCAATCTTTCAAAATGCCAACCTTGAGTGCGGATATGTACAAAGCCGCTCCAGGGCGCGCAAAAAAGACAAACATTGTCCGAACCCGAACTGGCTGCATCACATGCCGTGAGCGAAGAAAAAAGGTATGCTCCACAGTCAGCGATGCAGAGCAATTGGGTTGACTTGTGATAGTGCGATGAAAAGAAGCCTGCTTGCAGCACGTGCGAAAGACTTGGAAAGCGTTGTGAAAAGTACAAGGCGGGCTTCAATTTTAAGAATGTATCTTTCGATGCATCTCCAAGTCCTCGACAAGAGACTCACAAGAGTAGAGCCCGGTTTGCTCAACGGGAGGAATGTTCACCAGAGACAGTGCTCGCGCAAACTCCCTTGTCTCAAGGATCATCTCCCGTCAACTTGACTACAAACTCGAAGCCAAGTCCACTGGCACCCGGGGAGACGGCTTCCTCGACCCCGCTTTCGGAATCAATGATATCGCTCCCGATAAGTCCCTTCTCGGATATGGGGGTTGCTGGCTTTGAGTTTACTAACACTGCTCTGGGTGATGGGTTCGCCCTTTGGGCTGGTGACCTCGATTACGCTCCATTGAAGCCGTTGGCTGATGACGCTCGTTCGTCGCAGTTTGGCTCGAATATACAACCAGGGGCCCCGCCTGGCACCTCAGAAGACGAAGAGACTTCCACACAAACCCAACAACCTATCGAGAAACCGCTACTCGTTGGACATGGCTTGCAGAATGAGGTCACACCAGACTGCCACGTCTCGGAAGTGACAGATTTGCCTACTACAAACTCTCTCATTACAGACCTCATAATCCCGGGCACCGACTTGACCACATCCAGCATGATCCAGCCTTACCAAATACTCAAAAGCCCAAGCCCTTTTTTACTCAGCGACAGCCAAGTAGTATACATGGATTTCTGGCTCAACCAATGTCTTCCGGCTCTGCATCCCATTTTTAAAGACTTTCTCATTCTTGGAAACCTTCCTCTTGTGGTTACCGACACCATGATGGCTCTATCAGCAGGACGTCTCAGTCGGATGCTACCACAGAGAAAGTCCTTCGACTTTTCAAGCATTCCGGGCTTCGCTTTCAGGCCTGACTCTAGCCATCGAACCAAGAGTCAAAAGTATTACTGCTCTGCCATCAGGGGAATCTCGGACTGGGTCAAGGGCAGTAACGAGTCCCAGACGACTACCACGCTTGCGACACTCATTCTTTTCTGCTATTGGGAATCATCGATGGGTAACTTTCGAGACTTTTCCGTTCACTCAAGTGGCGCGACGAAGCTCATCGAGGCCCAAGAGAGCGCCTTGATACAGCAGGGCTTTGTCGGCTATGGACTCATGGCTGCTTGGGTGCGGGCTCAGATGAACAACTGGTGGCGACGGATGCACTTCAGCACTGTTGAGTTCCAACGAAAGCAGGACCCAGTGTCGATTTCTCCAAACGTTGAGCTCATCCTGGACCTTGTTGGGGACACAAAGGCTTCTGTACTTGTCATGCTATGCGAGTCTCTTCGCATATACTCCTCTGCCGTTGTCGAATACTGGAACTTGTTCCGCGATCCACCACCCACCAACGAGGATAGCCAACCTGGTTCACGAACGCCTACAGCCTCCTCTGCAAGCCGAGAGGTGGATGCATGCTTATATCCCTACACTCTACTCATGAAAGCCCAAGCCAGGAAGCTGAACGATTGGCACACAAAGCTGCCATTATCTCAGTTACCCATCACATCCTTTCACTCGGCGTTTCCGACCACTCTAGAGGACAGCAGTCTGACGGTCGAACCGTTATACTTCCAATCTCATGATTCAGCGATGAACTATGCCTACTATATCACTGCGCGAATCATTCAGAGTGCAGGTTTGTTAAAGGATCAAAAATCTACCACTTCGGCACAGGAAACAGACAGATGGGCTCTTATCCTCCTTCAAATCGCCGCTGGTATTGACTGGGAAGAATGCATCCGCCTCAACACATTCGCAATCGGCTTCTCCGGTCTCCTGCTAGTTTGCGCCATTCACACCTCAAACCCATCCATTGGCCTCTGGGTACAAGAGTGGTTGGAAGACCGACAAAGGACTAGTCACCTGGAAGAGGGTAGCTTTCCCGTTCTACAGATACTCCAAGTTTTACGAGCGGCCAATCATGAGCGAGCAAGAGGCCGAGATGTCTTTGCTGTATTTCAAACGGTTGACGATGGGGGCGGTGAGGGCAAGTTTCACTCATATCATAGCCAGACGCTCACGTCAGTCATGGTGTACGGGAAGGAGAAGGGTACCGAAAGGATGATTTCTTATAGCATACCAGTCTAATATCGAAGAGGTCTATCACTCTTCGTCCACCTTAACACAATCCTCGGGGTCCATCTCCTTCGACAAAACGCTAGATCCTCCGCTCGTCGTAAACGTAAGCTTCCAGATTGTCTTGCGCAGAATTCTCACTAACTCGCAGAGCTGATCATGTGTATCCGGCCCTTCAAGCAAGTGAAGCCCATCAATGATGCATATGTTGTACATGCGCAGAAGGTGAGCTGCCCCATCGAAAGCAGAAAGCGCCTCGTGCAACGTTCGTGCAGTTCCGTCCAAGCCCGAGATGCGCTGCTCCACAGCGCCCAGTCGAGATTGGCCCGGTGCATCTTCAGGGGGGAAGGAATAGATGTCAGCAAGGAACTGATGCAGCAATGCGTAGACAAGTGACACAAACCCTTCAACCTCCTTTGAAGGGTTACCCTCGCGTGGGTCTTGGCTGTTGATGCTGCAAAAGTATGACATTCTAGGAATGCTCGTTCGATGTGTCTCGTTGACTTGGTTGGCTGCCAGGCTAGATATATTGTTTTGGGGGTCCTCTACTAAATTCGGAATCCATTGAAGCCAGATGGATGCACAGTCGTCATCAAGGCGGTTGAGCAAGTCTATCGTGCGCCGAACCAATTGAGGAGGGATCGAGGAGTAGCGGAAGCCTTCGGAAGATAGTCTAATTCTCTGACTGTCGAAGAAGCCCTCCAGTATCTTCATAGCGTTTGACTGTGCATTGACTATTAGCCATGAAGCCCGTACAAGATAAATCATGGTGGGAGATCTCACCATTTTCGATAGAGACGATTGAACTCGTTGACTCTCTTGGTTGGTTTTCTGAGCGTGGTGGTGTCTAGGGGGATCTCTCGTGAAGATCGCGAATGGTGATTAAAATGTAAGACTTGGAAAATGGCAAAACACAAGAGCAGCTTATATACATGGCTCCTAACTGCTGGAAATGACAGCTTGCAATAGCCTCTGGCAGCTTATAGCGGCAGCTTCTAACAGCCAGCAACAGCAGTTTGTCACAGTTTGCGACTGTTGCTCGCAAGAGCCTCGTGCATTTTTTGCAAGAAGACATTCACATAGGCCTACCGTGTAATAGACGCTGATTATTGACCCAATCTTAGACTTGAGGCGTCAACAGGGGACTCTTGATCACAGCGGAACGCCTTTTGTTCTCAGGTATTCCCCTTTGTTCCACTAGTAGTCGTGCCGTCAACCCTTCCAAACCGCCGTCTGTCTCGCCGAGTATGATGAAGGCCAAATTCTCGTGAATAACGACAGTTTTCAGGCCGTCATCAAGCTTTCCAGTGATTTCAAAAGGTACCTAGACACTACACAAGAAGTGCGAATCTCAGAGGGCGACGTCGAACCCTTCGTAAGCGGATGGAGGAGGGTCTATACGAACAACAACACTCATGTTTGAGTCAATATGTACGCTCAAGCGTAAAAGAGAGACAAAAAGGCCCAAACCATCGCTTGTAATTACTGTCATTGTTGACGGAGAGTCCTGGTGTGTCGCTATCGCGCACCATATTGGGGATAGCGTCATCTCCACCAAGATCGGTGCGTTATGCCACCACGACCAGGACCACTCGGACAAGGCTTGTAGAAATAGGTTAAATACATCATTCTCTACAAATCCCGCCAAGTTCAAGATAACTCTCGGCTCACTTAACCACAAGTAACACTCAGCAACGCCGTTGAAGTCACAAAATGACTCTTCCTCAAAGATTTGCGCCCCCGCACGACGAACTACGCCAATTCTATGTCGGGAAAGACATCCACGATGTTCCCAAACCGGCCGTCATCTTGGACGTGTCACGAGTTCAAAGACATTGTCAATCCATGCTAGAGGCTGTAGATGCTTTAGGTGTCGGATTCCGTGCCCATGTCAAGACACACAAAGTCAGTTAAATATGCAACTTCGAGCGTCATCAACTAACCCTTGTCAGACAATCGAGGGCACCCGCCTTCAAGTTGGGCAAGGAAGTGGCGACATAAAACTGGTGGTGTCGACTCTAGCAGAGATCGATCATCTTCTCCCACTCTTCAAGGAGTATCAAGATGCAGGCCGACATGTCGACATCCTCTACGGTATCCCACTTCCGCCATCTCAGATTCCACGTCTCGCTACTCTTGGCTCCGAGCTGGGAAAGGGAAGCATTTCAGTCATGATCGACCATCCTTCCCAACTCGACTCAATCAAGTGCTTTTCCCAACAGACAAAATTCCCTGCTCGCGTTTACTTGAAAGTTGACACTGGCTACCACCGTGCAGGGCTTCCACCAACGTCTTTGAACAAGAATGGCCTGATAGAAGCTCTGGCACAGCTCGAGGCTCAGGGAGAAGCTGAGCTTATTGGATTGTACTCGCATAGTAGCCTGAGCTACAAGGACTCTACGCCCGAACAGGCCATGGCTAATCTGGAGGGTGAGATACAAGGCTGTCTTGAGGCGGTACACGCCCAGTCCCATTTATTCCCCAACCACGAGAAGATCACCATCAGCGTGGGGGCGTCCCCCCAAGTTACGGCTATCGAAAACTTGACCAACACGGAAGGAGATTTGTCAGATACTGCCCAGTCTCTACGCAGGGCGATTCAAACGGTCTCGTCCGGAAAACCAGGTGGGCTTCAGACCACACTTGAACTTCACGCAGGAGTGTACTCCATCCTTGATCTTCAGCAAACCTCGACGAACTCAAGAAGGACATTAGGGTCCTTCGAGGATGAAATTGCAATCTCAGTCATTGCTGAGGTCTGTAGCGTCTACAACGACAAAGAGCGATCTCAACCAGAAGCACTCGTTGCCGTCGGAGTGCTCGGCTTGGGCAGAGAGCCATGCCCTTCTTATCCAGGATGGGGTATCGTCAACAAAGCGCACCTAAAATCTCAGACAAACTCAGAGAGGCGATTGATCATTGGCCGAGTTAGCCAAGAACACGCCATCGTTGCCTGGGAGCATGGAAAGGATGAAGATACGGCTGATTTACCCCCTCTTCCTCTGGAAGTTGGCCAGAGCGTCGTCATTTTCCCAAACCATGCCTGTATTACTGGAGCTCTATATGGGTGGTATCTTGTAGTTGACTCTTCTGATGAGGAGAACCCGACTAAGATTGTTGACGTTTGGGCTAGAGCAAGTGGATGGTAGGCCAGTACGCGGCCAAGTGTAGTGATGAGCAATACAATATCAACTGAGTTACAAACCAAAGCACATAATATGTCTCTTCATCGCCTAAAATATCTCTTTAAGGATTCAAATGACAGTTCTACACCAAGTAAACGTCCTCGCCCTCAGCCGCATTATCTCGGTTCGTCACAACACTGTCAACAGCAGCCTCTACATCTTGATCACCGTCAAGCATACCCAACCAACACCTCCTTGTGATTCAGCAGCGAAACTAAAGTTTCTGCCACCGACTCACGGCTCACGTCGCCCTCGGATCCGGCAGTTTTGCCCAGTTCAACCTGCCCCGCGGACTCATCCGACAACATGCCAGGTTCAAGACTTATGCCTACAAAGTCGCCTCGCTTCGATGCTTCCTGAAGCGGAATCTTATCCGCAGCCAACTTGGCCTGGCAGTAGTCCTTCAGATATCCGCTTTGCATCTCTTGAGCGTATTTCCATGATGCGTCGTTCCACCAGTGGGGAGGCCTTTGACGACAGGCCAGATAGGAAATGAGGATGAACTTGTTGATCGTAGGCGTTTTCACAGCGGCCTTGATGAAGTTAACGGCGACATCTCGATCAATAGCAAACGTCTTATTTATTCCACATTAGTAATTCCCTGGGTCCACTCGTTGTGCCGACTGTTACTTAATCGTTCAGGTCCACCCTTTCCACCGGCACCGGCACTCTAAACCACAACATCAGGCTTCACTTTGGAGAGAAGGTCTTTGGCCTGAGAGACGTCTTTAGCAGTCTCGATGCTATGAACAAGGACGTTCAAGTTGTTCTCACTTGCAGGTGCCAAGCTTGCGATCTGAGGGACTTGATCCTTTGTTCGGATGACGCTTGTGACAGTCCATGAGTCTCTTAGCAGCACCTGCGTCAGAATCTGGGCCACTTTTCCGTGGCCACAGACTACAAGAGCGTGTCGGCCGATTTTGAGCGATGGTATGGTTCTTGATGAAATTTTGTTCGACGCTTCGTGGAATGATAAAGGGCTGCCGTATCTGGATGCGGCTCGAACTTGGGCCGGCTGAATAATGTAGATACGTAGGCTTTATAAAAAACATATCACTAATCATATTATTTTACCCTCACGCTCCGAGTTATGGGTAGCAGCCATCAACCAAGACCCTCTAAAGGGCCGAGACTACGGGAGGATAGAGCCACCAGCCCCTCTATGCAGAGGACACAGCAGCAATTGGAAATTGACAATTTTGGTATTCTATCCTGTCTACTCTACGCCTTGAGGCTATCCTCAAACAACTTTTGTAGTCGTGCACCCTCGCTATCAGCAACCTGACCGTGAGTCCTGATGCTTCCGTAGGGGTGGTAGGGGAATGGGCTACAAAGTCAGCAATCAAACTTCTTTGTTGGAGAGTGTCAGTGACTTACCCGTACTCGGGCACAAAGGTGATAAGAGCATCCTGGCTCCGTGCTTTGACGATGCGCAGCCAGAGCTTCTCGAAGAATTCGCGCTCGGGCTTGAAGATGGGATCCTCGGGCTCGGGGCATTGCGAGGATTGAGTAGTTCCAATTCGGGCATGGATGTGGTGGACCTGGCCAATTATTAGAACTGCTAATAAATGCGCATTCAAATAGATTGTACTTACCCGGGGAACTAGAAGATCTAGAATCTCCTTATCCTCCTCGCCGAGGTCAAGGAGTCGCTCGCAGACTACAACCCAGTGGGAGATGTCCGCTGTGATCCGGAGCCTGAATCAATCATTAAATGGTGATCAAACAGACAAGATAGTCGAAACGTACTCGGGTACCTTGAGCAAGATCTGCTTGGTTGCATAGGGAGTGAACAGAGCTCGGTTGCGGTGTGTCTCATGGGAGACTAGTCCAGTGAGGCCCAGCTCCTGGTCGATCTCAAGAGTCTTTTGGTAGAAGTAGACGGACTCATCCACAGTCCAGTAGTCGCTGCCACAGTCAGTACAGTACCTAGACTATATTCTCCTGGTTGGCTTACCCCCCAGACTGGGCATTGATCTTGACTGGTCGCAGAATCTTGGCGAGCTCGAGAGTCTTCCGGTAGACCTCAAGGTGAATATCAGGATTGAGGCCCGCGGGTCGAGCACCGACATAGCCTGCCCAAGCAGTGTGCATCCTTTGACTCGTTAGTTTGTCGTAGATTGCAGTTGATCAAGGTAACTTACAGCACCGTCGCCTCAAAGTCAGCATCGTCCAAGAGCTTGCGGAGGAGTCTTAGGTTGTCGGCATCTCGGTCAGTGATGTCGACCTCGACGCCAGCTAAATCAAATCAGTATTTGCATGCCCAATTGATATTGAGAAACAAACAGTAGCCCTGCTTCTTCAAATCCGTGAACCAAGGGATCCACTTCTCGAAGTTCTCTCCGGAGTCGATACCCCAGACAGTTCTGAACCGTTTAATTACCACCATTTTGGCCGCTGACACAAACACAGATAGAACAATACAAAAAATCAACTGAAGAAGAACCTAGGTTGAAGGGATCAAGTTTCTCTCAAGTCAATGCCTTTATATCTCACCAAAGCCCACGACTCGGCGATCAGCCGGAGTTCCTTGCCCAATCCAACCTTGAAAAGCTCAAGTGGAGCTGCCCTTCTCAAAGAGGCAACATCTCGCCGCCGGGAGAAATTTCCCTTTCAGAGATTTCACGCGGGGAAGTGTCCGATCTACCCCGCCTCCGAGATGTCGCCAGACTCCACCGAGAGATGGTGAAATTGCCGAATGAACCAGAAGAGGCAATCGGGATTGTCAATTGTTTTGGTTGTTACTGTGGAATTTAGTTTATTTTCACATGATTGGTTGACTGGTCTATTCTGGGCTGGTCGTCTCATATTAGGTGCCGCTTGCGAGATGCTCCCCCACAACAGCAGAGAACTGCACGTCAACAATGCCACTTATCGATTCATCAACACAAAGCAGTTGTTCGCCGATGCTGATATTTTTAACTGATGTGCTCTTAATGGCCTGCACAGTCTTGCTACCTCATGGTGGAATACAGCTGTGATGGGGCATCCGACTTAGCGCAACTATGGGACCGTCGCAAGCGATTGACGCATTCTTATCAGCGATTCTTCTTCTGAAGATCCTTTGCAATACATTGCTTCAAATCGAGCACCTCTCTACTTTCTCCTACATCCCCTGTCGATCAAGATGCTAACTTGGCTGTCCGGGTGGCTTCACGCCAACGGTGCGGGAACTAAGTTCTCTTGACTCGTGTCTCATCAGTTGTTGGTTGTGTTGACGCCACGTGTGAAAAGCGTGAAATGGAATTGCGTCCAAGATGAAGTGCGCTTATTCCAACACCCCTATAGTATTTTTTTTTTCTATCTCTGTTGATAAATCTCGCTGTCATTTACCCAGGTGACGTTCGGCAGAGCAGTGGGGTTGTACTTCGCAGGTTCAGGTCAGTATGTGCTCATTTCTATTACCATCAGTATGCTCTTGTAAGAGGCCAAGGTAAATAAAATTAGGGTATATCTATGGCATAGTTTTCTTTGGCTTCATACATACTTGAATGAGTAAAGGAAGTGGTGGGGAGGGCGGGTCGTCTTGGTGTTTCAGAGATAGTGGCTCCAACTAGGAGTATGAAATCACGACAGTACCTACAAAGCGCATCACAAACCCCTAAGTGGACCCTTCAGGCACTTTCTTACTGATGAACTAGGCTCAAAGGATTGTGTTCGTTCCTTGCTTCATGCGTCATGAACAAGATGTTTGTTTAAGCTTGTTCGGCGGGATAAATAACTAACACCTTGGGTTCCTAGCTCTTTGTGGCTTTTGGCGTTATAGGTCTTTGTATACTCCCAATTCTACTCCAACCGTTCAATACTTTCAACGGCAGTGATCAAAGAATACCGCTTGACCAGTTTTCTCTGCCCTTTGTTCCCCCAGTTGTTCAGGAGTGAACAAACACACTGATGATGGAGTTGATCACAACGAGCGAGGCAGTGAGTATGAGGCATCTACGCATCCTCATCAAGTATAAATCTCTGGCCAGTAACAACCATGCAGCCTCCATCATTACCCATCACAGCATCTTCACAGCAGTACATCATCACACCCACTCACGCTAAAACTGTACAGTCTCACTTTCACTTACACTATCAAGATGTGTCAACCCACTCCCATCACTGTCACTCCCACCACTTCGGCTCCCTCTACTCCCGAAAACTCGGCCCCATCCTCCCCTACCTCTGCTCCCACCACTCTCGGTCTCCCCATTCGCGAGATGGCTAACCCCCGATGCCAGTGCGCCTGTTCTTGCAGGAACATCCTCCGGAGCTTCTCGTGCATCTTTTGCGACTTTTGTCTTGAGAACCACGTGGCTTAAGCTAACCACATGTTTTGAGCACTGCACGTAAGTGCCTCAAGCCAGATGTAAGCCGTCTAGAGGCTCTGGGGAAGATATCAGATAGATAGGTGACAAGGTTCTGTCCCACCCAGAACAAGAAAAGATCAATAGATCAATAAACCATTAAAACCCTAATTTTTCATCATTGCGTGACTGATTCTCCCAAATACGCGCGAAATATCAACTCGTCACACAAACCTCTGCCAAGCCCCCTTGGCCCTCCACGAAAGCTGGAAACGTCGAAACGGTGGCGAGTATAGATACTATTGCCCCTCCCGGAACTTGGACCTGATTAGTAGTACAAGTTCCCCATGGGAACGCGCCTCGTCCGCTTCCAGGTTCCTGTGTGGATGGTTCTGGCTTGGTGGCTCAACCTAGCGTGTCCCGACTGGCATGCGCCCAGATGCGCAAGGCTCGCATGTCTGATATCATCTCGTACCGGAAACTGTAAACAGCCACAACAGGGTCGCGACCTTGGTGTCAGCATTCTTGCAAAGTCCGAGGAAGGGGGAGGTTTAAAAGGGTTGTGAGAGAACCTGCACGTGGTGGAGTGAGACTCTTTGATGCTCCTGTGATGCGACTTTCGCGATTGAGCGAACCCCCGCCCTAGATTTTGAGCCTCTCTGGGGGTTTGAGAGCCCGAATTTCTCAGATCCATCGTGGGCAATGCCGTTTGGAAATCCAGGACCAGCGGCCATCCTTGTGCGTTCAACCCGCAGCCTTCTCCGACATGTTTAACACAGCTCCAGGCTTCACAATGGACCCTCATCGTGGTCGCTACAGCCGTCATCGCTGCCCGAGTATACCTGCGACTCAAGATCCAGAATCGACGGATGCTGGTTAGCGACATCATCATGTGTACGGCATGGGTTTTTGCCATCATCACAGCAGCATTTGGGCCCATCTTTGCAAGAATGGGTGCTCTCGATCCCGACGTGCATACATCCCTGCAAGGGTACAAAGGAGGAGTGGAAGATTTAGAGCTCGTTTTGCAGGTGAGAGCATCTTGGAAGGGACAGCAAGAATCACGACTGACGACTCCAGTTGTTCTTTGCCGTCAATTTCCCCTTCTACACCACCTTTTACCTATGCAAAGCCGCCCTTCTCGCCGTCTACTTGCAGGTGTTTCCTCAGTTCATGGTCAAGAGAAGGATATTTTTATGGGTGACCATTGTCTTTGTGGTTATCGCCTACATCGTTACAATCACTCTGGTATTCACCATTTGTCTGCCTTTGGAACGGAATTGGTGAGTTGGCCCTTTGACGCGAAATCGACGGCATGTCTAATGGTTCCGAACAGGGCGACTAGTGTTACAAAGTCGTGCCCAGGCTCCTCTTATGCTATTCTCTTCCAGGTTGGTTGGGGATTGCACTTTCTAGGTGACCTTCTCGGTGAGTATTCTACGCCGTGATAAGTACGCTCTCTAACAGCCCAGTCTTTATTCTGCCATGGCTGATTGTCCCTGCATTAAACGTCAAGCGGGCACTCAGGCTAGGCATTTACTTCACGTTTCTTCTCGGAACCATCAACATTGCCGTGTGTCTAGTTCGCTTTATCGCGATCCAGCAGGCGGGGGAGGATTACTCCATCTCCCTCAGCACAATTGGTGTGTTCTGGGACGTCCCCTCTCTAGTGTCTCTGCTAATTGTTCACAGTTCTTTGGAGCTCCCTCGACGTCAACGTCGGCCTCGTCATCGCCTGCCTCCCTTCTCTCCGACCCTACTTGGGCTCCCGAGGAAGTTCAGGATATCCGACCGAAAACACACAAACCAAATCAACAACAGCAGGAAGACAATCCGAGGTTGGGGTCAAGATGCACGACCCCCGACCAATGGGACATTTTGAAGATGCCCCCATGTCAGCAGGCCCGAGTCTGCGAGATCCCTCTCTCACATACACGGAAGAGATTTGGGACTATGGGAAGAGGGATAACGCGAGTGATGTGGAATTGATACAGATGCATTTACCACCACATGATAGCAACAAACAACTAGAATCATAATAAATCTCTTTCAAGCCAAAACATGATGGCTAAAATCTTCAATCAACTATGCCCCTCCATTTGCATCGTGACACAGCCTGTTGGGGATGTCAACAGGCACGGTTAGACATCAAGATATCGTGATCACTAATCGACGGCGCCACTCGACGCCCACGAGTGCCAAAAAGGCCAATGCAAGGGCAAAGCAAGCTAATCCAAGCCATGATCCAGAGCTTCGTTTACCGCATCTCACTTCCGTATTTCGCATCCGAGCTCGCCTCCGTTACACAAAGACTGCCGCTCTAAGCGAGACACGTCCACGCCTCTCTCCCCGACCGTATATCGACAAATCAGGATCGGGCGCCTAAATCCTCAAAGTTGCCCTGAGCCGAACAGCGTAGAATGGAGGGAAGGCCGTGTAAGCCGTTGGGTGGATGCAAGGTTCGCGCGGCACCCCGGGTTAGCCAGCCTTCAGCCTTGGCAGGCGAGATGGATTCTATGTCCGGTATTGATGATGAATAGAAGAAACGACATCTCCGAAGGTGAGTCAATATTACCAGACAACGACCGTCATTGGTACTATCTCATGTCTAGGAACCGGCTCGGCTCGGCTCCAGGTTCGGATATCTGACCTCTGCTCTATAATTGACTATTCCATGATTTCCATCTGCCTTGAAAATGACATGGAATTCTTGTAATACGTCCCAAGAGGAATGACGTCGTAGAACAGCCAACACCAGATGCGAATGTCCCGACGGACTGGATCTCGATGGGCAAGCGCGTGTTAGACCCCCTGGTGTCGCAGAATGGCTTCGGTACTTCATACCGGGTTCATGTTTCAATGGCTTAGCATTCCAGCTTCATATCCGATGAGTCGATTGAGCCTATACCCCCTGTTCAGGAAGGTTGTTTGGAACAACTCTATAAACATGGTCGCATATTCTTCTCGCTGCTTCTGTTGGGCTCAAGTCGGTCTCGTCGAGTTCCATTTCGAGTTCACCTCCAAAGCGGAAGATGTCTTCTTCCCTCAGACCGCCCAGGGCCTTGAGGTCTTTTGGTTCCGTGTTGTAGTCGTCTGTATCGCCACTGGCGGCTCTCTTCAAGCTTTCGTTGATGGCACAGTCAAGTATGATGGAAATAAAAGGTGACCTCCGCGATGCCGCTATGTTCAGGTATCCGCGACTGGTCCCGCTCAAAGGCTGATAATCTGTAAAAATCCATATCGTATCGTGTGTCGTTGAACTGGCAATTCGTGACCAGAGCGCTCCTCGCTATTCGACGTCGTTAGGAATATTAATGAAAGATGAGGTCAAGGGGATATAATACTCACCCAGGTTGTGTAGAGCAGCTCATGCTCTCGAGTATTTTTCTCAAATACAACTGCGGCGGTGTCGATGAGAAGATGGTTGCTGATCACCTTTGCATTCAGTAGGAGCTGGCTGTACGCTCGCATGAGCCAAAGGTGAAGATACTAGATCAATAACTCTTACCATAGTTCGTTGGCAATGGTGCGTTTACCAACACCAGCATAACCGTTCAGATAAATGATTGGTCTAAATTTCCTCTTGGCCATTTTGAAGTGCGTCTTTCGGATATGGGCAAGGGCGATAAGGGAACTTTGAGCGGTAAACACAGGAGAACAGAGAAAATGATCCAGTTCGGTTCACATTCATCAGTATTACCACTGGAATAGAGTTGGTCACGTTGGTAAATGTTAAAATAAGTCTTTCATATGCAGCACCTAGTTGCGGAACTTGGCTACCCTGTATCACAAGACATATGCGTTCGACAACACATATGTTATAATATAGAAAGGTTTAAGAGGGCATAAATAAATAAATAAAACACCTCTAATAATTTTCTTTTTTCTATATATTCTTTTCTTACATTAACGTGATGCAAGTTTGGCTATCAGCTTGGGCGTTACTTATTTGTGTGCCAAAACTTGACATCCAGACACGTACATGCACCAATTTCTCTACAACTACCAAAGTCAAGAACTCATTTAGCGACTTGAGCTTCTAAAATTCAACGTTCACAAGTAAAATAGAACAACAGCAAAGATCCAGCTCTCGTTACTCCCTCTAAAACAGATCCATCACTGGAGACCGTGCCTAGAATAACCACAACTTGACCCATGCAGGCTGTGATGTCAGCCAAGTGGAGAAATACGGGATCGCCAATCAGACAGTAAGGCTTAGCGGCGGAAAAAAGGGGGCGGGCCAATGATGACGCAGTTTAACCGTGGGTACCTGTCAGCAATTGAAACAGTTGTTGGCGATGTGTGCCATCCTTCGTCTCAGCCTCTTCGTCTCTGATTCTTCAACAAGCAATGAAGCCATGCGGCCGTCTCGCGCAAACATCGGCTTCTGGCTGCTTTGGATATGCGCCCTCGTATGGTGCTACCTAAACAGCTACGATGACCCCTCCTCCGTCTTCTACGACCCCGATCGCGCCTTTGACAGGTCCTTTTCTGCTGTTCGAGAGGCAGAGGTTGAGGAGTACCTGCGACGCGACGTGTACCCAGCTGTTGAGCTTCCAGATAGGACCGACGCACCGGTAACGGGCGAATTTCTGTGCATTGGCATTCCGAGCGTCAATCGCACGAGTTCGGCTTTTCTTGCGCATGCTGTTGGGAGTCTTGTCGACGCGCTCACCCCCGAGGAACGAAACTCGATACACATTGCTGTTTTACTCGCCGATAAAGACCCCAAGAGGCATTTCGCATACGGAAAAGAATGGTTGTTTAACATCGCCGACGAAGTACTGGTATACGAAAACACAAACGTTAGCGAAACGACCGAAGAGAAACAGACGAACCTCAACTACACTGTCCTTCCCCACGATGTACGCGGTGTCGGTCGCAGCGACGATCGAGTTGAGAATATCCGCCTCGACCACTCTGTCCTGTTCGAAGTCTGCCGAAAACGAGATCCTTCATACTTTGCGCTCGTCGAAGACGATGTTATAGCCTCGCGCGACTGGTTCACACGGTTCAAGAAGGGTGTGGCGCAGGTTGAGAAGCAGGCCAAGGACTCGGGCAGAGACTGGATCTACCTCCGGTTGTTCTACTCTGAACTCTTTATGGGATGGAACAACGAGGAGATCTTTGACTATCTCAAGGTGGTCATTCTGGCATATACCTCTGTTATTGTCTGCCTGTTGGTCGCCCTGCGTTGTCGTCGTCATCGTCACACTGGCTCCTTCGCCAGCAAAGACTTTGCACAGACCGTCGCATTACTCCTCGGCCTCTGGATCCCAGCCTGCATAGCCCTAGCTTTCGTGACTGGTCGCACCACGCTGCGTCGTCTCACCACTTTTTCTCCTGGCGTCCGTGAGATGCCTCGCTACGGCTGCTGCGCCCAAGGCCTCGTGTTCCCGAACCACCACCTACAAGGTCTCCAAGACTTTCTCCGAACACCGCCGTTCCAGTTCCCAGGCGACATGATCACCGAAGATTACGCGCGAGATAGGGGATTGACGAAATGGGCGCTCGATCCGAGTGTCATGCAGCATGTTGGACTGGTTGAGTCGTCGGACGGTCCCAGGAGGGCTGAAGTCTGGAACTTTAGCTTTGAGAGGCTCCGACCGAGGCCAGGATGAAAAGACTGCCGAGACTTGTTTGATACAATTTGGTATAACTGGGTGATGGGCGTCCGGAGTCGCTTCAATTGGGTGGCCATGGTCCGCATCGATGGGGACAAGTGGCATGCCTAAATTATACTCTCTCCGACCGAAGGAATATGCCCAAGCTGAGGAGGCGTGATGGCAGTCCCGGCCTCGCCTGGTTCATTGACAGGGCTTGGTTTCTCGGCGTCGACACGCCCGGATTGACGACATGGGAACAAAAATGAGGTTCTCACAGGATCGAGACAACGGTCAGCGGCATGCCGTGCACAACAGACATTTCACAACCTTGTGAAGAGTATATTTGGCCATATAGCTTCGTTAAAAATATGCAACAACATACGACAATAATGTCGGACACTTGGAAACGACTCAGGCTTCACAAGTCCTTGCGAAAGTACACTCGCTCGTAGCCCTCATCCGTCTTTCTCTCCGTCTCCACAAACCCCATCTTGGCGTAAAGTCCAAGATTCTCCCACATCTTGACATTCGTAAACAACTCCAGAGCAGAGCATCCTCGCGACTTGGCAAACTCAGCTGCATAGCGCATGAGCACGCCTCCGTAGCCGCGGCCTTGTGCCGTCACGTCAACGACCAGGTTGTTGATCTTTACTGCGTCGGAACTTTGTTGGTGGCCAAGAACGATGGAGCCGACTATCATGCCGTCTTCCTTTTTCCTTAGGACAAAGACATCGTGGGATTGAAGGACCTCTTCGTAGTCTGTTGTCATGGGAGCTGGTGGCTTGCCGATGCGCTCAATATATTTTGTATATGCCGCATCGACTATGGCCTTGATGGCTGGCACATCATGAGGTGTTGCTCTCTCGAGTGTAAGTTCATCAGAGGCGAATGGAGGGTCCCTAGGCACACAAGGAATCAGTCAAAGAGACACAGATCGAAGTACGGCTGGACAATACATGGAAGTCATCTTTGTAGACAGAACAAAACAATTAATTAATGGTCAGTATTCGATAGGCAGAAGTGACGACACTGGAGATGTTTTCACGACAAAGCGATCTTTTGTAGATCTTCAACTCCGGGCCGGGACCGGAAGCGGAGAGCTGACTCAATGAGGAGAACGAGGTAATTTAGCTGCATCCTAATGACCCAACTAGGCATTTCATGACTTGTCTGACAAATCATCCGACCATATCCGCTTGCTAGCATATGATAGTAGTAACTAAATCATGAGTCTTAGAGGCGGTACTCCCAGGTTTCTCTCTCACACCAATCCCAAAACTTCTCTCCCAGACCGTTTTCTGCCGAGGCACGGATGTCTTCACGGACGGGGGAGATTCGTCCCCAAGGGATGACTGTGATGTGTTAGATAAATTCTACCATTTGAACTGGATACATACCCCAGCAGCCAGAATTCTCGGGCGTAATGTCTGGTGAGAATCCAGCAAACAGCTCCGTGTAGGCGCCGTACACCGGATCCCAGCTCATCCAGCCAAAGAAGGTGGCGACAACCCAATGCAGATGACGGCGCAGCTCTGTCTTGAGATTGCCAGGGTTCATAGACTATATTCACATTAGTAAATAGTCACCTAGTTGGAATAGAAAAACCCACGACGCTGATGATGCCGTCCTTTTGATGGCGTCGTGCATACTCTTGTGAAAGCAACACCATACCTCCCTTGCTCATTCCATACTTCTCCCCGGTAAACACATTCCTCTTGTAGTCCAGGTTATCCATGTCCACGCCTCCTTGCGGAGAGAACAGTTCAGCGGCTGAAGAAGAAACCCACAAGACTCGCACAGAACCTGGCGGCTCGTGCTTAGCAGCCTCGATCAAAGCTGGCGTTAGAAGTTGGGTAAAGAGGAAAGAGGCGATGCAGTTGACGCCTAGCTGGAGTTCGTAGCCTTGTTTCGACGTAGAACCTTCGGGTGGCCTCATGACGCCCGCGTTATTCCACAAAGCATCAAGACGTGTTTCCTTCTGTAGGAATGACGCTGCTGCTTCTTTGACGCTGTCTAGGTCTTCGAGGTTAACAGGCAAAAAGACCAAGTCGCCTGTGGACTTTGGAACAGCAGAACGAATAGACGCGATAGCATCGTTCACTTTGCTCTCAGTTCTCGAAGCGAGATACACCTTTGCATTGAGCGAAAAGAGGATACGAGCCAATTCCTTGCCTACACCGGCTGACGCGCCAGTGACAATGAAGACCTGCGGGGTGTCAATTGAGGCTTTCAAGTCGGTGAGAAGAACACACCTTGCCGGATTGATCTGGTACATCTTTTTCGGTGAATTTAGGTGCTGGAGGCCATACTTGGCTCAATGTATTCAGTGCCCAGCTGAGCATTGTTGAAGTCGATGAGTTGCGTGGTGGAATGATGAGAGGATAGAGTTTATCTTGTTGGCGTCGATTGAGAATGACCTCATGTCCCCTGCGGTCTCGGTTAAATAATGGTAAGCTCCTAATGCTCAACACCCTCAAATATCTCCATACCTAGGCACCCGTGCAACTATTCCCACGCGTCTATCTTCTGAATCACTTCCTTCCACCGCTTCAAGCAGCAGACCTCGTCCGCCTGCCGGTCAATAAACTTGTGCTAGCTGCTGACCTTCTCTACCTCCCCACTGTTCCTCCCGTATCTCCCTTGTTCTCAATATGCAGACCATGTATGCTTCTCTGGGCTCTTTCTCGATATTGTCAAGAGTAAAGCAAAGGGAGTTGCTCTTGGGCACCTCAGGCGCCCTCGTGTGCATGCGGGTGGACCCAGAGACTAGCCCATCTCCTGTCTCACTCTTGGTGACACCAGCGACGAGAATCTCTGCATCATCATCATCCGCATCAAATCTGAAAAGTATTGGACAGTTTTGCCAAGGCATAGGACCAAGAAGGCGTGCAGTAGATGGATGAATTGAGTACCGCATGCATCACTTCAGGCCCAGCCCTCTCCCAGAGCAGATTCCTCATCAAATTCCCCTTCCAAAGTCCAGCAAGGTAGTCACACTGCAGGAGCCTTTTTAGTTCTACGGCAAGACCATTAATAGCAGGGAGAGTATCAGTCGAGACTGTCAAGTGCTATCGTGAGTAATCCTCAACTACGGATTGCCACGCCCTGAAGTGGACTAATGCCGCATTCTCTGGTGATGCATGGCCTGACCTTGTCAAATCCCTTGACGTCAGAGAGAGCACGGAAACAGTGGAGTGGCTAGGCGGAAGAGAAGTGATCCAAGCTGAGGTGCTTGATCTTTGGGCTTCTGGATATGTGATTGAGAGGGCGGATGTACGAGCAGACTTCCTCTCTCCACTCCCAAATGAGATGGGCGGGGGTAGAATATAGGATTTGTGGCAACTGGAGCTCGCACTCTTGAAGTACCCAGCCCCTAGAGAACAGAGGGTTCTTAAAGAAGGATCGAACCCGTGGGTTTGTCTCTTCAGTAGGTGTCGTAAAGTCCCACTCCAGGGATCATGGGATTTGAAAGCCACCAATGTTGCCTTGCACCAGTCTTATCCAAAAGATAGGAAGCCCGTCAGTTTCCGAGCATTCAAGTTTTAGCACCAAAACCAATATGCACAAGATCACAACCGCTTTCTTGTTAGACTAACGCCGTAGCGGAACAATGCTTCCAAGGGCACTAAGTTGCGCGAACATGGAAGTGCTTCAAGTGTCAATGGTCTCAAGCCAGGCTTGAACGAACCTCGTATCTTTGGTCTCGACCTTCTTATCCTTCAGCGGTTCATCACGTCCAAAGCGGTGGGGAACAATAGTGCCACCGAAGCCTTGCTCAACTTGGTCGCAACACCACTAGAAAGTAGCCTCGGTGGCCGTGCGGGAGATTTCCAGCGCTGCTCCAACGTCTCTGATCTCCAAGTCACCCTCTCCCTCAGCAGTTGCGAAGTCTTGGTCCGAGTGATGGACTCGCATACCCCTCGAGAAAAGGCCAGTGTCAGTCTCGCCGCTATCCGACCAAGTCCAATGAGAGTATTTCCATTGGTGCGAGCAAGCCAGATGGTCACGGATCTCAAGCTCTATATCTTCAGGCCGCATACTTCCAAAAGGCGGCCATCCATAGGGGGGAGTGTGGGAAAAGGCCTCGTGGGGGTAGAGGTGGGAAAAGTCGTGTCGCATACGCCATACGTCTGCCCTTGAAACCATGCCGTCGGCAGAAGGGCCTGATAACCCAAAGTCCAAGAAGGATTGGGCCATGCCAGTCCATACCGCAGCGTCGATAAATGGGTGGGAAAAGGGATAGCTGTGTAGCTTGGTCAAGGATGGTAGAATGCAGCCGATGATTGCCCTACGGCCACAGATGGCGAGTCCAAGCCATAGCGGTGACATTGGACTGAACGACATGACCCTTGCGAGTAACTCCATGTCGTTGTTTTGGATGATAGGCTCCAACATATCAGAGATGGGCTGCATCCAGGCTCCAGCACGGTTGCATGGAACGTCTGGACTCCAAAAAACGCTCCAAAGAGACGGGCCCAAGACCCACGGACATATGCTCAAGGTCATGTAGTAGCCGATTAGGTCAAACTCAGCCGGAAGATGCTGCAGAGACCCTGTAAGTCCGTAATAAGTGGTGAATGAAGGTTTCGGCAACTGGATTTTGACCGGCTTGAAACAGTTGATACTGGCATGGAGTGGGATTGTCAGAGCTGCAGCAAGTGCAGCTGAGCACTGAGAGCCCAGATCATAAGCCTCGCAAAACCGCGATAGATAGTGAGCTGCTTCCCGGGCTGTTGGTGGACGCTGATTGCTTTCGGGATCACCTGCAATACTGACATCCAAATCCTGAACCACGGTTGCCCAGGGTGATAGTTTTGACCCTGACACGGTCCATCCTCGTCCAGATGTTGTGATGGCCTTCCACCATCTCTGCTCGTCCGGCGAAGCGTACTCGAGGTTAAGTCCAGTAGAGGCAAGTTGTGTGGATGTTTCGGGCAGAGGTAGATATTCCATTGACAGATCCTGTCTTTCCGCCAGACTGGCACCCATGGTATACGCCCAACCCAGCGTCAACAATGCGATACCGTTGTTCTTCTTCCCCTCCCAGACACGAAAGTTTGAAGAATCCGATATCGAGCAGACGGTGGGGTGAGGCTTTGTAAGAAACAGCCTTTGCTCTCTCTCCTTCCTATCCTTGACTGAGCAGGTGGAACTTAAATCGGACCATGTAGAGAAGCCCTTCAAAAGCCTCACGTCGCTCGGGATCTTCTCAGGCAAACAAGGGATGCGATCAAGACACTGTGTTAAATCCAGACTCGAGCTTGGAATTGTGTTGGCGGCCTTGGCCTTGGAGAGAATCGTTCGCCAGCGAGAAGTGCTTCGGCCAAAAATGGCTGCGCCATCGGAGCCATTGTAGAGGCTATCTTCGCAGGTGTAGTCCATGTGCGCGTAGGAGGGAAGAGGGAAGTGAGATGTGCATACGATGGGTTGATGGCGTGTGGGCCGGGAGTAAATATTTCAGTGAGCACTTGGCCTATCAGCGAGCACATCCAGCTCGTTGTCCAGTAAGAGTGCGAGAGATCACTTAGCAGGTATCATTATATCGGAGAAGGCACTGCAGAGGGACATGGGTGCATTCACAAGGCAGTACGTGCATGAGAACATTGCTCACTTTATTTGCAGAGGTATAAAGAACTTCCAACTGACTCTTTCACTCCTGACCAGCCTCAAATCACCCCTCAGACCCCCACCTCCTCACTTCTTCCCTCCACAAAGGGCACAGTTGTAGCCACCGTTTATGCCTGTCCCACCACACATCCCACAGATTCTTCTAGGTCTTGAGGTACCTTGACTGGTAGGCTGGAATTCGAAATTGTCACCGATACGGTCGCTCGTCTCTCGAAGCTGCTGGACAAGCGCCTCAAGCCCACAACCCTCTGGAAACCTCATCTTGTTAGTAAAAGTGTCGGTGGCTGGAGAGGGATGCATACAAGCCACCCGCCTTCATTACCACAGTCTGACTGATAATCCCAGGGAGGCCGAGACTCTCTGGGGGTATTTTAAGCAAGCGATTTGGGGCATTGTAACCCCTCAGGTGATTTTTATGGGAGCGAATATGGAACATGACAACTGAACCGCTCGTCCACAAGTTGACTATCAAGCCTCTAGGCTCTGCCTGCAAATTATTTATCCAGTAGCAGTCGTAGTCAATTGGCCCGAACGATTGTACCGCGACCAAGTAGCATTTCGGGAAGAAGGATTCAAGAGTGGTGCGGACGTTCTTTTATCTGTTAGTACATGTTGGCTGAGGCGCTCGTCTATTGTACCTGACTTTCGAATATGTTGGTCTTGATAAATATCAAGCGAGCTGCGTTATTGAAGTATTGCCCGGTTTCCCCAAAAAGCGCATCGACTCGCTGCCCTACGTCGGGATTCTCTTGACAAAAGTAGCCGAGCTCTTCTATCGACTTCTTTGTCTCCTCCGACGTCATGGTGGCATTCAAAGACAGAGGATCAACAAGGGGCTTTGAAGATGGCTGGATCAAGTGGAAAGTCGAATATGGTTGGCATTAGTGATCCTCACTGTTGAGGCTAACTCTCGAACATCAGTTGGTTGAGTGGCGCTTCTCAAGACCCCAATCCAGGCAGCAAGATCTCAGCCTGACGCACCAAGTCCCCGTCGCATTGCATAAATTCAGCCACCGAGAGCCCAGAGCCCGCTTACTATAATGCGTTGTTGGTAGGACTCTCCGGACTAGAAGACCCTCATTGCTTATCACCAAGTTTTAGAGCCGAGTCATTAACGGCTCCTCAAACTATCCTACCAACACTGAGTTCAGTTCCTTCCCCCTTGAAACCAACACCGCGCCAACTTGTGCGCGTCCGCCATGGATTTCATTCTCCAGACCTGGGACCCTGGCTCTGCGAGATCCGTCGCCAGGAAGGCCGGTTACTGTCAAGCTTGCGCCGGCATGCTATGCACTCCCGAGGGCCTCAAATCGTTGGAAACCTTACCCGGGTATCGCCATTCCAACATGCACCAGCTCCTAAAGAGCGTCAAGCAAGGGTGCCAGCTGTGCGACATCATTCTTCGTGCGGGATGGGAGGATCCAAGAAACAAGCTGGGCTCTGAGGAGAAGGTGCAATACACCGAAAAAGAAAAAGACAGACAGGTCTGGTTTGTCTCGCGGGGGTCTAGAGAGCTGGGACCGTCTGCGTTGACACATTATACTGCTAGACGTTGGGAGAGTCGTGTATACGACAGCCTGGGCGACAAGGTATGGCTAGATGGCGGATTCGTTACTCACAACAAGCCACCTAAAGTCTCAGAGGAGACATACGTATGGAGCAGTCTGATATCTATCGCGATAATGGCCTCTTTTGGTGAGTATAATCAGCCTTGTTCTCTTCACAATGCTCATCAGCCATAAGATGATCCCGCGGCAAAGTACTTTGTCAATCGACCTATGCAGACCAGCTTCCTCGACGGCGACATTATGGACGAGGCAAAAGTATGGCTTGACGACTGTGTGGGAGGCCGTCATGGAACATGCGTCCCTCCTGAGAAATGTGAGCTTCCAACCCGGGTCCTGGACGTTGAGCCCAGCCTTGGTCATATCGTCCGTTTGCAGGAGAAGAATACTGGCCAAATTGGGAGGTACGCGGCGCTCAGTTACTGCTGGGGCGGGCCTCAACCTCTGACAGCCACCAAGAGCAATCTTCAGACCTTGATATCCGGGGTTGAAGTTGATAAGCTGCCACAGACCCTCCAGGACGCTGTCTACGTCACGCGAAGACTTGGAATTCGATATCTGTGGATTGACGCCCTGTGCATTATTCAGGACAGCCCAGAAGATAAACTATCCGAGATTGGTAAAATGGGCACAATCTACCGGAATGCCATCGTCACAATTGCAGCTGCGAATGCACGGAAGGCCTCAGAGGGGTTTCTCAAAGTTACGACAGATTATACCCCGGAATACTCGTGCATAATGCCCGTCCATCTCCCAGAGAATCCTCGAGTCGGCCGAGTAACACTGGCGGCGAAACGTCGATTTTTCTTCACGCACCCAAATGCTCTACGGACTCGGGGCTGGGCTTTTCAAGAGGCTGTGCTCTCCCGGCGCATCTTGATCTTCTCAAGCTATGCCTTGCAATGCCACTGTAACCTCGATCAAGGAAGATTCCTCAACCTGGGCAACATTGATCGGGAGAAACCTGAGAAGCTGTACGCGTTCGGAACCAAGCACTTTGATATGTTCGAAACCCACCACAAAAGCCACGGGGATGGCTGGATGTCGGGGCTATTCCTGGGTGGAATGTGGAACGCCATGGTCGGCGACTTCACCTCACGATCGCTCACTGTCGCCGATGATCGCCTTCATGCTCTACAGGGGATAGCGAATGAACTGCTACAGTCGAGGCACTTGGCAACTGATATCAACAGGACATATGTTGCGGGCATGTGGATGGCCTGCCTACCATCACAGCTCGTCTGGTCACGCGACGACCGCACCCCCCTGTGTCCAGATAATGGCAATCTTCCTTTCCGCCCTATCACGAACAGATCCAAGAGAGCCCCAGCGTGGTCCTGGGCTAGCTTAGACTGTCCTGTCATGTTCCTCTCTGTCGAGATGGTCTCTGAACAGCCATATAGAGGCTTTTCGCTTTCGCACGTCTCTTCTGGACCAGGTGGCGTGGAACTAGAGGCCGAATGCGATATCCTATGTCGCAGTTTGGACGAATTCCACCACGACTCGTCGAAAGCCCAAGACATCCGGATCACCCTTGACCTGGATGTAGATGAGCTTCCTGCTACAGCTACATCTGTCTACTACATACTTTTAGACAAGTATATAAACATTGGGGGTATTGATGAGGGCGACCCCCTCTGGCTGTACTACGTTTCTGGTATCGTCGTTCACGAGACTGAGGAGGGAGCTTTTCAAAGGTTGGGTTGTTTTAGGTGGGATGTTGATCAGCTTGCCGAGGATGAGTATACCTTTGGTCAGCGGAGACGGGTCAAGTTGGTGTAAGAGATGCTGTCGCTTTTTAGCCCTACAAGGAGCAATCATCGGCAAGGACAGAAAACGTGCTGACTCTTGGCATGTCAGGATCAATGTTGCAATGCGCGGATCCCGCTATGTCGCTTTAGGAAAAATATCAAGAGTTGCATCTGGAGCCAATGCTGGGCGTAATACTGGCCCACTTCCCCAAGATCTTGGCTACGTCTGACTTGGTCAAGAGCTGAAAACTCGATTCAATCTGAATCCAGATCCTATCCATTTCTGACGCTCATTGACCGGATGGGTAAATTAGCCAGTCCTTACCTGGATACACCGCCACCCGGGCCAATTACCACTTTAGCCAGCTGAACTATGATCCTAGACTTCTTTTCATGTATAAAGACAGAGTCAAGCCTTCGCTTCAAGTTGGGCAAGCAACTTGTTAGCAACCAGCAACCTTGATCATTCTTTCTCAACGCCTCCTTAACTCTTCATTATGAGGTCCGTCCTTGTCTTCGCCTCCATGGTGCACCTCGCGGCATCCTCTTGCCTGAACCTCCAAAACCTAGTCAACTTTGGTGACAGTTTCTCTGATGAAAACCGCCTCAACTACATCTACGAGCATCAAGGCCTACCTCCTGCTGGAACAATCCTCCCTGAGAATGGTAACACCACAACCAGTGGCGGCTACAAGTGGCCCCGACTGGTAGCTCGCAAAACTGGTGCCAAGAGCTTCAACTACGCTGTTGGGGGTGCAACTTGCTCCAACAAGATTGATGAGCGCGAATTTGTCCTTACACCCGGAAAGCCCTTTCCCTCTGTCTTAGACGAGCAGGTCCCAGCCTTTAAGGCCGATCTTGAATTTGATGAGCTTTATGGCGACCGCACGGCTGACAACACTGCCTATGCTGTCTTGATTGGAGGAAACGACTTGACTACCAATGGCTTCTTGACTGATTCTAATGCTCGGGGCACCAACATTACTTCATACGTCAGCTGTGTCTGGGACGTCTTTGACGCACTCTATGAGACTGGCGGCCGCCACTTTATCGCCATCACACCCCCTGCGGCAGAACGATCTCCTGCCTACCTTATCCCTGAGGACGGCGGTAGACTCGACAACCCAGCCTGGTTCAACAAGACTGCTTACAACATGACCGACTACAACTACAAGCTCATGGAGTACCTCACCAGCGCCAAGACGATGCTGCAGTACGGTGTACCCTTTCAGCTTATTGTTGAGAAGCGATGGCCCGGCGCGACGTTTTCTTTCTTTGACCTCCATGGCTTGATGACCGATATGCTCAAGACCCCTGAGGAGTATCTTGATGCCCCTGCCAATATCACTGGTCACTATAGGCACTGCGAGATTGGTGAATTCCTCGACTGTCCGGTTGAAAAGGAGGTTAAGGAGAGTTTCTTCTGGTTTGATGAGCTGCATGTGTCTGAGAGAGTTGGTGAGTCTTCAACGTTTATAACAGTGATCATGTGCTAACACAACACAGAGGAAAAGGTTGCAGATGAGTTCGTCAAGCTCCTGGCACAAGAATCCAAGTATGGAAAGACCTATCGGTCTTGGGCTTAGGTGGCATACTCAAGCTTGTTGAGATCAACTTCTTTTAGATTTTTTCATAGTCCTTTTGGAGCTGGGTGAAACAAATCCTAGCGTAGCTTGGTAGAATGCTTGTAGTGAAAATAAGTAATGGTATCCCTTGAATTTCCACCGCTATCAGACGAGTTGCACGACTGCACTCTGGCGATTTCCTCTTCTTTCTATATAGCGTGTGCGTGAAATGCATTTGTTACATCTCTAGCTTTCCGAGGCACATCCCAGTGAAGTTGGTCACCTGCTGTCTATCGTCAAAATTGACGAAGCTGCCATTGTTCTTCTTGGTAAACTCGTAGGCAGCCAACCCAAAGAATGGCTCAGCAATTGCATCGCTAACCGGAATAGCATCCGCAACTGAACCCAGGCATGCCCTGACGTCGGCGTCGTGGCCGTAACCGCTGGTGAACTTGCCGCATGGAGACTTGCGGGTTTCAACACAGGAGATGACAATAGCAACGATGGCGAAGCTGATGATGAACCCGGTGTAGATCTGGTACCAGGTGTCTGAGATGCAGGGTATAATAGTCGTTGTGTCATGCTTGCAAACGAGAAAGATGAAAAAGGTAAGGAGATAGTTAGTTGAGAGCTTAACCGGCCAAACCAAGTTCCCATTTGCGATTCGGGCCAATATGGAAGACCTCAGCTGAGCTGAATCCCGTCGTAGTTTGTACATCAGGATATGGAGGGTAAGCGTTCTATCGTATAGAGTGGCCAAGAAAGCAGGCCGTGGATAATCATGGCCTCGAATCTTGGAGCCCATGACTCTATACTTGGCTACTCCCTCAAATCTGACTCCCTTGCTGAACCGCCAAGACTGTGGACTGTGGCAGTGTATCATATCGTGTTACCACCCACAATCGACAGCGCCCTCCACAATTCAAGTCGGGAGCCTCAATTTCTATAGTCAGGCGTCACCAAACACTCGAAAAGATGTTCTGTCTAACCCTAACCACTACACAGAAAATCACACATTGCTCTAAAAACAACGGACTGAATAGTAATATATTTGAAAAGTAGATGAGCTTGCAATCTGCCTGAGCTACATACCAAGCTGCTAGTGAACGAAGCCATTCTCAGATGCCTCAAAAAAGTTAACTCATATGAAAAGTCAAGACTTGAAGTCATACCGAGCGAACGATGGGAAAATAAGCAAGCCTAGAGAGTTCTTGACACCAACCTCCGTCCAGAATCTTACCGAACATCTTTCTTCCTTGATTCACTCTTGTCCGCTTTCAAATCCCTACCGAGCTTCCGGTACCTGCCCTTCAATCCGTCAATGGCACAGTCCAAAGTCGAACGCCATCAGAGTCAACGCTGGCCAGGGTCAACTTCCCTTCTTTCTCCAAGACAAACATACCAGAACCTGCTTCACTTGTAACCTTTCCATTCTCATCTCTCCACTTCTCAGCCTCTGGACCATCCTCGGTTCCACCTCTCGCAAACCTCCACTTTACTTCCTTACTCAGGTCAAACACCTCGATGCTGCCGTCGCCACTCATCCACACAACGAGCTTGTTCCCCCCGTCTACAAACTTGAGTTGATTGACCCCAACGAACCATCCCGCTATCATCGGATTTGCCTCACCATCAACCTTGGAGTCTCTGTTCGAAAGAAGTCGTCTCTGGACCACCTCTTTGTTGACAATATCCAATAGAAGGATCTCACCGTCCCTCCTCCCACCAACGGCTACCAGCTTACCATTTGGGTGCCAGGCGACTGAGGATCTGGACATCTTTGGACCCTCAGTTTGGAACTCCCAGTACAATGTCTTGTCCGCATGGAGCGCATAGACATGAATGATGCCAACCCCGTCCGTGGCGACGAAATGCTGCGAATCAGGGCTGAAGGAGCCGGCCCAATAATAATGGTCGGTTTCAAAACAGTGAACTTGATGGCCCTTGACAGCATCCCAGATGCGAATTGTCTTGCCGAACGACATAGTTGCCAGAAGTGTTTCATCAGGGCTCCAGCCAACCCATTTGATATCATCGGTATGGTCTTTCAGGGTCAGGATGGGTTTGAAGTCATCCGTCGAGCAAATCACGACATCCCAAGGAACCGGTTCGTCGGATTCCGGGGCATATCCAGGCAAATACACCATTCGAGTTCCAGATCCGTTGAAGATCTCGGGCTGATGACCAATTTGGAGACGGCCGCAGATGCGAATGTTGTCTGTGATACCTTGCTTTGCCATGACCCGGTCGATCTCAGACGCCAAAGCTGTTTCAAGCTCTACCTGCCCAGGATCCTTCAGTTCCAAGCCTAGACCCTCCAACTTGGAGGCCGCGACAGCTGTAGCAGCCTTGGAGATGACGTGCAAGTCAGACTCTTCCAAGCGGAGAGCCTTCTTAGCTTTTTCAATATCCCAAACAATGATGGTCGGCTCAACGTCACCACGGATCCGATCAGCATCTGTTCCTTCAGACGAAACAAGAATGTTGCTGTCGTTTGGTTTGAACGCAAGGCTGTCTACGGGGCGCGTGTGGCCTTTGAGAACAACAATGGTCTCCCAAGTCTCCGTATCGATGATTTGGATTCTTTTGTCGACCACGATTGCTGCCCGCTTGCCATCACGGCTGAGACAAGCATCGCGCGGCTCTCCGCTCAGAGAAAGCTTTCTATCTTCGTTGCCCCATTGCAAGTGACCGCCTGGGGCGTAGGGAAAAGGCTTGCCATCAGTGGTGACAAAGTCCTTCTCGACGGCATATCGCCAGTCACGGTAGAGTTGCTCAATTGTGTAATGGTATGGCTTCATGATGTGATGTGATGTGAAGTTGCAAGAGCGAAGTTCACGTCTTTGTTGACGGCCTTTATATACCCATCTCAGAGTGGCTGTGCAAGCTGAGTTATGTCAAAATGTCGTTGATCTTATGGTTTTATTCCTTTAATAATATCTAGGCAGCAGTCAATCATTGCAGTTCATGGAGAACAGCCGAGCCACCTAATTGCAACAGGCCTTCAGGTTTCTGGCTGTGACGGATAACACGGCAATGCAAAATTCCGGCCGCGGGGGACAGCACGGCAATATAGAGAAGCAACGGATAAGACGGCATTCTAGGTGGCTAATGCTGCGGCCGGCCTTTTGCTTAAATGTATGGTCATAGGACTCTGACCGCCTCCTATTGCTCCTATCCAACAGTTTGAAGACCTTGCAAGGCAGCAATACCCAAATCTGCCTTGCACCCGGCCCACCAACCATGTTCACGACTATAAAGTCGGCCAATTGCAGAGGCTCAAGGATACATCAAATACGAGGCCCACACCACACAGCGCGGGGAAGAAGCAGAGATCATCAGGCATTTCCTGCCTAAGCCACACTCCGATTTGATTTGTTCAGAGTGAGGCGCCATCTTCACGGAGTTGCACCCTCAGGGAGCATCCAAAAGTCATCGCCACGGAAGGATACCTAGGTCTGCAGGGCTCATTTATCCTTAGAACTTGAGAATGACTCACAACAGGACCGCATCGCCTCCTCGACTTAATGCCCCGTGACATTAACTTTACGAACCGTTGCTGGGTGATAGAAATATCGACCCACGAGCGGCAGGAGCAGGCAGCTTCAAGGTCTAGAGCTGGAGGGTCCATCGCTCAGGAGCATCACTATTATTGGATGTCTAGATGGTGCTATATCGCGTAAGAGCCTTCGTCTAGTGGTCTTTCTTGCTCGGACTATCTTGTTCCTTTTGGTGGATTGACCGCGAACGTCTCAACCCTGCTAGAGTCTCCCTTTGAACTGAACGACAACTGTCTCGCTTATCTCTCCCGTTTCAAGCTCCCCGCCTGCTGTACTGATTTCTCAAGTCTTGACGTAAGGTGGCCCGGGGTATGTAGCCTAGATCATTTAAAGATGCCCCTGCCTGGAAAGTCAAGACCTTTTCCGGGATGCAAACTTTCCCCATATGATTTTGGATCTGAATTATTATCATTCCCATTTGAATGGGCCACAGTGTATTTATGATTGCTCCTAATCGAGGGGAAGAATGCTAAGCTACCAGTGGAGATGTACACGACTCGATGTGGTTAGAGGATTGCTATGTTCGGCATCGAGGCTTTCCTAGACAACATCTTCAAAAGGAACTCCATCACGGTGTCGCTATCGTATAATTGCTATTGAAAACTTTGCTGTGCAGAAATTAATATCCCCGTGAGCTGTGTTGTTGTATTAGACTACCGGGCTTGAACCACAGGCTAGTTCATGATGCACGTGGCTGTCCTAGGTCGACGCTTGCGGTGATGACGCGGGGAATGAACAGTAGACGTTGACCATTTCAGTGGATGACCTCATGACTGTGTAGGTGCATCGAATCGCTGTAGGCATGGCCGAATTACGAGTGATGAGATCACGACTTTGGGCGGAATCGCCTATGCCCGGGTGATGTAATCATGGAGTTTAAATGTTATAAAATACCTTGACGCAATACCATCCTCTTGTCAGCATCTCATATCATTCATCTGTACTCTTCCCATATATACCAGTATCAACAGTACATATAACATACCAACTGTCACCATGTCGGACAAGCCTATTGACGCTACCAACCTGAATAAGGACACCATGCCAAAGGCGATGGATGCCCAGGGCAGCATTGGCAAGCAATTCACCGGTTCGTTGCTCCATTATCCGATTAAACACAGTCATACTAATGCTTTCACGGATAGAGCAAGGTGCAATTGGATCAATGGGCCAAAAGATTGGTGGTCCCTTCGACAAGCAGGGCATGATTGGAAAGCAGTTCACGCCCAAGGGCAGTATCGGCGGGTCTGTTCAGAACGCTATGGGTGGAGAGAAGAAGGCCAAGGAGTAATTAGACAGGATCTTCATGTGTTCTGGGTCCTATGTCAGCAATTAAATTATTTAATAGTCATGCTCCTGTGATCGCCATCGCTGCTGAACCACTCCTCACACAAATCTCTACGATGTGAAAAAAGTGGGAGGCTTGCTACCTACAAGCAACCACAACCCCGATTGTTGGTATTGCTTCTTCCATGTGGTCTTACGCAGTAGTCTGTCGGTGCTTTTTAGAGCCTTCCACCCTCGTGGTCAAGTAGGATAAGATTTTTCTTGACTTCTCTCTAGGGTTGTGCTCACTCACCAACCAATACTTGCTCAAAGAGGGATTTCCCTCGCGATGAAACGGCCCCCAAAAAGAGCCAAGAGGTACCGCCCCCTCCCAAATGCATGATTTCTTACGTGAGCTTCTTGGCAAATTAACAAGGACCTTGCGAGAATGAGAACAAGGGCGCATCGTAACCGAATTGCCAGATGCAGATGCACAATGACATGAGTGTACCCTCCACGACCAATCAAGGTCTCTAACTTGCCGCTGAAACCAGTTTGTCGGTACCGAGTTGGCGTTGATCGCGCGGGGGGCTGGATCCTCTGAGTGGAGTGCAAGGCTTCCCCTGGCTACCGATCTTCAGGACTCATGGCTCGGCATCACCAGATTTTCACGAAGAGCGTTTGTATGAAGTGGTTGAATGGATCCACGTGTCAGCTAATGGAATTAAATTTAGATTTACTCAAAAACACCAAACTTTCAACGCCGTGCCAGGGAAGCTACCAACACCATCTACCGTATCGTAATTTCGTTCTGAAACACAGCTCATACTGGAGAAAGAAGAAGAATACTACACTAAGGTGACATATCACTGCCAAGATTGCCTCAGCCCTGTAGCTCCTGCACCGCCCCCGGAGCCTTGGAGTCCCGGCGGCCGTCCATCTCAGCGTAGGATTGATACACGGGCTGTTGTTGTTGCTGGTACTGGTACATTTGCGGGGGCCGTTGTTGGTACATGTCTGGGTAGGCGGGGGCGTATTCAGGGAGGTAGGGCTTGGGCTGATCGGCTGGGGCTCGCCTCTTTCGGAGGAAGAACCAGACCGCTAGAGCGGCCCCGATGGCAGCAGCGGGAATTCCGACTCCCAGGCCAATCTTGAGGCCCATGTCATCGTCAGAAGTATCAGATTCCTTGTCGTTGTTTTGTTCTTCGGCGTCTGAAGAAGGGCTTGAGTCGGTGGTTGTGGTCGATGGGGCGGAAGAGGTGGATGTGGAGGAAGGCGCTGATGTTGTAGAGGCTATTGAAGATGTTGTTGTCTCGGAGGCCTCGCTCGAAGTAGTCTCTTTTTCCTTGCTGGAGCCCTCAGGGTTGCCTTCGTCGTCGATGAAGACTCCACGGCCGGCATCACAGCAGCCACTGTCATTGTCGCAGCAATAACTACCATCTTCGCATCTCTTCACTCGTGGAAAGCGATTGTTGACCTCCTCTACAAAGCGAGCCTTGGTCAGTGTGTCTCACAGGACAGTTTGCTTGGGCGACTCACCATAGACGCAGATGGCTGCGCACTTCTCCTTGCTGTACGGCTTCACAGCACAAGGCCCTCTCACAAACTCGTCCACCGCTTGGCCTTTGTTCTTGCAGAGCCGATTGGGCATGCATGTCGCGTCTGCACCACAACAAGTAGAGGAGCCAGGACACCGCTTGTTGCCAGTCCATGGTGTTCCATCTACTCCCCAGCATATATCATCCTGAGCAAGGGCTGGCTGATGCAGCAGAGCCAGAGTGACAATGACCCAAAGACGCATGATGTTTGAGTAACGGAAAAACGAGCGGCAGTAAAAAGTCAAGGAAGAATGTGAGGATTATGGATGGAACGAGAGTGACGATCAGTGTGGGAGAGCCCACAAGACTTTAAGGCAGACTCGAGCCGAAACAGATCATCCTTTGGTGTGGGGGCGAGATGCATTTCCAACCTCACTCTCACTTATTGGCCAGGGTGAAGGGGTATTTCGGTGGCTGCGGTTACAGATTTAGCCCAAAGCTGCTAGATCAGGGACTTGCATGTTCAGCTCCAGCCCTTACAGGACCGTTAAGCGTCTGGCGCTTCTGGCTCGGCTGTCCTTGGATTCTGGTGCGTCTACTTCGCATTTTGAGGTTGTCGAGGACTCCATTGTTCCATGAAGCCAGGGTATCTTTTGGATTTTTCATCCCCTGGACATTCGAATCCATGCCTCGAAGTAATGTGACTTTTTCGAACTGCAGGTCCTGACCGACATGGCAAGAGTTAAAATTAGGCCTCGGTACCAACAGACAGAGGAGCAAGAAAAAAGTTGAGCGCTTAGTGAAATCAGGCTGGGCAGAGTTGCAGTGTAAAGACCAACAACCAACAACCAACAAGGGGGGGGGGGGGGTGATCCAATGGCAGTGGTCAATGATTCCCCACTACAGGTAGAACAGGGTGAGATTATCATCAGAGACGGCACTGATCAGGTATTTGAGACGATGGAAGTGGTTTAAAGGGGATTTTAAAGATACAATAGCTTTTATTGAATAATGCTGTTTAAATAGACACCAAAAAAGGCTACACACACCAAAAGAGACACCATCGTCTTCTCGTCGCGTCCTGATTCCGGGGCTGACCGGGGGCGGTTCCAGCTTCACTCTGGTTGGCCAAGCCAAGACAATCGTCGTCAAGCCAAGAAACTTCGCCTTTCCACAGTGGGCCAACACCTTTTTCCCCCTTGCCTCCCGTGACGTCGGCTCAATTAGCTTCCGGGCTCCATTTATCACGCCCCCCCTGGCACTTTAACTCTTCCTAATCTTTACAATCTCATCTCAAAGTCCACGTCACGTCACACGACCACTTTCCCTTCCCTTCAACGATGGCGCTGGAATCGGCCTTTGGCCTTGGACATCGCTTTCGAGATCCGCGACGTATTCTTGTGCGTCTGGGTATCTTTGTGTCCTTTTCCATTCTTCTGCTTCTTGTCGCTTGCAGAGGCTGGCCCTCTGAGTGGATGCGCATCGATTGGTCGCAATTGTCCCAGGCTGAGCTTGACAACATCACAGCCACGGCAAAGGAATTTGCCGACCATGAGATTAAAGCACCATACAAGGACAAGTTTTGGGAGGTTGGACAACGATCGAGACAACTTAGTCAATGGATATCTCAGTCTGACAAGTTGAGCCCCAATTCCTTTGTCGCAAAAGAACTGCTTGCCACCACCGAGACAACAGCGCAGCAGCTCTTCCCCTTTCTACAAAGGCCGGCGCGCAATCCTGGGTCAAGAACGCCTCTATCAGATTTGCGGAAATCTTTTGTCAAAAGTTCGCGCGGCATCGTCATTCCCGTTGGAGGAGGAGAGCAGTCGATCCGTTTTGCCGGCCATTTGATCGTCTCTCTCCGAAAAGTCCTGGGATCTACCCTACCGATTCAGATCGCCTATGCTGGAGATGAGGACTTGTCAAAAGAAGAGCGTGACAAGATCGCCGGCCTGGAGGGGGCCAAGGATGTTGAGTTCCTCAATGTCTTTGACGTTTTTGATGACAAGACGATGAAGCTCAAGGATGGTGGATGGGCCATCAAGGCATTCGCTGTGCTTGCATCAACCTTTGAGCAAGTCATCCTCTTGGATGCAGATGCCGTCTTTCTGCAAAAGCCCGAGGCACTTTTCGCCCAGAGACCCTATGTCAAGAAGGGCGCCTACCTGTTCCACGATCGTCTACTATGGCAGCATGCCTTCCGACCAAGACACGACTGGTGGAAGGACCAAATCAAGATCCCTTCACCAGAGATGAACAACTCACTAGTCTGGACAGAAGACTACGCCGAGGAATGCGACTCGGGCGTCGTTGTCGTCAACAAGGCCCGTGTCAACGTTCTCGTCGGCATGCTCCACGTTGCATGGCAAAACACATACGACGTCCGCGAAGAAGTCACGTACAAGTTGACCCACGGAGATAAGGAGTCTTGGTGGCTTGGCCTGGAACTTGGCGGCTCAACATACGAGTTTGAGGAGCACTACGGCTCCATGATAGGTTGGGCCGACGACGCCAACGCGCAAAACGTCACAAAGGTGTGCAGCTTTGTCATTGCACACACAGATGCCAAGGACAAGTTGATATGGTACAACGGAAGTTTGTTAAAGAATAAAAAGGTGGATCCCAAGGGATACGAAGTCCCAGAGTACTGGATGGTGGATGGAAAGTGGCACAAGGGTGCTACAAAGGCGGACATGAGTTGTATGGATGGCTCAGAAGCCATTGAACTGACTGATGAGGAGAAGCGTGTGCTCAAGGAAAGCATTGACGCGGCAAAGAAGGTGGATGAAGCTTTGAAACTGAAGCTGGACTAGAGGCATGGCGGTTTTTGAATGTTTGATATGATCATAGCGATGTACTTTATACCTGTAGAACTGGCATTAATGTGTTTTATATTTCAAGTTTACATGATGTTGAACATGGTGTCAGTTCATCACTGTTGCATCACCGTGTAGTTGCAACTTGCTGGCGGGTTATGATGAGGGTTAGAGGCGGTTGTGATTCAAGATCTCCTGGCCTCTTTCACAGCCAGCACTCAACTAAGAGGTAGCTGCTCCTGTGTGTCATCTACCTTGACAAAATCAGCTGCAGCACCCAGCGGATTCCCATACGCATCATCCGGATTATCCCCAACACAATGATGGCACCAGAAATGATTCCCCGGGTCGTGCGCCTTCTTCACAGCCAGCAACTGCTCGTACCTCTTCTGGCCCCAGTACCTCGCCGTCCAGTTGTGCATCACATACGAGCTCTCAGAGAAGTAGCTGTTTGGCCCAAGCTTGTATATCGTGTCCATCGACTGCTGCGTTGTCAAGGTCCGGGCATTCCATAGCATGAGCGCTGAGCGAAAGCCTGGTGAGATGGCCGTGTCGTCCGGCTGCGAGCTCCCCAGATTGCCCGTCAGCGAGGTGTAGAGGTAGTGGAAGCCGCATCGCTGTTTCGCTGGGTCCGGCGACGTTGGGTCAGGATGCTTCAGGGTCTCCACGCAGATATCTAGCACGTCCATCATGGTCGAGGCAAACTTTGTCTCCATGGCCTGCCGCGAGACAAGGACCGAGTTCTGAGAGCCAGTGGCCGCATCGGAGGGCGGGTGCGGCGCCGGCAGCGGGTTCGTGACGGAGAGTGGAAACTTGTTGGCGGGCATGAAGAGGATGTAGTCATAGGCCGAGTTGAAGTTGTTCTCCTGCACCGCCGTCGCCTGCAGCACGTCGTCCTTGAGGCGGTCGCGGAACAGAACATAGTCTGGCTCTGCTTGACCGCCGGCGTAGAAGTACTCAAAGTTAAACGTCCAAGTGACTGCGCAGAGGCCACCCGTCGCGTACTCGGTGGTATTGATGAAGAACGAGGGTTGCGTGCTGACCTTATGGTTGAGCCTTAACTGCCACTCGACGAAGCGAGGCCACATGGCGCGCAGCCACTCATAGCCAAACGGCCGCGAATCTTGGCAAAACGTGCCGTTCTGGACCATGAAGACGCGGCTGAGACCACCATCGGGCACGGCGTGGGCGCGGATCGTCATGGAGAGAATAACACCCCAGACCCCACCACCGCCGCCGCGCATGGCCCAGAAGAGCTGCGGATTGCGACGGCGACTGGCGATTTTCTTATGGACGATGGGCTGGCCGTGAGCGTCGCGGCCGACTTGCAAGACCTCAATCTCCAGCAAGTTATCGACGCCGAGGCCCATCGACGGCGCAAAGGGCCCGTGGCCGCCGCCGAGATGGTAGCCAACCATGCCGACGGTGGAGCACCAGCCCGACGCAATAGCGCGGTGGTGCTCGCCCGAGAAGTGATGCATCTCGGCGAAGACGGCGCCGGCGCCAAAGCGGAATGCGCCGGCGGGGGCCAGAGCCGGGTCCTCCCGCCAGGTATGCATAAAGGCCTTGTCCTTAAGCAAGATTGTGCGGATGAGGATGCCGCCGGTCGGGCATGAGTTGCGACTGTTGTACTCGTGACCAGTGCCGGCGGTAGCAATGCACAGGCGGTGCCTCGCGGCGAATGTCAGGGCGGCGGCTATATGGCGCTCGTTGAGCGGAAAGACAACGATGAAGGGGTTCCAGTCGCGGTACTCATTCTGGTGCAGCGCGGCTTTGCACATGTCTGACGCGACGTTCCATATGGAGGGACCCTTGTGCGGGTTAAAGCATGGGCGCTGCATCTCGGCAATATCCTCATAGTAGTACAGTGCCCTGAGGCCCTCGGGCGCGTCGCCCAGGCCGTAGAAGGACTGGTTGTGAGCGGAGCCCATCGGGACCGGCGCCGGCTGCGGCTGCGGGTAGCTGCTCCACCGGACGCCGAGCCGGGGCACTGCGGGGTCTAGCGCCCGCTCTAGCTTCCGGATGGCCGTCTTGGTGGGCCAGCACCTGGAGTCTTCGGGTGTGCACCAGTCATGGCTGTATTCAAGTGTTGTGTGTGTATTGTGAGGAGGCGAGGGCAGAGTGCCAGTAAATGCTCCTTGTACCGAGTCGGTTGGGTCGCATGAACCGGCGCCGCAGAAGTCGTTCTCGGGGCTGCATGAGTAGCGACAGTGGACATTGCACGGGTTACACCGGCCCATGGCCCATTGTGTGTTTTGTGTATTATCCTTGTTTTCTACCGGCGATTCACAGTTGAGCACGGCGTACGAGTATACCGGCTGGAACTGGAACTGGAAGCGACAGGTGGTGATGGTGCCGCTGGCGGTGGCGAGGAGCACCAGGCTAGGATCCTCGTCAGAGTGCGAGACTGAGTAGCGCTGGACGCCGCGGCCAGGGTAGTTTGGCCACTGCATCGTTGCCTGGCCGTCGGCAGTAAAGTTCCATTGCGCGAGGCCATCTTCATAGTGGCTGGATACCTGGAGTGAGCGCCATGAGCCCAGCAGAGAGGGAGGCGCTCCCGCAATGCCCGGCTGGGAGTGGCTTACAGGGCTGGGCTCAGACTCGGGCTCGATCTTGGTCTCAGTCTCGGGCTTAGACGCTTTGCTGCCGGTCGCCGAGATGGCATCCGGAGAAAAGGCACAGCCCGCGTCCGACGCCTTGCAACGGAACATAAGAAAGTTGCCGCATCCGGGTGTGTCCATGGCGGCGTAGAAGCTCGCCGGCGCCGGCGCCCCGGTATGGTTACAGGCCAGAAAGGCCACCTCGAGCCCACCAATATCCGGCAGCCGCTGCACCCGGCAGTCCTCCAGGTGCTCGTCGCCGCATCGCAGTACCAGCTCCCCTGGTAATTGCGGCTCGTAGGTGCATGTCAGGGGGTATGGGCTGTCGGTGGTAACGGTCAAGACGTTATCAGTAAACGTCTGCGCGAACTCAAACTTGCCGGACCCGAGCTCTTCGGCGCCAAATGAGCGCCAGGTGCCCTCCCAGGGGGAGGTGTTGTCACTGCTCAGGGCCGGCATAGCAAATTCCAGCAGCGGGAAGCTCGCATTTCCACTGCTGCTACTATCACTCTTCTTCAGCGGCGCGTTGCTAGGGTCCAGCAACACGGTGCTGTCCAGTTGTGCCGGCGGACATATATCCCAGTGGTCGCCGCAAGCAAAGCACTGGTCAATGCAGTCGCCCGACATGCGCGGCACGCTGGCCACGTCTGTTTCTGTCCAGCCCACCGTCGCCAGATATGCGCATTGCACGCATCGGGTGCTAACTAACGGCTCCAGGTCCTGTAGCTGCTCTGCCAACGCGGCGTTTGCATTGTACTCGCGGGCTAGCACAAATGCCGTGCGGAAGTAGGCCTCCTGCGGGATCCGGAATGCCAGACCGTCAGCGCCGGGAATTACTGCACAGGTGCCATGCTTCATATACTCAGACAGGATGAAGCATTGCATTGTGTTGTGGAACTTTGCGTCCGTCGGCCAGAAGTAGCTCAGCAGGTCGCCAAAGGTCGTGAGGATCGACTCATCGAACTCCTCGCCATTGAGGCAGCCATAGGGCTGGTTCTTCTCGCCAGAGCCACCCGCCGAACTGGGCCATAGGCCATGCAGCGTGAATCTGGCCGAGTCCGGAGCAAAGTGGTTGTGCTGCAGCGCCAGCGAGTAGGCGTCGATGGGCAGTAGCCCGGATGACCGGTGCAGCGCATCACACAGCGGGAACGGAGGCGGCTTCTGCTGTAGCTCGCCGTGCTTGTCTAGGATGGTGCAGCCGTTCTTCCACTTGAGGTTGCATGTTTTGGCGTGGAAGTTGAGCGGATTGAATTGTCGCAGCGGGATCGGGTTATCGGAGCAGTCGTCCGACATGCCAAAGCACGAGGCGGCTACCATGCAGGCCAGGGCCAGCACCAGCACAAGTTGGGCGTGCCAAGTCATGTCTGCTTGACGACGTATACCGTTTATGGCGTTTGTATTTTATACCGCCGCTGTTGTGTCTTTTGTATTTCAACGGTGGATAGGATAGGAGCTTAAGGGCGGACATGTTGACTTTATATATATTCTATATACATCCAAGATCATACTCGCCTGGTGGCTTGCCCAATCGCAGACTCCATCCTTCTCAGCCATCGTGATATTTCTAAATAATGTCTTACTATCACCTCTGCCTAGAACTGCAATATGAGAGCTAATGGGTTGCTAGCGGACTGTAGCTGCTGCGGCTGGATCCGAAACTATCGGGAAGCGGCAGATGTGAGCGAGCTATGTGACGGGAAGGAATGGCCAGTGCTTAGTGGCGAGCTGAGACTAGGGTCAGATAACATATCATTGGAGGCAGAAACTCATATGGGTCGAGGTATCAGTGTATTAGAAGCAGAGGCCCAGCCACAAAGGCATCGAGACCCCGGGGGCCCCAATTGTGGCACAAGCCCCCGTCCACATGGTTAGGCGAAGGGTCTAGATGCATTCCAGCTGATTACTTGTGGTATAGATTTGAGCTCGAACGGATAGAATGTCTCAGTTGAAAGCAAACGAAAGTTCCGTTCACATGCTTCCACCATTATGCTCTCATCACCCCTCCTGCTTATGAAAAGGTCATATCCGAGCTTTAGGACCCCACTACGACGACAGGAATCATTACAAGCCTTATAGCTATTATAGTATCTAGTTAGATCTTTGCTAAATCGTTGCGTAGACGAGTACTTTTGATCGTAACTAGTGACGATTTTAGTCCGAAACGGCTTTTCACACAGGCCTCTTGGAGTGGCTGATTGGAATGTGACTAGAGCCACGGGTTCAGCCAAGTTTACCGCCCGCTAAACGTCCTTGCCGTTTCCGAGTGCGCGAATTCTAAGATATCCTTGGCCGGTCAACCGGCTTTGAAATGAATTCACATGTCGAAGGACCATATTGTAATCTTTAGTCTCTTTAGCACAACGCGGATCAGTGCTTGGAGTGCCTGTGCTGTTGATGTATGGCACTGGCCGTCATATCTATACGCTACGATGCGCCCAACACACGGCCCAGCTGCAGCGAATAGCTCTGCCGTGGCTGCCTGCAGCCTCATGATCTTTTCGTCCTCCCAACCTCTACGTACGAGCTTGACTTAAGCTCAGCTCTCGCCCAAAGGGGGGTCCAATGCTTCCCCTCAAGCCACAGCCGCCCCCTTTATACCGAACGTGATCTCTACGCGAAATGTGACTCCTTGAATACAGTTCCGATGGTGGACTCTGTTCAACTAAGGATCGATGTACAAACAAAGATCTCAAGTGCACTATACACTCGCACACATAGGGGCCTGATAATGAAGAGTTGACATTCACAGACTTTGAGAATAGTATTGGTGGCGGCAAGGATGGCTACAAGATGATCAAGTTCTATGCAGAACAAATGAAACGTTGATGGCATGCGATATGTCTGGATGGGTCCTTGTTGCATCGACAAATCAAACTCAGTCAAGCTAAACAATGCAATTAATTATATATTTGGTTGATACTACAAAGCAACCCACTACTACATGTACCTGTCGGGTGTCTTAGTTGCTGGCCGTGGGCACAAGCGAAAGAGAGAGGCATTGGAGCTGTGGGAACCGGCTTTTCGGACCCGTAGATGGTTCACGCAAGGCTAGACGCTCCAAGAGCTTCTCGCGCCAACATCAGTGGAGTTCTTCACACGGCAAGCTCAGCGGCTAGGCAACGAGACAACTTTAGCACTGTGTTAGCTTTGGGTTATGATGCTATGATGCGTTGAAAATCTGTTCTTATAGTTGCAGCCCGGCCGTCGATGGGTTAACTGAGCCCGAAGATCGAGACAACTTTAGAGCAACTAATCCGCGAACTAACATCAATAGCTACCGCAGCAGTTCTGGGAACTAAACTTTCGCAGTTCGACGTCAATGAGCGGTTCGAATGGACAGAGACATACCAGGCGATGGAGGAGGAAGATGATGCATACTGCCTACTCGACATTTTTGGTGTCTTGATGTCGCTTTTCTATGGCGAGGGGAATGAAAAGGCGGTCTAAAGGCTTAGAAAGGAAATTCACGAGCTCAGCCTAATTTCCCAAAACGGATTTTGGTGAACTTGAGTTGCGTCTCTGGGTTGTGTGGCATATTTGCCAGTTATCGTCGCGATAGTGCTGTTGAGGCGCGTCTATGCTACCCTGCACCAGTGATGGTTGAGCCCAGTGCTTTCCCGGGAATGACGTGACATAGAGAGGCGAGAGTGATAAAATGGAGTTTTAAGCTTCATGTTCTCATTTGAAAGCCTTTGCAATTTAAAGATTGTATTCAATGTCGTGGGAAATTGACCTAGGTGAGCCGTTTGAAAGACTGTGGAACCGGGCTGCAACACCGTTAGATTGCATATATAATCTCAAACTCACTGAGAAACACTATGTATGCTCAAGGCTATCATAGCTGAGATTCTCAGGCAGCACCTACGCTGCCGAGAGCACTTCGAAGATGGCTAATGAGGTTTTCACGATCGAGGATGAACTAATCGTGACCACTGCTGTTAAGGGCACTCATTCAGCATTTCCACCCCGGATAACATTCAGCACAGCCTGTCAAGTGAGTAAGAGAGAGAATCTTGTGGAGCACAACGGAAATCACCAATATCAATTACCCCTTGAGGCGTATCACGTCTTTCATATACTCGGTACCACTACGCGTATCGCGTCATACGAACCTATACGCGTATAACATCACCAGGTTCCCAAACCGACGCGCGGCTGAGCGCCCCTTGTCCCGGCTAAACACCCAATCAAACTCGTGACTTGCAAGGGAACGCGACCTTGGCTCCGTCACGTAAGACCAAAAAACCCGAGGAATCCGGTGCGGGGTTCGAAAGGATGACGCCAGCACTTTGACGGATCTTGTCCCTACTGGTTGGTGGCGACGAGTGTCAGCGTAACCAGTTTGAAGTGGAACATCTGATTCTTGGTTTCCTGTTATAAACGTTGCTTGCCTCACCGCTGTGAACCTGTCGACGTTATCGTGCTTCACTTGCAAGTCAGGTGACCGACTACATTGAACAACTTCCTCATTCAAGATGAGATTGGTACCAGCGCTTACGCTGGCTTCGGCCGTCTCGGCCATCGTCATCCCCCAGGCCTTGGACGAGTTCAACCACCTGAAGAACGACATCAAGCATACTCTTGAGGAACTGCCCTCCCGGATCGCCGGAACCGTCGACGAAGCAGTTGAGCATCTTTCCTCCGAAATCTCCAACGCCGTCCACAAGAAGCTTGAGGACCCAGAGGTCCACGGCCATCCCACCGAGGCACCCATCGACCTGCTTGGACTGGATCTGTCGGATTTGACTATTTGGGAGATTCTTGAGAAGAGCAACCAGACCAAGGAATTTTTCAAGCTGGTCGGGAAGCACGACAAGTTTGGCAAGCTTCTCAACAGCACCGAGACAAACTACACCCTCTTTGCGCCAATTGATGAGGCATTTGAGCACATCCCCCACGACCACAAGCCCAGCGATGAGTTTGTCGAGAGTGTGCTTAACTATCACCTCGGCGTTGGAGAGTACCCTGCTGGAAGGATTCTCTTCACCCATACTCTGCCAACTGCTCTGAATGAGCCATGGCTGGGTGGCAACCCCCAAAGACTCCGAACAAGCGTTGGCTTCAACGGTGTCAGGGTCAACCTTTATAGCAAGGTCGTCGTCGTCAACATTGTACGCATCATCCCACCCTCTTGATTATCTCTTCACTCACATATGCACAGAAAGCCAAGAACGGTTGGATCCATGCTGTCAACCGCATCCTCGTCCCTCCTCCCATGATCGGTCGGGTCATCAGCCTCTTCCCCGCCCAATTCTCAACTCTGCTGCTCGCTTACGACAAGACCGATTTCGTCAAGTTCGTGCACAATGTCAAGATGAACGGCAGCACCGTGTTTGCCCCCTCCAACAGCGCATGGGAGCGTCTTGGTCCCAAGGCCAATGGTGAGCACTGAAACTTGCGTAGAAAATTCAAGCTAACATTTGCAGCCTTCCTCTTCAACACCGAGACTGGCAAGAAGTATCTCACCGCTCTGCTCAAGTACCAGATCGTCCCCAACACCACCGTCTACAGCGACGAGATCTACTACGGCGATGAAGAAACCAAGGGCGAGCAGCCCAAGATCAACGGCAACTTCCACATCGAGCTCCCCACTCTCCTCGAAAAGAGCCTCGGAGTTGACATCCACACCTGGAAGAGCTGGACTTCCATCGTCGTCAACGGCAACGTCGCCGTCGACTTTGAAGACGGAATCGGCAAGAACGGCGTCATCCACGTCGTCCGCACCGTTCCCCTCCCACCCTGCCGAAAGCGTGGTCCACGAGTCACGCTCGGAGGAATCGACGTCGAGGAGCTGAAGGAGAGACTTCAACCTTATGTTGAGGGTGAGGAAGAGAGTGAGGAGTGGGATGAGGAGGAGCTCTGAAGGATTCTTTTGCATGGACAAGGGCCATCTGCAGTGATTGACGAGTTGGTTACACCATGAGTCATGTAAACGATAAGACAAGTCGGAAAAAGCCCGATCAGACGAGAATAGGCAACAGTTAGGTATTAAAAGATGTACGTTAGCGTCGCTGCTGTTGGTCTCCCCTTGCAACCTTGAGAGACCGAAAAAGATACAGGTAATTCTCCGTGAACCATTCCCAATATGATCTTAGGAGTATCCTTTAGGGCAAGGATACGTAGGATTCAACCCCAGTTGCTGAGGGATTATATCTATCTATCCCCGCAACCTTAACCCCGGCCGATCAAGCACCACATACCGGGACACAGTCACGTCAGCGCCAACAGACCAATAGTGGATCGTCTCTGCAACAACTACTATCCTCAGCGTAGGAATGATCAGATATCCGTTTCAGTATCAAGTGGGAGAAAATCGGACAACAGATGGGAGATGCAACGTTTCGCAGATGACGTCTTGGGATCTGTCCTGCTCGTGCTACTTGTGGTTCTATCTGCGTAGCATCAAAGCCAGACTTGGCAATAGCTGGCTGACGACATTTCCAACCTCGATGAGGACTTCTCCCTAACAGACATCATTGGCCGTCGATCGTAGCATCGCCTCCCCACGAAAATCTATTCACCTGTTCATGCTCCTCACTAACCCCGACATTATTTCCCGAAGAAGCAAATCTTGAGGCTGGGGCGGATAAAGGATAGATCATGGCATAGAAAATGGACACTCTAATGTTAAGCTTAAAAGAAGGTTATCTCCCGCTAGCAAAAATCCATCGACTGGCTTTGCAGAACGACCGAGTACCGAAATCAAGATGGCGGACATTTCCAAGGCTGTGGCAGACGAAAAGGTGCAGAGGGCAGACGACCCTTCTCCCGCCTCCGACTCTGACACCGTTGTTGCTGTTGTTCAAGAGAAGCCCAAGTCAACATGGAAGAGTTATCTCTGGGATACTTTTGACAAGTCGCCCGAGGAGAGAAGGTTTCTTTTCAAGTTGGATGCTGCGTTGATGACGTTGGCGTCGCTCGGTTACTTTATCAAGTATCTCGACCAGGTGAGACCACCGCGAACAAGCGACGAGTGAGAATACTGATTTGGCAGGTCAACATCAACAATGCCTTTGTATCGGGGATGAAGGAGGACCTGAACCTCCTAGGCAACGAACTCAACTATATGCAAACGTGCTGGACTGTCGGATACGTTCTAGGAGAGATCCCGAGGTGAGATAACATGCCCGTCTAAGCCTTAGGATGATATTGACAAAAGTAGTAACATGCTCCTCACTCGAATCCGACCCAGCCTGTGGATACCCTTTTGTGAGGTATGCTAAAAATAACCTCCCCACAACGGTCAACGGTCAACGGTCAACTAACAATAGATCAGGTCACTTGGTCTGTTTTGACGATCCTGCTTTGCAAATGCACCACTGCCAAGCAAATCTACGTTTTGCGTTTCTTTATTGGTCTCGCCGAAAGCACCTTCTATCCTGGTATGCATTGATCTCTACTTTCTTTTTGTGGCTCAGTTATCCCGTCAAGGGCGGGGCTTCAACACCAACACACCAACACACCAGCACATCATAGCATCTTTCTCAATGCTAACACGCCTCACAGGGATGCAGTACATTGTGGGCAGGTAATTTGAAGTCTAATTTAAGTAATGGAGTTGTTACTAATTATGCTCTTTATATTTTAATAGTTGGTATCGAAAAGACGAGCTAGCGAAGCGATCCTGTCTCTTCCACGCAATGGGAAACGTCGGATCCATGGTGTCTGGCTATCTGATGGCTGGGTCCCACAACCTCGACGGCGTCCACGGTTTCCACGGCTGGCAATGGCTGTTCATTACTAATACGATCGTGTCGTTGCCTATTGCCATCTCTGGCTTCTTCTTCTTGCCCGACTTGCCTGAGATTACAAGGGCTTTTTACTTTACGAAAGATGAGATCGCACTCGCCAAAAAGAGAATGCAACTGGAAGGACGAGCTGAGAGAGCGCCATACAACAAGGCCAAGTTTGTCAAGATCTTTTCGAGTTGGCATATATACGCTCTCACGTTGTTGTATATCCTCTTCAACAACGGAAACGGTGGAAGCTCGCAACCTGCGTTCCCCATCTGGCTGAAAGAACAAGGGTACACCATTCAAGAAGTCAACATCTACCCGACCATCGTCGAGGTGATTAGCATCGTCACTACCTTGATCTACGCTTGGACTTCAGACAGTCTGTTCCGCGGAGCGCGCTGGCCGGCGATCCTCTTCTCAGGTCTCGTCAAGATTATCGCCTATGCCGGCCTCACAGTATGGAACGTCCCAAACGCATTCACATGGGCATGCTTCATGCTCTGTGGCTTTGGAGGCGGTATTAGTGGTCTGACATTTGCTTGGGCGCACGAGATTTGCAGTGATGACAACGAAGAGAGAGCTCTTGTCACTGGTGCCATGAATGAGATGGCATATGTGTTTCAGGCTTGGCTGCCCTTGGTCATCTGGCAACAGGTCGAGGCACCGGTTTATCCAAAGGGATATCCTACCATGGTTGGCATGGCTGTGGCTCTTATTGGGACTGCTTTTGCGATTCGGTTTTTGCACAAGAAGGAACAGAGAGGACGACACGCATTGGCAGGCCCAGCTTAGAGTACTAGAAGATCGTGAGCTTGGGCCTTCATGTAATCTGTTAGGTGAAAGATAACTCAATGTTTTCTATCTACTCACCAACTCTGACCGGATCTGCGTCTTGAATGAAGTCAGTTTGGGATGACGGAGGCTCTAGCTCCTCTTGGAGCATAACAATTAGCTAAGAATGGATGATGATAAAGGTAAGAGCCTTAGAGCCTCTTTCCCTATTTTTGTTATACTCTGCTCACTATCTTTAGATGAGGGTATGCTAAATGGTTTCTTTTACTGTTCTCCTTATTCAGTGGCGTACTTATCTGACACACACATGATCAAAAAACTTGGAATACACTGGCTGATACGTGGTTTACACTTGGCATCATCGCGAAGGAATCCCTTCCCTTCCATCAAGCGTAGAACAACGGATTGTTTCTCGAGAAACCATTCAAACGAATACGAACCTCATATCAATTCGATCACGCCGCTGAGTCACCGTTGTTCAAGATATTGTGAACCGCCTACCCCGCATAGTTAACGCCTCTACGCCCTTGGACTGATCATCGCCGATTTCGGCCACAGGTTGACTTTTCCCGGATATCATCGCCAAATCGCTTCATTCTTCCTTTCTCCCATTGCATCCTTACCTCTCGACGCAATGGCTCCAAATTCCCAAGCCATCGGAGGTTATCTCTCATCCCTGTTCGGCCTCGCCGGCAGGGTTGCCGTCGTAACGGGAGGCAGCTCTGGAATTGGACGCGAAATGGCCATTGCTCTGGGCCGCGCTGGCTGTCGCCTCGTTCTTGTTGCTCGACGATCAGGGCCTTTGCAAGAAACCATCAACAAGCTGGCTGAATACCACGTTGAAGCGTCTTCCGTGACAGCAGACTTGGCGGACCAGGCGTCTCTGAAGGGCGCGATTGACACGATAACGTCGAGTGTTGGATTTCCGGACATCCTCGTCAATGCTGCCGGAGTAAACGACCGACCTCACATGAATGACCTCTCTCAAAAAGTCTGGGACAACACCATCGCCGCGAACCTCACAGCACCGTTCATCCTGGGTCAAGCATTCGGGCCAAAGATGGCATCGAAGGGATATGGACGCATCATCAACGTCATTAGTCAACAGAGCTTCCGTGCATACGGAAATAGCGGCGCATACGGTGCCTCCAAGGGAGGCCTTTTGTCTTTGACGCGGTCTCAGGCGGAGGCTTGGTCTCGACAAGGTGTCCTGTGCAACGCTGTTGCGCCGGGCGTGGTGGAAACACCTTTAACAGCACCTGTGTTTAGTGACGCCGCAAAGGTTGAGGCACATGCTGCTCGAACGATGATAGGACGGAACGGTATTCCCAAGGACTTTGCAGGAGTTGTTGTATACCTAGCCAGCGAGGCGAGTGCTGCAGTGACGGGACAGACTATCTTTGTGGATGGTGGATATTCAGCCACTTGATATGAGGGGGGCTTGGTTGGCATTCAGGTGAGGAAATAGAGAGACAGTAGTAGAAACTTACGGTGTTTCGCAGCATTGGGTTTTAATGTTGCCATATGTCTCTTTGTGTGTTTTACGAGGAGCATAGTGCGCTGGCTGATAATAACCACAGTTCCCCCTTTAATGAAATACCCTACTTCCTATAAGTTCTCATCGAATTGCCTTCTCTTGGACTTGGCTCAGGGAACATCCCTCACTGCCACCTTCAATGTCGCCACATGGACTTGTCGAGTAGATCAAGGTATCTATTCCGGCGACAGGACTAGAGCCCTCACCTCGATACTCTCACGTGGCTTACAGGTTGGCGAGGCCTTGGGCTTTTCGAAGGATGTGTGAGGGCAACCTTGTAGGGCAATCGTTAGTCAATCCCAAGCTTGGAGGTCATGCCGGTATCGAATTGACTCATACTTGGCCGCAACACTCTCTCGAGAGTCAAACATCTTGAAGAGGAGCACTTCGTCTCGGGTCTGTCTGTTGAGGTAGTGCCACCGGTACTCGGGGCTCTGGAGTGGGTAGAGCGATTCGCCCACGTAATACTTCCGCACATGATCTACTCTGAGGAGCATCTCCGGCGGGACGGTACTTCCGTCACAGAGCGCGAGGGGGTAGTTCTCGATAGGGTGGGTGATAGGGCGCCAGACACTGCGACGGTTAGCTATTGATGCTCTAATGGCGGCCTGAGCGAGGACAGACTTGATGATGCGGATTCTTTTGCCTTCAACGGCGCTGGGATCCTCGCCGTGGGCATTGATCGCGCGCTTCTTTGCGGCATACGGGCCCTGGTCTCGGGTCAAGTCAGTCATCGCGTGTCAGGACGCTGGGTCGTCAACTCACCTACATGCACCGCTTGAACGGGTTTCAAGCAGAGCATTGGGTCATTCAGATCAATACTGGAACCGAGTTTGGGACCAGGCAAGTCACTCGCGCGAAGCTACCCATGTGAGCCAAATCTGTCATTCCTGAGAGGTGGAAGGACGTACTGTCCAATCGAAGATGTGTACTTCGATGCCCGGCTCGACGGTCTTCAAAAGCGACTCGATGGCGGGGAGGTATTGGGTAGTAATAGTCTCCTTGTCGAACACGGTTGTTTGCAGAGGATGCTGCACCACCTGAAACCCGTTGTCATCGAGGTTAAAGAGCGATTCCTGGCCACGGTTTCAGCCACACCCGGCTTGACGTCAAAGTTGCTCTTTTCCAGACCTTGGGGGACCTCAGAGACGACTTCGTAGGGTTTCTACCGTTGGAAAAGATCTGAGTTTTGGATATAGTTCAGTTGAACAACTTCGTCTTCAGTGGATTGGAAACCGGGGTCTGCCAAGTTGGCAACTGATGGAGGCCTGCCATCTCTCATCCAACCCTGTGCGGAATAATTGCACTTTCAAGCCCGCATGATCCAGCCATCACCGCAAAATCGCAGGATAACTCGCTGATCAGATATCCGTGTTTCCTTGAGTAGGCAGGTAGGAGGGCAGGGACGTCAGGAAAAGTCCTTAGAGGATGCACCAGTTCCCCGCCTCGGGTGGGCTTGCCCTTCACGGCACAAAGCTCAGATTGGCTGCACTGTACTTGCGCGTGGGGGTTGAGGCTGAAATCAGCGCGAGCTTGATTTATGTTGCCGTGATTAAAAGGGGTTGTGTTGATGTAATAGCAAGCTTGCATGTCACAGTACACGTTGTAGAGTCATAGGTCAAGGAGATAGGAGAGCTCTTCAACTCAGATATTAGTGGTATTGAATCTGATCCTCATTCGATAGAAGTGTGGTGCCGGTGTTGCACACCAGGTCCACGTGAACATTGCCTATAGGTTGGCAATCATCGGCATCGCCGCTGAGCTTCGCCGCTGAGCTACTGAGAGCCAAGAGGAGGGCAGATGCTCCCCCATTTGAGCGGCCCCAGTCTTGTGCTGCTGTACTAGTCGGTACAGGGTCTCTCAAAGATTTGCAGGGGGTACGCTTCACAGGTCAGAAGCCTCCTTTTCAGCCGCGAAATTATCCTGCGCTGGCTGTCGTTCGAACAATTCGCCAAGGCCGGGGAGTGACGGTTCATGCCTCCACCACAACGCGTCAATTACATCCTTTTCTCCACTGGAACTACGGAAGTTTAAAATGTAGAAGTCTCCTCCGTACCCGTCGTACCGGGCTAGCTTGGCAGCCTCGTCATGAGTCAAGAACCAGAAGAAGCTGTCATCCTGGTATGTCGTCAAGTCGAAGGTGTCTGGCTTTCTCCCCATGAAGGACACGTAGAGTCTGCCTTCTCCGTCACGGCCAACATTAATGAAGAAATTTTGGACTTTGTTGAAGTAGCGCCCGACATAGCTGTCCAGAGGTCTAGATGGCTCCGTCCGCGATCGACCGTCAACAAGTTCCTTGTGAATGCAGTCCATCCTTTGCGCTCCCAAGCCTGCCGAGTCTTTCGCCAGCTTCGCGTAGTCGTGAACATTGTCAAGATTGTCGAGAAGGGCCTCTAGAATGACATCGTTGATGTACCTTGAGCCGGCATTCAACGAGAGGGCGTTCGTCAGCACCACGACAGCCTGCTTCGTCTCCGGGAAAAGAGTTGCATGAGTCTGGTACCCTGGGATGTCACCACTGTGCCAGATGGCAAGACGGGACGGGGCGCCGAGGCCCACCAAGGGGCTGAATTGGGGGTTTCCACGTGATGGGGCAAGGACTGACGGCAGTTGGGATCTTAGCCAACCGTACCCGTAGGAGTGCTCTCGGAGAAGTGGCATGGGCAGAATGTTCCAGCCTGTCCACATAGTTGGGAGCTCAGAGAAGGACACGGGTTGGTCCTCGGGTGTGCGGTTCTGTTCTGTGCCCAGCTCAATTTCTTTGGCAGCAGCATCCAGCAGAGCATTGTAAAAAATGAGAAGGTCAGAGACGCAGCTCCGAACACCACCAGCTGGGCCCATCAACACACCATCTCCTTGGAGGGCAGGCGAGATGCGGACCGGCGAAGCGTCGGCGGGGGGGGCGTAGGGCCTGGCTTCGTTTTCCATTTGTTCAGTCGGGTCGGTGAAGTAGGTTCTCTTCATGCCCAAGGGGCGAAGCAAGCGTTCGTGGAGGAATGCCGAGTAGGACGAGCCGGAAATCTTCTCGATGACATGCCCAAGAACCTCGTAGGCAAAGTTGTTGTAAACAAAAGAGCCACGGAAGGGCTGCTCTTGTGGGACATAGTTGAGAACTTTGATGGCATCGAAATGGTTGAGCAAGGGGACATTGTCTGAGCCCAGCCAGAGGGAGTCAAATGCCGACAAGCCGGTGTGATGGCAAAGAAGGTCCCCGATGGTTGTATGGCTGCTCAGATCTTGGGGATCTCTCTGAAACTCGGGCAAGATCTGGCTCAAAGGGTCGGTCCAGTTCAGGCGACCTTCTTGGACTAGCTGAGCGAGTAGAGTGGAAGTGAAGGCTTTGGTGAGGGAGCCGAGGACGAATGTGCTGTCGTTGTCGCAAGGGATTTGTTTCTCGACGTCGCAGAAGCCATAGGAGGCCTGATGAATGACTTGGCCATTGTCTATGACGCCAATGGCAACTCCTGGGATGCCCGACAGGCGACTAATCTCGTTGATGGTGGAAGAGAGGCTCGCAAAGACTGCACTGCTAGGAGACTTCATGGTGGATGTCATCGAGAGGTAGGGTCTGAGGACTTGTGTGGGCGAGATAGATGGGGGTGGTCTTTGTCTCTCACAGACAAAGGGAACGTGCGGACTTGAGGAGGTGGCTTTCGACCATCTGGAGTGCGCGAGAGGGGTTAGGTCAACGGCCAAACAAAGGAATCGGGGTAGATCGTGATAAGAAGACATTGGCCATTGTCGGGATGAAACTAACTCGTCACAGCTGGTCAGCGATTCAGCGCTGAAAACAACAATGACTCGGGCATATTTAGACGTCAGGTTGAGTGTGATTATCTACGCGAAAGTATTCAGGGTTAGACGCAGTAATGTTGCAGAGACGATAACCATATTTGTAGATAACGCAAAGTGAAGGAAATTAGAGGTCTTGATCTGTCTGATAAACGAGGAGCACCCGTCTCAATGAGCCTATCCGCCATGCTCTACCCAGTGTCACTCGCGATGCTCAGGTGTCGCCTCTATCCGCACCACGACCAACCACGTCGTTGCGTCAGCCAGATCAATGACGCCCGGCCCTTTAATCTCCAAATGGGCAATGTGCTCCCTCAAAGTACTCAACTGTCCCTCTGCACCTCCACTCTTATCCCCAGTAGATGCCTCCAGCACGGCCTTGACCGAGACACCAAGAACCTCGGAAAGCTGATCAGTGTTGACTAGGCTTGCGTGTAGTCCTCTCTTGTTGAACCAGTCTTTGTTGGCGACGGTGACATACGCCACCGCTCGCTCAGCTGGTGTCTTGGGCTTCCTCGTCACAGCCGCAATTGTATGCGCTGGGAGGCTCACGACTGTACCAACCGCGCCAAGAGCAGCCCCGACGGGAATGGAAATGGCGCCGCCGATGACACCAAAGGCTGCCCCAATGATGCTGCCTCTCTTTGCATTATCGCCAATGCTCTTTCCAACACTCTTAGTGTGTGAAACGACGTTCTTGACAAAGCCTGTCGGGCGCTCGCCGACCTTCTTGGCAATGTCCCCAGCGTGATTGATTGCACGCTCTCCAACCTTGGCCGTCAAAAAAGCAGACATTGTGTCCAGGAAAGAAGACCAAGCTTCCTGCGTGATGCCATGGCTCAGCAGAGCGGGAGGGTAGGCATTGAGGAACGGAGCAGTGGGAGTGGGGGACTCCTGTGGGATTGCGATAGGTGGCTGCTTGCTGGAAGACGCCTCTGAATAAGTGGGCAAGGGACCATCTTCGGGGAAATTGAAGGGCGCGTCTGCAGTTGGGCGCATTGAGGCCTTGAAGGATTCGCCAGTAGCTGCGGGCGGGGAGGCAATCTCCCTAGCTGACGATGGTTCGCCTGTCTCATAGGCAGGAGGAGCATCGCCCTCCTCCGGGGCTTTGTTGGCAAGATGCTCTCTCTCTTTCTCAGACGACATTTTTAATGGGAAAATATTAAAGGGAGATGATGATGAATCTGGGTTCAGCCATGGAGTGGGATCTTAAGGAATGCGATGAGCTCGTCAGGTGACTCGACTCGGCCACAGCGTCATCGGCTAACCGGCACCAGAGAGTAAGACGACGACTACCTAATCGGTTCATTCCAGCCAAGAGGGTTATAAATGTTGAGGGATATTTCATTTCCACGTATAATATTTATCTGATTCTTATATTGGGGGCAAAAAAGGTCATGCTTGGTTTGTGATGGCATCGATTGTCACTGCAAGTGACATTCAGGATCCATTGTTACTTACCCACCTGGACCAAAACAACCAAAGATGAGAACGACTTCATAGACAATTATACTCAAAGTCTTGCATCGAAAAGGAACCCCTGCTTCGTCTTCGATGTTTGGGCTCAGTTAATACATCGAGGGCCGGGCTGCAACTATAACTACTTCGTCTTCGTCTTCGTTTCGCAGATAACCCCCATCACTAATGAACCAAGACTCCTTCTCTGGTGTTCCGTCATCTCTCCTAGCCCAAAGGTCCTGCGCATGACTACAAGTCTTGAAATGCTGCAAGAAACTTGCCCTTGAAAAAATCTGATCCCGGTGCACCCTATGACAGGCTGACCTAAGTATATGGGGTGGTGTATTTTCCTCAATGTAGAATTGTATCGCCTTGCAGTTGACACCACGCTCAGCCTCTCCCCTCTGCGCGTTGTACCAGGGATACATGGCAGCTGAGCCGAACCGGTTGCTCTCCCAGTCTCTCAGCCTGTATACAGCCTTCTCAATCGATTTTTCCGGTACATCGAGTGACCTGAGTATTGTGATGACTTGACGCGTCGGCATGAGCTGCTCCCCAAGGCGGACAGCTCTGAAATGCTGCAGACAATATTTTCCACGCACAGTATGAAGAACTGGCCCCAGTTGGCTCTGGTGATATTCAGTCAATCCCTCAACCGGGAGAAACTGGTTGACTAAACTGGAAACAATTGTCATACGCAACTCGGGTGCCTCTGTGAGGCAGGGAAGACAGCATCGCGTGCAGTCGGGAAGAAACAGGAAGCATCCAAAACCACCGCAGAGCTTGCAACTGTATGTCACAAGAGGACGGTACAGGTCCTTGATGGTGAAAAATTCGGCTAGTTTTGTTCGCAAAAGCGCCACAAGGCCCTCGAGTCCATGGGCGGAAACGAGCTTGTATTCGTGAAGAAGTGTTGCAACCACCCGGGCATGTCTATTGACACGCCGGAACTGAAGATAGGATACAACATCCAGTTGGAGAAGGATGATGACGAGGAGTTCTGGGGTAAGGAGATCCAAGACACCGAGTCTAAACGGAGGACCATGTTTAAAAGGAGACGGGTTGTTGAAATGATTTCGGAGTAATGGCGCGATGACCTGCATCTTATGTGGCCGTGTGCGGACAACGGCCCGAGCAAAGTCGGTTCGATGGTATGAGCAGACGCGAAGAACATCTTGCCTATATTCTTCGATGCCTATCTCGGAAGACATTTTCTGGTCGTTGCGAGTGAATTGGTGACATCCGGCAGATCAGATCATAAGAAGGGTGAGTCAGCGACTTTCAATGTCTGTCAGCCCTATCATCGGAATATCACTAAATCCGGAGGCGCCATAAGGCGTATGTTCGATGGACTTCTCGGGCAGATACAACATGGCCAACTAGGAGTAACAATAAAAAACGATTTGGACTTAGAGGGTCTTTACGGGAACTAAAGCCTAGCGTTGTAAAATCTAGATGTGGTATTAAGAGTGGGCTAGATGCCACCCTAGAGCTTCGGTTCAAGATCGCAAGCGAACGCTGCCATTGTGGTTAGCATTACCTTTCTACGGAGAGAGCAAGCCCATTAGAACTCATTGGAAACAAACCAGCCCTTCCTTCACCTTTGTTTTCTAACTACCGTGTAGGTGGGAATTTCGAATCTCAGCGAGGTGCACATGTAAACTCATGAAGAGTGGACAGATAGTTAATTAAGCCAGCTTCTTAGCCCACCCTCGTTAACTAAGCTCATGTGCTGCACAGCATATGCAAGCCACCCTAGCGAAAAGCGGTAAGCGGCACCAAATCGGCCCACTTTATACCCAACCAGCCCTGCTCCCTCTGTCAGGCCCATCTTAGACTCTTCCCACTTCAGTTTGATGCTCATGACTATTTGCGATACCTCACGCCGCCCGCGCAAACCGCCTTCATTTGAAGGGAGACTACCAAGGACCTGAATTCTGATAGCACTCTGTTCTACGAGCTAAATATGGTGCGTTTATACTCAGACGAATGACTCGTTTGCCTAATTACCTTCCAGTCTCTCGAAGTAAGGGAGCTCACCAAGGACGACGCGTTTTTCGAAGACGCCAGGCGAACTCCCTACGTTATTGATGGCGCAGGGCAAACGGTTTACTGGAAGGGTTGCTTCGTCCTGGTCTACAAGAGCAACGACACCACCAAGGCAGTGGATAAAAAGAATCACGGCGATGGAGAGGCCACGGTAGAAAAGGGAACTACCCTGTGGTTTGGGTCCCGGGGTGGCCGAGTGAAGCAGGATTAAACATGACCAAACGGGAAAAGTAAATTGACCTTAGATGCGTGTTCAAGTTTCAGATTCTAGCTCAAACAATTTTATTGCGATTCGTGTCCCCTCCACCAAGGAAAGATATAGATAGACATGAGCGCTTGCCTCTTGCTGGTGTGAAATGATCATAGATACACTACCTGTGTGAGCGCGAGCTCGCCTCACGTCATCCTGATACCCGGGGGTTTTTTGAATTGCGTCAAAGATGTCTTGCCCAAATGCTTGCAGCAGCATTCCTCTTCGGAATCCTTGGAGGGTAAACTGGGGGCATGGTACAATCTTGGTACCGTCTTGCCAAGCCAAGTATCGCAAACCCTCCTTGGCTTCCACCCGACGCCCAAACCACTCCATGGCGAAATGTTGTATCCTATCCTGTGTTATCTCCAAGGCCATCTGGCAGACCTGCGTCTCGTTGGACGACTCGCGAGGAAATGACATGGACAAAGCAGCTATCGCCTTGTTTTCGATGTTTGGCTGAGGAAGTATTCCGATCGAGTTTGACAGATCTTCTGGGAACAATTTGCGAACTGATTCAAGAGAGGCATTGACAAGAATGTCGTCGTGGCGAAAGAAGAAGTTATCGAGCGTGAAATGGGCCGTTGCTTGCTCCCTTACCGAGGGAGCCCGAATCGGACTCAACGTGACAGTTGGTTCTGGTGCTGGCGAGGGTGATACGGAATCATCGTCGGTCACACCTTGACTTCGTTAGAGGGGGAAAGCATTTCATCCAAGGCACGTACGTTGCCTCTTGCTCCGGTGCTGCCCGGGCAGCATCTTCTGTGTCCGACCTAGTTCAAGCTTCCTGTGCAGGGCTTTGATCCTTCTCTTGTCGCGTTCTGGAAGACGCTCAATCACCTCCGTGGCTAGTCGTCTTTGATAATCTGCGGTGCTATCGTTTAGGCGGGAAACGAGGTGCTTGCAGGCTGCCTTGCCCGCAAAGGAGGTTTGGTGGTCGGCAGCATGCTTGAGGAGGGAATAACCAAACCAGGCTGCGAATCCGCCCTGCTCGTAGAAGGTCCTGGCTGCGGAGCCATGTTGGTCCTGCTTGACATGTTCCAGCCACGCTGGAAGGGCGGTTGGCGCCCGTTGGTAAGTCTTGATTCGGTCGAGGATAAGGGCGGCCTCCGGGGATGGAAGCGCCTCATCACCAGGCGGTCCTGGAGAGTCGTTGGGGGCCGTCGGAGACGAGGGATGCTGATCTTCCATTTTCTAAAGTCGAACGAGATGGCGGAGGAGGGAGGGTGGGCTAAGAGATCAATATGGTGAAGAACATGGTCGTAAAAATGGGAGGGTGGGCTAAGGCAAGAAATTAGGTGGCACATGGCAGGAGCGGGGGAGGTGGGCTAAGAAAGAGGGGAAAGCGAGGGTTGGTTAAGGAAGAAGATGGTGGGTGGGCTAAGGGATTATGTAGGAACATGGCCTGAGAAATGTAGAAGGGTGGGCTAAGATAATGCCCACGCTGCGCACAGCACGGCAAGGGAAAAGGATGGGTGGCGGGCCTCAGTTAGTGAGCGTGACTAGGTACCTGGCCAGGTATTCTGTGCCTCTTTGGAAAAGTACCAACGGAACTCCATTCTCAGCCTTTCTCTCTTTCACCAAACGAGACGACACTCCACGTATGATTGGGATATGCACCTCGGACTTGTGTGCTGTTATGCGTGGGGTCCTAACTAAAGCCTGAGTAACTCTGCTTTGCAAGACTCGAACCCTTTGTTGTATGATTCTAAACATGTGTATACAGCGTTTAGTTTGCGTGAAGAAATGCTTGACAAGTGTTGCAGAACAATTTCAATTGCAATTGTCTCCTAAACGGCGAAAGGAACCGGAAAAGAGAGAACGTTTTCATGGCATACTTGCTATTCATCGACTGTGTCAAATGCAGCCCCCATGTCGAAACTGCACTTCTGCCTTTGGTCCTTCATGGGTAGTCGGCAGACACCTCCTGCGAGTTATTCCCTCTCGTTGGTGCACCTTGCTTCTGGCTGCATACCGCACACCAAGCGTGAAGGGCAAAGAGACAACATGAGAATATCTAAAAGCATAAATACCTCCAACATGTTGTCTTGGTCGAGCTGTATCAGTCTCATCATCAATCTACTCTACTCAAGCACAAGAGACTTCATCCTCTATCAAACTCTGCCTTCCTCGACTCTCAAGTCTCCATTCAAGAACCTCCCTTCTCAAATTATGTCCATCATCAACACTCCCCGTCTGGACCGCCTCTGGCAAGAGGCCCAGATTCACCCAGAGTGGGCAACTACGCGACTGTGGGAGTACATCTTCAACCACATCATCTTCAAGGATGAAAAATGGATCGTCTCTTCTCAGCAGCCTGCAACTCGCCAAGAAGGCGAGCTGAGGAGAGTCGACCTCGTTGTTGAGAAGATGAACAGTGACGCAACCAAGGTCGAAACTGTCTTGTTCGTCGAGGCTAAGCGTGCAAGCGCTTCACGCACCGATATCCAGGACGCTGAACACCAGGCCTTCACCGCCGCCTGCGCCTACTGCATCGATACCGGGGTAAAGAATATCTGGGCCATGACATGCATCGGTAGTGCGGCGAGACTGTGGGCATTCAAAAACGGCCACATGTACCTGACCCCGTTCGTGCCTGAAGGCGAGGGATTATCAGAGAAAAGTGAATATCTGGAGATAGCCGCCAATGGCCAGACAATCACGGCTGGCCTGGAATACATCAAGAGACACACTACGCCTCCAGAAAGTCTCTTCCCAAAAGAGCTGTCGCCTGGGCCTTCCGACCCGATGTTCCCCCAGGACTTGGGCAGTACCGAAGCCATGCAATTGGACGAGTATGACGCACGGGACTACGAATCCAATCCCAACCCAGGCGGCGCAAGCGGAATGGATTTCGGAGAGGTTTGGGACCCTTCTGCTCACGACAGAACTCAGCCGTTCGGCGTCGCAGAAGAACTCGAACATGGCAGGTTCCTCTCGCCTGAAGAAGAAGGGTTCACGGCCCCGATGAATCAGGAAGAAACAGAGGAATTGCCCGATGATGATTTTGCCCAGCAGCGGGAGGAAACGAGCAGGGAAATAGAGGTGAAAGTGACAAGGGTGAAACACACTCTGAGCTCAGACGAGTTCATCTTCAAAAATAGGAAGAGACAACAGGTGAAGACAAACAAGAATGACTGGACTGCAAAGACGCGAGAGGGGCGAACCGTGTGGGTTTACAAGCATGGCAAGAAGTCGGTCTATTGGACAAAGAAGCTTGATTAATGGTCGTATTGTTTTCAGGCCTGTAACAGGGGGCGGGTTGGGGGTCATATGCTTCCTTCGCTTAGTTTTCAACAACCAAGAATGATGAAACGTGTGTAAACCAGAACTTTACAACCCCCCGGAGAGGTCGACACTTCCATCCTTGATCACCTTGTTTATGGCGAAGGCTGTGCTCGAACTCCGCTTCTACCCTGTAAAACAAATGACCCCTGTCATTTTCATAAGACTCGACCCGAAAGCAAACTTTGACTGGCCGAACAACAGTCTTGGTTGCATCTACATGAATACGACATTGCCCGAGAGTACGACACCCGCCGTTTTCATATTGAAGCATGATACCTCTACAAAACCCGGTAGTCTCGTCGTAGAAGGTTCTTGCCGAAGAAACGCTCTCTAGGGGTGCCGATGAGAAGAACGAGTCCTCGCCGATTGGGCTAGGACCAGGCCTCTGCAAGGGGAAACGGCTGGGAAGTCCCGAGTATGCGGCGGATTTGGAATATGCTCCGAAGAACGGGATGGGATGGTTTTCCCTCGGCTCGCCATGGATCAAGGTGATGGGGGCTTGTTTTGCCAGACAACGGTCTGTGAAGCCGCTTCGTATGTGCGTTCCAAGGATGACATCACCACTCAGTTGTGTTCGAGCAAGGATGTTATATCCGATGTCCGGGTGCTCGCGGGTCCCAAGAACGAGAAGTCGATCGCCTTTCGGCATTGGTAAATGAATCCAGACCAAGTACCGTCGCGGCCTGTTTGAGAAACGATCAAAGGCCCATTGAGCAGATGATTCTTCCGAGTGGTGGACATGAATGCCTTTGATCAAGCCCGATGAAAAGAAGAAGGTGATACCCCGTATGTTATCCATTTCAACAGCAGTGAAGCGCTTCCAGGTGGAGAGCCGAGCTGGACGAGCCGCACAGGAGGACAAGCTGGGGGGGACCGGCGTGTTCCATATTGGAAGTGAGGGTATCCTGGAAGGGAGGTGAAGACGCAGGAGACCGTTCTTGCAAATAAAATAAGCGATAGGTATGAAGATGCATGAAGAATTTCATAAATACCTGAAGCTGCGCGGTGACATCCGAAACAAGTTCTCGGCGCACGACGACGAACAAAGAGTGATCATAACACTCCCTTGAGTACCTTTGTTCGCAGGATATGCTGTCAATCTTGCTTATCCCGCCCGAGTTGATGGTCAATCTGATTGCCGGAGGTAGTGAATCGGGTGTGTCATGTTCGAGACTGCCGTTGCGTTCCCAGGAGAGAATGCGGCTCAACGACATTGTAACAAGAGGTTTCAGTTCAGTGCTCGACACACGGTTCGCTAATAGAAGTGCCGAGATACACCTCCAGAACAATGAATAGTGCGAGTAGCCTCGGATCATTTCGAGCAGCTCCATCGGCAGTTTGCACAATAATGGAAGCCCTGCAAGCTGTGCTGTTCTCTTCAACATGTGCATATCGATGCCCCGGTTGGCCAGGTGAATGGGCAGCGTTCCTCGCCATGGTTTTTTCCATGCAGCAAATGTCCAAAGCCGAGATAATACATCCGTGTCCTCGACATAGCAGTTTGCTTTGAAAATCTCACAGCAGTCGCAGTGTATCGGTATGAATTCGGGCGAAGCAGCGCATCCCTTGCACCCTGGGTAGCGGCATAGTAAATAGCCGTTGGCTCTAGTCCTTGTATAGCCCGGCTGTGGGAAGGGAAATGGCCGGGTATGACCGCGGTAGGACGTTGAATCATTGTCGCCAATCACTGCGAAAGAATGTCAACATGGAAGCGAGAGCCAGCGACCGAGGCTTCGTACAGGCTATGACCCTTTCATGCCTTAATATCACGTCATCACAAATACCGCATTGAGGAAAAAGCCCAAGATGCCCACGGTAATCGTCGTCGGCCATTGTTGAAGTGGTGTTGAGAAGGGAAGAGTGAAGTTGAGGTGTGGTGGCGCTGAGTTAGGCATCTGTATGCAATTTCGGTTGAGAGTTTTTCCGAATTCCCCTTGGCTGAAGTTCATCAAGGATGCAAAATGGTGGCCGAGCAAAACACAAAAAGTAACATCTAGCAGTTAGAAAAAAATCGAGAGTGCATACTCTTCATGCTACTGAGTTCTATGTAGGCATTACATGTCAGCCTCGTCACAAACCGGGGCCCGGGCCGAGCACTATAGGAGCTAACCCCTGCTTGGGTCTTCAAGGAATGAACCGTTCTTGCGTATCTCTAGAGAGTGTTTCACCGACCCTCTGGTCTTCGATCGACGACACCTACTTCAGGCATGACTGTGCCAGGTCTTTTCTATGCATCTTCGATGTAACCCGTACAACGCCATCGTGGGAGTATTCCATCTTGGATCTGACTTGACCCGACCACCACTGCGTACCAGGGTTTGGGGAAGCGTCGCAACTAACCATGCGGGTCATGCAATGGGCCAGCCAGCCTCTCAATGGGTTCTGCCGGGTAATGCTCGTTGGTAATCATCCTTCACCAAGTCGACAGTGATGCCCAGGAGGTCCCAATTATCCACGCAGCTTGTCTTGTTCGTCTCCAAGACCTGGAAGACTTGAAGGGCTTTCGTCCGAGCACTACGTTTGGACCCATCTTCCTGTTCCATCGAGGTCTGACTTCACGCCCCATGAGTCTTCCAGATGGGCTGATTCTTGAGAGCGTTGATGATCTTCCGCAAATGGACAGTGGTGAGAAGGGGCTCAGAGAGCAGTAGGACGTTTCGAGGATCTCGTGGGACCGCGGAAACTGCATTGGCAGACGAGTTTGGGCGGAAGAGATGTTCTGCTCCTTCAAGAGGCATACCGTGATGCATGGGAAGCCCCATGGACCAGTGACTAACTCCCCTGGCCCGGTGCACCAACACGCTTGAGCGATGCTAGCCGACGGTCTGCTTTCTGGAACCAGGCAGTAACCATAAAGGAACTGAGGAGATCATCCGATGGAGAGTTGGGTTGAGAGCGGGCAGCTCTATCCCCTATAGGATTCAATCGTATAAATGGCAGAAGGCTTAACCTAACCTAATAATGAGCAAATAAAGGAATAATACAAGCAAATAATAATAGAAATATTGGAATATCATTTGATTATTTCTTCAAATTATCTTACACTCTTTGGGTAAATTTTTAATCTTGCGCTGATCATTAAGGTTAGAGGTTGAGGTGGTGGTGCTAGACGGTTCTAAGTTAACAAAACTGCCGAGCCGCGATTTCTTGCACTGCACTGGACGTTGTCAAAACGCTAATGGCAAGAATGTGGTGCTATCATTACGTGGATAATATTGTAGACATTAAAACAAAGTAGGCTATTGCTTTCCGTATGAACCAGTGCCGTTAACTAATGCCGTTGAGATTGCCCTGTGCCAGATGGCAAGACACTCGCAGCCAAGCTAAGCCCAGGAGAAATGTTCCAAATGCAAAAGGATATCTCCAGTGCCTCTCTTTGCTATACTCAACTGCTCACGCGCCACGGCAGCCGAAACATCGCTCTGCATGCTTAGAGGGCCACATACAAAGACGCCGAGGGACTGACCGGCACCACTCGACCTGGCCTCTTCTTCCACCTTGACTGCTAAGTCGGGCCTTGATTTGAGATGTTGGACGCTTTGCTCGGGGCTTGGTGCCGTCTTTTGACCATCATCTGCGTCTGATGTCAATATGACTGGGGTAGGCGTCGACTTAGACGCCTTTTCTGGGTGATCCAGTGCCTTTGAGAATTGCCCCGTCTGTGTCGGGCTTGCTTTGTTTGCCTCCGGGCCTGTGTAGTAGATTTCGACTTGAAGTCCGTATGTTGGTACATCTGACCGCGACTTCAGCAGATCGTGGACCTCCTCCTCGAACCATGTGGTAGTCGAAATGTCTCGAGTGACCAAGATGACTCTTAGTGATGGTTCAGAATATTCATCTGAGGAAGACCCGGCTTGGAGTCGACGGTCTAGATACGCCGAGATGAAGGGTAGGATCCAGCCCGCACCTGATCCACCGGCAATAACGAGCATGCGCTGGCTATCATCAATAGCCCTAACATCAACACCACCATATGGGCCGTCTAACAAGACTCTCATTTTGGTGTTTGTGTGCAACTCGGTGTAATGCGCCAGCCTGGCCGTGAACCCCCCGCGAGGTCGAATGAGGAAGACCAGCTCGGATTCGTCGAATCCGCTTCTGGCATCCCTGGGCGGTAGAGAACAGGCCGTAAACGGGTGAAGGGTTAAGGCGTGGGGGCCGAGGCCCATGAAACGGACGAAATAATGCTGGGCGACTGTCCAGGTTGCTTTGGTAGGAACAGAAACGCGGATAAAGCCGTTGGAAGCAATAGTTAGCTCGGCGTGATGGCTTATACCGTGTTCGAAGTAGATGCGTGCCTGTCGATATAGCCACGACAGAGAAAACAGAGCCCCGGTAGCAGCAAAGTAGTCCCTGTCAATGGTCAGTCATCAGTCCTGTGCTATGCTGAGGGTCGTGGCAACATACCATGCAGTTAGTGTGGCGTCGCAGTGGAAGAACAAGAACAACACAAACACGAGTGCAGCGACAAAGTGTGCGAACTTGAACCACTCATAGCATAGACTCCTGTGCGGATACGTTAGTCAATAACTTTGCCATTGTGGCTAGAGGTAGCTTTGACATCGCCTACCTCAGCGGCCCCCACGAGGCAAAGGTCAACCAGGCCTGGGCAATAAGGGCGACTACACCTGTCCAGTAGAAGACGGTGGTCTTCCACATGTCGACCATCATCCCCTTGTCGATGTTGTAAATGATAAATGGAAAGGTGTGGATGAGGGAGAGCACGAAGAAGGCGTAGGATATCCAACGATGGCATGTCTGAAGCCGCTCATGTGAGATGCCAGTTACCAAAGTAATAAAGTTGGTCTTGGCTGACGTCGCTATCACAAAGGGCAGGCAGGCCAGAGCCATCCAGCCTGTTCTGGTCGCGATGGGAGGCGAGGACCCGTAGTCGACGTCGTCCGTGTTTGGCCAATAGTACGGTTTTGGACCGAGCGTCATGGCAAAGAAGAAGATGGTACCGACTCCTGCTAGTGCTAGCAGACCGATGGGTGCCGAGTTCCAATCGAGGGCCGGGATTCTGAAGGTTTTATACGACAGGTATCGATATAGCGCCTTGGTCTTGGTCACAGACCTCGTTTGCTGGACTCTCCGAGGGGTCAAGCTTCCTGCAATGTAGACCAGGGCGAAGACAATGATGCTTGCCAGGAAGAAGGCGACGGTAGGTAGGGCATAGCGGTGATCGGCTTCATACCTAGAAGACATGTCAGTCGAGGCTCATATGTGGTCAGTTTGGGATTCTGCGGCTCACCAGAATCTCCAATAGCCCTCCTGGTAGTCACATTGCGATGTCTCGTTGAAAGCACATTCGTACTCGCGGTAGTTGCCGGAGAATACCAAGGGCTTGTCCAGCCATGGTGTTGCACGGCGCTGAATCTGCTTGTCCATGTCGACTTGGCCTCTACAGCTGGTGGTAGTCGAGTGAACGGTACCACTCCCTTGTCGAAGAAGACCGGGCACCTGTGTATGAGGTGCAGTGTACGGACGTCTCCCTCTTGTGTATTTATTCCCAGCCAACTCTACGCCGGACCCGCCCACCGGACTCTACTCATGTGCGCTAGGCTAGTCCGGTCCCTCTTGGCTAGATAGCCGAACCGGTGTTGCATGCTGACCGGCTGCGCATGTTTGCGCACGTTTTCCCGGGTCTTGAGTGGTTTCGATACACGCGACGATCCAGAATAATCACCACAAGTTCGAGAATCCATGCGAACCACGGCTAGACGGCAAGAATTTACATGGGCATCACCAATGATAAACTGCTCTTGCGAGTTGCAAGCCCACCTCGCGTGTAGCAGCTGCGAATGACCTGTTGCGTGAAAAATGCTGACAAGCGAGGCTGACGCCCCAGTAAACACGCAATTAATACCCATGCCCGTAACTCCATGCCCCTGAGGCCAAAGGTCTATCACTCTGCCACCGCTCGACTGACATGGAGAACAAATTTCTATTATACTGCCTGCTCGACTGAGAATCTTAAGCGCCGACAGCCAAAACTCTATTACTCTACCATCGTTCGACTGAGAATCTTCAACGCCCAACACTGCCTGTGACCATTTCAAGATGGACATGTCGACAATGACAATGGCAATGGGCACAGCCATGTCCGACATGCCAACAGCCACCTCGACCTCTACTCCTATGTCCACGTCGATGGACAGCATGGACATGTCGCATTCCTCATCTATGATGCCCGCCAGCGACATGGCCATGGTCTTCTTCCGTGCCATCACAACACCGCTCTTCTCTTCGGCCTGGGCTCCCTCTAGTGATGGTACCTATGCTGGCACCTGCATCTTCCTGATCGCCTTCGCTGTCATCCACCAGATACTCAACGCCGTCAAGCGCACAATTTTTAGTACTACCGATGCAGTTGTGCTGCCGAGGGATTCGTATAACCCCAACATGTCAGTGACAGAACGCCTGCGAGAACAATTAGCCAACCATCCTTTCCGCATGGCCACCGAGACGAGCCGCGCCCTGTTCCAAGTCTTGACCAGTGGAATTGGTTATCTGCTGTATGTCAGGTCCTCCAAGGACAATTCGAAGCTGTACGATCCCGTCTGGTGCTAACTATAGTCAATAGTATGATCGCCGTCATGACAATGAACGTCGGGTACTTTCTTTCAGTCCTGGGAGGCATTTTTCTGGGGACTTTGATTGCTGGTCGCTTCGGATCTGATGGTGCTTCTGGACACTGAGTCGAGGTGACGGCGGTGGTATGGTTTTGTTGACAAGGTCTGAAGTGCACTAAAGGTGTGAAACTTGCCAGGATAGCTCAGTTCCTTGTGTTTTCGTACGACAGGGTGTGGGTTATGATGACAAAGGGAACTCATATTCATGCCTGATGACGCCTATACTCATACAATCCGTAACTTATGTGAAATCATACTCATGCTCGCCTATCTCACTCCACCTCGAGCAGCTCGTGAATCAACCTCGCTGCCCTTTCCATACACTCACAGAACCTTTGAGTTCTATCCCTCCCAGTAACGATCGAAAACTTGGCCGAAGCAGCATCAACAACATACTGAACCCACACTGAATCAGGATACCTCAGGACCATGCCAAACTCGCCACCTCCAGAACCTCCGAGATCTGTAGACCCTGTCATCAGCCAGTGGGGCCGCATGCTAATATATGTCGGGTCGTTGTAGATTTCAGGCATCGCCTCGTCGTCTTTGAGAACGGTTTGCATGGCCGACATTGTTCGTTCGTAGCCTTTGCCTTGTTGCACGCGGTTGACATTGGCGACGTGGCTTCTTGCAGCGGCGAATAGCAACGTCTGTCGCTTCCGAGCTTCGATGGAAGTATTATCGGCTGCATCGCAAAAGGCTTTGAGCTCGGCTGTGTATGTCTGGATAATCTCTGGACGACCCTTGTGCGCGTGACCCATGGAGATGGCACTCCAGCAAGGATGGTTCTCACCCAGGAAGTACTTGGATGCCAGCTGGACCATTGTCTCAAAGATTCCTTTGGCGGGCACTTTGTGAAGTTGCAGGTACTCTTGACCAAAGTTGACACATTCCCAGGTCGTGAAGCCGATGATGGAGGTTTCTTGCAGATATCGAGCTCGAACATGGGCGATACGCTCATCAATCGTCGGAGAAGATTGACAAGTGTACTCTTCCAACTTGATCTCATCCACACCGTTGCGCGAATCAAGCGTATCTGGGCCATCGCGTCGATAAGTGAGGATAGCCGAGCTGGTGGCGTCGTAAAGCTCTCTCACCGTCATGCCATCGATCATGCTGTGTTCAACAACAGATCCAGACATGCCGTTGGAGCAGACGACAAACTTGAGACCCTTGTCGAACCAGCGGTTGAAGCCATCATTGAGCTGCCAGCACTTCATTCGCTCGAAGGGAGTGGTGGGTGTGCCGTCATCGAGACTGACGACAAACGCTGCACCTTCAACCATGTCGAGATACCGCTTGTTATCCGGGCTCAGGTTCTTGAAAGCTTGGCGCATCTACTCGATGTCAGTATAATGAAGACGCTTTGTCGAGACCGCGACTTACCTCTGCCCACGAGTCTCGTTCATCTGCTGTTAAAATTCCAACCCAGGAATCATCATTCACCTTATCCAAGATGGCTTGAAAGGTGGACTCCAGTTTCGCAAACGGAACATGCCGTCCCTGATCATATGTCAGGTTGACCTTGAACAAGTGCCCGCGTCTAAGCACCGCAATGTAATTCTCGGACGGCATCTTGCGCATCTCATCAATTCCCGGAAGAGCCTCCCTGAAAGAGTTGAAGAGCCACTCATGGAGGTACATGCATTGGGGCCGTCCTCCGATGACTGTTGGCTCCAATCTGCCGCTCTCGAGCTTCTGCTTAAACTCAAGTGCCGCGAGAGAGATGATGGCCGCCCTCTCTGCTTGTCTATGGGGGAACCTGCTGAGCGTATCACTGCCGGCAAAGGTGCTGAACGGCGACACAGGGTAGTTGCGGCCTGTGAAGATGGTTTCAAGATATGGCTTGAAGAGCCAGTTGTCGATGGTCGGGTCATTGAAACGGTCCATGAGTCTGGCATGGAGTTTTCTGCCCATGCCGCCGGGATCGCTAAGCCTCTGTAGCAAAGTAACCATGTGCTCAAGCTCTGGCGGAGTGAGGAGATGCCTGATGGCTCCGAAGTAGAGATCTAGAACAGAGTCAAGATCGAGCAGAGGAAGGATGGGCAGTTCTTCGGATGCAGCACAACAGTCAAAGCCGTGCTTTGGCCGACCTCTTACTTGCACCACCTCTTGACTCTTGGTAGACTTCTGAACTGGAACTTCCCCATTGCTGGTCGGCCCGTTGGTGGCGGTACCATTGGCGGTTGATCCGTTGGTGGTTGATCCGTTAGTGGTTGGAGCATCGCTAACTGCCTTGGTAGTATCGTCTGTCTTGATCTTGTCGATGCGCTTGGACTTTTGCAAGATGCTGTCAGCCAGGGCAATGATGCTTGTAGCATCCAGAACCTGAGACGTCTGCAACGGCGCTTCAAATTCTCTCCCGATCCAGTTCTTAATCTCAATGGCGACGAGTGAGTCAATACCCAGATCAGGAAGTGGAACGTCCAACCTCATGTCATCCGGGCCGATGGCAATGAGTTCTCTGATCTTTGTAGTCACGGCTTCGGAGACTACGTCGTGAGTCTCCTGGGGAGTGTTGGCAGCTGCGAGCTTCTGGCTGAGAGTCACTGGCGCCTGTTGTGCCTCATCCTCGGTTGATGCAGTGGCATTCTCTGTCTTAAGGATATCGGTGAAGAATGGGTAATTGTATGTGCCGTCGTTGGGGATCGCGTTGGGGTCAATGCCGACAATCAACTGGGAATACCCATCACGAGGGGCTTGCGAGCCAACCGCGTATTCAATCATGGAGATGACCTCATCGAACTCCACAATAGTTGCTCCCTGCCTGAAGAGCATCTGTCTTCGCTCTGGACCAGTAGTATCAGCGTCAGAACCGCCAATCAGCGCAGGCATGATTGTCGTGAAATGCGTCCTGGATCCAGCAGCGAGTTGTTGTCTTGCAAAGCCTTCTTCGAAAGAGTTGCCCGAGTTGTAGTGAGCCTGTCCCTTGGTTCCTAGGATTGCTGCAGCTGAGGATACCATGACAAAAAAGTCAAGGTCATCACCGGCAAAGGCGGAATGGAGGTTGAGGGTTCCAATGCGCTTTGGACGAACTGCCCCGTTGAACAGTTGGGCATCCATGTTCTCTAATGTGCCATCCTGTCCATAAGTTAGCTTAATACTTGTGCAGAAAAAGGGTGTTGGAACAAACCTGGAAGACTGTGGCTGACTGAATGACGCCCCTGACGGGAGGTAGATTCTCCATACACCACTCCGCCACCTCTTGGACCTTGTCTCCATCAGTGATATCGCAAGCCGGGAGATAGAGCTTGGCACCGAGAGCCTCGAGCTCTTTCTTCAAAGCTTCTCGGTGGCCTGAGTGCCTCGTTGCACCACTCCTGCTCAAGGCTACAATGTGCTTTGCACCGTGAGATGCCAGCAGAGGACAAATCTTCAACCCGAGGTTTCCCAGACCTCCAGCAATTACATAAGTCGCGTCTGAAGAAAGCTTCAAGGGCGCTGGTCGAGGGACTGTGGCCTTGACTAGAGCTCCGTCATCAGCCTCCAAGACGATCTTGCCCTGGGTCTTGGAGTGCAGTCGGAAAGCGTCCTCAATGTCCGAAATGGGCATCTTGATGATTGGAGAAACAAGTCTCAGGCGACCATTGCTGAAAAGTTCCATGACCTTGTCCAGGACCTCTCCAATGACTTGCCGTCGACGATGGACGAGAAGCCCCAAGTTGAGCGACACAAAAACAGCGTTCTTGTCGGACGTCGTCATCGTCAAGGGACTGTCACCGTATCCAATGTCAATAAATGTACCGAAACTCGCGAGGCATGCCCAACTGTCTTCGAACCTGGAGCCTCCAAGGGAGTTGAGGATCACGTCGACGCCCTTTCCGGCTGTCTGGCGGATGACGCCTTCTCTGAAGGTGGAAAATTGGCTCGAGAATATGTGACTTTCTGGAATGTGGAGTTCGTCACTGATCAATTTCCTCCCGGCAGCGTCTTTGACGGTGGCAAAGATCTCGGCGCCCATCATCTGCGACATCATGATGGCAGCTTGACCAGTTGGTTCATCTGCAGCGTGGATCAGAACACTCTGGCCAGTCTCAAGTCTTGCAGCGTTGGAGAGCGCATGGTGCGCGGTGACGAAAGCCATTGGGAGTGAGGCAGCTTCAGAAAACGTCGCTGAAACCGGCATCTTGCGCATAAGAGTCGGGTTTGGAATGCTCAGAGTACTCGCAAATGGAGCCGTGCCTCCGAGACCAAACACTCTGTCTCCGACCTCCCAATGCTCACGAAGGCCAGTTCCGACAGCAGTGATTATACCAGCCCACTCTGAGACTGCTGTTGCTTTGACTTGCGCGCTGACATGGCCGAGAGCTGTGTCCACGTCGGTTGAGTTCACCCCATAAGCTTTGGCTGCGACCTCAACGTCGAATGGGCCCAAGATTCCACGGGGCTCATCATCGGTGAACCGAACGCTACTCAGCAGCCCAGGTGTTACAATCTCCATCCTCAGAGGTCTCTCTGGTGAGAAGAACAGTGTGGTGTCTGTCGTGGTCTCGTCTGTCTTGCTTTGAATCCATCGCTGATAGTTCGTCGCCGCCCTCACTCGGGGAACGAGCACTCTGCCATCGCTGTACTCATACTCTAGCTCGCAGGTAGAACCTCTCTGCTGATGGAAAGAAATGTCCATGATACGAAGCATGACACGCAAAATCTCCAAGTTCGCAGGAGAGTCTTGCTTCACGACTAGCGAAACCAGCTTCAACGATTCGTTCTCTTTGCGTGCAACCCGCGTGAAGCCAGTCACCATGTTCATGTCGGCCCCCGAGGAGGAGTTTGCGCCATCTGCTCTCATGCTGACCCAGAGAACAGACTTGGCCTTGAGGGCAAGTGTCTTGAGCTCTGAGAATCTTGCCGAGGACGGGTTGGCCAAGAGTGGATCGGATCCCTCGTCGAGAACCACGTAAAGAGACTCGGGGACGATTTTGTGCTGAGTGAGACCAGAAATGGATGAGCCCATACCATTAGCGGCTAGGATCGATGAAAATTGGCCGGCAAAGTTCAGGAGTTTCCCTTCGGTGTTGGTGATGATATTGACTGGCATTCTCTTGTGGGCTGTAGAAGCAAGGGCAGTTGAGATGATGCAGTAACAGGACTGGCCAACCCTGTCAAACGTCTTTGTCGCTGGTTCAAGACCGCTGAAGCTGTTGGCCGCAAGGACCTGCTCCCACTCAGCTGGTGAAGGGAGTGGCAGTTGTTCGGAGTATTGACCTAAGAATTCTGTAAGCTCACGCGTGTAGGGTAGGAGAAAAGAGACTCACTCGACCACATGCTTTCCATTATACCAAAAATGAGGTCGTATGTTGGCGATGGGTCCCTCATCCCAAGGAGAACGAGAGAGCCGCCAGGGACCAAAAGCTTGCGTGCATTCTGGACAGCCTCATCAAGTGAGTTGGCGATGCGCAGCACGTTGTTAACAATGACCACATCGTAAGAGTCGGGCCCAAATCCCTGGCTCAGCGGATCTAGGTTGATGTCGAGAGCCTTGAAGTTGACGCCCTCATGCTGAGCAAAGGAAGACTTCAGTTGCTGTAAAAGCGAAAGCGACACATCGGTCAACTCATAAGATTGTATGTTCCGCCCTTCGAACGCTTGGAGGATATCACCGGTAAGGAAACCAGTGCTCGATCCGATCTCCAAAATCTTCATGCGAGGTCTTTTAATCGCATAAGACGAAAGATACTGGCTGACGTGGACGGCAAGTTTCCGTCCCGTCTCGATGTTTTCTTGAACTTGACCGAGTCTGCCCTTTTCGAGGAGCAGTGGCAAAGGATCCATTTCTCCTTTGACGATGGAGATCAAATTCGGGCCGATTGTGGAGAGGAGATCTCCCTCCACACTTAGCTTCGGGAGCGACGAGAGGATCTCGATAGCCGAGATCATGGAGACGTCGGCTAGTAGCATCTTGCTCGCTTGCGACGAGTTGTAATCCTGCATCCATTTGAAGAGATGCTTTCGGTAACCTGTCAAGGCTGATGGATCAAATGCCTCATCATCTCGAGAAATGTTGTTGATGCACGATCTGATGTGCAGAGCTGCACCTCGTGCGAGGATGACATGGTGATCGACAGCTGCGTTTCCAGGTGGTGTCGTAGGTCTCAGTGATGGTCCTGAGAAGAAATCGGCGTCTGTCTCCCAGTCGACGTGAAGAACAGTATTTCGCTCATGATGCTCATCAGGCGACTTTTGCCCCTCTCCGATCACCACAGTCTCAAGGTTAGACATACTCACAACTGGCTCCGCCCGTAGATCTGTCTCGCCCTTTTCAAGGACGGCAATCTTGGCTCCAGTGGCAAGCAAGCCAACCACGACCTCGAGTTCTCGTCCAGCTTGGTTTGGAACAGTCGGTGAAATAATGATCTCTCGGATGGAAGTGGGCATGACAGATCCCGACTTGTGATAGATGGCTTGGAGGGGTAAAAAGACATGCGTGATTGCGTCCAAAGTGGTTGGATGAATGAGGTGACGCTGCATGAACTGACCAGGCATGTGACTTTGGACATCCGGGACACGGACCGTTGCGACCGCTTCATGATCACCGAGGTTCAAATGGACAATGTCAGCAAATGTTGGACCGTAGACATTTCCGTTTCGCTCGAGGTTGGAGTAGATGGTATCATGGTCGACCTCGTTCTTGCAAGATTCGCGAGTGTTTTGCACCCACTGGGCCCTCATATCCGAAGCGATGTCCTCCTCTCGGGTTCCCTCGACTTCGTTTTCTTGGGAGCCGTACTCAGCCGTGATTAGACCTCGGCAGTGCTCAGACCACTGTCCTTCTGCGGAAAGTGCCGCAACAACAAACTCACGCCAGCTTTCGGGACCTCGGCGAAGAATGATTTGGACTTCAACAGTCTCCGGGCTATCCGGGATCACGAGGGCCTTGATGAAGCGGACATTCTGCAGTCTGATGTGACTGACCTTGTCGGCTTTCTTGCTATCCTCAGCAAGTTGCCATACTGCTTCAATGGCCATGCAGACATAGCCTGATCCTGGAAAGATCTTGAAACCGTCAATAACGTGGTCGGCGAGCCATGGCTGTCGATCAACGCTGAGAATTTGTCGCCAGGTAGGATCAATCGAGTTGCCGCTGATGACACGCAGGCCCAAAATGTCATGATACGGATGCTGACGCAGCCGATACTCCTTGCTGAGTCGAGATTCATGCCAGTACTTGGCGGAATGATCCCAGCAATAAGTTGGGAGATCCGTAATGACTTTTGCGGGGAGTGCTGGCGATCCGAGAAAGTTGGCAGTGTCGACATTGATAGGGTAGCCAAGTTCAAACACCTTTCCGACCGCAGAAAGGACGGACTGGCGGGCATCCTGAAGACGAACCAAAGCTGATGTGTACTCGTAGTCAAAGTTGGCAAGGTTCAGAGCCTTGAGGGTTTGTCCAAACGGGCCCTTGAGGGCCGCATGAGGACCAATCTCAATGAAGACGGGATTCATAATGCCTGAATTCTCTTGGCGGAGGCACCGGCAGAGACTCTCGAGAGCTTCATTGAATCGAACTTGCGATACGAGGTTCTTGACCCAGTATTCGGAGCCGAATCCGAACGTTTTTTCCATCATGGTGACGGAGGAAAAGAAGCGGACTCCCCTCGATGAGAGGGTGGTCCCGCGAACTAACGGAGGTTAGCGATGAAAGTTTTGAGGTTATTGGCTAACTCACCTTCACCAAGTGCGTCTAGGTATCTGGGGGCCACGGTCCTCATGTGGTGGCTATGGTAGGCAGTGTCAACTTTGAGAAGCCGGTTGAAAACAGAAGCCTTTTCGAGGAGTTGCTGCACATCCTCAACTGCTTCCTTATCGCCAGTCAAGGTCGTGCTGACTGGGCTGTTGATACATGCGACCGATACGATTCCACGCTGCAAGCGAATGTCAGAGAGTTTAAGCAAAATTTCAGTGTTAGACTTACCGAGTAGGGAACCTGTTGAATGTAAGGCAAGATTGAAGCCTCGCCAAGACCAGCCGCAAGCATGGCACCTCGGGTAGGAATCATCTCATGACACCAAGAAGCAATCTGGCTTCTACAAAATGAGACAGTCAGAGCTTCCTCGTGCGTCAAAGCCCCAGCCGAGTAGGCCGCTGCAATCTCTCCACTTGAGTGGCCGACGACAGCCTCTGGTAAGACGCCAAGATGCTTCATAAGGTCGACAAGGGCGACCTGAATTGCGGTGCTGGCTGGCTGCGCATATTCGCTCTTGTCGATCTGTGTAGACGCCTTGTCTCGCTGGAGTTCCTCGACCAGACTCCATGTCAGGCCAAGAGACTTCAAAATCTCATCAGACTTGAAGATGGAGTCTCGAAAGACCGATGGACTGGCGGCCTGCAAGAGCTCGCGACCCATAGCAAACCATTGAGCGCCTTGGCCAGTAAAGAGGAAGACAACCGGTGGGTGTCGCGAAGATCTCGTCAACGACAGGCGTTCCAAAGACGAAGCCAAATCTTTGGCTGATGAGGCAACGTAGCTGGCTCTCCAAGTCATGAGACTTCTGCGGCTTGCCAGGGTATGGGCGAGATCGCCGAGATGGAGCGTCTCCTGACGCGAGCTCACCCATTTCTGAAATTCGCCGAGGTTCAAACGCAGACAGTCTTTAGACTTGGCCGAAAAGACAAAGAGTCGAGGGGGCTCCATGCGCTTCTCCAAGTGGTTGATGCCGTTGGCATGAGATATCCCATTAGTTCGAGGAGAGGCGTCCAAGGCCTCGAGGATAACGTGAGCGTTTGTTCCACCAAAACCAAAATTTTGCACGGACGCTCTGCGGACAGCATTTGATGGCCACGGCTGTAGCTGCTGGGGTATCTAAAAGAGACCATCATGAGCGCATGTCATTACGCTTGGTGATGGTTTGGACATACCTTGATTCCATTCTTTTCAATATCCCGCAAGCTTTTCTTCAAGTTGACCAAGCTCGGCACAGAAGGGATATACCCCTTCTCCAAGATCAAAGCAGTCTTGATGACTGCGGCAATCCCGCTAGTACACTCAAGATGTCCCATGTTTGCCTTGACGCTGCCAACGTAGAGCTCAGAGTTCTTGTTGGGACAAAACACCTTTTGAATGGCGCCAAGTTCAATCTTGTCGCCAGCAATCGTCCCAGTACCATGAGCCTCCACGTAGGCCGTCTCTGTTGGGTCAAGGCCTGCTTGACGGTAGACCGCTCTTGTGAGCATCTCTTGAGATTCCGCGCTTGGGTATGTGATGCCGTTTGTCTTGCCGTCTTGGTTGACACCAGTGTTGCGGATCACAGCACGGATGGGGTCGCCGTCCTGAAGAGCATCATCGAGACGCTTCAGAACAAGAGTAGCAACACCTTCTCCTCGGCCATAGCCAGAGCCACGCTCGTCAAAAGAGTAACTCTTGCCGTCGTCATTAAGCATACTACTCTTGTCAGACAACGCTTCGACATGCATTAAAAGTGACTTACTTAAGAAAGCTCATTCCAAACATAAACTCCGGAGACAGAATGAGATTAGTCCCTCCAACAAGGGCGATTTTTGATTCTCGATTTCGAAAACCCTGACAAGCCTGGTGAAGTGCCACCAGACCTCCAGAGCACGCCGTATCCAAGGAAAGTGAGGGCCCCTTCAGGTCAAAGAGGTATGAAATGCGGTTGGCCACAATGGCCTTGTGAGTTCCGGTTACATGGTACTTGGCCAGGTTGTGTGTGTCCTTCATCATCATCGTTTCCCAGTCTTGACTGAAAGTCGCGACGTAAACAGCCGTGTCAGATCCACGGATGCTCTCAAGTGGGATACCAGCATTCTCCAGAGCCTCATATGAAGTCTCGAGAAGGATACGCTGTTGTGGATCAATGGCTTTGGCTTCATTGGGGGAAACACCAAAGAACTTGGCATCCCAAGCACCAATGTCTTGTTGGATAAAGTGACCACCACGTTGGTTGTGGCCCTCTTGGGAATCTGAGTAAGGGTGGTGAAAGGACTCCCAGTTCCAACGATCTGGAGGCACATCTTGCCAGGCTGTGCGGTCGTTGGAGAGGAGGTCCCAGAGCTTTGAGGGGTTGTCTGCACCTCCGGGTAGTCTGCAGCCCATGCCAATAATGGCAATGGGGATAGGGGTTTGTGGAAAAGCAGAGGGCATTTTGAATAGATTGAAAATTTGCAGTGATGAGGTGAGGATGGACGTGCTTAAGCCTAAGATATCTGAAGTATGGATTTCGACGTTATATATCCAAGCAAGACCTGGTGGTCCCCGAGTTTGTTCTCTCCTCTCCCATCCTTCATCTCAAGAGGCCATATCTCCAACCTCAAGCACGTCGCAAAGCAGCCTATCAAATCCTTAGCCCAGATATCGTGAGAACACCATGTCTTGAGCCATCCGGTGGCGCAATTCACCAAGGCGCCGCTAATCTCTAATGTGGCCAGTTCCTCACCTCCATCATGCCTGTTCATGGATCTTGGGCGGTTCTCTATCAGCTAGCCCTGCACATGTTAGGAAGTTGATTGTGATATCTCGGCGGATACTGAAAACAGCAGACGCAAAATGATCAGATATGCAGCTGTGCCTTTGTGTAACTGTTAGATATGGCGACAGCTTCAGGGGGAGACTTCACGATGCAGCGGTTAAAAGTGCTGTAGAGTGATAGTTGAAAGTTTCAACGTACGAGCCACTGCAGTGATTTTCTTTCTCGGATTGCTATGACGAAGCAAACGCCTCAACTACGATCCAAGCCCAAAGTCTAGACGAGGTCCTGGCTGCACGAAACCCCTGAAGTAGAAGTTCAACTGCGGCGTAGTTGAGGCAGGGAAACTCTTGGGCTTCTAGAGGACGCACTTATGTAGTGGCAGGGTGAACTATCCGTCGGATCCGAATTGTTCTGATAATAGTTGCCTGACGACTCAGGCCCTGTCCTTTCACCAGTTACCACTTCGGGACACCCGTTGCGTTACATGTGAAGCCATAACCAACTCTGCTAGGCCAGTAAACGAGCAAATCCCCCCACAACCCGGTCTCTATCTAGCATCAACCAAGAGGCAACCCGGTAGTTGGAGCGGGTAGCGGGTAGATAGTATGATGCGGATAGATGGGCGGGATCGACGCCCGTCCGCGGCTCTGCAAGCTGCAATCTTCAGCTGGGATGCGAATCCCACGAATAACAGGCCTTTCGGTTATCCAGGGTGGAAGGCGGGACAGTCTGGCCGTCGATCCGATGCGAGGTCACATTTTTCGTACCGTCTTCGGATTCAAGGGATCTTTCCCCGAACCCCTTGCTCTTGATCTCCTGATTGAGGTCACACACTCTTTTGAGATTACGCAACCTTGATTCCTTCTGTGAAAAGCTGCAGACGACTGAAAGCTGGGGTAAGACATTCCCGACAGTTTTCGAGATGGAGGTGTAAGGCTGATCGTCATCATCTTTCGCCATCCACGCAAGTGCGAGCCATCATTTGCAACGTCGATAGTAAGCGCAAATGCCCAATAAAGTGTTATTCCACGCTGGTGCCTTGCCAAGCCCACAATGTTTCACTCCCTCGTGACGAGCCATCGCTTATTGATGACCCGAATGTCAAACTGTTCAACGTTATCCGGCCAGTCTACGCTGGAGGAACATCTGGGACTTATACGTATTGCGCTTCGTCTGATTACTTATCAGCCTAACCGAGCTGACGAGTGCGAGTGCGAACGCGTCAATGGCCTGACATTGCAGCCGCGTGCCCCAGATCTCAAAGGGCGCGTGGGGCTTTATTGACACATTGACTCTTTTAGCGCTCGTATAATTAAGCATAATCTTCCATTTTTCGCGACAGCGTCTTTCTCTGGCGGTCAACTTCACCGCGAAAATGCAGGTCCCGCAGCCAGCGTCGCCCGCTACGCCAGCGGAGAATAGGAACCCTCAACAGTCAGTGATATCAACAGTGAATTTGAAACTTACTTACTATTCCTAGGAGCCTCGAAAACCCTTCAGTTGAACCAACGATGAATACAGATCTAGGCTCAGGGGAAAAGTCTCCACCAGCAGACGTGGAACCTGCGCGTCAACCAGCACTCTTACCAGACGAGGGATCTGAAGACTCGGAAAGCGACAAGTATCTTCATGGAATGCCTCTGATTCTCATGGCCCTATCTTTGATGATTGGTGTCTTGACAGTTGCCTTGGATAACAGCATCATCTGTAGGCAACCTATTCTGCATCTTTCTCTTTGGCTAACATCCAAAAGCTACTGCTATCCCAAAGATGACAAGCGAGTTTAACAGTCTCAGCGACGTCCGTAAGTTTTGAACATCGAACTGCACTACAAATACTGACGACTCAAGCTTGGTATGGCACCATTTATCTCCTAGCCCAAATGTCCTTCCAACCGACCTTCGGCAAGATGTATACCTTTTTCAACCTGAAATGGATATATCTCGGCGCCGGAGTACTTTTCGAAGTCGGTTCCATCATCTGTGCGGCGGCCCCAAACTCGGCAACTTTCATCCTTGGTCGCGCCGTGGCGGGATTTGGAGCTTCAGGACTTTACTGTGGTTCCATGATCATCATAACGCAAATCGTGGAGATGCGAAAACGACCGCTGTTTCTCGGTATTATCAGTAGCATGTTTGGCGTTGCTTCTGTTATTGGGCCTGCACTGGGAGGCGTCTTTACTCATTCAGAGCGTCTTACATGGAGATTCTGCTTCTGGATCAATCTACGTATGTTATCAGCAAGGTATTATCTGTAGACTCAACAACTAACCGCTTGATAGCACTCGGCGGCCTGACGGGGGCAATCATCTGCTTCTACTACCCGTCCACGCTTGGAGGGGCTGTCAACAAGGACCGCCCACTGAAGCAAAAGATTTTGGGTCTAGGCCTCAAGAGCGCTGTCATTCTCACGGCGACTCTGGTATGCTTATTCCTCGCTCTTCAATGGGGTGGCACCGTCTATCCCTGGCGAGACTCTCGCGTCTGGGGCTGCCTCCTCGGGTTTGGGTTCCTCTTAATATTGTTCAGCTACATACAAGTCCGGCAAAAGGAAGAGTATGAGACTTCGCCCCCATACTCGGTGCTTGGCTAACATCCACAGTGCCTTGATTCCTCTCCGTATTCTATCTCAGCGATCTGTCTTACTGGGCTGTCTCTTTTCCTGCTTGCTCCAAGGCGCAATGATGACACAAGCTTACCACTTGCCCTTCTACTTTCAAGCTGTAAAGGGCGACGACCCTCAAGAATCCGGTATCAATATTCTCCCTCACGGTGTCACAGTCTCCATCGCCACGCTGATCAGCGGTACCGCTATGACCCTTTCAGGCTACTACGTGCCATTTATGTGGTTCGGTGCAGCTCTCTTTACCACCGGCGGGGGTCTTTTATACACACTGTCCCAATCAAGTCCAATTGGGCGTTGGTTCGGATTTCAGCTCATGGCTGGTGCTGGCTATGGAACGACAGTGCAGATTCCGATATTCGCCATCCAGGTCGTGCTCAGCACCGCCGATATCCCTCTGGGAACAACCATGGTCATAATTGCACAGAGTTTCGGAGGAGCAGTTGGTCTTGCCATCGCCCAGAATGTTTTCCAGAACTATCTGAGCCAGGAGCTCAATAAGATCCAAGGCATAGATGTGGCAGCCGTTGTGGCAGCTGGAGGAGTAGAGCTTGAGAAGGTTGTGCGGAGCGGCTCACTTGCTATGGTCAGGAACGCTTTCCAGGTGGCTATTGCCAATGCATTCCTCGTTGCTGTTGGTCTCGGAGGTGTTGCGTTCTTGGTCAGTCTTGGCATGGAGAGGAAGCGGATCAACAAGTCGAAGAGTAACTAAGGGATATTGCGCAAGTTCACTCACAATATAGCAATATGACTTATAGTAATCGTACCTAAGAGCACGCTATATCTTTCTTAAACTCACTATTCTACAAAAGCGCTGATTGTGTAACCAATTCACATTGAGCTGCCGCTGCCTGCTCATAAAGGTTGTGGACGAACCGCCAGTGTTGGGCCTCGCCAATAACTCCGCCCGAAGTGAAATTGGCTTCGTTGAATACCAATAATGATAGTGTTGGTGCGATCCAAATGCGAGAGCCGAGATTAGACAGACTCTCATCATTAACGCGGCACAGTACTTCTCCTTGAACACTTAGCCCGGAGGTACCAGTATCGCGCTTTATAAATATTGCCATCAAGTTGCATCTTCATAACCAATGCTCTCTCGAATGAACGCATTTTGGAATCTATTTCTCAATACCATCCTACACCACATACGACAGCAATCTCAATTTTCTCCATCGACGACAGATTTATTCGTCTGCAACAGGACGATGTGCTAGCTGAGCTAGAAATTATGATGACTCCCCAGAAGATCTGAGATCGCACTTTTGAGGCCATTCACTTCACCACCTAGTAGGATTATATTAAGGTAGCAACACCAGCTTTCAGATTGATACTAGCAGTGTTTGCATGTAAATGTCAGACGATCTTAAACAATATGCTTACCAACCACGATGTTCAATGTCATTGATACCAAAGGTGTAGTAATCGCCATTGTATCCTTGACTTGATTTAGTCCTGTCCTTCTCAGGTACTGATTTGGTTCGAATTCTGAACTCTGTGTATCAGAGCCTCCAGGGCCAATGGGCAATGGCCCGACATCAGGGATCAACTCTTAAGCGGCCACAGTTTTGCTTTATATGCTTCTTATCTGCGAGTATGCATCCCTAACATCGGATGAACAACACCTATCGGAGAAATCACCATTGAACAGGGTATGGTCTATCTTGGTCGTCCGTCCAAATATTGCTTACCCTGCAGGAGAAGTAAGATCTGGGTAAGGGAACCCCTTCATGAGGGAGCATTTCTGGCCGCTCTCCTGGCCACGGCCTCCGCCTCTGGACACCTGCAAGCGGAGATTATAAATTACTAGAGGGAAGACATAAGAATCTTTCCAGGACATAATCCTAGACTTTAGATTCTTGCCAACCTCTAGTCCAATGATCACCGCCAACGCCAATATATTGCGCTCTCAGAAATAGATGTTTGTACTGGTTAAAACAGTTTAGGTTTCCATCCGAGCAAAGCACTTCGACTAGGACGAATAGGCACAACAAGAGTCTTTCTTTGCATAAATTCACAGATGAAGCAATCTGTCTTATAACTCTAGCTCTCTTCTTTCATTCCCATATCGTCATGTCTCATAATAGGCGCTTTGGATTGTGCAAATCTCTCCACCATTGTCAGCTTTCATCTCGCCACTCCCGTCAGAACTGCTGCTCCTCCTATCTCAATTCCATCACCATCCTCACCCGGTCCACCAAGATCAACCCAGTCCTGAAACTCTTCAACTTCCGTGTACATCTCAGATGTCTTGTTATACCCCTCCATCGACTCGGGAGTCCCAAGTCGTATGTCATAGTGGTCCTCCCTGGAATACCCCCGTGCTGCCGACGTCCCAGTGCGCGAGTCCGTTCTCGAATCATTGGTCTTCCATCGGGGAAACTGATGTTTGAGAATCTGCAGCGTATCCTTCTTCATCTGCTCGATGATGCCTTCAGCCACTTCCTCGCGGCGATTCACGGCCTCGACTCCGTCATCCTCGTAGACTTTGGGGAGCTGCCACTTCATGTATAGGTTCATGTGTGGTGCTTGGAGCTGGAAGTTGCTGTTGTTTTGGTCCTGGAAATAGTAGTGGCAGAGACAGCACGTGGGCTTGCTGGTGCCGATGAACATGGAGTTGTTCCAGAAGTCGACCGGCTGCGTCTTGTTCTGCTGGACCAGGTGGGAGTGAAGATAAACCTCGCAGTGGATCCTGGACCTGAAGCTAAAGGATGACAGTTGCTCGCGAACCACTTCGTCCAGGCGATAGCGTTGCAGATCGGCAACGTAGGCATCGTATTCAGATGCGTCGAGGTCGGAAAAGGCGGCACGAACGACTTCAGCTGGCGAAGTCAGTGATCCGGGGAGATTCACGTGTCCTAGGCCCGGTGAGGGGAGGTAGTCGACAGTGAAGTTCTGGAAAAGGCCGGGCCATTCCACGGGGGCGTCGGATATGATCTCGGACGCTCGTCGATATGACTGCAGGCGGCCGAGGTAGTGGCGAAGTTCACACCAAGAGCGGGATTGAGCAGGGTTGCCCTCGTTGGAATATTTCTCGATCGTCTGCTCGGTGGCTGAGTCCGTTTTACTTTGATGTATGGCCTTGATGAGGATTTCGCAGTCACGGAGAACTGGAATTGTACCCGCCTTGTTAGCATGCAGGTGCCAAACGGAGGAGATTGAGCAAGGCTGACATTTGTTCTTAGCAGCCGCAGAAGCTGAAATATCGCGAGGAAACTCTCCCTTGGCCGCCAGGTATTTGAGCCGTCCGATGATTTCCGAATCTTGAGCAGTCAGCTACGGATCTCGGTACGGCCAGGGAGTACGAACCTGGGGGTTCTCCCCGACGCTCGCAGTCCTCGATACAATTTTGGAGTGCAGAGGCGAGACTCATCAAATAGAGCTTCAATCTTGGAAAGTTAAACTCCAGGATGCGGCCCAAGACGTACTTCTTGAGTGGCTTCGGGTTCAACCTTTTCGGATTCTGCCCAACTGTCTCGAGCAATTCGATCAGGAAGGCCTTCACCCTTTCAAACTCTCCTGGCTTCCTGTTGTTAGAGGTGAAGCGGTAGTTAGGGCCCTGGGGTCCAGCCAGAACGGTCAACGCCGTGACGGTGTCGCCGCCTTTCTGTATGTCGCAGACCTGCGCCAGTTTGCAAAGAAATTTCTCGTATTCAGTGAGGCGAGAGTCAGGGTCAGTTTGACCGGATGAGTAAGAAACGGGGCCCTTTGCTTTGCAGGCTTCGTTAGCTGCCACGAGCAGGATGCAAAGGCTGACAAGACGAAGATGCGTCTCTTGTTTGAGGGGCACGGGGATGCGAGGGCTTGTCGACGTGTCCATATTGGTGCACAGCAAGGAAACAGGTTTTGAGCTAGAATGCGGCGCAGACCAGATAGTCGGTCTGAAGTATGGGGTGGGTTGCTTTCAAGTTATGAGTTTGGCCCTAAACACTCTACTGTCATGGAAGAAAAAGCCTAGTTCAGTTAATCATGAAAGCGACTAAACTCGAGCTGTGGGATTTTGACGCGGGGTGCAGCTGCCTTTATCATGGAGATGGACAGCCTGACCCCGCCGCATATCTATGCGGGAGGCCTACCACACCCAGCATTCCCCGCCATCTATTGGCACCCTTGTTGAGCTAATGCGCAGCCCTACCCAATTACGGCCTCTTGTTTCTTGCAAAGCAGGCTGCAATACGGCTGACGGCCGAATGTAGGCCCAACCATGAACCGTGTTTCAAGCCCACGGCGCACTGGAGGGGTTTTAGCTGGCCAGTTGACGGCACCGGACGCGTCGCGTCTTGGATGGTGGTCAACGTGGCACCCGCAGAGAAGTCGGGACGACTTGAAAGCGTAAATCCTTGCTTTCAACGAGCAAGTAAATGTGCATATCATTGTTGCATAGGCAAAGCGCACCAACGGCGAGTGATAGCTAGTAGGCGTTTATAAATACCTAAAACAGTAGTAATTCGTCCTTCTCTTATAGCTAAGGCTGGCCCAACTATACTAGTAGTTTTATTAGAGAATCAAACCCAACAACGACCAAAGAAATTGCTTCATTACCTTTTAAGTGGCTTTGAGAAGAGGGATCATATATTCTTCTCAATGGGACAGATGCAAGGTAAAGTAATAAGGGCAACTAATCAGCTGATAAGAATAAAGATTTGGCCGAGAAAAGATCCCAAAGCTGCTCCTTTCCCGTTGACCGCGATGAAGACGATAATAGTTGGAAGCCATCGTCCCCTATGGTCCTTTCTACGTACAAGGAAATTACCTAGCAGCCCAAAGTGACGTAGCACGCCTTTGCCCCAACACAGTAAGTGAATCCTATTTTCGTCAGCTCATATCGCCTCATCACAAGAATCGCATACCAACCCTTACTCATCAACCTCACACCAAAGCCTCTTGTATCCGCTCCAGCAACTCATGCTAGGTCTATCGCCGTCATGGTTGAAAGTCGTGCAGAGATCTGCGCGGTCCTTATCCTTGGTCCAGGCCTTAAGGACTTTGCCGGTCTCGTCAATCTCTCCGATCTTGAACTTGGTACTTTCGCAGAAAGGAGCAGTTCCGATCCAGTAGCACCAGCGGTTGTCCATTGAGCATCGTGAGACTACTGGAGTCAGGAGCGTGGCGAGAGCGGTGGCGAACATGACGGGCTTCATGATAAAGTTGGTGTTGGTTTGGTGGAAAGTAGAAGAGTGTTGGAGATCAGTGAGTAAGGAGAAACTTTGGTGATTATCAAGTTCATATTCTCTTCGTTTCCTGAGTATTTATAGTTTGCTGATAATCCATAGGGATGGTAGTTGTCAAAACTGAAGGAGAAAGTTCTCCGACCTCAGACAAGCCCTGTCTTGAGCAGATCGGGCCCTCTCTGCCGCGATATGAACCAAGACCTATCTTTTCGAATACATATTGGCCGCTCGTCCCAGAATTTCCACAGTAGAGTCAGGTGCCTCGGACCCTAAACACCTATTATGAAGTAAGACAGATCCGCTGTCCCTCCCTCTGGCTGAGATCGCGGGGCCTCCTCCACTTGTTGTCTCCGTCAAAGATGGAGATTGCATCTTTCCGCTGCCGACGGCTCGAAGGATTATCTCGTGACCGATCATCTTGTCTTATTCAGCGGTGATATATAGTTCCGGAATTGCCACTGATCTCGGGCCACCGGGTAGCTTTTTCACGGGGTACTGCATTTGTTAGACATGTAGAAAAATACACTTTGCTGGTAGAACCCTCTTCATGCATTATTGTATATTAGTTTCTGCTTTGGGAAAAGCTTGCTCGTCGAGTTCCTGGATATGATAGCGGCAGCTTTTTGGCTACAGGACTCTGTGTTAATCCTAGCACCCCCAGATCTCTAATGGATTCGCGCTCAAAAGAAAGACGAATTGTACATTTACTCGTCAATACACCCATCGTGAGTCAACCCAGCATTTTGTGTACCTGTCTTCCCTCGACTCTGATGATCGCGCTATGGTGTGTCAGGTGAGCTCTTAAAAGACGAGTTGAATGTGCAAACCAGTTCTCAGGCTAGAGTTTCATAAAAATAGCGTGATACCAGATCTTTGTGGCTTTGGTATGCTTTCTTGACGTAGCGATCAACGACTCCTTGTAAATCAGGCCCCTCGTCACTGCCGACTCGCCGAGGTAGTTGGACAACGGCCCTACCCACGGCCCAGCCCCTCCACGCTGCTACTTGAATAGCATTACAAATACATATCAGGCCAGAGTATGACCAAGCAAAGTCCAAGAAAGGGTGATGATGATCGCATTGAGCGAATCAGGGTAACAATCAACCTACTTGGGTACATAGTCACAAGAGGGGAACCTCCATGATGTGATTAACTGTGGCTCCCCGAGTCCAAAACCGCGCATTGAGACTGGCTGGCTCTACCTAGGTTAGGGAGTTGCACATCTGGAACCACATTAGTAATCAACTCGGCCTCTCTTCCTTGGTGCCTCAGTAGGCACATTAGTCATGTCTGGAAGAAGCTCAACACAAAAACCGGATAGCACGAATCATTCATTCCCAACTTCACTACAAACCGAGACGCGTATCTTTACATCTGCAATTCTGCGATTGTGAAAAATACTTAGGCCACAACCATGGCGCCAGAAAAAATTGAGAACGTCGCTGCCAAGGGCATTTCCTACTACACGCCAGCCCAAGATCCCCCCGCAGGCACGCAACTCAACGGATCCACCAAACTCTTCACTCCCATCACGATCCGCGGTGTCACGTTCCCCAACCGCCTTTTCCTCTCCCCTCTGTGCCAATACTCGGCCGATAATGGTTACGCAACTGATTGGCATCTGACCCATCTCGGCGGCATCATTCAACGTGGTCCAGGATTAGCAATTGCTGAGGCCACCGCGGTGCAGCGATTGGGTCGAAGTACACCCGAGGACCTCGGCATCTGGGAAGATGGTCACATTGAGCCGTTGAAGCGTATCGTCGAGTTCGCACACAGTCAGAGCCAAAAGATCGGCATTCAACTTCAGCACGCGGGTCGCAAAGGCAGCGGGGTTACACCCTGGCTGAGAGGCAACGGCATCGCTGTCAAGGAGGTCGGTGGATGGCCAGACGAGATTGTCGGTCCTTCAGCGATTCCCCAAGTCGAGGGAGTCAACCCTACTCCAAAGGCTTTGACCGGAGAGGAGGTTGAAGAACTAAAGACGGCCTATGCACAGGCTGCACAGAGGGCGGTCAAGGCTGGTTTCGATGTACTCGAGATTCACGCGGCCCACGGATATCTACTGCATCAATTCTTGAGCCCGGTCAGCAACCGCCGGACGGATGCTTATGGAGGAAATTTCGAGAACAGAACAAGGCTTCTCTTGGAGATTGTGGAGCGGATTCGGGCCGTCATTCCGGAAACCATGCCGCTCTTTGTCCGCATCAGCGCTACGGATTGGTTCGAATTTGACGAAAAGTTGAAGCAAGAGTTTCCCGAGAGTTGGACTGTTGATCAGTCAGGAAAGCTTGCATCTCTGTTGGCTGATCGAGGTGTTGATTTGGTCGACGTTAGCTCTGGCGGTATCCACGCCAAGTCCGCTATCGCCATCAGGCCAGGACCCGGTTATCAGGTGCATCTGGCCCAGGCGATCAAGAAAGCTGTGGGAGACAAAATTCTCGTCTCTGCTGTTGGAGGCATCAAGACTGGCACCCTCGCTGAGGAGGTGTTGCAGTCTGGCATTGACGTGGTCATGGCTGGACGGTGGTTCCAACAGAACCCTGGCCTGGTGGATGCATTTGCTCGGGAACTCGGCGTCGAGGTGAAGATGGCCAACCAGATTGGCTGGGGCTTTAGAGGCCGCGGAAAGAAGACAACTAAGATCTAGGGACGAAGAGTTGCTGATGTATAGAGTGCGGAATAGAGTCTAGAAAAGACATAGAATTGTCTATAGCGGCTGAACTAGACGGTATAACAGTTCGCATCCTTCGAATAACTGGTTATCCGGCTCAACTTCGGTCCAGGTGGTTTACTGTCAGCTTCCCTCACCGTCTTGAACTTTAACCTTACCTTAATCTCCTTTGAGTTGTGATTTTTACTCACTATGGATGTGTCCTTCGACCCAGTTCGGTGCGCCGAGCTTCATAACCAACTTCTCACAAAAGCAATCTCCAGAATCCCCGACGCAGCGCAAGAAGTCAAACGTGACGTGCTAGCACGATGGCGCGATTTACCCCCAGAGAAGCGGCCATTCAAAATTCCTGAAGAGGAACCGCTCTACACGTTTCTGTCGTTCATCGATAGCTACAAACCCAACGATCTCCCGTTGACAGCCGAGTTTTGCCAGCCTGAGCCATCGTGGTTTGACGACAACTTCCAAGAGCTAGATGATCGACGCATCATTCTGCTCTATGCGGATGAGACCAACACACCAAAAACGGATGGCGGTCTTTACTTCAATCTTGATACTGACTTGGTCTGCTGGACTCGCCTCCGGGGATGTGGCAGATTCCTACCTGATGAGCAATGGGTCCCGCTTGAACTAGCTCTTCGCAAGGCGTTGAACATGTGGGAACTCGGCAAGTTCGCCTGGGGAGGTGAAACAGGCTGGTACCGGTCTAAAGAAGCGGTTTCCTACGTATCCTGGACACCTCAAGATTTAACTAAGTCTCTTCGTCGCTGGGAATATTTACTTGAAGCTATCCAGTCTCGCCTTCCTGAGGGCACACCAAGGTCACCTTTTCTGGACCCCCTGTCTGCCGACCTGGTCAACAAATTCCAGCTAAGCTCATTTGCGAAAGCCTTCCTCTGTGCTGCAAAATGCCCTTCTTTCAAACATGTCGCACCCGGGATCACGGCCTTTACACCGGAAACATTTGCCGCCATCTACGGGGCAGAGTCTCCCACGAGCCGTCGCCTACAAATTGAACAGGAGGGCGGGTTTGAGACTATATCACTCATATTACCCTCTACCGCTGGTCCGGTAGTGAAGAGCGAGGATCGACACTTGTTTGACGGGGAAGACCATCTCCCGTTGGCCGATACGGAATTGTACGAACATCCTGGCCTATATATGACCTTTGTGCAGCCCACATCGGACGGGGATGGGACGGATCTAGTCACTGCTCAAGGTGCGATGAATCCAATCCGATTCGATGGGTGTCGGCCGTGGGGACCAGGGGGCAACATGCGACTTGAAGTCATACTCGATCTTTGGATTGCACACGTGGTGCATGGGACGTGGGAGGTTGGTCCCGAAGGAGTATCTACGCCGGATAGCTGGTTCACGGATGCACAGACAATAGAAGCTCGAAGACTGGTGTGGACAGAAGATTGTCGTTGAATAATATCAACATCTATACACCTGGCACATAATCCCTAATCCCAGCCCGTAAACATGACTCGAGAACTCGTCGGATTAACGAGTAAGGTCTCCAAACTGGTCTCCGATTCCCAAGAAGTCGATGTCAGATGGCGTGAGGAGAGAATCGACGTCTCGCGGTTTATCCTCAGCCCTTTGACCTCTGGACGATCCATCGTGATCCATCTCGACGCACAGACTAGAGGAGATGCTCCTCGTTGAGGCCCCTTTCCCCCTTGCTGTGGTACTTGGCGAATGAGATCCGGCTGCTTTGTGGGAAGACTTTGATCCGTTATTGTTTCCGCGATCGCTTGGGCCTTGCAGACTGTAGTCATTCAGCTACGGTCTAACTATTGGACTCGACAACACCCAGGTTTCTTACCATGGAAGAGACGCCAAAGATCCTTGGCGAGTTGGAGTCTCATTATCGGTCATTTTGGAGAATTTGAAGTCTTCGATGGGCAGCTGTGCAGGCAGTTCGTGTTTGCTCTGATTGATAGATGAGAGAGCAATGCCAAAATGATGAGAATGTGGTCATGGTTATATACTTCGAGGCACTCCTTTCCGGTTCAACCTGTGTTATCAACTACTTGAGTTGTGTTCAGAATTGCTCAGAGTGTGTTGGTCAACCACTTAAATTGTGTGAGATGACAACACAAGTGTTCAAGTCGCCCCCACAAGCTGCGAGGCTCGGCAAGCACCGACTCGTTATGAGTTGACCGGATAGGGTGGGAGTACGATCATATCCTAAGTTGCGCTCCTTGGTCCATAGTCTTCTGGCTCTCAGAAAAAAAAAGTTTGCTGAGACTTGTCATTAAAGGAGAAGCCGCACTCGGCAATGCCCCTATGGACTTCCAGTTGTATTCCCCAGCAATCATCGCGACTCTTGAGGCTCGCATTTTGTGACCGATAAGCCACAAGTTGTGTATTAAAGGCATACACACGTTGTGTATTGCATATACCCGCCACAATGTGTGCTTGGCTGCCGGATTGTGACTGGGCCAGCTGCGTGGCTTAGCAACACAAATTGTGTTGTCAGCCCTGCTCAGTCTCAAGTAGAAAACCGCTCACCCCCTCTCTTTTCCCTGTCAGCGTCAAGCATGCTGCACCGAAATCGACCGCATCCTTCAGGCAGCGAACAAATCACACAGTGGACATTGGCGTCGCGATGCCTGCACCATGGGATGCCTATCCTGGCGGGGAACTCGAAGACCCTTCTATCGACATGTTCCCAGATGGTTTACTGTTTTTAGGCCCTACGCCTGACCACACCTCCCAACCGGACGTCGTTAACCCCATGCCTCCAGCCCAGTGGCTAAACCCAAGACCACTCCAAAATGACTTCATCCCTATTTTTAATAAAGTCGAGGAGATCGAGGAGAACGAGGAGAACGAGAATCACGGAGTGCTCCTTAGCAATGGCCATAGCAATCACTCATTGGCCTCAATTAGCTCAGTATTTTCTAGAGATTCCGGGATTTCTATGCGAGGTCCAGTACGAGATCACGGACCGGAAGTCATAGACTACACACCTGAACTCACTCCCTCCTCTGGTCGATACAGCTGTCCGTATCGAAAGATCAACCCCAGCAACTTCAATGTCTGCGACTTCCCAAAGTGTGCCCTTGAATCTTTTGATACAGTATCTGAGGTCAAGTCAGTCATACCCCTAGCTTCAGCATAATTACTTCTGTCTCTGACATGGTATATAGGCAACATGTCCTCAGGTACCATCAGTCTAAAGACTTGCCTTTCCAATGCCGGGTGTGCACATCCAGATTTCGAAAACGGAAAGACCTTGATAATCATTTCAATACACAACTCTGCCACAAACCTCCTACTCTCAATGACCACGAAAACGGCATCGACGACGCCATGTTGGCCATTCTCAAGGAACGCCGACAGGCCTCAAGAGTGCATACATGGGAAGACCTGTGGAACGTGATATTTCCTGGCTGCGACATAATGGCTCCAGGTAGGTTATCGAAGCAAATTCTATCCATCCTCTGGGTTAAGCTCTGGTTTTTCTTCGAGTAATACCTGATCATGTGAGACTGACCCATCATTCATCTAGGCTTTATACCCCCTCGTCTTGCTCAAGAGCAGACCGACGCCTCAACCCAGACCTCTCCGAAAGATCCAGATCAAAAAACGGCAGAAAGCGAAAGTCAACCCTCGTCATACTTGCACCCCCAACAGGGAACACCCGACAGTCAGGCACAACCAATTATCCATCCCAAAATAACGATGCCAAGAACGAGCACATCATTGCGACAGGTGGGGCTCGCTAGAGTTCACATCGAAATCCTTTCCCTATCTGAACAGCACCGGCAGTGGGGACACGATGAAACTGGGAGCCTTGATGGGTTCGACAGTGAAACTGACGGTGAGGGTTCTGACGACGACGCATCCAGCCCCGACGCTCATGATTCCGACGGCTCGCCTGGGGATGCTTCAACAGGGACGCCGTCGACTGTTGGAAATGCAAGTCAAGGGCAAACGTTTGTATCAGCAACAGGACAGCCAAGGTCATCACGCAAGCGAAACAGGGCAAACGAAGGCGAAGGTGACGATAATGGCAATAAACCACCTGAAAAGAAGCAACGACGACAATCTCGGGACGTGGATCCTTCCCGACGACGCTTTGCCTGTCCTTACCAAGCCTCTGGACTATCAGACAACTGCTTCAGGCGCGCACAGCGCAATAAGACAGGTGGCTGTGATACGATATCTCGACTGAAGTAAGTCAACATTAGGCAAGCATGGGAGTAGTTTACGTGAAAATCAGCCCTAACGCTTACTTAGAGATCATCTAAAGCGGAAGCACATGAAGTCATATCGATGCGACCGCTGCTGGAAGCAGTTCGACGCCAGACATGAAGCCCTAGCACACCCAGAGAGTAACTGCCCTCCAGAAGAAATGCCAGAACACGAGCAGTTCATGACGCAAGAGCAAGAAATAGAGGTCAGAAATTTCAAGGGAAATTCCGAGGGTACATGGTGGAGACTATTCCACCTTTTGATCCCAGATATGGTCCCCATTGAAGAGCGAGCCTCGTTTCAGTTACATTACTCACATCTCCCTTGTAAGTTTTTTCCAACCCCTACTGAATCAGCTTGCCAAGCAAACCTTCTTAGATTATTTACATCTTGGCTCGTTCTTAATAATTCCACCTGTGCACCTTGAAAACCCATCCTTTCAGAACACGGACAGCCTGTCGCCGTACCAAACGAACAGGATTGGGTCTGCCCTAACCCCTCTCGGCTCGCGGCCCGATACCTTCACTGGGTTTGGAAGCACAAGGATAACTTCACAGAGTTTCACTACTCCTATTTACGGAGCGGCCACGCAGCAACCATCGTCGAATCCTTCATTCCTGGGCTTAGATCAAGCCGCAACTGCTTTTCCAGATACACAGCGATCAGTCGAATCAAGCTCAACCGGTTCAAGTGACAGAATCAACGCATCGTCGACGCCGGCTAGCTCACTTAACGTGATAGCAAGCCCAGCCTTGGATACGTCACAAATGCAACGAAACTATGAGCGCCAAAAGACGCGAGCCGAACAGGCAGAGGGGGAGAATGGAGAGCTCCGGGCAACTATCAGTGCGAGTCGAGAGCAGTTGAGGGATGCTTCAATGCTTCTAGAGGGGGTTTTGGGCAGAGAAAATCTTGATCGTGAGGTGTGCGAACAATTGAACCGTGCCGCAGAGATTCTTCTCCGTGTAACTGGGCGATTGCGATGAAGGATAGAATGTCATGAAGCATCCAAGCATCACAGTAGTTCTTACGTGGGTTGAACATCGAGTGAAATAGTAGCTCAATCTATAATGCTCAGAATCAATCCCTGCTGCACATGGCGGCCGGCTCGGTGTACATAGTCCTCTAGACAACTTAATATTTGCTCCTTCAATCCATATTCTTAATCTTCCAACAAAAGTGACAACTCCTCTATAACAAAGTTCTAATCCTTATTCAATTTTCCTTCGCCAAATCTTAATAGGAAGCTGACCACAGATGATGTTGAAAGCCTCCACCCTCTGCATCTCGAAATCAGGCGAAGGCAGAGCAAAATCATACCTATGCACCAACGAAGCGAGGACAACAATCTGCTCAAGGTACGAAATGTTTCGTCCAATACATCCTCGAGCACCAGCAGAGAAGGGAATGAACAGAGGCTCCATTCGCCTCCGTTCGTTGGGATCCATCCAGCGCATGGGATTGTACGTCTCGGGGTCAGGGAAGACCTTGGGGTCTCGGTGCGTGGCGTAGATGGTCATGTTGACGGATGTGTCTCCGGGAATCCATTGGTCGAGGATTTGAGCACCCTCGGATGGGGTTCGGCGAGGGAGACCGGCTGAGGTTGGTGGAATGACGCGGAGGGACTCGTCGATGCAGGCTTTGAGGAAGGGGAGGTCCTTGACCTTGTCGTAAGGTGCGATCGCCTCGTCGGGTTCGAGCACACTGTCGAGTTCTTGTCGAAGATGCTGCAAGTGCTGTGGGTGCTTGATGAGGAGCTCCAGAGTCTGCGTGAGGGCTATAGCAGTCGTATCAGACCCAGCGTTAATGATGGCGCCGATCTCAGACACGATCTCACCCCACTCAAGGTTGTTGGGGCTACCAGTCTTGTCCTCCATAAGGCAAGAGAAGAAGTCATCCAGCTCCTCGCCAGCTTCAAACCGTCGAAGTCGTTCAGCCGCCTGGTGGTAGTAGATATCATCCCAAGCCTTGGCAGCGTCCCACATCTTCTGGTACTTGCCGGGAATGGTCTTGGTAAGCCACTTGACCCACGGCCAGAGGTTGTAATCCCACACCCAGACGGCCTGTGCAAGAGCATTTTGGTCTCTAGCGTCTCGGTATCGGCCGCGGTAGCGAGTTCCGTCACGTTTCTCGGCAGGAACTTCGTCAGTACCGGTGTCGAGAAGATCCATCTTGGCAGACAAAGTGATGTAGCAGATTGCCTCGGTCGTCCACAAGTTGACCCAATGGCTGAAGTCAAGGTTGACATCTTGAGGGTCCGGGATCGAGCCCTTCAAGGGCGCAGTGCACTTCTTGTCGAAAGCCTCAAACAGGCGCTTGGCGGTGTAAGCGACCTTGTACTCCCACTTCTCAAGGTTCTTGATAGCAAAGGCAGCCGAGAGGAGACGTCGCTTGCGGGAGTGGTCAGGCTTGTCGACGACATCAAAAAGATGACGGTGGGAGCCAGAAAGAACATTATAGTTGTCGTCCTTGATGCACTTGGTGTTGTGCCCGTAAATTGCCTTAACAGCGCGAGTATCGCCAAAAGACAGCGAGTTTGGGCCGATTCTCAGGATGGGCTCACCCGTATTCTTGTGGGCTTCGTACAAAGAACGGGAGCGGAATCCTTGAGAAGAAGTGTAACAGTGTCGGAAATCGGTGATGCCAGAAAGAAGGGCATAGTTGGGGTACTTGCGAAGACCCTTAGGATCCAAGAAGTAGACAACAATGGGCTTGACAATCAAGTAGGCGAAGGCCAAGGCGAGCACAACGCCCAGAGCGATGTATCCTAGCATGGTGGCAAGATTCCAATGCTTGAGAGTTGAAGAAGGAAAGGATGAAGATTGATGAGGTTGTCTGAGTTGGGGACTAGACTAGTCATGTCCGTCTCTTATACTTGAACCTCAACTTGCAAACGCCGACTCTGACGAGACCGATGACAACACAAGCGATAAGATGCGGGGGAAAATACCGAATCTAGCGAATAACTGGGCCATTGAGAAGAAGGATGACAAGCAAAATGTGACGACTATAATTAGTGAATCTCTCCGCGGGGGAACCAACTTTGCGGGGAACACTAGCTTGATCAAGAGAGCGGCCGCCGAACTCTGCGGTTTCCGGTAATGCTAGAGTCTCAAACTTTCACCCTGGGATGGAAGAATTCAACTTTATTGTAGCTTTGGGTAATTTTCAGCGAATTCTGTGCCTGGCTAGAACAGTCATTTGATACAGATTTTTCCACATGTTTGTCTTGGTGCAGCAGAGGGGCGATCACGTTGGAGAAAGGTGGTTGCCACTAGTCGATCAGGGGCGTTGAGCTCGGCGAGTTGTCGCCTATTTGGGAATAGAAGCACCTCGGTTGTTTTAACTACGTGATCTCATTCGTCAGACCAACTCGGCGAACTGTTGCCCCTTTGGGATTACTCTACGATCTTTCTTCAACTCCAGGTTATTAGATACGAATTGCGGGGTGGCCAAGTTCACGGATTTTGTATATCAAACGCCATGGAAACAGTTGAAGTCAAGTCAGTTCAAGGCATATCGCCCTCATCATCCATGTCTCTTTTTCTTTTCACCTTCAGCGTTGTTCTTCTCTTCCTTTTCGTCACAATGGCAACCTTCAATTCCAACACCACACAAGTCTTGACAGACGCCATCGAGTCTCTGTCAAAGAACCTCAGCCATGACGACTATATCCTCCTTCCTCTGGTCATTCTGGGAACTGCCTTTGTAATTAACAAGGGTAGCATCTTCCCCAAGAAAGACCCTCTCTATTACATGTGGTTTCAGCGTCCTCAAGCAGCTCATGGCTCTGGACTTGAAACCACAAAGAGGTCGCGCAATGTTGCTGATCTCATCAAAGAGGCCAACGCAGACTTGGTCATCTTTTGGGGATCTCAGTCTGGCACTGCTGAAGGCTTTGCCCACAGACTCGCCCGAGAAGCCCATCAACGCTACAAGCTCACAGCGGTGGTGGCAGACTTGTCTGATTACGACGCCGAGTCTGTTTCTCTCATCCCAAGCACGACACTTGCCATCTTCATCATGTCTACATATGGTGAGGGTGATCCTAGCGACAACGCCCAAGACTTTGTTACTTGGACCCATTCCGCCTTCAGTGTCAGCCTCAACCACTTGAAGTTTGCTGCCTTTGGTTGCGGAAACTCCAACTATCGATACTTCAACAAAACTATCGACGAGGTAGTTACTGCTCTCGTGAAGTTCGGTGCTGTCCCGCTCGTGCCCACTGGCAAGGGCAATGAGGCAACACGGACAACCGAAGAGGATTTCATGGACTGGAAAGAGACCCTCCTCTCCACCCTGGCAACTGACCGTGGCCTGACCGAGGTCGAAGCCGCCTACGAACCCGAGGTGGAGGTTATTGAGGGAGAGACTATTCCACACGAAGAACTTGATCTTGGAAATCCCTTCCACAAGACTGCATCTAAGGCCGGGACCACAAATTCGGATATTGTGCCAGTCTCGGTTGTCGCACGCACAGAGCTAGCACGATATCCTGAGCAAGACCGCTCTTGCGTCGAAGTCAAGGTCGACCTGACGCCTCATTTGCAGGTCAAGTATAAGACTGGTGATCATATCGCTGTTTGGCCTGAGAACTCCTCAGAAGAGGTCGACACTCTTATCCGCATTCTGGGACTCGAAGCAAAGCGATCCAGCTCCATCCGCATTAATGCCAAGTCTGGTTACGACAATCCCAAGGTGCCCAACTTGACAACTGTCGAAGCTCTGTTCCGCCACTACCTGGAGATCTCCAGTCCCGTACCTCGAGAGACAGTCTTGTCTCTTGCGCGAGTGGCTCCCAGTAGTGTTGTCAAGAAGGAACTCCAGGCTATCAGCAAGGGCAGAGAGACATATGCCGCTTTCTTGAACGCCAACTATCTGACCTTCTCTCGGCTACTAGCATACGCTTCGTCTTTTGATTCCTCCATCTCCTGGACAGATCTCCCGCTTTCGTTCGTTATCGACTCTCTTCAACCCATGCAGCCACGACTCTACTCTATCTCCAGTTCCAGGATCACATCTCCTCGCCAAGTTACTCTCACAGTCTCTGTCAAGCCCTCCACAATCGTCGGCAAGCCGGACGTTCTCATCCCAGGAATCACCAGCTCTTTCCTCTCAAAGACAGCCCCCAGCGACGATGCGGCTGCCACTCCATCCACGCTGCAGATTCAGATCCGACCATCTACTTTTAAGCTACTGATCAACGCCTTGACTCCTTTGGTCATGGTCGCAGCGGGAACCGGAATTGCCCCATTCCGTGCCTTTGTGCAAGAGCGTGCAAGACTTGCATCAGTTGGTCGCGATGTCGGAAAGATGGTTCTCTTTTTTGGATGTCAAAACGAGTCCCATTACTTGTACTCTCAAGAATTCCAAGAGGCAACCTATGGTCCATTGGCAGGGAAGCTTGAGGTGGTGACGGCATTCTCTCGAGCGGGTGGAAATAAGACATATGTTCAACATAAGGTTCTTCAGCGTCAAGAGGAGGTCTTGGGTCTGCTGCAAGATCAGGACGCGGCGTTTTACATTTGTGGTGCTGCAACTATGGCCAAGGATGTTGGCGATGTGTTGGGCGAGGCTATCAAGCAGAAGAATGCCTGGTCTACTGTTCAGGCGGAAAACTGGAGGGCCGAGAAGAAGAAGGGAAACCGTTGGTTTGAGGATGTTTGGAGTTGAGCATCAGGCACGCACAAGAGATGAACGGAGACTGAAAATGATATGGTCCATATTGAATAGCACCAACTTTGGATGCAAAGCACCATAAATATATACATTATGAATTCTTTGGCATGCTTTCCTTTGCCCAGCAGTTCGGGTTGATGACCTAGCAATAATCCTTCTTCCAATATTTGGAACCTTTGCTCAGTGTTTGGTTTACCATCCCCCATTCCAACCAACGAGGATATACTGGCAAACAGGCCACAATCTAACTGCACTTCACTAAAAGGGACCGTTAATCTTCTCTCGTTTGCCATATAACACCGTATCCTCTTTAAATTTCGCATTATCCGCCCACGACCGGGGATTTGCCTTATCGCAGATATCCGGGGCGCATGATGTTGGCCGCAGTCTCCATTATTAGTCTGGCAGTGTTTGACACTGCTCGGCCCCGTTTGAACAAGCCATGTTTGCATTTGCTAAATGATTTAATTTCATTGTTACTGGGCCGTCGCATTCACTTTCATTCAGTGCATCCTAGGCATTCTCTACACGGTGAATCACGAGCGTGCAGTCTCTATTTTGCGGTTCTTCTCTTCCTTACTTGCATCCTCCTCCTTCACCTCTCAAACTCCATCGCAGCTCTCTTGCGACCATTTCAATACCACCACCGGCGCTGCGCAGGCGCAAGATTCGGCTTTTGGTCTTATCGTACAGCTGATTTCCTTTCCTTTCCTTTCCTCTCAGGCTGGTTGCGCCTGGCGTCACCCAACACCAGTGCCTCAAAGAAACTCGACACGTCGCATGCCGAAACCTGGCACAGAACTTCCCCTTCCCTTGCTTGGTTTTTAGTATTGCTTTCACTCCTTCTCACCTTCTTTGACTACTTACTAACCACTAGATCACATCTAGTATCGAGCGCCGCTCAAGTCATCCTACCTTACGACACCACGCCCAGCACCTTGTCGCATACCGGCGCTCCTCGTTCGCCACAGCTTCATATAGTTACTTCGCTGTCATTCCTCGCTATCAACATCGCATTGTCAACAAGCACCATCGGTCGATCGCGCTACGCTTCCAATAGCACCATATCTTACCCTGCCCAGCTCATAGCTTAAGGTATGCTCGCCTCTGCCTTAACAAATCCCAAGTTGCCTTCCTTAACGCGTAACTACAGTTCTCGCGCCCAAGGCTCTCGCCCAAGATGTCTGGACCATCCTCGTCCTCCTTCATCAAGTCAGGACTGGGCAACTCGTGGAATGAGCAGATGTGCCGACGGTTGGCATGGCTCCGTGATCTCGGCGTCATGGGCAGGGTCCATCTGCATCCACTCCCCGACGGATTGCTCGGATTCCACGGAATGCCACTCGAAAACTCCGACGATTGTCTGCCTTCAAACGCAGGCACTGACTTGGTCGTTCTAGCGCTGAGGGATCCCAGAAACCATCCTCTGATGGGCGGACACATCACCCTCCTCAGTCGCAGAGACTCCCATACACATGTGGCCTGGGGGGAGGCTCTGGACCGGCTGATAGCATTGTGTGCTGGCGGTGCCACAACGAGAGCCTCCGATGTCTCATACGTCTTGTCAACAGCAAAGGAAAGCTACCTCGCTGATCGCGAGCAGCTCGCCTTTTTTGTTCAGATGGCGAGTGAGGACTACCGATACGTTCTGAACCAGGAGGAACCAGTGAGAGCATGGCTCACCCAATGCATGGCTCGCATGTTTGGAGTGCAGGCCCCTTCACAGCCCGACATGAATTGGTGGCCACGCGCGCGGGAGCACGTTGAATTGGGAGACGATGAGACATTTTTTAGCTTGACTGACCTCGCCTGGCGACGATTGCTTGAGGCTGTCTCCCATGCTGAGAGTGGCTTTCATGAAAAGGCAAAGATGGGGGCCAAAAAGGTCGGGGACTTTGTTGACAAGTTCCTTCGGCATGAGAAAAATAAACCGGTCTGGAAGCTGATGGATAACACCACATTTGAGCCTTTCCATTGATGGCTTGCTCGGTCCCAAGGTCATAGAGTCTACTTGGCTTGTATGCCAAGATCTTGATGGTCCTAAAAGTCCATCAAGGGGTGGAAAACGAAACCGGTTGAGGACAAAGTGCGGTGGGACTCCAGGCACAAGACAGGGGAGAGTCAAGGGGATGGTGGCCTGGCAAGAAATGTGCCGAAATGGAAGTTGTTTTGGACGGAGCAATGCAGCTGGGCAAAGGTTATCCCCTCATCGGCAACTGTCAGCTTAGCTACTTAACCAAGCGAGATGCGATATCCATTCTCATTCTACACCTTTTTATGCACTAACGAAGTCAGTCATTGGTGATGTACGAGCAGTTTGTCGGATCAATCAGATAGCACACCTCCCGTTCTGCAAATAGCGTCCAGAATGACCACGATGGACCCCAGTTAGAACGCGTTGGGCCGTTGACTTCTTCTCATTCATAACCGCATTGACTCTAGGATCTCCGCCTTAGTGTCAATGAGGCAACCATTCAATACCTTCGAATCCAGGACGCTGTTTGAGGCCCTCTTTGAGAACTTGACGATGCGTTGAGTACCCAGTCCAACCATCTCGAGTCTCAAACCAGTTTCGAGTGTAATATTCGCGTTTGTCAGATGTGAAGATTTACTTCGTCGCATGTTTGTATTCTCTCTGATTTTGTGGATCCTAAGGCTTTCCTAAAGTCCAAGTTCTTTGGTTATGTAAACTCTCTCCCCCCCTTTCCTGGCTTCATCTTCCTTCTTCACCATCTCAACTCCATCGCACTTCTATTGCGACATCACAACACCACCATCAGCGCTCTAGGGCAGCTAAAAGATTGAGCCGCTAAATAAATTTAGCCTTCATAGGTATTGTGCTTCTTTTTTTCTTCGCTTCCTCTCAAGGCGGTTGCGCCATCTCCTTTTCAAGCCCAAGCCTCCAGAGATGCCCAGGAGGCTCAAACCCTCCCCTCTCCCCACCTCAACATTCGACACTGGCCTTCTACTTGCCCCATCTCTTGGACTTTAGTCACATCCCCAGGTCTTCTATGCTTGCCTACTTACCATTACCTATCATTAGGTTACACGTCTAGGGCATTCCGCCGCCCAGTCAATCTCAGTACCTGTGCTGTGCACCTGTCGCTGTCCCTGTATGGTTCCTCCCACGGTTTTTCCTCCTCCAAGGCCCATTCATTGATTATCAGCATAGGTCGGACACACTGCATGCTCTACCAAACCCACTGGGAGTTTAGCTCAGCAACCACTCCGGTATGTTCTAGTCTGCCTTCCCTGATCAAGTCCCTTCTTCTAATCTACAGTCACAGTTCACTCAATCAAGGACCTTGCCACTATGTCCGAAACATCCTCGACTCTCCCCCAGGGACCTCCAGGTTTCGGCAACTACCCTGCTGTGTCCCGACCATGGCTAGAGCGCATGGTTGCCATCCTAGAAGCCCGAGGCCTGCTCTCACACGTGGCCTGGAAAAAGGCTTTGGAGGAATTGCGAGAGCTACTTCTCCTGCCTGAAGGCCCTTCTGCCTTTGTCCCTCTGCATATTTTGAGCGTGGCCAAGAAGGCTTGCGATGAAGATTTCGAGCATTTCGGAGATTTCATCCATCAAGCGGAGGCGAATCTGGCGCTCCTTGTGAACAAGCAACGTCCAGTCAGCGGCTGGTCAGCCCAATGCATGGCACGTATGGTTGGTTTCGAAGCCAGCCACGAAGATGACAGTGAGTAGTGGATGAAAAGTGCTGCCAGGGCCTTGATTGAGGAGCTTGACGACGACTTGTTCTTTCGTATTCATTACGCCCGGGGTCAATTCATTGACGCCTACCATCATTGCTACGTTCTTGGAGACATTGAGAAGGGACGAGAAGTCTCTTTGAAGGGCCTTCACCACATGAAGGCCTTTTTCCATCTACACCAGAATGGGCGGGTGCTTGCGCTGGTTGGGGGCCACATTGAAGAGCTTCGAAAGTTTATTCAAGCCAAGGGCCTTGGGGCGCATTTGCCCTCATTCTATTAGCATCTCCGTCGCAGAGAAAGTCCATGGGCCTTGGGAAGTGGATATTGCAGGTTATAATGAGATCAAAACTAGTAAAGGCCGGAAAGGAACGCGAATGATAAGGTATCTAGTTGGTCATGGCAAATACACTGAGGTTAAGGCCCTTCTCCCCATAGCCTGCCCATCTGAGATACTTGAGAATAAATGATATTGGTACTGATCTCTTCGTGCTGTCATCATGTTCAAATCAGAGCCGGTCACCTTGGGCATTTTCAAAGCGAAGTCACATGCAAATTGTGTAGGTAAGTGTCACTGGAGCAATAATGTTTGGGAGTGGATTTGCGAGCAGCAGAAACCGCTCCGGCTGAAATAGTAAATACATATTGATATTGATCCTGCTATGTATGAAGAGCATATGGCCCATCTAGGAGCTGGACGCAGCCTCGGCACCAGCAGCGGTATACTTGGGGTCAGACCAAACCTCCTGCTGGATACGAACACGAATAGCCTCCTCCTCAACAATATGGTTGTCTCCAAAAAGCTCAGAGATCTGCTCAAGAGACTTGCCGGAAGTTTCAGGCACAAGGAAGAAAGAAAAGATGGCGGCAAGAGTACAGAAAATTCCGAAGAACAGGTAAGTTCCCCAACCGATCTTGATGACCATCTCGGGAACGACAACGCCAATAATGAAGTTTGCAAGCCAAATCATTGAAGTAGCCGCACCGACACCCTTGGCTCGCTTGGAGCTAGGGAAGACTTCGGCGGGGAGGGTCCAGGCGAGGGGGCCGTATGAGCAAGCGTAGCAGAGGACATATGTGTCTAAGGATGTTGTTAGTGGACACTTGGATACGAGTATTCTTATGGAACTTACAGATCAGAGCAACTCCAAACCAGCCCATTCCCTGGTTGCTATCCCATTTGCCGTTGAACTTGCCAACGACACCAGCCATGATGAGGTGGGGAATGGCCATGGCGATACCACCATAGATGGCCAACTTCCGGCGGCCAACCTTGTCGAGGTAGAGGAAGGTGGGGATTCCAGCAACCTAGCAAAGATGTTTTGTTAGCTTTTGAAAAGCGACGAACGTCGGTATTTTACGTACCAATTGGCAGATATTGACCATTCCTGAAAGGATCAAAGCCATGTTATCGTCCTGACCAAGAGCCTTGAAAAAGGTGGGCGCATAGTACACTAAACCTGTCAGTATGCGCTCAACTCATCACTCGACCCCTAGGGGCCGTGTAAATAGCTTCAAACCTCACCGAAAGCATTGATTCCAGAAAATTGTTGAAAAAACGGAATTCCAAGAGCGATAACAGTACGCTTCAGGTACTTGGGACGGAAGAGATCAATCCACTGGAGGATTTCAAGCTTGAACTTGTTATTTGTAGGATGATCCTTGCCAATGATCTCCTCCTGGAAGCGGACTTCGCAGACGATACCTTTCCACTCGGCCTGGACTCGGTCGTCGGTGATGGGAACACGGCGGAGCTTCGAAAGTGCAGAGAGACTGTCGTTGTCGCGACCGCGCATGGCGAGCCATCGGGGGCTGAAGGGGAAGAAGTGGATTCCGAGACCGACGCAGAGAGCAGGGGCCATCTGGAGACCGAAGGGAAGTCGGAAAGCAAGCTCGCCAGATAGTTCCTTGGTGGCGTATGTGATCCAGTATGCGATAATGGCGCCAATGACAATACTGTTGATCCTGTTAGCCCAACTCTGAACAACCGTCCTAAAATACTAACCTGATAGCCTCGAGAACAAGCAGAGACCCTCGCAGGTTAGGAGGTGCAATCTCAGAGATGTACAGAGGAGCACCCATGGCAAGTTGACCAACACCAATGCCTCCAATGGTTCGACCAGCGACGAGGGTTCCGTAATTAGGAGCAGCAGTCTGTCAAATATTAGCCAAATCCGACTATCATTCCAATTCGACGTTGTCTTACCTGAATGATAGCTCCCACGACAAAGAAGCCGGTGGCTACAGTAAGAGACCACTTTCGAGAGATTCGATCCGCGAGATATGGGAGGAACAAACATCCGATGAAAGCACCCAGTTCCAACATTCCGGTCATAAATCCGACGTTGAAGCCATATCCAGAATGTCCGGGAGCAGTTTCGGGGAAGGATTTGTGGAACTGCTCCATCACCAGAATGATACTGATGACACCCTGGTCTGGAATATGTTAGCGATTTTATGGTGTTTTTGAGGAATTAACGTACCATAGCCAAAGGAGAAACCTCCAAAGGAAGCCAGAGCTGCTGCTCCGAGGACATAGGGCGAGCGGACGATGCCAGCAAGACCATTTTCATCGTAAGAGATGATCTCTCCTGCCTGAGCAGCGATATCAGTCTCTTCGATATGGCTCTCAGTGGGCCGTGTGTGGCTAAGGGACTCTTTGGTCTCCATGTTTAACAAGAAACAAGATGTGAATGTTAAAGCTGGGTGAGAGACTGAGACAGTGAGATGCAGGATGCAGATCGTCAAAACTGACAGAGAAGTCGAAGTATTTAATAGTTTTTAGCTTGAATATAGTCACTCCATGTTTTAAGAGTCGAGAACATGGGGAGCCTTGCAGTCAGTGATGCCACCCCAGACGAGCGCATGGAGAAGGGGCCTCTCCGCATCCCCATGGGGAGGACTTGACTAGCGTGCATGTCAAGGTCTGCTTACACTTGAAGGCGTCCGATTGGATACTCGCGAGAATCCTAGTCAGTCTCTCCACATGCGTCAAAGCCTAACAGCGGTGCTAATCGTTTTTGGAAGTGTTTCGGCGAAAGTCGTCCAAATTGGGGCATGTTTCGCCGGGTCTCCAACACCGCTTCCTGGGGCCAAAGCTGAGACGGCGCATCGCGAGTTGACAACACCACTTTGCGAGTGATTATCTGTAATTATTTCTTCTCAAAGTGCCCAAGTCGCCGAGCTTTGAGCGAGGCAGGGATAGAGTCAAAGTGAGGAGAGTTAGAGCTCGCTGAGAAGGCCGGAGGTGGTTTCAAGAGCCCGGCGAAAAGGGCCCAAGAGAAGCATATTGTCCGGATGAACTGGGATTATCGCCAACGATGAGGTTGGGAGACAATGATGTAGTCTCGGGCAAGCCAATGCTTCTCTCTTGTATAGGTCATGTTAAGCAACATGCGATGTTGCCTTGAATGCGAACCATTGGGGTCCCCCAACCAACTCCCTCCAACATGTCAATAGCTGTCGGGTGTTTCTACGGTTTTGCTATGGTAGATATCTTCAGGGTAATCGCATTTACCAAGTCGTCAGTGCGAGCGCGAAGATACCTTGTTTTCTTCCTGTTCCAAGCTATCGGGCACGGGACTTGGAGAATCCGCACTGCGTGAAGCCATCCACCACAAGACACCAATAAATCACAAGAAAATTACCAAGACTAGCCAGATCACGAGGCCGTTAGCAAACTGCAGGCTCTTCGAGAAACGGCCTTGAAGCGTCAACGCCATAGCCAATGTCGAGCAACCCTCTAAAGCCAGCCATCCTCGGTGCAGTGGATACACGAGTCAGCTCTCCAAGTGTTCCCCCTGGGGTAATATCAACCCCAGACTCGGCAGAAACCCGCGGGCGACGTTTCCTTTTAGGTCCAGGCAAGGAAAAACTCCAAGCCAACCAGAATAATCATCTCCTCCCCGGATCCCGGATCCCTAGAGAAGGGCTTGAAACTTGGTCGTGATAGCGTCGTGCGGGGAAGTCAAAAGAAAGGTGTGGGGTGACAACATGAGTTAGTGTCTGTCTGCCCAAGGTCCAGGGCTTTGCCACCCTTGCCCGCCCCCTTCGGCCTGCTCACCGGCGTTTCCTTCAAAGACGAGACATCTTCCCCTTGTCAAGAACAAATTCCGGCGAAATCCTTCCCTTTGAAGATTATCATGGCTCCGCAACCCCGCACGCGAACTGTTCCCTGCGACAAGTGTAGAGGTGATGATGATTTCTCCCCTTGGCCCATGGAACAATGAGCTGATAAGACCGACGTCATTTTTAGAGAAGCATCTGAAATGTACGTCTTTCTGCAAAGCAAGCTGCCAAGTCGAGAAAGTCTGTGCTGACGCGCTGCAGGCGACGGCGAGACTCCGTGCGGAAATTGCAAAAAGACTTCTGCCAACTGCGTTCGCGTCAATAAGAAATTTCGCGTCAAGAGGTTGATTACGACGCAGAATAGCTTCAAGTTTGACCCGAACCAGACTTGGATAAGCACTGGAAACCAAGGTACACTCATCTCTCATCTTGGATTGGTTGATGGCTGACAATCGATAGAACAGCAGGAATCATTCGCCATCATTGACGAGTCCGATATCGCAACCAATCGATCCGCACAGGAGCCTTCTTCGGCGAGGGATGAACCACAAGAAGGGTACCTGAACTTTGCCGCGTCCATCCTGCAGTCTTTCTCTCGAGATGAACAGCTCAGAACTGACGACTCTCTTCGGCATCAACCGCTCGAACACAGACCGACAACGGCAACACGATCGGAGAGCAATATCGATACATCCAGCATCGGCGACGATACAACCCTTAGAAAGCACCCAAGTCTAACACCCTCTTCGACATATGACGATACATCCGTTCTTGCATACTCGGAGCCAATATCAACACGTCCACCATTGTTTCCCACAGCATGGCAGCATTCTCCCGACGGGGCTTCCCTAGGCCCATCTCCATCGAATACAGAGTCTCCATACAGCGATAGACACCTTCACTACGGCGCGTCATCTAGTTCTGCCACAGGGCACGGAGTTCGAAGGATAACAGAACTCGCTGGGGGCAGCGATGTGCAACACACGAGTATTGAGGAGGCATGTTTGGTCCGTTGCTTCGTGAAAAAGCTAGGAAGGGCTGTGAGTCTCCCCAACGCCATGCTCTACCATGGCTCAGAAGCTTGTGCTAATACTCTTGACAGTTCGACACGAGCGACAGAGACCACCATTATTGCTCCGTTCTTCCCATTCGTGCCATGCACAGTCCTCTCCTCTTAAACGCCATCTGCACAGCAGCCGCCAGATACCTCACCCGAATATGGTCTCTCAAAGACCCCCATGCGGTCATTGAATACGATGGAGTTCCTCTCCCTAATCTCACCATGGAATCAGCAATTCACTATCACAACAAATGCATCTCGCACCTTATGGATGTCTCTGCAGACCCCACCAGCACATGCAGTGACGACGCGCTTACTGCAATTACTATCCTCCGATATCATGAACAAGTTGACAGTAAGTCTCTAATATCCTCCCTTTACACCCTTGCTGACATATCTAGCCCACTTCACCGGCACCGACAACGAAACATTCTCCATTGCCGTCCAAGCCGTCTTCCAAGCAGCCCAGGACGAAACCCACGGACTCTTGACTATCATTCTTCAACCCCCACGCGGTTCTGATGTTTACGCCACATCCCTTTCTTCTCTACGATACTCGGCCTGTCTCATCGCCCTCCGACAAGAAATCTGGGGCGTCCTGATATATCGTCGACCCTTTAGACTCCCAATCTTTGCCGTCACGGACTACGCCAACTTTGACGATACCATGGCTGCTGATGACTATGATTGGACGAATCGCATCATTATATGGTGTGCTCATGTTCTCAAGTATTGCTTTCCTGGGGACACGGACGTAGAGACCATAGAAGATACGAGGTCTCGCGCTCAACAGTGGGAAGCTCTTAAAACCTTTCAACGGAACTGGGATGAGCATACGCCACCACACTTTGCACCTCTCTACTACAAAGAACGAAATCCAGCAGAAGGTCGATACTTTCCTACGATCTGGCTGGCCAGTCAATGTCAAGTCATGGCCCAGCAACATGTAGAACTAGCTCGCATAGTCCTCGCAGTCCACGACTCCAAACTCCAACTCGGCATCGGTGGAAGAGCAGCTCGCAAAGCACTCGAAGAACTGCTTCGGAATTCAACTCGAAAGATATGCGGGCTAGCCATGTCTAATGAGCAATATCAGGAGGCCATGGTGACGAGCGCTGTGGGAATATCGATGTGTGGGGAATATTTCCGGGACCCTGGGGAACAGGCTGCGATTGTTGAACTCATGTCTATCTTGGAACGGAAACATGCCTGGCCGACCAATACTGTACTCAACTCACTTCAAGAGGCATGGGAGTCATATAGTAATCTTTAAGAAGCGTGACTGCTTCGCATTTACTAAAAGCCTGACCCATTATTCGTCGAGTCTTTGGGAAGTCTAGGTCTATCAAAGTGATTACGCTTTTCCACACGTCAAGCCCCCAGTTCTAAGATGTTCCTTTCACAGATGATATTCACTGGGCTGCTTCACCTTGATGCCCCGTCTCTCCCACACACTCGTAATGCTCATATCCTCAGCACCACTAGGACCAGCCTGTTAGTACATATGCATATCAAAGTCTTTTCTAGTTACTCACTCGTCCTTCATATTGATTGTTGGCTCCGTTTGGCCATTCGCCACATCAGGGTTTCGGAAAATCATGTTCTTCGTCTACACAACAATCAGCTCTGCACAATCAGCTTTGTAGAAGTGTTCTTACCAATCCAAGAGTGAGGTGGATAGCAGGAGGCGCAACCGTAATCTTCTCGATAGGTTCCTTGCCTTGAATCATGGCGACAATGTTCTCAGCAACAACACGTGCTTGCGCCATACCAGGTCGAGCCGCCTTGTGGGCCTTGGTGTCGGCGATATCACCACAGGCATAGAGGTTAGAGTAGTTGGGGTCGTTAAATTGCAACGTCGGCCGTATGTTGATGAATCCATTCGCCTTGTTGAGAATTTCATGGTCCGGTGAGGGTTCCAGTTTCTCAAGGAACTGATTGTTGGGAATTTGTCCAGTTGCCGGGATGATGAGGTCTGCCGGGATCTTGCGGCCATCCTTCAACTCCACCTCGAGATTCTCGCCCTCGATAGGGAAGCCTCCGGCAGGGACCACAGCACGCGAGCCGGTCGCCAAGCTATGTTTTGTCAGTCTTGAACAGAGATCAACTACGAGTGTCACTTACTTGACTCCAAGCTCCTCGAACCGAGCCCTGATGGTCGCGTCCATCTTCGCATGGTACAATGGCATCAGACGATCCCGTGAGTGAACCAGCGTCACATTCTTTTCTGGATACACTTGCTTCAGGTCGCTAGCCATCTGCACACCAACAGCTCCACCACCAACAATGACGATTCTGTTGGCGTTCTTGACGCGCTGCTGATACGCCTTGAAGTAGTCGATAGACAGCTGCTTCTCATCATCCTGCATTGTACCCGGCGCAGGCAACCTCGTTCCAGTAGCAACAACAGCATAATCAAACGGCAGCTCAGTGGACCCCTGCCAGGGCCGATCAAGCACCACATGGTCCTTGTACAGCTCCAGCACCTTGGCTCTCACGACGGCATGCTGAGAAGCGTTTGGAAGCGAAGAAAAGGACCCAGAGTAGGGGATAAAGGCCTTGTGCTCATGATTGGGCACGATTGCGAAGCGAGGCTGCGGCGGTGTTAGAGTCGGTGTGGAAACGTACCATTATGACTTACAAAAGCAAAGAGGTGATGGAAATGGCTGTGCGGCTCCACCAAGAGGACCTAAGAGTGTCAGCTGTTTGTTTCTATATGGCTCAACGGGGCAATTACTCTGTGAGTGATGGGTAGAAGAGTTGCTAGTTCTTTGACGGCGGCCTGAGATTGTTAGCACATAGTCCAGTAAGTATTCGTCTTATTGTGTAAGTCTCACCAAGCCAACATATGAGCCGCCAATAACGACAACATTCTTAAGAGGACCAGCCATTGTTCAGGGTATAAAGATGCGTTTCGAGGTATGATGAGTCAGATATCCCAGAAAAAGTTCACAGCCGGGGCACGCGATATTTATAACGACGCGCAAGTCATGTACCTACATCGGATGCTCCGAGCGGCAGTCGTCGTGGCGGCTTGCGTTATCAATCTAATCTCCACCCGGATATACGGATCTACAGGCGGAAACTCGGAAAGCCGATGGCAGGCCGAGGTCGGCTTTTGGCACGGCTTTTTTACGCCGGAGAATTCAATTATATCAATTCTATGAGTATTATGTCATGAAAGTCTTAAAGTCTCCTATGAAGTTTCCTATGAGAATGAGAAGCTCTGTAAGATGGAGAAGGATAAAGGATGTTGTGACAATGAGGCTCTCGGTGAGGAGGATTGCAAAGTTTGCCCGAAGTGTTTTGGGGTGGATAAACCTTCACCCATTGCAGTGACAACCATAGCACAAATATTACAGGCAGTCAAATGGAGAAAGGACTATAGTCGATGAGCTCAACTACTATTTGGAAACTATGTTCTCGTATATTGATAAGATAACTGAGAAGATTGTTACCCAAGATGACAATCCTCAAGGTCTAGGGTAGCCCTCGGCTCAACACGGACACGGCGCGCATAACTCCGCCCGACCCGACACGAATAACCCGAAGTGGACCGGGCGCGGAAACCATCCTCACCTCCGTTCCGAACCGGAGCTTCTCACAGACCCTTAACTCCGACCTTGAGCAACCACGGATCGGCGTCAATTTGAGACCGGAGCTCACCAGAGGCGAGATCGTTGACGTCCCAAGTCGACCAGACGAAGCGACCGTGGAGGAATTGGGCTTCGGGGGATGCAGCCCAGACTGCGAAGCCGCCGGGGATGTTTGCTGGCAAGGTTAGTGAGTGTGTGAAGTGAGTGGAGGTTAATGACGTACCGTCTGTCCAGGGGAGAGTCTCTTCGGTATATCCCGATTTTTGCGCAGCCTCTGTAAATACAATAGAAGGGTGGAAAGAAATAACTCGCAACTTTTCTTCAGGAGTGTCTCGTGCAATTTGTTGAAGAACACAAGTAAAGGAATTCTTGGTGAGTTGGTATCCGGGCATTTGAGTCGCGCTGTCCCAACGGTGAATATCCTGGGTTGATACGAAAATAATGAACTGGAAGAAGTTAGTAAATGTTTTGCTGTAAGCATCTTGAACTTTCTTACCTTTTGGCTTGAATGCTGAGGTTGCTTATAGAACCGCTCTACAATGTAAAGGGGACTATGGATGTTATTCTCGAAATCTTCCCAAAGTCTATCGGCTCCTTGTTCAAGAATTGGCTGCATAGCTGGGATTCCAACAGCATTCAAAATAAGAACATCAATGGCAACCTTTTCCTTCTCAAGGGTATCCCATAACTGCTGGACCTGGTCTCTAACGTGTACATCACATACACGCCCAGTTACAGCAGTGTTTGGGTGAGCCTCGTTGAGCTTAGACACAGCATCATTAAGGACATCAGGACGACGGCCAAGAAGTATCACACTGGAGGCCCCAGCGATACAATAGTTGCGTGCAATGGCATGACCAATGCCCGTAGAGCCGCCACAGATGAGCACGGTCTTTCCGGCTTGGGACAGCTCTGGACGTTGAGGTGAGATCGCCTCGTATGGCTTGTCGTGGATACGCTAGAATGTTCAGTAGTGTTCTAGGAGTATCTGATAGGCTGGACATACAACAGAGACACCGTTGATGGTTGTAGTCGACATGTTGGTGGTTTTGAGTCGTTGAAATTGGATAGTTTCACTCTTTGTTCTTGGGAAGCAATAAAGAGAAGCTGATGTTTTATTCAAGAATCTAGGCAGTTCCTTCAGTATATATATTCTTTCCATGACATCTTGCTCCTTGTCGACTCTTGATATCGTGGACTTAGTCAGCTCCTTCGTCTCAAGAACAAGGTTGCATTGAGCGTATATTCGTCCCAGACTGGTATAGTCTCGGATGATCCTTTGTCTCGCTACGGATATAGTCATCGATTAGCGTTGATTTTGCGGGGTCGGGAATGGATATTGCAAGGATATTAGTCAAACGGGGCCGTGTCAAGACGAGTGGGAACTAGTTCTATCGTTACACGTTGGTTCAATACCCAATAAAACATGCCCATAGTGGCAGAGGACATGAACAAAGACTCGAGACAGATCTTTGTCCCAATAGCCTAGATAATTGAAGGGATATCCTGCTCGTTCAGCCTGTTCTCGACTGGAATGTTTTAGAAGCAAATCACTATACACAGAAGTCACTTCCACGCAACAACACATGCAAACAAAGCCAAAGCTACTTGCAAGGGTGCTTCGGCAAGTTCCACCATACCTCGATCCTTATACCCATCACACCAAGACCGGCGAATCTCACCTTGTGGCGTGTCCTTGTCTTCCAAACTCCCATCCATGCATTACCGAAAAATTCCCAGCTGTGGATTAAAAAACAATGCCGACCCAAATCGACGACGACCAACAGCCCGCTGCCCAGTCAAGGAGCCGGAAGCAGCATACCCGTAGCCGTACAGGATGTCTTACCTGCAGGAAGCGCCACAGGCGATGTGACGAGCGTCGGCCCGTCTGGTCAGTTCCCCATCTTTCCTCTTCGGGACGAATAGACGCCATCACGCACACCTTTTCCTGTGCGACCCAGCAACCAGGCTGACGAATCTCCAGTGAGAACTGCGACACTGCAGGTAGGCAGTGCGAGTATCCCCTGCCCAACCTTCCTCTTCGGGAGCGTAGAAAGACGAACCTGCCCGGGGAGCAGCAGCCTTGGGCTCCGGTTCCGCCAGCCGGGTTGGCGGTGGTACACTTGCCCCGCCCGACCCGGCCTGTTGGACCGTGTTTATCCCAACAGGCGATTAATATGCCGTTCAGGTCGAATGAGCTCTTTAGTTACTGTGAGTGTTATACATCTAATCAAGTATCGATCGTCGCTCTGACCAACGGTAGTTTATGAACTCGAGGACCCTGTCGATATCGCCCCTCGGGATAAACGCCAAGGCTTGTGAGGCAAATCTCTCCTACTGACTCGTTCGGTTACTAATCCACCAGGCTGCAATCTGTTATGCAAAGTCCTGATGCACTCCGCAACACAATGCTCATTGCTGGTCTTCACTATGGATGGAAGGCTGGCCGTTTGCAGGTATTCGAATCCACGCTGCTGTTCCACAAGGGCGAGGCTATGCGATTGGTCAATTGGCTTCTTGTGCAATCGGATTCGAGACGGTACCATGAGTGTATTAGACACATTGCTACTTTGTGTCTCACCGAGGTGAGACCTGCATTGTTCTATGGTGGGTAAGATGCTGACAATCATAGTGCGCCTTTGGCAATGTTTTGGTAGCAGAAACTCATCTCAATGGCCTCATGAGATACATGGACTTTCACAAGCCTCCAGACTCACCATTTGCTGATGACGAAAGCGTGGAAGAGGAACTGGCAAACCGATATGTCATTCTGTACGTACTTTCTGTGGGGGTGTGTATAACTGCTAACCAGGCACAGCACATACAACTTTATTTACGGATTTAAGAGCCGTCTCCGCGATATTCTCCACGAAGATGATCGCGTGCCTCCCGACACGAACCCCGATCCCAAGAGACCTGACCCCGACACAGTCCAGGAACTCATGCATTCGTGGCACAAGGACGAGTTCCGAGGTCTTGATATCAGACTCAAGGCCATGAAGATGGTTCCGTATTTCTTTAACCAACTCCCACCGAATGCCAAGCTTTGGGATATCGACGGTACACCCATGTTGGAATGCTTGACAAGGATTACTGAAACGTCGGGTTTCAAGCGGAATTCGGCACGCGAGGCTATTCAGCAGAATATGTGGCTTGAAGGTGCTGTCACCAGACTTCTACTCGCCTTGGTAGGATGCCACATCGAGTCGCTATCCGGGGATTACACGAGAGGCTTGAACAGAAAGAACCGGTCACCACTGGTGACTTCATGGTCAGGCATGTGTTCTGCCTCTGGCCTTTATCTCCACGCTGTTCTCGGTATCTGGAACGCTGGAGAACCAATCGAGTCACGAATGCATCGACGTGTTTTATACATAGTCAAGCAAGATCTGGAACGCCACCGACCGCAAAAGAGGGATCGAAGGGCTACAGATCTTTGGCTATGGAAGGCCTACGTGTGTGCTTTCAGTCTGGAAAGACACTTGCGACTGGACGGCGATCAAGGACTTTTGATTCCGCTTCGAAGAATTTTTGGTGAATTAATTGCAGAGTGGAGTTATATGACGGAGGTCACGGACTGGACACAGGCAAGGAATGCGTTGACGAGGATTGTCTGGCCTGAGTCCTTTTACTTGGAGGATATGTGCCAGTTGCTTTGGTATGGCAGTGTTTCCTCTGGGAGTGTTTTCTCAGAGAGTGTTTCCCCAATTTGAGATGATAGTACCGTGGGCATCATTGGCGCATTGTTTGGAAGGAGGCGCTACTGTGTTAGCATTGGGATATGGTGCCATGATGTGTTGACAATGCGTTCTTTGTTATAGTTGAATCTCGGCCTTTGATGGCATAACTGAGCCAGAAGACTGCTCCAAAGGGGCCAGGGTGCAGGGAAAGGAGAGATCTTTGTTTACGACTAGACAAAATGTTCACTCACTTTCTATGTTCACTTGACTGAGAGATTGTCCGGAAACTTCTTTGCAACGAGAAAAGTGTCCCAAGAATAGGAAACAAACTTAGAACACCCCAAGCTCCGTGATTGAACCCATGTAGTTGTTTGAGATTGCAGACCGTTGCCCTTCCTCTGGCTTCAGCCGAATACTCCAATCTTTAATCGTCCAAGCCCTAGCTAACTTTCCGTTGGAAGGACAGACATTTGTCCCTTTCTCCTGAGCGTATTTCGTGAGTGAATCCATCTAATTAGTCAAGGCACCATTCCAAGCTCCGCACTTACTCAGCCAGTCATTCATGGTCCTCACATTGTAATTTGAAAAAAGACATTTTCTAAAGGGTCTAATAACCCATATTTATTTATCTACCTAATCTATCCTCTGCTTTAGCAGGGAGGTCCGGGCCCGGACACTTGGTGCGCAAAAGTCTACAGGTCGTGCCTGGACATCAATATCCCATTTTTTTTCCTTTTTTTTTTTTTTTTTTATCATAGCCGGCTTTTTCCTAGCTCATGACGGGGGGTTGAGGGGAGCCCATGGAAATCGTCATTTCCAGGGGGGACGGGGGTGACTCAGTCTCAAGAACTTACTGAGGGCCAATAAGATACTGGCGCATGCCGGAGTTCTTGGCCTTGCCAAGAGTCTTGACGGACAGGCCCTCCTTCTTAGTAATCGCGAGGATCTCATCCTCGCCACGCTTCCAAGATGGAAACATCTTGTACGTCGTACCGGCGGAGATCTTGTATCCCCCAAAGTTCTCACAGACCATGTCCTTCAGGGCGGTGACCTTGAAGAAATGCATAGCCTTGTCCATGTTGGACTCGTAGGTCCAAGCGGACTTCGCATCAGCCACGATCCCAGCGTGGTCCTGGATGCCCTCCAGATAGCGAACAAAGAAAGCCGCATACTCATCCGTCTGGTAAGACGACTGAGCACTATGGCTCTCCGTGGCAGATGGTGCGTCCTGACCAACAATCAGTCGATCAGAACTCGCCAAATGGCGGCGGAATTCAGCGCAGCGATCAACGCACATGTCATCAGGGGCATTGTAGAAGATGCTGCCAAGAGAGAGGAAGAGTCTCCCCTGTGGGATGTTGTGAAAAAAGCGGTCGCCCTGCTGGAAAGAACCCCAGAGGCCGACACACTTAATGGTAGGAAAAGCCTCCTTGACCTTGTCAATGTGGCGGATTAGGGAGGACTCGGACAGATCCAGAGGCACATAGGTGCACTCCTTGTTCTGAGCGATGAACTCCTGGGCGTACGGAGCAAACTTGAAAGAGTCAGCAGCGCCCATATCGATGATACAGGTACCCGAGGGCAGCTGGGCAACGACCTCCTGAGCGGTCGATTCGATGATGCTCAGTTCATCCGTGGTCTGGTACGAGCGGTTAGCAATAGCACACCACTTTTCCATTCCCTTAATGTAGGCGAGTTCCTTGGGAAACCAATCTGTACCGGCAATGGCGGCAGGCAGGTTACTGGCAAAAGCCGTGTCGAGCTTACTGCCACCAATGTCGAGGACCTGGCGGTCAACGGGATTCCAAAGAGGAGTAGACATGATGTCGATGGCGTAAGAAGGAAAGCGGTTGGTGTGTTGTGAAGTGGTGGTGGTGGTGGTGTTGCTTGCTTTCTTAGCCGAGAGGGTGAGTGTGGGTGAGAGGGTGAGGAGAAAAAGAAGAATCGGTCTTAAGAGAGGGTTTGTGAGTTTACATAGTTGTTGAAAGTTGTTGGCTGTGAAGTCTACGATGCGATGATGTTCATGAGAATAGGGGAGTTTTATGTAGTTCTGAGTGTGTTCCCGCGTGTCCTGCAGCGTGAGAGTATCTGTGATAAGGTGTTCACATATTGGAATTATGAGTAACTAGCAACGTTGTGTTCAATGTGTGATTGGGCAATGAACATTGGTTAGAACAGTCTTTCTCACAGTCGAGTAGAACAAACTGTGAGGAACAGCCAATGGGCAAAGCACGGGTACGAGCGCAACTTCCGACCAGCTATCGAATGTCCGGACCAGGCAGCTGACTACCGTCGGAACGTTTGGACATTTGAGAACGTGTTTGGTTTAATTTTCAAAGGAGTGAACTGGCTTTGAACGCGCGAGTCGTGAGGGCTGGGACTTGCTGGTATCATTGCCTGAACACCATTATAGATACTGGCCAATTCAAGGTCTGGACTAGAACTTTGCGGGACATTCATATTCTGGTTTGAACACGGATAAATCTGTCGTAACATATGGTAAAAGTACTTGGGGTATTATCTAGTATTAACTCCAATATCAATATTATGTTGTATACTACTTCGTTTACTACTTTATCTAATACCCTATGTCTATGCAAATGGATACCTTGAATTGATGATTGGGAATAATTTTCTTTTATTAAATGAGTAAGAGAATTGTGTGCATATATGACCTTTTCGCTATTTTTCTATTGTTTACAACCATGGGTTCATAAGACACGGGCTATCCTTGATCGCGAACCTTGACGATTATCAACTTGGGTTGTGTGACCGACAAACGATGGATGACCAACTTGACTGATTTGTAAGATTTCTATGCTCTGAGAAATTGACCATATTCACTTGAATTCAACCTCTGTTTCCTGACTATCTTCTAGTGTTTGTAATCTGATAACCTCAACGAGGTGATCTGATCTCTGTGCTGACGAAGCGAGCGGATAAACAAACATAATCAATCCCATAGTCGTGGACCACTCTTGGAAGGTATTTGAGATGCAAAAAGGATTCTAAAATAAAATTTCTCAAAAATTGAGCATATCGCGCATTGATATGGGCAGCGAGATCCCTCGGCTTCATGAGGGGGCATAGTCCAATTGTTTCCACCAACCTAGCAAGAGTTACCATGGGAAGTATCACAGAGTGACAAGTTTGCACAAATCGAAAAGGAGGTAGGAATAGATTTCTTGTTCTCTTTTCCTCATCGCTGGGCCACCTCAGTGCAGCTGTCATATTCGCAAAATGGTTACCGCTTCTGGTGCTACGTTGAACAATGAGGTTGGCGGGCTTTGGTCAGGGAGGGCGCCCGGGAGAGGAGTCGTGCAAGGCTTTCTTGGCGATAAAGATATTCGACTTGTGGCACCCACCGAAAAGCTCACCACACAATCACCCCTCAGACAATGTCTTTGTCTGCCATCCATTGCTCCGCAGCCCAGACCCGCACGAGGTCCGTGGATCAGATCAAGGTCTCTGAGAAGGAGGAGGCCTCAAGCCCTGAAAATTTGATGCCCAGATCCCAGACGCGTCTCCTCCTGCCCAACTGATCGTTGAGCGCAGCTGAGTGCGTTGACCAACCGTGTTGTGCAGTTTGTCTCAGATCCTGCATATTCCACCCCGACCCCTCATCTTGTACCCGAATCTGACATGCCAGGCGAATATTTACCATCTTTAATGGTTCCTGTACAGCCTGAGGACGACTGATGGTGGTCTTAGGATGAAGTTCTATAGCACCAGTCAGATGTGACAACAGCGACCAACTTACAGAAACAACGCGACAGGATGCCATTTGCATCCATTACCGCGAGAACTGAGGACTCGGGAAATCGTTGCGGGGACAGCTCGACTGTCTCACCTGGGCGCAAAGGGCCTTGTCTTCATTCGTCAGTAGTGCATCGTGGTGGAAGATTGCATGTGCCTCAATTTTGCGACAGACTGAGTCACTTTCTGACTTGGGTGGCTAGGTAGATGGATTTGCTCGCTGGGATGAGTAACCAGAGGGTCCTTCCCAACGGCTACGCATCTTGGTTACGTTTGCGAGAACTGGGATCTAACGTCACTCCCGAAAGGGCTCGAGAGCCAATACTCTATAAAACCCCCAGCTGGAAATAAACATCGAGGATGTACTCATCGCTATGCCAGTGGAGCCTGCTGCTGTCCGCATGTACTTGCTTTGTCTACAGAGTCGGATCAACGCCCATTCATCCAGACAGGCCGATGCTATTCGTTATCACATGAGCTGTGTCAGGCAAGTACGAGCCGGGGCAATGGTACTCATGCCCCGTGTGCGCGACGTGACTGAGGGAATTTGTGTAACCCCAGATCAAGGATCTGAGTGTATGTGATACGCAAGGAGCATACGACATGAGAAGCGGGGGCAAAGCATGCAGGAAGCTGCGATTCATATGCAGGGCAGGCGCGATCTATTTAAGGGAGGGAGGAGACCCTGACCAGGCTCCGACAGAAGAGAGAATATCGCCCATGAGCACCTCTACCAGCAACCATGGGTCTGTACACCAAGCTCGCTGACGAGATCGACGAAGTCGACATCATTATCGCCGGAGGTGAGATGTCCGTCTGTCAAATAATGGGGATAAATACTGATCATTCAAGGCGGCACCGCTGCCTGCGTCGTGGCTGGACGTCTCGCAGAAGCTGACCCAAACCTCTCGATCCTCGTCATCGAAGGCGGTCCAGACAACCGAGGCATCCAGAACATCGGGAATCCCGTCTTCTATCCTGATCACTTGCTGCCCACTAGCAAAGCGACCATATTCTACAAAGCCAACAAGGCAGAACAACTGGCCGGCCGAGAATGCATTGTTCCCTCGGGCGGCGTGCTGGGTGGAGGGTCTTCAATCAATTTCCTCATGTACACCCGCGCCCAACGATCTGACTTTGACTCTTGGAACACGCCCGGATGGTCAGGAGAAGAAATGCTTCCGTTCTTGAAGAAGGTAACCATTGGCTCGACTTGTTCATTGTAGTTCTGCTACTGACACTCCCAAGTTCGAGACGTATCATGGCAAAGGCAACCCAGAACTTCACGGGTTCGACGGTCCAATCCATGTCAGTGACGGCACTTTTCGAAACACCAAAGTGGAAGACGATGTCCTCCAGGCTGCAGCAGCCGTCGGGTGGCCTGAGATCAAGGATCTACAGGATCTTGACAGCAACAACGGGTTCGAGCGCTGGCTTCGTTACATTTCGCCGGATGGCAAACGACAGGACACTGCGAGAAAGTATCTGCATGACAAGCTCGAAGGGAACAAGTACCCTAACCTTCACATCCTTGTCGAGTCCAAGGTTGTTCGAGCCTTGTTGGATGACGAGAAGCGAGCTGTTGGCGTCGAATACACCCCCAATCCTGCGTTCCAACTCCAACTTGCTGCCACCCAACACCCGAAGCGCATTGTTAAGGCTCGCAAACTTGTGGTTGTTTCATGCGGCGCCTGTGGTACGCCCTCCGTTCTCGAGAGGTCAGGTGTCGGTAATCCCAAGATCCTCAAGAGAGCCGACGTCCCTGTTCTTGTCGATCTCCCTGGTGTCGGTCACGAATATGAGGACCACAACATCATTCTCTACCCGTACAGGACAGGCCTTGAGCCACACGAGACTGCTGATTGGATCTTCAGAGATCCAGAACAACGACAAGCGCTGGTTGATTCAAATCATCACCAGATTGGTTGGAACACAGTCGAACTCTCGTCCAAGCTGCGACCAACAGAGGCCCAGGTTGATGAACTTGGTCCCGAGTTCCGAGCTGCGTGGGACAAAGACTTCAAGGATGTTCCAAACCGTCCATTGATGCTCACAGCTGTTATCTCTGCGTACGTCAGCCAAACAATGAACAGTGCTGTGCTAACAAGTGGTAGTTTCTATGGAGACCTTGCGACTGTTCCGATGGGACAATACATGACCATTGCCAACTACACTGCGTACCCCTACTCTCGAGGCCACCTTCACATCACTGGACCTGAAATCACCGATCCACTTGACTTCAACGTGGGCTTCCTCACAGACAAGGGTGACATTGATCTCAAGAAGCAACTGTGGGCCTACAAACGATCTCGTGAGATCATGCGACGGACCGAATTGTACCGCGGTGAGATTCCTGCCGGTCATCCAAACTTTCCTACTGGCTCCAAGGCGGCTTGTGTCGATCTCGGCGAGAGACTGGAAAATGTCGAAGATCTGGAGTACTCGCCAGAGGACGACAAGGCTATTGAGCAGTTCATTCGTGAACGAGTTGAAACCACATGGCACTCGATCGGTACGGCCAAGATGGCTCCCCGTGAAAAGTTTGGTGTCGTGGACAAGGGCTTGAACGTCTGGGGGACAAAGGGTCTCAAGCTTGCTGATTTGAGTATTCCACCCATGAACGTTGGAGCGAACACGAACAACACGGCTATTGTGATTGGCGAGAAAGCTGCAGATATCATCATCAAGGAGCTGGGGCTTGGTAGCAAAGCAGCGAAATTGTAAGATAGCAGCCGAGGGCTCCCTTGGGCACATTGTCTATCGTCCGCCTAGTACAGGTTACTTGAGATGCTACCCTGAGCGCGTTGCCCCTCCCTCTGGACTGAGGCAATTGTTCCTCAAACTGGCCAACACCCTGGCTCAGCGCATTTGAAAAGCCACAGTATTCTCCCCCCACTCTCACTACATACAAGCTGAAAAGATTGCACATTGACGACTGGACTCGACCCACCATGTCACAGGTTCTCACTGGCTGGTGATGCCCATCCAGATACCAGGCTGCACACATTGCGCCCACCGGTGGGCCCTGGAAGCGGTCTGCAGTTATTTCAACCCCTAAGACTCTGTGATAAGAGATCAGGCTGGCGCTTGAGTCGGAAGCCTCGGGTGCCGCCCGACGTTGTTGCACGACATAGTCTATTGCCCCTCTTGAGGTACGCCTGCGTATCGTTACGTTCCACTTGAGTTGTATACTATTGGCCAGAGGCCTCCCAATGGTGGAATGGCGACAGCCTGATAAGAATATCTCTCTCCGTCGTTTTTGTTTGCTCTGCTCCTTGCCGATACAAGGCTCCTCCGAGATATCAGAACACCCCGTAAGATGCCGTCGCTACTCCGACAACTTCTTTCTCCGTCCATGTCAATTCAACTTGTGTTTCTCTGTCTCCTGCAGTTATGCTGGGCTCAAATACCCAACAGTGACGTGGGACAATACCCGAGCGGTGTTGTCACGCTGATTGCTGCCAGCTGGCTGTTCTTCAGAAACAGCACATCCACTCTGTATGGTATGCTTCCTCAATACTGGCTGGTGCCTGGTCTTCAGAAGGCGAAGAAACAATTCCGCGATGGCTTCGGGCACGTGGAGTGTTGCCAGAAGAACTGTTACCACGGGGACCAAACCGACATTATCAACCAGGCCGAGAAGCTTCGACAGGAGTTTGCCGCCAGAGGCATCAGCCTGGAGGATACCAGTAAGCAGATTGTGGCGTCAGGGTGTTGGTCTCTTTCCACCTTGGTTCACGCAAGTGACGATGATGTTCGACGAGGGAGCCAGCTGTTTCTCACCAGTCAAAGACAAACGGAACAAGAGTGGCTAAGGGACTTCCGGGACTGGGAGAGAGATGCGAATTCTGCGGCAAGGAGGTTCTGGGCTTCCGGCGACATGACAACTATCTCGGACCTTTTAGATCACCGCGTTTGCATCAAAACTTTCGATGCAATCAGCGTCAGAGTCGGAAGTCGACGAAGAACAATGAACCTCAGAAACGCTCGCTGCCTCCTTACCCATTCCGTTGCTGCATCTGCAGCTCGAGATTCAAAGCGATGCATCGTCTTTGAAGCCATGCTTATCTCGATATGGGCTGGCGTTGCTTTAATCAATGACCAAGCTCCGACACCTGCGAACACTCCAGCGAGACAATGGGCCAACCCAGTTCTCGTTTCAGCTTCCACCCCAAAACTTCAAGCAGTAACACCACCAGCAGGCTCCAGACTAGCCTACGAACCTATTGAGACCCACGGACTATGGGTTTACATGATTTCAATCACCGCCGCGCGAGTCACAATCAGTGCTGCAACAACTCTCGGTAGCTCAGGTAGTATATGGCTTGCTGTCTTTGCTGGCTTGTACCTGACCCACCCGTCTGCTGCCGGTTCTTTTGGCCGGGAGAAGGACGATGCTCGCGCCGACTGCGGTCTGATAAGCGGAGAAGGTTTCTACATGAACTTTAGTCGGGAGACGATGCCTGCGCACGTCAATCTGCATGAAAGACTAGAGAGCCTCTCTATTGCGCTCTCGGTGGTATTTTCCATCGTCGTCAGAATTTTGAAACTACGGCTAAGGTCCCTGCTCGGCTACGGTGACTGGGTTCCTTCTGCACCATGGCAAATGGTTCCAGGCATTCTCCTTTCCTTATGGGCAAGTCTGATCTATGCCGCTGAGATAGTTACAAGACTGGACAGGAAGTCATTTGAGTCGAAGGACCCGGTGTTTATAGGCTACAAGGCCTTTGTCCTTGCTTCTTCAGCTGCTTGTGTCTGCTTAGGCGCAGCGAGCATCACGACCGCATACAAGGACTCTCTCCTCTCGACAAGTTTGAGATGGGCAACGTATGGGGTTGCCGAGTTTCACAGTTGGCATGTTTGTATATATTACTTTCATATTGATCAAGTAGACGGGCCGGATATGTGGTTTGCTTCCACCTCGACTTTGGCTGCAACGTGGGGAGCGGTACTTTTAGCTGTGGCATCCGATTTGGGAGAATCATTATTGTAGAGTTGTAATACTTGGGAAGACTTGCTGTCAAGTCATTGCTTGTCACGCATGACGCGTTAGACATCCTTTAAAGACTGATGGTTCGGCCGTGATTAGAGACTGATATCCAGGTCAATAAAACACATAATCATACCCTCCAAGAAGACAGATGAACCAACCAGTCACGATCTTGACTCGCATCTTGATGAACTTGCAAGGGGTGAATAGATAGCGCTTGGGGAGGCGATACAGGGGATCATCTGAGGGCTCCAGGGAAACGGACGTGAGCATCTCCTCGCTGGGCTAGGAGTGGAGGCGACCGCAGTAAATTTCATCCTATGCCTCCATGTAACTACCACGTGTTATTTTGACTCTTTAGGGCTCTCTAAGTAGAGTTAATTGCAAAACACAATACATGCCTTTCGAATCGGCTTATTGCTACTTGAATTTCGGTCAAAAAACCTTGCAATTATGTCAACAAAGAGTTATTCGGTCCGCATTAACGGTGTGTTCTTGTCCAACATAGCTTCAAAAGATTGAAAACTTTATCTTGGAACATAAGACTGCCGAAGTTCAAGGTAAAATGAAAGTAATTTAAATTCGAACGCAAAGGTGCATTGCGGTATTACCTACAGCAGCTGCCTGGGCAAGCTTGAGTGCGAGACGAATAGCTATATAAGTGAGACCGGCGCACTGGAGGATCCCTCAACCTTTCAAACACAAATCCCAACACACCACCGCCTTCAAATCTAATCTACTACGCATCTCCTAAACACATCCTTGGACAGAACAGCAGTTGGTCCGTGAATCACTGTCACCAGATATCGGCAGTGGATCATTGCGACTGCATAACCACTGCCAGCTGCCGACGGCTGCCAGCTTGATCCAACTTCCCCCTTTCCCCTCTCTTTCTTTAGTTTTCACAAAAACAAAACAAAAGCAACAACCATTCTTCGTCTCCGAGTCACCCAGAACCATGGCGCGTTTCCTAATGGCTCCCAACCAAGCATCCATCCACTCCTCAGGGAGCACGCATCTTCAGACTTGCCTGCTCGGCATTCCAAATGAACTGATAGATATCATCTTCAGGCACATTGATAAGCCCACGCAAATTTGCTTTGCGTTGACCTGTCGATCTCTTTACAGCAACTATTTTCGCGAAACCGACCCTTGGTATCGGCGCAAAAGGGACTGGTACTGGAGAAAGGATTGGCTAAGCCAGTTGGAAAAGGATATCCCCCACTATTACTGCTGTCTTCAATGTGCCAAGCTTCACCGATGGGATGTGCCCGCGAAAGAAGATTGCTCTGGCCGGAAGCAGTGGAAAGGGTATCTGGGCCTTCATCCTGCTCAAGACTGGGAAAATCATCGTGCTCAAGTCTGGGAAAATCATCCTGCTCGAGACTGGGAAAAAGAGTGTTTCGAGTTCCCAGTAGGCGAGGATCATTGCCTCACGTTCCATGCCGTGAGGGTCATTATGAACCGCCATCTTTACGGTCCTCAACACGGCATGCCTCTGGAAGCGATCACCCTGGATACCCATAAGGTGTGCCAGGAGACTGGCACGTCGGTTGATATGGCCGTTCGTCCACGAATAATCAACAGCGAATTGCTCCTCTCTGTCCGCTACAAGATACTACACACTCAAAACGACACCAAGAGCCTGGAAAAGTTCCTCATGCAGGCTAGGTGGCGTGTTTGTCGACATCTACAGATTGGGAAGCACTGGACCAGAGGTAACTGTTGGTTCGAGCGCCACATCCATTTCGTACCACTCTGTGTCCCAGAGCTCGAGAGAATACGTTGGCCTTTACGGGACTCTGCAAACGCGATTGGAAACGTCAGGGCCTGTGGAGTTTGCATGACAGATTATCAAGTCAAGATCAGCCGGCGATACGACGGACAAGAGGCGAAGGGCTGGTGTATCGAGATCGCCGTGTGGCACCAACTGGGGAATGGTCGTGATCCCCACGATGAAGCGCGTTGGTTTAATTTGGCGCACGACGGATACCTTGGCCCCATTCGAGACTGCATGCCTGGTTTTACACGACCAGGAATTGTACGACACAGGTGGAGCAAAGGTGATAGAACTTTGCTTGCTGTCGAAGGAGAGTATGTGGAAGGTACGGAATGTCTACCAGAGGAACTCGCTATAGATCAAGACGGAAACGTGGTGTTCAGCTCTGGCTGAGGTACGCCGGGACACACTGAGCACCCCTGCGAGGCGACAGGTCTGGAACAATGTCCAATAGCGCCCAGGACCGGCTTGCAACTTCTTGAGCACGTGGTGAGGGGTTTGTAAGAATAGAAATCTTTACCCGAAACAAAACCCGCGAGTTATTTTCCGTGACGACTCAACCAAACGTGCAACATGTCGGCTAACGGATTTCGCTATGTTCCGCTTGGCTCTCAACCTGGCGGGTTCCGTCTTCTCACGCTCTTACCAGGCAGCTCGGACACGCCGCTTCACTGTCAATTATCCAACTCCAACCTAACTACCCGCCCGGTCTACGATGCGTTATCTTATGTATGGGGTAAGCCCTCAAATCCCAATGACTCGAGCAATGTCCTAGTTCTTGATGGACATCACTTTCCGGCTACGGCGAACCTCGTTTCAGCTTTGCGACATTTGCGTCCACCTGTCGGGGGACACCCAATCACCCTCTGGGTAGATGCCGTGTGCATCAATCAGGAAGATCTGAATGAGCGAGGCCAGCAAGTTTCAATGATGCGGGATATCTACGCATCAGCGGAGAGAGTTGTAATTTGGATTGGAGAGGAAGGTGATGGTAGCGATGCCGTGTTTGATGCGCTACCGGTGATTGCTGGGCCAGACGGGCAACAGGGCACAGAAAAATTGAGGCTGATGCGTGAATGCAGCAGCTTCTTCATTAGCATCGTGGATCGCCGCCCATAATTCTCACGCACTTGAATTCTTCAAGAACTGGCCATGGCCAAGCAAGACCCCTTGGTGGTTTGTGGATGGAAATCTGCGCCATGGTCGCTATTCATCAAAGGATGGGTGGCTATTGCAAGAGATGCCTTCGCGGAATTGGGCATGATCCGTGAACAAGACACAAAACAAGGAGGGAGTGCTAGCAACAACGCCAACACTGGTGGCGACTTTCAGATGGTTGCATTGATGAAGCTCGATGTCTTGAATGAACTCAGGGAGGAGGCCATGCGGACCCAGGGTGGGGAGAGTCTGAGGAAATTACTGATGATCTCGAGGTCCTCAGAGGCCACCGACCCAAGGGATAGGATCTATGGGCTTCTTGGAATGCTCAAAACGGATGGGCTCGGCACTAATATCCCCGTTGACTACCATAAACCGACCGCGGCGGTTTACTCAGATGCCATGGCACACATCTTCTCTCAAGGAGAAGGCCCATACTTCCTGTCAGGAGTCTGGCTTCCAGGAGTTTCTGCTCCTGCTCCTCGCATCGACTCTCTTCCACCAACAGTCGAACAGCCAAATCTTCCATCTTGGGTTCCCGACTTCTCACGACAGATAGCCGGCAAGGCAACACAGACAAGCGGTATTCACTTCCATCCGCCAGCAGGAACTAGCGCATCTGGTGCCGGGGCGGATTGCAACAATGGAAAGAGGTTGGATGACGAAAGAACGCTGCAGGTAGAGGGTCTCTTTGTCGACACAATCGACCAGGTCATATCGTTGGGCACATCCCTCGATTCATGCATCGAGAAACTACCTGCTCTGGAGGCTGTAGCGTCTGAAGCCAGGCAATGGACTTGTCAGCTCAACCCCACGATTGCACCATTTATAGATCAGTTCAAGACAAAGGAGCCGTTATGGAGGATCTTGATCTCGAACAAGCGCTTGAGATCTGGCTACGATGCCGCCCCTTCGTCTTACGAGCATATGTATCTGAGCCTCCTTAACCGGCATGCCACGAAAGCCGATCCAAATAATGACGGCCAGCAAAACGAATATGAGCTGTGTTTGAATCAAGGAATTGGGAAACGGTCTTTATTTGTCTCTAAGAGCGGGTTTGTAGGCACCTGTGTGGCGGAAAGTTGTGTTGGAGACACGATTGCAATTCTTTTTGGGTCACCAGTACCATTCATCTTGCGTCCGATAGCGCGAACCGGTCCAGAGACTGGCAGAAAACTGTACGCACTCGTCGGCGGTTCATATGTTGGGGGTATTATGGGTGGTGAGATGGTAGACGAACTTTACTGCGAGGATTTGATGGATTCCACCACGTTCTTTATTCAGTAGAGCCTCCATATTCATATTAACCAGCGATTTGCTTTCAACTTGAACCATGGCCCCCACTCTACTAAGTGCAGTCAAAGTGGGAGAACTCTCACTCAGGCACGGAAGTGAAATGCGGATCGACATAACAACATCCTCTCATCATTCAAGATAACGCGGTATTAAGTATTACTTCCAATCTCCCATCACCAAGCAAGTTTAAAATCTCTACATGAGTATAGCAGCAATCAGAAAGATAGACAAAGACACTCCAACAAAACTTCCCGTCGCCTTGGAACCTGCAGAATCATCATCCTTGCCACTGGTACTGTTGGATGATCCTGCAGACCAATCCGTCTCGTTCCACTCCTCATACGTCAAACTAGTATTCAAGCGCGGCCTCAGGTCAAAATCAGCAGCTGTGACCTCCTTGGAACTCGTCGTGCCATTCCAGCAATGTCTATCAAAACACTCCTGACACTGAGATGGCAGCTTGGTGTTTGTGCGCTGAAGAGCTCCTTTGATGGCGGCACACGCAAGACAAGCCGGCCAGTCAGAATCAACCGTGCCGTTGCCGTAAGTGGCGACCTGGAACGCATTGTCAAAGGCAATGTCGAGTTGCTGATCTGTGAATTGATCCAGAGTGTACGAGTAGTTGGTGTAGCCCGTCCATGGAGCGTTGGGGAGGTAGAGAAGGAGGGGCGTGTCCTTTGTGGCGTTGCAGCCGAAGAATGTTGGTTGTTTGGTGAGATTCAGGCCGACCATGGTGTTGACGTCTGGGATGTTGGGGAAAGGGATGTTTCCCTCCTTTGCGGCAAGGCCAGTGTCTGTAACCAGTCAACATTCGCTCTAAGCATGAACAGACGAAAAACCTACTAATCAAATTGGTTCCGTTGACCCAATCGTTGATGGAATCCGACGAAGCTTCGTACACGATAATCAAATCAAGCTTGCGATCAGGGATGATCAGAGGTCGAAGGGGGTTGGTCTCTCCCGTGAGGCTGCCGTCCACCTAATACTGTCAGAAGTGCTTCGCAAAAACTTGACGGAAACATACGAGAAGTAACTCCGAGACACCCTTCATGTCATTGTTGTAATCCTCAAATGGATTAGGGAATGTAGACCACAATGATTCGTTGAATGTGAGGTCAAAGTACTTGGCCGTCTCATTCACAAGTTGAACAAGAGGATTATCATACTGATCCTCAGGAACAGGAATATCATTGATATCCTTATTCACCATTTGCCTCTCTTGCAAGTATCGCTTTGCAAAAGTCGGAATGTCATAAAATGCGTCAATAAACCAGGCCGTAAACGCATTGGCCGTCGTCCCTTGCATAAGAGTGAGCTTATCAAATCCCTGAACGCACTCACTCGAGTTTTGTGCTTTGCCCTTGGACATGGCTGTTCCAAGCCACTTTGTGGCAATGAAAGCTTGGACTCTGCCTCCTAGCCAGCTTCCAAACTCGAATGGTGTGACTTCGTAAGCCGTGAGGTTGAAGCCGTTTGTCTTGTTGAAGCCGGGATACATGAGTTTGCCGATTTCTGGGGACTTGCCGGGGATGACTTCTGCAAGGGCTAGGATCGGCATGGGTGCATCTCCGAGGTTGAAAGCAGTGCCGTTGGCGGCAATGTCAGAGTAGTTGCTAAAGAGTTGATCTTCTGGGAGCCAAGTGCCCCAGAACTGTCCAAAGGTGTCGCCGACAGAGACGGGCAAACCAGCTTCGGCCTTGGCTCCAGTGTTTTCGAAGATGTCTTTGAGAAAAGCCTCTTGGTCTCCATCCGGCCCAGAGGCATAGGCCACTGAGAAATTGGTGGCTTTTCGTAGAGCATCAGTTGTGCTAAAATTGTTTGCGGCACTATCGCATTGGGTCAGCATATGGCGTCTGGGATGGGTTAAGAATCCTACAGCAACAAAACGGTCACGGCGCCGCCTCCACTCAGGCCCGTGATGTAAGATAGAAGCTGGGTTAAGCCTCCAGTGCGAGCCGCGACAGCAGCGTCAGATCGAGCATCGTACGCCTGCCAAATACCCAGACCTCCAAGACCAGATTGGGTGCCACCGCCAGAGACCGAAAGACCGACAACAGGAACATTAGTTGGCTTGAGCTTCTTGATGAAACTTGACACGTCAAAGTCGGAAATGTTGGCCAGCTTCAGGTAATCTTCCAAATTAGGGATCATCTGCTTTCCTCGTTGTTGTCTCCAGGCGCTCTCTTCCTTGGAAAGACCCTAACATCAGTCAGCTTATGAGCATCAATGAGGGTCCCACATAGCATACGTCTGAGGGATCGCGGACTCTCAAGTTCAATGGACAATTTGTGTAAACGGGAGCATAGGGGTCGGCATCAGCGCCACTCTGTTGTGCTTGTGCCGTAAAGCCATTGCTGAGTAGAGCTGGAAGCAGCAAATGCGTATGGGCTGTCCAATGCATTGTATCAGTGGATTCGTCTTTTCGTCGCCGTGAACAATTAGTCTACGATGAACAGCAATAAAAGACCATGAACAGAAGACTTTCTTTCTCATTTTTGCAAGGGAATGGGTCCTTATTATCCCCGTCCACGGAACAAATACCGATCAACCGATCTCCCTTGACGGGACTTGTCGTTGTGGAAACCTTCACCTCGGAAATCGCCAAATCTAGAGCCACATGCCAGCCATTGACGTTGACGACCGCAGCCACCGGTCCTGATTGGTTTTAGCAACGAAAACATGGGCAGCCAAGTATCTAAAATAGCTAGAAGGAAGAGAAAAATCTCGGAAAAGAATGGGGGAAGATGGCCATGTCTCTGATGTGGCCCTTGACGAGGCGCCCTAGAAGGAATGTGCTGAAAGGTGAAAAATTACCACTTGACGCCCGTGGGTCTCAGCAGAGAAAACTCCTGGTCTATGTCACGAGGTCTGCCTCCCCGGAGCGGATGAGGAACCCCTGATGAATGATGCAAAAGCGTTGCGCAAAGCCGTCGCTCCATTCTCCGATGAGACTCATGAGGCGCGCCTTGTTGTGATGGGGCAGGGGGCAAGTTGTCCTCTGGGTGTCTCTACCGACGTGGCTCATCCCGGAAGTCAGCAGGCGCATTGAGGCCCTTTCTCCGTCTGAATTTGTGTTACGAAGATTCGTCCACCATGGTACCTGATGACAGAATCCCACCTGGTCATGGTTGCACAATAGAGACACGCTCAAAACAAGATTCTTAGACACAGGATAGAGCTCCAGCACCTAAATCTGACAGAGAACCAGAAAAAATGCTACTCAACAGGTGGCTCATGTACATCGGTTCACTGGTGTTTGTGTCTATCGTGGTGGGCGTGGTGGGAGCCATTTCACACTGATTAAGCGTTCTGAGTATGGGTAGTGTGTAGGCGACACCTCCTTGATAGTGCTTGACAGAATCAGTATCTCATGGAACGCACTGCTTGTTCCAATCAATGACTACAGCTTTTAGAGTCTTTGACGTTCTTAAAAACGTCCTCGCTCTGAGAGCCCTAGATCTGGATGAGCCATGACTACTTGTCCAAGGACCCCACCGCGTCGCTGAGGATTAATGGAGCTTTTGTGTGCATAGAAAAGGTTGACTCTTCTGGCTCAAAAATACAGGATGGTCACCCCCAAATACCCCTTGGAATCCTTTCTGTTATCGTGGCTGCGCTGTCCCAGCTCGGTTCAACAATTATCGCCGTCATCACCCCTCAGTCGACGCTCATAGTGAAAGCAATTCTGTCAGAGTTTTCGCTTACGGGGTTGTCTAACTTGATAGGACTAAGGAGAGTACGGTGATATAAGCCACTTGGAAAATCGGCGGATGTCGAGACCATCCCTCTCCTTGAAGTTCTTACAAGTGTTACCCCAAAATCACATTAGATATAGTTATACAGTTTATCAGTGGAGTACAGAGTGTGTATGCCGCACAATGCAACAAATAGGGGAAAGTATGCTGTGGTGTACGGAGTTCGGCATGTGGGTGAAAGAAAACAGGGCTCGTCCTCACATACAATTCCTACGCGGCGAGCAGCCTCGTAATATTTCACCCCGCGTAAATGGATATCGTGGCTTGCATTGGTCATCAAGAATGGTCATAGTGCGAGAGACTATTTGACGCTCCCGCGCCCTCGAGCGTCAAAAGCGCACCAAGCCCCTGGGCTAGTTTGGATCTCGGTCTTCTTACTGCTGATGGTTGCTCGACTCACCACTAAAGCACCACCAGTTGCTGCTGATGCCTTGCTTTCGTCTGGTCTCATTTCATTATACTCGCAGTAGGATAAGTCACCGGCCGGCTATGATTGGCTTAGATCGCTGTGTGCTGCCTCTTGTTTGAACGTTGGCGCCCTCAAGAGGTCTTCATCTCCAGATGTGATCTCCAACTAATCTCTCGAACAAAAGGGGAACATCATCTTGGCCTGTAATTATTGGGGGAACTCATTTAAGCTAAATCGGTAAATGATAACAAAGTCTACGTAAATACGGACGCTCCCACAGTCGCTCGCCGCCTGGGTCGTTCTTCGTGCATCGTCCGTCATTGCGAGTGCATCCCCAATAGTCACTCTTTTCCTTGCCTCACTCTTAGTCACTCGCTACTAGACCATTCACTAAGTTCCCCGTTTCACTCAAGTAGACACAATGGTCCACTTCAAGCCCCTCTTCGTGGCCCTGGCCGCCGTCTCGACAGTCGTCGCCAGACCTCCTTGCAGACCCGACACCACGGCACCCACCATGAGCGCCACGACAACCGCCGAAGAGACTACCAGCACTGAAACTTCTACTACCGAGACGTATGCCACCGAAACTTCTACCACTATCGTTTCTACCACAACCACTAACGATGAAACTTTTACCACTGCTGCTCCTACCACCACGACCACCGAGTCTGATGTTTCCACCACATCTACCGCTCCAGAGACCACCACCTCGGCCCCTGCTCCCGTCTGTGGCGTCACCGGCTACTTCGTACCTGGTCATGACATGACCTACCTTTACTCTCCTGGATACAAGCTGAGCGCCAAAGAGTGTCTCGAGGGGTGCGCTGCTTACAGCGGCTGCGAGGTCATTGCCTTTTACTACACCGGCAGCTCCATCGGCCGTTGCGAATACTTCAAGGGGCCTCTTATTACCGATGGAGAACCCACCCCGTACAAGTGGTACGACGTCGGCTGCCTGGCTGAGATGTAGGCAAGTCGTTGGCAGAGTCATGATGTTTCGGCCACGGCAATTATAGTAGTTACAGAATGTTATCCTAATCGCTGCATCGGGGCTAAAGGGCGTTCAAATATTTGTATTCGACCAGGGCAACATATTTATTAGTATAGAATCTTGATAGATACGACACTCATGCGTGGCCATTTAACTCATAAATACATAGTTGGCACCAATTCGGTAATGTTAATAGACCCTCTACGTAAACGAGATATGTGATATATCACAGATTTCATAGTGGAAGCGGCATATATAGATCTCGGATATGCGATCTAAAATGAAGGATATATATCCAATGACCAATTCCAGACTAAATAGACATAACATGTCGTAAGCATACAATCATAGCGGGAGAACACTTGCTTGTAAAGTCCAAGATAGTATACCTCCCAAGCTTCTTGAGATTTGCTACGTAGGTAAGAGCCAAGGCACCGACTAGAATCATTCCCTCCATATCCCATTGATCCGATATTATAAACCACAAAATTCACCAAGCAGTCCCGTAGGAGGGTGGCAGGAGAGGACAAGTAACTACATAGAATTTGTTGAACGTAGAGAAGGTAGCACAAGGAAGAGGCAGGGCACAGAAGGTGGCACACAGACAGGACACACACAACACGCAGAAGTAATGGATACAGAGAGGAGAAGTCTCCCTCACCCATATTTCCAACAGCATTGAGAGCCCGAAGAGCATAGACCTCGCTCCAGGCAAACAACTTCATGATTCATGGTGGTCGAGGGCAGGGGTGGAATATTAAGCCGGTAAAAGGATGGAGAGATGTTTAGGGTAGGGTCAATGGATGGAATCCGAGCCCCCCGTGAATTTCTTGAATGTGCTTCGCGTTTCATTCCTGCATTAAGGATCTTCACATTTAATCGGTTCTCCAAGACGATTAGCGCACTTCCCACCACTACAGAGGCGACCAAGAGGCATGTGGCGGCGAGGACACATGGGTATGTGAACCACCCAAACCGTCAGCGACACCAAGCTTATCTCTCTCTTCGATAGTTCACTCGCAACCGTTACCCTCGAACCACCTTTGGAAACATGCCAAGGCCTTCGTAAAGCTCCTCTCTGGTCCGTCTGTCTTTTGGAAATCTTGACTCGGCTACCTTTGATATCAAGCCAGCCCCTAACCTTGTACCCCCATTCCACCGTAGTAATCTCTTTCACCCCCAGCGCCATCTTTTTAAAGCTAAATCTTATAAAGAACCATAACAGATGGGGCAAGAAAATGACAGCAAGTGGCACGAGCCTCTAAGAGCCAGCGGAAGACTTGACAGCTCGAACTCTGTTCAGTTCAAACTAATCTGCCGACATCAGTTGGGTTTATGGGGAAACACTGTATCGTGTGCAAAGAGCAATAGACACTAGAGAGAAGAGAATTGCCGTACTTGATGCGCTTTGGGACACGTTCTTAACCTTACGAGGCATAAGTCGTGACAGTTGCTTGCGCCATGCCTGATGGAATGCTCAGACCCTTTATGCCCATCGGTTAACGGCAACCTGTATTTAGGAGGGTTAAGATCAAAGTACTGCAAGTACTGTTGAAGATTCTGATAGCTGATACCATAGAGGAACGCACCTTAATTGCACGGACTACTAAAATGCGAACAGCATTTCTGATTCCACATGGCGGATCATCGTCATGAACTATTCGGCTCCTTAACCGCACGTGTCTGATGAAATGCATGACTGCTTGGGATATCCAATCGGTTCTAGGAAATGCAAGATTGCCTATTAAAGGGCAGACACTAACGATTTCTTGCAGGACAGTTCCCCTGAAGGACTGACCCATAAGCCACATGGGAAACTGCCAAGCGCGGAAATATCGCCAACTTCACCCCAACAAGCGAGAGGGGGGCGGAAATAGAGACCGTAGAGCTAGAGTCAACTTAAACAAGTCCCAAACCCGGTAGTTTGGCACGGATGTGATGAGTACGACCCCTGGGTCCAAGCGAGCTGGTTTCCGTTGAAAGCTGTCACTTGTCACGATAACCCCTGAACTCCCAAGACGAACCGCGTCAATTCAACCTTTCAACTATCACTCACATGGGAATAGTATCGCGAACCACTGAAAAGCCTTTGAACTGCATTCTTGCTTTCTAGTAGACCACAGCGTCACTGCGGACCACCACCCGCGCGACCGCAAACCGCACCGCGCTAAGCCCAGCCATTCAGCTCTAGCTTGCCTGCCGACTTGCAACGGGAGAAAAGCCACGGCGGCCGCGTCGTATCGCTCGACACGTGTCGGGACCCCAAAGCATGTCACCCTCCTTGATCGGCACCGTTTGACCCTGAAGAAAGAATGAGATTCTGTGATCCTTTTACTGATAGACAGATCGTGTGGATGGTCTTCCAGATGGCCTGAGCTGCGCTTAGACAGCGGGCTAATCGTCCACCTCAGCACGTTATCAAAATCCGCTGCAGCCACTACGCGTTAGCTGCCTCACCGTCGGTGGGTCGGAGAAGAAGCTAGGCTCGATCAGATCTGTCAATAGACCTAAGCGATGCGTCTTTGAAGAACCAGGAGCCCGGGCCGTGGTGCACGGTCAAAGGGGGAATGCTACGGTGGAGTTTGAGAGGATCTGAGCGTTTCTTCAACAATGACATCAAAGCGAGAAGCTGAAGATATGATGTGGATACCCTCTGCAACGGCAGCAGTGTGGCCGTTTACGCGGTCTGTGTCCCTGCATCTTGCGTCGCCCTGCAGGACACCACTGGCTCAGCTGAGGCCCTGTATCCAGATCCCGATTTCCCGTTCAACTGACTCGAGTCCCAGTAACGCCGACATGACAATGGTTTCAGGCCGCGTTGCTATCGCTCACTGGGCTATCGGGAGGCTCGAGACCCGTCAAATCAGGGCTTAGCGATAACCTGGGGTTTTGGGAGGCGGACCACCACGCGGGTCCGTGTTAGAGTTTCCCAGACCCCGGATCCAACACACTGCCGGGGTAGACGCGGCAGCTGTTGTGCGCCTTTCTTATCTCGCGTGTCCTTCAGTGGCTGATTCTGATGCAAAAGGGGCTTCACTTTTCGCGTCCAGAATGATCGGTAAGAAAGACGTGGCTGAGACCTAGCAAAAGGGATTTTTCAAGAAAAGCCTCTGCATGACTCTTGCATCTAACCATGGCATTTGAATGGCTTGGTCTGCAGAGAAGCCGTCGCTGCCGATGAACCGAACCAACAAATCGGTCTCGATCTAGCTATCGACTCCCCAGCTCAAACGTGAGTCCCGAAAACAGCCCAGCCAAGCACAGCAGCTCAAGTCCAGCCCGCCAAGGCCAGTAGGGGACATTGCTGCCACTCTGTTTTCAGCCATGGTGGCTTGTCGCGTCGAGTCAGGTCCTCACGTCAACGGTCCAATGATGGGGGTCTAGTGTCCTTGATAGGCCAGCCACGCAACCAGCCCAGAAGTCAAAGCGCTGATCCTCAGCCAAAAGGTGAGGGACCCCCAGATAAACCGGTTAGAGGTGATTCTCGTCATTGTCGTGTTTGTCGTCGAAAGCTTCAACTTGTCGAGAGATTGCAGTCTCAACCATGGCTGGGCTCGAGCCCAACATCTACTGGTCGACGGCCATCACATGGATCGCGGCGTCGGTGGCCATGGTGATGCGCTTCATGGCCCGGCGAATAACGAAGCAGCCCTGGTGGTGGGATGATACATTTTGTGTCCTTACCTATGTGGGTTCTCCGTCTTCTTGAGACATGATCAACATGCTTACAGACACGCCAGATATTTGGATGCCTCTACTCGGCGACCGTGTTAGAATGTACAAACCAACCTACGATATTCGCATCATTCAGAGTCTAACAATTCCTTGTAGGGACCATCCATTGGTACCTCGGTCAATACATGCCCGACGACCTCAGCGACGCCGAACGAGACCTAATCCTTCACAATGGACGATTCATCGGATTCTTCAACTCCCTGACGTATGCCTTTGCGATTGCCTCTGCGAAATTGGCCATCCTCTTCCTCTACTGGCGAATCTTTCAGCTATCATCGATCCGACTACCAATGCAGATCATGATTACCATGTGTTTTATCTGGATCATCGTTCGGACGTTCATGACCATCTTTCGCTGCCTCCCAGTACAGGCATATTGGGATAAGACGATTCCTCACGCCGTCTGCAGGATCCGGGATACAGAATTCTTCTTTAGCACGGTACTTACGCATTTCTTGATGGATCTTGCCATCTTGGTCTTGCCTATCATCGAGGTCTTCAAACTCCGCCTGCGCATGGGCCAGAAGATTGCTGTGGCCGCTCTCTTCATTGTTGGTTCCATGTACGTGACTTCCAGGCTCTGTTACTATTACGCCGCATCTAACTTTGTCGTAGTGTTTGTCTCGCGTCGGTATTCGCCATTGTCGAGGCCCTCAGTTATAATCCGAAGTCAACACAAATGCCCCATGACTATGGCATGTACTGCGTCTGGGGATCAGTCGAGATCAATATTGCCATTGTATCTGGTGAGAACCCTTAACCTTCAACCTATGTTGCGCCTCTTGACTAACTTCCAATAGCTTGCTTCCCCCTACTTCGACCTGTCATCCGCAACATCTTCCCCGCCCGCTTCCTCAGCTCCTACTACGGCAGAAGTAGCAGCCAACCCATCAGTCGTCCCAGCCGTGCTATCCGACTGGCTACAATATCGAGAACAAATAGGGAAAAGGAGAATGACGAAACGAGTTCGACGCATCAACTGGCCGATATCGAAAGTGGTGTCTCGGACGTTAGCGACTTCGACGTGGCGCCTAGGCCGGTACATAGTCATGAGGGTATTCGTACCGTGATATCGAGTCCATATCGTGAGGACATGGATCATAATGGGGCTGGGATACATGTACAGAAGGACATGGTAGTCGAAGTGGTGGCGACGAAAGGGAGTGAGAGATGAGAGATGATACCCCGGGGATTAATGAGCTATGTATATACTTAATAGACTTCAAAGATGCGCCGTACAAACAGATTGAGTACCGTGACTTGATGGTGCAAGGTCTCATGTCTATATTTGACGGCAATGCGACACCACTTTACCTACCGTCAGGACTTAGGACTCAGGGGAGGTTGGCTCGAGATTCGCGACAGAACGGACCCAGGGAGCAGTCCAGTCTCTCACAGGGTTCACTGCTCCTCCATCAAAACGAATATGTAGAGATGCTAATAAGCTGAGTAAAATTGCGTGTCTGCTTATCCTATTGAACTCTGAAAGTAGTTTTCCAAGCCTGGCAGCGACGCAAGTTCAGCAAAATTGGTGGGAACAAACTCGGGCATCAAGTTCATCTCTGAATGAAATGATCCCTGCTCCGGGCTGCTACCATACGCCCACTCCATCGTCGGCACTGCTTGCTCCTGTCCTAGCAGCCGCTCAGGCTCGACCTGCAACGAAACCCAGGTGCGAAACTGATCATAACCTGCACCGCCCAGTGACGGGCTTTCACCATGACTCGCTCCCAATTTGGCCAGTGTCATTTCCAAAATCTCCAAGCCCCGCTTCTCGGAGCTTTTGGTATTTGCAAAGACGCCACCAGACATGATTTTCAGTAACGTCATGCCTTGGTCGCAGATGTCGCCGAATTCGGCGAATTCCACCGTCTTGCTGAGGATGCGTTGAGCTATCAGAGTTACTACCGCAGCACAGCAGGAAGTGAACTCGGTATATGATGATTTGGAAAGCCCAAACTCGTCATGGAGCTTTTGACAAAGCTGGACGGAGGTGATGGCGCTTTCAATACAGCGTTTTATCAGAGTATTGCGAGCTTTGACCCATCCGTGCAAACCTTGCTTATCGGCATTGGAATCGTCAAACATGAAGGATCGGCCGATGAAGATGTGTACAAGGTGGTATGTGAGTGCGAGGTGTATGTTGGATCGAAAGAGTGGCTGTCCTGGTGTCAAGTCCTTGCAGTAGGTCTCTTCTGGGAGACTATCCCACCATGTCTCTAATGCCTGGTTTACTTTGAGGGCATCGTTGGCTACCAGTATGCTCGAGCTTGGAGTTGCTTTTTTAATCATTAAGCTGGACAGTTAGCTTGGTAGTGCCATCCGGGATGAGAGAACCAACATGTTGTCGCGAGCATCCTCCATGATCTCGGTAAGGTCTTTCTGGGCCATGGCGTTATGAAACGTATTGGGCCTTCCGGATGGTTGTAGTTCAGGGCGGTTGACTGGGAGAGCAGTGCTTATCTGGGATCTCTGAATGGATGCAGGTCGGCCATGCAAGATGGAAACACGCCTGTAAGGAGTCAGCTACTCTCCCCAATATTTGACCCCCAGTGACTAAATTTTCAAGCACGAGTAGACTCGTCAAATAGGATTCATGGGGCTGGCTCACCTCTCCAGGGTATACACTGTCCACCAAATTCGGTTGCGCATTTCGGCGTCTCGCGTCTTGGACTTGCTCTTCAAGTGCATGTTGTTATGTATCGCTATTTTCATGGCCATGCCATAATAGCTGCTGGCTAATCCTGCAGGGTCTACGGGGAGCGTGTACACTCCCATCAAGATGAAAGCTTGTACGCATTGTGCACTCCCGATGGTCAGCAGATCAGGGATCATGGCTGTTGCCTTTCGATAGAAAGACAAAGCCAGAGTGTCATCAATTGCCGATGTCACGTCAACTTCTCCAGTGTTGGACTGTCTCCCTTTGACCAGGTGTGCAAATTGGGTGCTGACGCAAAACACCATCAGAGCCGTGCAGACCCATGGAGCGTCGGCGATCGTGAGCGGCGTTGCAGGGTGGGCATATATCTGAGATATCCGGGTCCGAATAACATCTTCGTCTACATAGAAGTAGTTTGTCTGAGCCACGTTGAAAAAGATGTCGAGCAATGTAGTGGCGACCTCGGCAGGCGGGAACAGAGATACTGCTTCTTGGACCACAAAGGGAAACGATAGTAACTGTTCGGCAGTGGCCACGCTGGCTGTGGACTCCTGTGTCAATACATGTTAGCTCCGCAAATGATAAATTGACAGATAGAGGCGTCTCTTACAGTGCCAGGTCTTTCCAAGTCAGGACCTAATTTTTGCTGGATTTGACGAGTAAAGTCGGAATGAGAGAACTCTTCATAGGCTGTGCAGTGATGAGTTACAGTTGTCATGGTTGGGATATCTTAAGCCGCATACCTAGCATAGAAGTTGTGTCCCTCGTCGCCTGATTGCTGGGATCGTCGTCATGACCCTCATCAAATTGTAGGTTCGCTCGGTCCCATGGCGGAGGTGAGCCTGCTGATAGAAGTGTCACCGTCTCCGCAAGCTTGGTAGGGCTGAAATCTTGAATATCCGTAAAGTGCTTGACAATCTTTTCCAAGTTGCGGATCCTATCGATGTCGAAGAAAGCCTTTGGATTAATAGCGTCCGCCAACTTTTGTACTTCTGGCCGCCGTCTTGTTCGTCTGTATGCGCTGGTAAAGGCACATTCGCGCTTGGCTTTGATGCATCCGTCACATGGGACTCCGCCAGTGCACCTCTCCTTCAGGCGTCGGCAATTGTCGCACCTGTGAGTCTCATCAGCCATGGAACGTAATAACATGACATGTGAACACTAACGCTCGTGGAGCCCTTGGAGCCCTTGGCTTCCTCCCAACTGCCACCGTTATCTCGTTGCGCGCCGGCTGGGGTGACGCCGGAGGCTGCCGGCCATAAACGATCTGATCTACCTCGGTGGGTCTCGACATTGCAACACAATGAGAAATTCAGGCCAATCAGCTTGGTAAACAAAGGTCCTGGTATAGTGGAGGGATGTTGAAAGAGGGAGATTCCTATGATTTGAGGTTTGGTGTTGTGTGCCGGTTCCGTGCCGGAAAATGTCGCGTGCCGGTCCGGTGCCGGAGATCGACGGTGATTCTACCCGATTGAGATACCCACTTATCGACACCACCATCACTGACTTCATTAATCATTCACGTGAGGTCAGGCATAATCAAGTGTTTGAAAGAAGACAGGGGTTGAGAGTACCTAGTGAATTCGGGTGCTGATCCAGGTTCTCATAGAATGGCACCAAGCATACCTACCTAGAAGGTCATTGTCAAGCATGTCCTACCGTATCAAGACCCACAGTTACGTGATGGCAAGCAATTGGAAGAAAGAAGGAGCTTCAGGGTGGTTACATGATGAGAAACTGATTATGGTGATTAGAGCATTGGATTATTACTATCTGCAATGATGACAAGAAGCCATCATCCATAATAGCTAAAACGCAGTCATTGGTAATGACGGTAATAAACTTAGTACAGTATTGTAGCATTGAATAGACATTACTCTTTCGCGCTACTTCATCTATTCTATACCACATCACCTCCCATTGCTTTATAGCTTTGACTCCCTACCCGTCTTCCACAACGGCTCTAGACTCTCCTCAATGAGGTTCCGTTTTGAGGATATCCTGGCCTTGGTGGTCTTGAAGATACGAGGAAGGCCCGAATTCTCAAATGAAACCCCGTCGCGCACCATAGCCGCCATGCCCTTGCTTGAAAGCAGAATCTGTGGCATTCCATGACCCGTGAAACCAGCAATGATGAACTGACCTGGCTTCTCTGGGATCTCCCCAACGTGAGGCATAAAATCTCCGCTGTAGCCCATGACTGGTACTCATATTAGCAGTCGTCAGTAGTTGCAGCAGCTCCAACTTACTTCCGGTCCAGATGCTCTCCACTTTGGCAGCTGAGTCCTCCCAACCGCGGAAATGCCGTTGCATATAGTCATCAAAGTAAGACACAGCCTCATCGACGAGTTCATCATCTCGTGTCATGCCATACCATCGCTCCTTGTTGTGCCAAAACCGCTGTCTAGCTCCACCAACAATGATGCTGCCGTCAGGCCGCGGAATAAGATAATCATTGTTGCGGGCATCGAAGCGGATTCCATAAGTATTCACCAAATGAGGTGTGTCGGCTCCCTTGGGGCTGCTGATATGGCAGGCGATTCCTCTAATCGGCACGATGCAGCACGCGTATTCGGGCAGTAGATGGCCAGTGTAGCCGTTGGTGGCGTAGATGATCTTCTGAGCCTTGATCAAGCCGTCGGGGGTCGTCACGATCCATGATCCATTGCTATCCTGAGTTGACGAGACTGATGTCACGGGTGTGTGAGAGTATAGCTTGACGCCTTTGTCAAGGAGAAGTTGTAGGAGTTGATGGATCATCTTTGATGGCCACAAGTGGGCGGCTGTGTAGGAAAAACAGCACTGCGCGCCCTTGACACCAGAAACCTGTTTATACTTGTTAGCTACTGTCTTGGCTACAATAAGTATCAGTTAGAATTTACCCTTTCTGCGTCCTTCTTGGGCGTAAAAGCGATATCATGTAGATCGACAACATTCGCTTTTACTAACTCTCTGTATGCTTCTTCCGTCTGCTTTGCATGTTCCGGGTCCAGGAAAACATCCAAAGCCCTAGTGACATTAAAGTCACAGTCAAGGTCTTCTCTTTCGACAAGATCCTTCACCGCGTACACATGGGCGGCTTCAAATTTGGCTAACTCGGCTGCTGCCTCTGCGCCATAGATCTTGGCGGTTCTGGGGACGTTGAGAAAACCATCTGGCTTTACATGACCTCCATTTCGCCCGGTAGCACCAGAAACTGGCTTCCTGGCTTCGAGGATTGCAATAGAGGCCTTGAAAGAACTGTCTTGAAGCAGGTGGTAGGCTGTGCCCACTCCTGCGATGCCAGAGCCGATGATGAGAATGTCAACTTCGGAGGGAAGGTCTTTGGTACTCCGGAAGTCATCCAGGGGACGAGGTTCCGCGTTCCAAAAAGAAGGGACAGGGTTAGCGGCTGGCGCCATTTGATGCTTGGCCATGTTGTCGGTTGTCTGACTCAAGGGTCAAGATTAGACGTGTATGTGTGAGTTTGCGAGTCAATGATATGGACGTTCACAGAATTGAATGATCGGCAGGGTAAGTTGCGAATCTTGTCCAGATCAACACTGATAGGAAATAATCTAGATAACACAGACAAATGATGCAGAGATAAATGACGTTGGCACAACTTCACGAGCGATAATCACTAGGATCCACCTCCATGCTGCGGGGTGGTGTGCCGGGTGTGTGCCGGTAACATTAAATCCATCCTTCAACTCGGTTAGTTTCTGGCCCCCGGCACAAGCAGGCATCGATAAGTGTCACCTGGTTTTACCATTTATAGAGCCCAAGCCTTTATCGGAAGCCTAGAGTTAGCCATCTACCTGCCTACGCAACCCCCTTGTTCACCATAAACACCACATTCTCACTCCGAGTTTTACCGAATCAGTCATGTCTCCCGCTAATAAGCACGTTGTATTCGACATTGTCGGCACATGCGTGTCGTACGATGTCATGTTCAACGCCCTTGACCACCGACTGGGTGATAAGCTCCGTGAGCAAGGCATCAAGCCTCGTCTGCTCGGGTACCTCTGGATCGAGGTGACTGAGCGCGAGTATACCTACCTCAGCATGAATGGCCGTTACATCACATTCAGAGATGTCTTTAGCAGCATCTTTTACCGAATGCTGTACATGGCGGGCGTGCAAGAGCCGCACGAGTTTGCCAACGACGACGACTTGAAGTATATCCTCCAAGAATACATGAAGTTGGAAGCACGCCCCGGAATCGCCGAGTGTTTCCAAATACTGAGAGACAACGGCTTCACTATCTGGGCCTTGACGGCCGGTGATGTGGAGCGCGTTGGTGGCTACTTCACCCACAACGGCATCCATATGCCCAGGGAGAACTTCGTCTCTTGCGACGGATTCAAGATTGGAAAGCCTGATCCTCAGGTGTATAAGCTGATGCTGGACCGCCTGGGCGATGACGAGAAGTGGTTTGCGGCTGCTCATAATTGGGATGTGACTGCTGCTCAGTTGGCAGGGTAAGTTTCACTCTACACCAACAATTTCTCTTGCTGACCAGAGTTTGTCTACAGATTCAAGGCTGCGTACTGCACTATTTGGGAGAAGGAGCTTTGTGAGGGTGTCTTTGGCAAGATGGATATCACGGCTGATACATTTCCCGACATGGCGCTCCAGATTGTGGCAGCATCTGCGGCCAGTTCATCATAGGGTTGGAAGACCATGTAGAACTAGGTAGTTGATGAGGGTGAGAATCATTGTATAGAGATAAACAACATATAACGTACAAAATCTTAAGAGCTCCGGTTTCATGATCCCCGTATAATGAGATGTAAGGGTATCATTCTACACAACGGGACTTTTTTTATGGTGGTATGAATGACGTCTCCGTCGGTACGATAGCAAAGAACACAACGACAAACACATGACAGCATTCAGACCCGATGCTGAACACCGGCACTTTGCCTGCCCTCGCATGGAAGTATGATGTCTAAGCTCGCGAAGAGTGCAATGACAGCGCGTTGACCGGCACACCCGGCTCTGGCCAAGGCCGTCTCCAGACTCCTCGACTCACGCATGTTCTCGACTCCTGCCGCACACCATAACCTTATCCCAGCTGCATCCATGCCATGTCTGCAATCGCTCTTGCAGCTATCGCCGTTAGCGCCGCATTACCCCAGACCGCCAACCAAGATACCGGGCCGTCGCTGTGAGCATGCGTGCCGGTAGCGTGCCGGGTACCCCGCAACTCATAACAGACTTGAACCATGAGGGTTTGCCTTGAGTGACCATGGCGATCCTTCGTCACTTCCCCGCAAATCCTCTTGATCGAGGGAAAAAGAAAGGTGAGCGTAGGATGCATCTATACCATAATATCCATGCTGGCGTGATGAATTACTTGAGTATACAAACGAGCCGGAATCGAGGCTTGAACTTCTGGTGATTCCCAACAGCTACATCCAGTTTGCGCTTATCTCGAGACAGTTGGATAGACTCTTGGCAGAGCGGATCCTGCAAAACCCAGCTTATCTCCCGTCTTTGATAACTTATCCGGGATCTGGGGTTGAACCCGGCAAAGCTAACTGACTAGTATGTCACCCCTCATGATCCTGCGTAGCGGCTAACTTCTCCCGCTCGCCAAAACACCTCCCACACGGGGTACATAACCTGATCAACCACCTGGGCTTTCGAGAAGTCATCTTGCAGTCCGCACTGAAGCATCTTCTACCAGACTAGATCAACTTTGCCTCACACTCTCATCTTATTATTTTAGTTGTGGCGAGTCCTGCTCAGCGATGGAGCACTCTACATCCAAAGATCAGGGGCCCAAGGCTCATGATCGCGTTTCCAACTACAGCCTCAAGGAGACCAAGGTTGCCGCCAATGAGCTTTCCCTCGAAGACGCCGAGATTGTCGCAGCCCTCCAGAGTTATGTCCCTGGAACTTCAGAGGAAAAACGACTGGTCAGGAAGGCCGATATGGTCCTGCTTCCGCTTCTCTGGTGGATGTACATTCTTGCGTACCTCGACCGAGGAAACATTGTGTGTATCTCCCTTGGAGATCTGAGAACTCAACTGACATTATTTCAAGGCCAATGCCAATGCCGCAGGAATGAGTGAGGATCTAGGCCTCAGCGAGAACCGTAAGTCACACCCTTGGCCATCAATCACCAACACTAACCACCCCCTGCTTCCAGAATACTCTCTGCTCGTATCTCTCTTCTTCGTCGCCTATGTCCTATTCGAAGTACCCTCCAACATGCTCTTGATGAAGATCAAGCCTTCAATCTACCTGCCTACCATCTGCGTCGTCTGGGGCAGCGTGATTATCGGAATGTCCCAGAGCAAGAACCCATCCTCCTTCCTTGCCGGTCGTTTCTTCCTTGGCGCCATCGAGGCTGGTCTCTTTCCTGGTGCTCTTTTCCTCCTGACTTGCTGGTACACCAAGAAGGAAGTTGGTAAGCATTCAATGACATCTACAACAACGTGCAATTCGTGGCTGACCTGTCAGGTAAACGATTCTGCATCTTCTACACTTCCGGTTGTGTTGCGCCCGCCCTCGGCGGCATCATGGCTGGAGCCGTTATTTCGCGACTGGAGGGAGCCCGTGGAATCCCAGGCTGGCGATGGCTGCTCCTTATTGAAGGCGTCGTCACCGTTGCCTGCGGATTCGGTCTCTACTTTGTGCTTCCCGACTACCCCCGAAACTCCAAGATGTTGACTCCCGAACAACGACTTCTCGGTCACGTCCGTATCATGCACGACCAGAGCGCCTCTGTTCAACCCGAGGAGGATAACTTGACACCCTTCCAAGCCGTTGCGGCAACTCTCAAGGACGGCAGAACTTGGCTGTTCCTGGCTCTCTATACCTGCAACATCCTGGGCTTGACTATTTCTTACTTTATCCCCACCATGTTGAAGGGACTCGGCTACACCAGTGTCACCGCCCAATGGATGACGGTCCCCATCTGGGCCTGCGGTGCTGTTTTCCAGCTATTCTGGTCCTGGACTTCAGACAAGACTCAAGATCGGAGATGGCACATCACTGGTCTGCTTTCCATTTCGGCTCTGTCGTGCCTGATTGCCATTGTCGTCAGGAACAACACTGTCAAGTACGTGATGATGTGCTTCCTCATTGGTGGCATGTTCACAACCGTGCCACTGATTCTCAACTGGACGAGCGAGGTCATGGCCAGGCCAGAGCGAAAGCGTTCCATCGCCATTGCCTTTGTCAACTCTTTCGGACACACCAGCTACATCTACGGAAGCTACTTGTGGCCTGCCTCGGAAGGTCCCCGCAACCTCAAGGGATTCGCAGCCTCCAATGCTGTTCTCGGTACTGCCGCCATCCTTGCCGCGGTCTTGCCCATCATTTTCAAGTACATGCCCAACAAGGACGAGGAGCCTGTCCAGCGAAGGGACCAGGAGACGGCGGAACGAGAAGACTGAGACGTATAATAGAGGACTATTATGTATTCATATGGCAGTGAATAGCAGGTTGTGTAATTGGTATGAGTGGTAGAAGCATCAACTCGACGACCGCTCTCGCGTTAGGTATTCATCTCTCCACGAGAAGCGGGGTTTCTCTGTTACTACAAGTACAAAATGAATCCAAACTTCCCACAAGTCCACACGAATCCCTGTGAGCTAGACTCAGGTACTCAACTGTCTCGCCACTTCATCGACTTGTCGGATGATGCCCGTCATTTCATCACGGCTCAACAACGGACTAATCGAGCATATCCTCAAAACTACCCTCCCTCGTAGCTTTGTTGTCAATATCCCAGCAATATTTCCCTCGACCAGATTTCTCGAAATTGCCGTGTTTAGATCATTCAGTTCCTCTTCCGTCTTGCCAGGTGGTGCATATCGCAACGTTACTATCGCCATGCTCGCAGCATTTGTAACCTCCCAATTCTTCAACCTTTCCACCTCTTCCTGAGCAATCTCCGCCAGGCGGAACCCATGGTCAATCAAATGTCCGAGTCTTTCTACTCCAAGCACACGCAACGTGAACCAGAGTTTCAAAGCTCGCGACGGCCGCGTCAACTCCATGCCAAAGTTCCAAAAGTTAGGAATCTCCTCGTCATCGAGCGCGTCGCGGAGGTAGTCGCCGTCATTAGTAAAGACTTTGACCAGATTGATCTTGTTTCTGACAAGAATCAGACTGCAGCTGTACGTCTGGAAGAGCCACTTGTGCGCATCCCAGGAGATACTGTCTGCAAGGCCGAGGCCGCTGACCACCGAGCTCCGTGTTGCGGCGAGTGAGGCAGATGCGCCATAGGCACCGTCGACGTGAAGCCATACGCCTTCTTCGTCTCGAATTTGTGCAAGACCCGCTAGATCGTCAACACTCCCCGTATTGGTCGTGCCCGATGTTCCGATTATGACAAACGGGATGAGCCCTGCCTTGCGGTCGGTTTGAATGGCCTCCTTTAGGGTTACAGTCTGTATCTGAAAGGAGGCATTCGACGGAATGACACGAATCTGATCTCGCTTGATGCCAATAATTCTCAGCGCCTTGGCAACAGAATGATGCGTCTGATCAGACACATACGCAACACCCAGCCCCTCCTGCCCAGAAGGCAGAATACAGTCCCTCGCCAAAACCATAGCAGTCATATTAGCCATGGACCCCCCAGAAACAAAAACCCCGCCCGCAGTGTCAGGCAGTCCCACGCGTCCCGCCAGCCACTGCAGCAGCGTCTGCTCAACAACAGCAACTCCCGAGCCCTGCAGTTTGGACCCCGCAAAAGAGTTGAAAGCGCTCGAAAGGCAATCGCCTATCCAAGACAGCGGCGAGACGGGATTGGGGATGAAGCCGAAGAAGCGAGGGTTATTCATGCGGAGGCGAAAGTCGGAGATTGTAAAGGCATCTTGGATGGCTTGGTCTATGTCGTTGGGTTGGCCGGGAGTGCTGAGTTCTTTGAGGAGAGGGAGGTCTGCTGGTTGGGCAACCCGGAGGAGGGGATCATTGCCAACTTGTTGTGTGGACTCGAGAAGTTTGTCAAAGACGGCTTTGAAGGAGGCACTGATGACTGCTATGTCTGCACTCTGGTCCAACGCATCAAGAGAGGTCATTGTGATAACTCTGCCAGCGTGTCGAAACTTTGTTCAGAGTGCCTGGAAGGTTCATGTTATAGTTGAGGTTGACTCAAGGTTCATGGACAATAGTCCCGCTTATTGCCGACAGAGCCCGGAAATGCATCCAGTGAGTACCGTGGTGGAGCAACCTTCATGTCAAAAATGTCAAAGTTGACTCCAAAATGTCAAGCCAAGGGCGCGAGGCTCTATATTTGGGCGTCTTGGTAATATTATCTCCATATTTTGTAAGTCTTCAGTTGCCTTTCTAATTTGGACAACTAGCGAACGAGCGAGCTAGGATTAATTGTAATTATTTACGAGACAGCCTATCAGCTGTTGATTCCCACTGCAAGGGTACACTAAACAAGGTTAAGAAGTGAGTCAATCGCAACTGCGTTTACAGGTAGCTCACGATATTCCTCCTTGTAAAGAAATAAGTTTCCTCCAGGTCAGCGGTAGCAGAGTCAGCAACATGACAAGAGATCGTCCTTTGTCCAAGGTCAACTATAAATCAGCGTTCCTCTCAACGTAAGTCACACATTGAGTGCTACTTTGCTCACCAGTCAATACTCTGTGCTGTTCAACAACGACCCAAATAATTTGAAGATTACTCCTCTAATTGTCTATTCTACTTAAAACACTTTTGTGTATGCAAAGTCTATGTGCAAACATTATATGCTGTTCTTTAATCCCGTTTTTCTCCACTGCCTTCTATTTGATGCAGATTCGTTTCGTGATTCGTATCAAACCTGTATAGGTCAAGCAGACTCTTCGTTGCCACATCCTGTTTCGATCATCTCGCACACCCTCCATGCTAAATGACAGGCTTGGTGGTGAGTCATCAAGCCTTTTGCTTCTATCTATTGCTTCCATGTTCTGCTGAACCTGGAAATCAGCACAACAAGCGTGCCGCTGATCATGGTCGCAAAAGTAGCTGCATCGGATTAGCACGTGCTCTGGATCTTTATCAATGATGGAATACTTACTGATTGTGAAAGCCCACCCAACGCCAAGGCCGTTGATCAAGGGCACGACGCCGCCAACACTTCCCGCGGCAAAGCTGTACTGAACAACATACTTACCCGTGATGACCGCCGTCCTGTATACCGGTCGGACTTCTATGACAGTATTAGCTCAATACCTTAGGTTGCTTGGTTCTGGCTTACCAGCTGCATATGTGTTCAGCCCGCTGAACGACGCCATGAGTCCTGTTCCTTGAATGAAGGAACCTACAATCGGCAACGCCATGCTTCCGATGCGTTTCTGTACACTCCAGCCATATAATAGTGTACCTAAAGGCAGTACGAAAAGAATGAAAGGCAGACTGGCGTTGAGTCTGTCCTCTGGTAGTCGCTGCCCATTCCTCTTTCGAATGTATCTCCTGACAACAATGTCGGACACCTTGCCACCAAGTGTGCTGCCAACCAAAAAGCCGGCGCCAGGAGCGAGGTAGAAAAGACCACTTTCAAGAGGAGAGTTCAGGTTAAATCGAGGGTTGACGACACGACGAACCGAACTTAACAGGCCATATTGATTAAACGCCAGCAAGCCACAGGCAATGTTCTACCAGATGTCAGAAACGTCTTATCACTGAGGGGATACAACATACGGCCAATAGCACCTTGGGGTATTTGAACTGTCGAAACACGATCATAGGGTTGAACGTCCGAATCATGTCCCCTCTTGTCTTGGGACGAATAGCCTCGGCAGTCTTGGGGTTCCCGACCTCGCTTGCCCGAGGGATGAAGAAAAAGGTGAGGACCAAGCCGAAGCATGACATGCCGGCCTCGACGCCATATATGACTCTCCAGCTGGTGAATGTAGCAATTATACTACCGATCAGTGGGGCTGCAGATCGTTAGGTGTGATGTCGCGTGACCCATAGCGTAACTCACCGATGGTGTTTGCACTAACGCAGCTGCCAAGAAAGAAGCCCACGGCCGTCCCACGAACAGTCTACAGGGGTATTAATATTGAAGAATGATAGAATATTGAAGGAGACTTGCCGGCTCAAAAATGTCTGCCAGAATGGTCTGTCCGGCGACAAGAAAGAACGGTCCTGTGGTGCCTCCAAGAATCCAGAGAGAACCGAACCCTGCAATGTTGGGAGCCACAGCACATCCAATTGAGCATAGGCACAGGACAAGGTTGGCAACAAGATATGTTGACCGTCTACCAATGATTGTGCTAATTGGAAGCCAGATCAAGCCGGACAAGGCCTGAGCGACGAAAACACCAGCATTGACTGTGTTGATCGTGGTCACGCCAATGTCCAAATCTGAAGCAACCTCGGGTGTAGCAGGCATAATCGCAGTACTCCAAAATGTCATTGGAAGGGGCATCCAGCAGACGACAAAGAGGATGACCCATTTTCTCCAAGAAGGGATCTCAGCCACATCATCGTCAATGGCACCGACAGGAGGCAGAGGCGTCACTGATGGTTGGGCACCAGTCAATCCCCCTGACTTGGGTTCACTCGCCATCTTGGCAGAAATTCAGGGGACAAACAAAATGTATTGAAACAGGAACTCGAACCAGGAAATCAACACCTCGGCAATAGCATCTGTCAACGAACGAACGACTTCCGGTGGGCATTACAATGAGGCTCAAAAATGTGCAGAGAAGCCGAGGACCAGAGAGTACAAATACCACCTCGAAATCATGAATACCCAAGCGAAGGAATTTTCGTGTTGCATCAGCAGGCATCACGATAAGTGGGCCTTTCATGACTCTATCTTGCGGTGTCGGACTTGGTTAAAATCCCTGGCAAATCATGAGTTTGACAAAGACCTCGGCATCGAGAGTCGAGATGCCGATTTAAAGGGTCAAGTAGCCGGCATGTCCTCGGCAGAGGGCGAGTTTTGCCGGTCCGGTCGGAATTTGGCTTAGTCATTCCGGCGAGGGGAAACATTCTGCCGCGGATATTCGGCGTCACATTCCGGTTCCAGAGATCTTCGCAGTCACACGACATCACGGCTGCGACCAGATCGACTAGACGCATGTCCAATCGGGAAGAAACCGGATCCCCAGATTTGTTAAGATCAAGCGTTTGCCGCTACCGACGATCCCCAGGTTTCCCACCTCGTGCGGCGACTTGAACATCTTTCCGCCTCCTTTTGCGGTTGAAGCCTGAAGACCCCATCAGTCCACTCACTCGAAACGAAAGACGGCTAAACGCAAGTAGCCGACATGACCTCGAACGATGAGAGTCCCCGTGAGTCCGAGGGGGAGGGTAAAGATGATATCGACTCTCTTAATCCGGCCAGCAGCATCTCTGGCAAGCGCCAGCGCAAGACCAAATCAACGGCGTAAGAGTGAGACATTTCGTGCGCCCGTGAACCCCCTTGCTGATTCATACCCAAACAGTTGCCGTCGGTGCCACGCCCGAAAGGTAAAATGCTCGGGGGGACAGCCGTGCGAGAACTGCCGACAGGCAAGCAAGGGTGCAGAGTGTTCTTATCCCCGGAAAAACCGGTTGGTAAAGGTCAGCCAACAGTAAGTTGATTCATGGCCTGACATGTTTCGTCTCTGACGTGGTAGATATATCGATGACCTTGTCGCCGAAAATCAGCGGCTCCGTAATAGTCGGGATACGGACACCAAAGTTCGGCCTGAACTCGGCGCACCGGAGGCTCCAATTGCCCCTACCAATGGCCAAGCTGAACCTACCTCGACCCTTCAAGGGACCCTGTTGGAGGAACGTCCCTGGTTCTTTGACATGAACGTTCTTCACACACCGGTATTGATCGGTGAAGCATCAGATGCCGCCTTTGCCACGCGTTTCCGTCAAGCCATCTCAGAGCCTGGACACAGCCATATTCCCAGAGTCAATTACGCACCGGATGATAGACTACTTACCCTCTCTGATGCCGACTGTCCCTGGCCTATTCCTTCTCGAGCACGATTGTTGGTCAATGTCGCCCTCAAGTATGTCAGTCGCTGCTATCATATCGTTCGCAAAAGTCAGATCCTTGAAGGGCTTGAGCAGACGATCCAAAACCCACATTCCACCGATTCACTTCTAAAGAGTAAACTATGGGCCCTGCTTGCCATTGGGGAGATGTACTCGACAAGGACGGCGGCAAAAGAAAAGAACTTTCCGGGAATGTGCTATTTTGCTCGGGCGACTCGTGTGCTCCGGATCATCAGTGAACGGCCGAGGATTGATGCTATCGAGATCAGGTTGCTTCTGGTAGGTTGCTCGACATGTACCTTCACTAACATAGGCTAACCGTGTCAAGTCCTTTTACTCTCTTGCACTCAACCGTCGGTACACGGCATACGCTCTGGCCGGTTCTTCAGTTCGCCTTTCTGTAGTCATGGGACTACACCTTAACGTCCCCGAATCTCAACTAAGGGATGCTGCTGCCAGAGAACACAGGAATCGAGTGTGGTGGACTGCATACAGCTTCGATCGCATGTGGGCATCAAGGCTTGGTCATCCAGTTGCGATACAAGACAACGACATAGAAGTTGACTTCCCTTCGGACCCGGTTTTGGATACACCATCAGACGACTTTGCAGACTCGGCATACTTTATCGCAAGTATTCGATTGGCTCGCCTCGCCTGGCGGGTCATCAACTCGATTTATACGCGAAGGCCTCAGCAAAAGACTTTATCTCAGAGAGTGCAGGAAGCTCTGAGAGATCTGCGCACCTTTGTGGAAGAGTTGCCACCTCATCTACACATTGAGTCGACGGACGGCCCTGAACCAAGTCCCAAGCCTCTCTCCCTACACCTTTACTTCAACCAGGTAAGGATGCGTTCCTCCAGTTCGGGTTACTTTCTTCTTACAATCAACAGGTCGCCATCACTTCCACTCGACCTATTCTTCTCCACGTCCTAAGAACTCACGTCGCCGCTTGGGAGACGCAGCCAAGGACAGAACCCCAAATTCCTGCCTCTGCTGTCACCCTGTCGGAGGCTTGTGTGAGGTGTGCACGACACTCGTGCCGTCTACTAATTGAGTGCTGGATTGATGGATCCTTTGCTACGTTTGACTACTTTTATACCCAATATCTCTTTGCTGCCGCTACTGTTCTGGCTATTTCGAGCCTCCTTGACGGCAAAGAGTGTCGAAGCGACAAAGAACAGTTCGAGTCGGCCGCTCAGTTCCTGGCTCAGCTGAAAGAGAACGGCAACTTTGCTGCCGAGGAGTTCTGTCGACATTTAGATGCCATGAAAATTTGCATGGCGGCAGTCCAGTCACGCAGAGGAGACTTTACTATACCGGATGCCAACCTCATACAACTAGATGGTATCGACGTTAGTCAAGCACTCACGGCAGCCAATCCCACAGCAGGCATGGCATTGTCGGAGCCTTCACTACAGGAGCTCCTGTCTCAGCCGGTTCTAGATTTGCAGTTCATCGATGCATCGATGTATCATGATAATGCACAGGGACTGTACTGGCCAGACATCAGCCCCGAGAGTTGGACGACCAACGCGTGGACACCGAATTAATACGTTTTCAACCAAAAGTCGATTTTTTGTTTAGGAGGTAGTTTGTTCTTTTTAACGCAGACATGTTGAGATGATTGAATTCCAACTCTGTGCGTCTTTTTTGGTTCCAGTCTGCCCCTGATATTCTTGATCATAGGTTTATATCGCCACATAAAGAATGCTTCTCTATTTCGACCCAGCACGCACAGCCTCTGATAATATCAAGACAACTCGTGTCTAGAACCGTTGTTCCCCTCCAGCTCTGGTATAGACCTTTCTTCTGCGCCAAGTTCATGCCTACCCCCTGTTCCTAAAGTACCAGCAAGCTCCGGCAGCATCCCATCAGCTCCGCCCAGCTCTGGGATGGTGGACTTTCCTCCTTGCTGCAACTCGTGAACCGACCCTCTCCCCTGCGATGACCTCGTCGCCGTCGCCAATTCTGCAGGCTGTGTTGGCGTCTCCAGCTCTGCAAGTCCATCTTTCGGAGGGTTTTTATCAGGTGATACATGACTCTTTTGTGTTCCACGCCGCCCCCTTCTACGAAACAAAAAGAACATAAACCCAGAGAGTATGGCTACAACTGCTGCAGACCCGAGGGCTATACCCACAATTGCACCAGTGGGCAGGCCTGTGGGATGAGGATGTGACGTCGAACTAGAGCTCGAAGTGGAAGTGGCGCTGCTGGATGTTGACCTCGAGGTTTCAAAGGCAGTGAGGTCAGACTTGGCCCATCTGATCTGGAATGCCGGGACTGTGATGGTGTCGTTACCAGAGACGGAGCTCGCGTAGATAAGGTAGTCGGAGCACGAGTATGAGCTACATGCACGGTGAGACCGCTATCGTTAATAAAAAAAAGGAACATCACAGACCTAGGAACGCATATGGCCGCCGTCTCAGTCGGACGGACTGTCCCACCATACGCCGAATCCGTTACTTTACATCCTGAGGTGTATCCACGAGGACAGATGCCAGGGGAGTAGAAGCCAAGGCTCTCCCAGATAGTCCAATCGTCAGGTGGATAGCAGGAAGAGTCGAGAGTGGTGTGATTATCGTCGACTAATGGCACAGGCGATGGACAGCCGCCAGGTATAGTCCATATTGTTGTCAGGGGCTCGATCAAGCTGCTTTTTCTGTCAGGATTTCCGAACTCGCCAGCCATGTTGAGCAAGGTTTAGGCGAGTATGAGAAACAATGAAGACAGGGAACGACGACGGTTTTTAAGGAAGGCGGCTGCATTGCAACAGCCCTTTGGTGTCATCGAGATGGGTTTAGTCTCCCAAACTGGTTGTCAAGAAGCTACTGGCGTGATAGGCTGGTGCACAACTAAACAACGCCACGAGACTTTTAGAATCAATAGTGGCGGCAACGAGGCTCAATCATTGCCGAAGAGCCGATTGATCGGGTGTGAAGACACGAAGGGTTGGTCAGCAACTCATAAATGGACGAATCCTGACCGGAATAAGTCCAGATCGACCTTTTGGGGCTCAAGGCGATTCGTAACCGACGAAGTGGCTGATGATGGAAGCTGATTTGGCTATCCAGGTGTGCGCTTGGTCAGCTCATTTACTCATACTCTTGCACTCTGAAGATCAGCCGCAGTACAGAAGCAAAGTGGCATGGCTGCAAGAATAGACGGTAGTGAGTGTGAAGCGTTGGTTGATGCTTTCCGGGCGTGCCATTGCTTATTTATCATCATACTTATATCGACTACTCTTCAAACTTGACATATCCTTTGCCCTTGACAAAAGAAGCCAGCCATGGACCCTGCGTCTTGGACTCGGCGAGCTCGGTATAAAACTCTCCATGGGCTTTCCCATCAATGGCCGCCAACACTGGCGAACCATCTTCATTTCGCTGGTCCGCATAGTAGAACCTATTCGTATCAATGTCCGACCAGTGTCACTCAAATATAGAATATCTTACTTGTAACCTTGAGGGCTATATGTCTTGGCAGCAAATGAGATCATGTGCGAGGACGCTGCTTTGCCAACGCCGAGACTCAGAAATGGAGGGAATGGTTGGAGGTTGGCCTTGTTTCCGGTGTAGATGAATGTCCGGGACGTAGAATCGGGAAGCTTGGCAAAACTTGATGTCGCCAACTGAAGCAGTTGAAGGACACTCGTTGTGTTGATGGCCAGGTCCGCTGCAAGATCAGCCACTGGTAGCTGGATTGGGTCGGCATTGTCGGGAGCCATGGTGCTGGCATATGCTACATATCCGTCAGTCTTCGTCCCTGAAGTTGAGATACCTGACTCGCCATTATGAACAACGACGCTAGGGGTTCCAAGCTCGTCAACGGTGCGTTGATAGGCTGCCTCGACTGAAGCGGCATCCGCAAGATCTCCCCTGATATGCAGGAAATCTCTTTCTTCAAACACCGGTGTCAAAGCACCGCGGGAGACGATGGCCACCTTGTACCCCTTTCGAGAAAAGGAATCCGCGACGCCATAGCCAGTGTTGGCACCGGCACCAAAGATGAGAATAACAGGGTGATTTGGGGCGGACATGTTGACTGATTGCAGAATAATGTGTTAAGTAAGGTTTCAAGATGCCATCAGATGGGATATTTATATGCATCTACGGTTACATCGACCGGCTGACATGATTAATAATGCCTCGAGAGAGCAAGCGCACAGATTGACCCGCCATTCGGGTTCCAAGTGATGCTGTTGGGCAGTCGGTTCTGATGTTGGCATAGAACCGCTAAGTCCGTCACGTGCAGAAGAGTATTAATTAAACGCGTCCGTCGTAAGTATTGCCAGACTTTTCATGAGTTCAAGTGATGAGCATGGTCAATGAATGCCTTGAGCTACCCAGACTCAAGTTGAGCGACACCTGGAGCCCCTGTCGGAGAAAACGTGCGTATATTAAGTGACGTGACTAAAGTGATCGTCCATATTCACTTATACGGGGAATCTAGAATGCTTCTAGTACTATCGTTTTTCCGCGGTCTCAACTGTTGGTGGTGATTGCTTTTCCCCTAAGTGGTCCAACGAAACAAGAACGAGTTCAGCTACAGAGCATGGCTTCTGTGGAAGAGGAGGTTAAAGAGAGAAGAGAATACAAATTATTAATGCCATCATACAGATCAAAAAACACCATCCATCCCTCAAGACTTTCTCTTCTGCAACAGTCCCTTGAACGGGTTCTTGCCCCTGAACCTCAACCACGTCGCCACATACACGATCGCATAGTTAAAGACAATGAATCCACAAAAGATTCCAAAGTCCCGCCAGATATTCCTATAGTAGACGCTGAACCCAGCACCGAATTCATCTCCAGTCGCGTATTGACAAAATTCGCAGAGTCCCCCTTCACCTGTCTGCACGTAACCGCCCGCCTGCTGGATGTATTGCCTCGCGTACTCCTCACATGATTGACCAGATGGTGCTCTGAAGCGTGCAAACTCGCCTGACTTGCACTTGACGGGCTGGTCGTGAATAGCAGCAGCGAGGAAGGCTTCGAGGAGGTAGTGGAAGGGCGTAAGCCAGTACATCCACTCTCGCCAGAAAGTTGGCAATCCAGCAGGAGGAACAACGACTCCACAGAAGGACACAACAAAGAGGAAGAAGATGGGGACCAGCAGAGAAGCAAGAAGCTCATTCGGGGCGAAAGCGGCAATGGCCTGTCCAAAGCTGACATAGTACAGCTCAAACAGTATCACCAGCAAAAACGCAAAACCCGAAGTGAAGCTTGAAGCTTGCCAGCCAAAGACTCCCCACCACCAGCAGTTGAAGTAAATCCCTCCCGCGACGATGCGGTACGGGATTTCGACTACAACAGCGGCAGTGGTCCACGCGAACCAGCTGTATATCTTGGCATTGTTCTCGCGCCACTGGAAGATCTGTCGTGACTTGAGAAACACGGGTTGAAGCTGCTGGATGAGAGGCGGGCTGATGGTGAGGGTCATGAAGATGGAGAACAACCTATTCTGGTAGTCGACGGACGCGAAGCCAATCTTGTAAAAGGTAAAGCAGTTAAACAGGCCGGTAAGGATGTGCAGCATAAAGTTGCCAAAGATGTACTCTGGGGATCTCCAAAAGGCGATGAAAGAGCGGCGGACGACAGCCCATGTTTGGGTCGAGAGAGGCATGGCGTACTCGCGGTCGTCCTTGAGGCTGTGGGATGGTTCGACATTGCGACGATGCTCAATCATTTCTTCGATTTCGCGAGCTCGTTTTTCGCGTTCAGATGAGTTGGTCCATACATCACCCCAATCTTGGCCGTTGTAATCAGGATCTCCGGCGCCGATGGAGTCGAGCATGTACTCGGCGGGATTGGCATCAGGTGGACACTTGGAAGCTCCGTTGGACTCAAAGTAGTTGATGAGATTCTGGCTGTCGCTGCCCAAGGGACCATGATACGCGACGCGGCCACCAGCTTTGAGAAGCAGGAGGTCGTCAAAGTGCTCAAACAATACGGCAGAAGGTTGGTGGATGGTGCAGAGGACGGCTTGGCCTGCGTCGGCAAGCTTCCGAAGGAAACGGACAATGTTGAACGCTGCGCCAGAGTCAAGACCAGATGTAGGTTCATCGAGGAACATGAGAAGCTCAGGCTTGGAAGCCAACTCGACACCAATTGTCAATCGCTTTCGCTGTTCGGCATTGAGACCTTGTCCAACAATACCAATGGTAGCACCAGCGATAGGACGCATCTCGAGCAGGTCAATGATGGTCTCACAATACTCCATCTTTTCCTTTTTCGAAACCTCCTTGGGCTGTCGAAGGAGAGCGGAGAACTGCAAGGCTTCACGGACAGTCGAGGTTGGCTCGTGAATGTCCATCTGCTCTGCGAAACCGGTCGCTCGCTGGAACGACTTGGGAAGAGGCCGACCGTCGACGAGAAAGTCGCCTGTGATTGTTCCAAAGTTGAGTCGTTGAGCCAGAGCATTGAGAAGAGTCGTCTTTCCGGCGCCTGTAATCTGTCAGTTATTGTAGCGGTACTCGCGATGCAGCGACTTACCAGAAGCACCCATAAGGGCAGTCAACTTTCCAGGACGAACATAGCCCTGGACGTCCTGAAGCAGCTTCCTGTGTCCCTTGTCATATGGAATCGTGTAGTTGATGTTCTGAAACGTAAACACAGTCTCATTCTTGCCAACTTCCTTAGTGAGCTGCTGATCCGTCTTTGTCCTCTCAGCAGTCACACCCTCCGCAAGAGAAACAACGCGACCAGCTTCTTCATCATTCTTCTCATTCTTGGTACGACCGCCAGTGTCAATTGACTCTTCAACGGCCTTGGGAACTTGGCCTCTCTTGAAGACGGTGATGGCGCCGCCTCCGACGTTGGGTTTCATGAGTTCCATGCCGAGAGCTGTGAGGAAGACGAAGAAGAGGAAGAAGGCCCACAGGAAGCCAAAGTTGCGCCATAAATGAGCTCGAGTGTAGCTGAACGACTGCTGGATATAGTCTGATCCCCCGACAGAAGAAGCTCCAGGAGTTGAGCCCGGCAGGGTGCAACCTTGGTACTGCGACTGAGCGTTGGGGCCTTGCGGGACTAGGTACGGCGGAGAGCATTCAAGGCTAAGGCCGGTAAATTCGTTGGCCATCAGGCACTCAAATCCGTATTGAATCCAATTGATCCATCTCAGCCAACCGAACCAAGGACGCATCGAGTCAGGAGGGATCAGATAGCCTGTATACACAATGACAATCTGTACGCTCAAACCCGTGAACCGAGTCGCGATGTCAAGACTCTTGCACCACGCCGAGATGGCCCGGAAGAAAGCATACGTCACCATCGTGACGAGCCATAGGATCAGCGTCGCAATAAAGAACTGCGACGCCGTACGGGCCAAGTTGGACATGAAGTAGATGATGATGTTGAACAGGAAAACTTGGATAAACACCATGGGAATGTCGACCACGGTCTGCGCTATAGCAAATGCGGATGGCCGATAGAAGGAGAAGGACTTGTGCTTGAGAAGAATTGGCTTGGACTCGAACGCAGCGGTTTGTTCGGCAAGAGCAAGAAGGGCATTGAACAATAACAGGAAGAAAAGTGTACCACCGCGAGGAAACGCGCCCGCGGCTGTCTCGGGGAGGTTGTAGAAAAGACTTCCCACAATGAGACCTTGGAAGAGAAGACCGCCCCATTTACCAAACAGCGAGGCTCTATCGCCTGTCATGACGAGGAACTGTCGGTGCGTACAGGCGAGTACCTGTTTGTGGAAGGGAATCTCGTAGTTCTTCTTCTTGGTCCGTTCCGACTCATGTCTGCGACGTTCCTCGGCTCGATGGCCAAGCTCGGACTCGAAATCGTCAATATCCTCAAGATTCTTTTGGTACGCGTCGCTTCGACGGTAAGCTTCGGCGAATTCGTCTGCGGTGCGTGGGATGCGATCTTCCCAGCCGCTTCGCACACTGCGCTCATGCTCGTCCGTGACAGAGGTCAAAAAGTCGGCTGTGGTCCATCGCTCAGGGCACTCGAACCCAAGATCCAAAAAGTACTTCTTCGCATTGTCCGAGGGTCCAAAGTATAGGCACTTGCCATGGTCGATGAGCAAGACCTTGTCGACGAGGTCATATAGAGTCTCGCCAGCTTGGTAGAGAGACACGGCGGTCGAAGTGTCGGCCATGTTCGTCATGGCGCGGATCGACTTGACGTATTCAACAGCTGTGCTCGCATCGAGACCTTTGCTGGAGTTGTCCCATCCTTGGACTGAGGCTCTGGTGATCATGGCCTCGGCGATGCTGACTCGCTTCCTCTCCCCGCCAGACACACCACGGATGAACTCATTGCCAACCTTTGTTCCAAGGGTATGTTCAATCCAAAACAGCTTCGTGACAACTCGCAGAAACTCGCGGACGTAATCCGCACGGCTCTCACCCTCGAGTCGATCCTCCTTTCCAGGCGTACGCGTCTGCAGCGCAAACTGAAGAGTCCTCTTGACCGACAAGGTAGCGTAATGCAAATCGTCTTCCGGGTTGTAAATAATCTCTCCCCGAAAGTCCTTGGCCATAGTCCCCGCATCAGTACCTCCATACGTAACCTCCCCCTCAACAGCCTCAAAGCCAGCCCTCTGGTTACAAAACGCCTTGAGAAACGTGCTACAACCAGCCCCGGGTCTGCCCAGCACGAGGAGCAACTCCCCTGGACGCACACACCCATCAAAGTCACTAATCAGATCTCTCACAGGCGGCTTGGCAAGCGCCGCCTTTGGACCTTGAGTGAACAGCTTCGAAAGTGTCCGAGGGAGTCCGAGGAAAAGGTCACCCACGGTGGGCTGGAGGCTTGCGCCGAGGCCGACTCCGCGGACGGTGAGACGGCGAAAGATGACTCCGCTGTGGCGCGTCTTTTCGCCCTCGCTCTGCTTCTGCCGGGCTTGGCCAAAGATGCGCGACATTAGACGGTTGAGTTCTTCGTGTTCTTCTTGTTCCTCCTCGGGTGTGCTCGCAGACGTCTTGCGACGGGATAGAACGCGGAAGAGGTCATCTTCGGTGCGGATTGTCCTCTTTCTCTCGAGGTTGGGTCGTTCTTTTTCTGGATCGTTTGACTGGGACTTGATGGGCGAAAAGATTGGTTCGTCGGGGGAGGATGGGGCGTCGGTTGGTGAAGGTTCGCCAGCAACTGCAGTCTCTTTGCGTTTCTCGTCGGTTGAGACCCCGCGTGGTAGGATGGTACTGGAAGACGAGTTCTCATCTCTCGACATGCCAACAGCCGCAGCCGAGTCTGAGACATGGACATCTTTTCGCACAGCCTGCTTCTGTGACTCCTCCTGCTCGTGCGTGTGCCATGTTTTCTCATCTTGGCCCCCCTCAATCACATCGTAGTACTGGTGCACATTCGGCGTCTGTGGCTGCTGTCGTGTACCCAAGTATCCACCGGCCGAAGCCCCGATGGCCACCGGTTCCCCCCAGCCGGAGGTGGCCGGGCCATGACGCCCCGAGATGCCGGCTTCGAGTCTGTGTGCCGTATCACCAGTCGGGGTCAACTGGTCAATCGAGTTGACACTGGGCGTGACGGGGAAACCGCCCGGAATATCCTCATCCCGAGGAGTAGGTCTCTCGTCAGCCATTGCGATTAAAGTCTGAAGTGTCGTGGAACATGGACATTTTGGTAGTAGCTAACCAACACAACATTTTTATCTCGACGCTGTGGATGCCCTGTGAGGCGTCTATGACGACACCAACAAACAAAGTCGGACTTCGGACTTTTGAGTAAACGCGACCAACTGCGAACAAACGTCTTATCTCGTGCCGGGCTGACGCGGAAGCAGCCATGATGGGAACGGCTTCGATCGTAGTGCGCGGGTGGTTTCGTCATAGACTTTTAAGCTTACTCGAGGTTTGCGTTGGCTACCCTAGAGTTGGCAGAAATCTACTTCAATTCTGTGTCAATTGACTGGGGACACGTATGCTACTCATTTGATGAGTGTTAATTAAAGAGGGCCCATGATTCAAAGTAATTACACAATGACGCAGTGTAACTACATGTTTGCAGTCAAAAACTCCTCTCGTTCATGTCGGATACTGTGCATATCCCCAGTCTCACCAACACTCGAACCATCTCACGAGTCAGACTATGGCGATATTATCTCGTTGTACGGGTCATACAAGGGAATAAAACCACGTTCTAGAAATAATTTCACGATCAAAGGACCCTGAAAATCCACACTGAACCGAGAATTGGCATCGACCAAACCCAGGCTCGATCGCGATCTCACCACACCATCATCTACCGGACAGCGGTGTTTGTCATTAATTCCGTCCGCGTGCAACTGCCGACCGTAAGCAATGTAAGAGCCGTGTTACTCATCACGCCGCACAAAGACAGCGGTGACACCTTGTGGTATGGCGTACACTTGACTTTCTCATCCTCGCATCTCTGGGAAACATGACCAAACACAAGCCTCTGAAACCCCTGGGTTCAGCTGCTTCTCCAACGCCATTCTGCACCATTCCGGAAACCTGGAAGGTAACCCTTTGCTGGCCAACCACGTTGAGGATGCCGACACGCCCTCGCATGCTTGACCCTATCCGGATCAAGAGGCCTGCATATTTGGGGGTGAATGCCGCTGCAGGTAGCCAACCCTCTTCTACTCTTTTCTGAGGAGACAACAATGTGAGTGACAACAACGGGCTCGCTGCTGGCTGCCGTTTCCGGGCGCATGGTGGCTTCGGCCTTCAACGGTGCCGAGCAGATCATTTCTGTCTCCCCCTCGCCAGTGAGACATCATCTCTCGCAGGTAGACTATTGACTCAAGGCGTGACTCGCTAATCTCTGCAATCTGGCTCTATTGGCAAGGTTTACGTGATTAACTCGAGACAACCAAATATAGAGCCTGGCAACCCCCTCACCCTCACCCCTAGCAACCCACCACCACGCAAACCGTCTCGCGTCTCGCGTTACACGTCTCGCTCAAGTCGACAACGATGCATACACTTAACGCATCGGAACTTACTCCACTCGTAGGCATAGGTTATTTACGGGGCCCAAGACATGATGCGTCTCTGCCGTGGCCTCTATGGATGGGTAATTCCGTCGGCATACATTGCAGTTGATTGCTTCTGCAGCGTGGCGAGAGCCTGCTGATCAAGCAGGGCGCACAAGACGAGAGCCTGATGGGAAGGCAACCGAGTATATCAACGCGTCTTCCCTGCCTGTGAATCTTGGGAGAGGGGAAACGAACGCACGTTCAAAGTGATTTCACCCGAACAAACATGTGCCAGAATCCCACGCGTCAACAAGACGACTCGATCCGCGACAGCTTCAACCCGACGCACCAATACCCACGAAACTCTCAACAGCGAGACCCAACTCAAACAATGCCTTCCGCAGACCAGCAGCATCATCTCAACCTCGACGGCCTTCAAACCCTCTCCATCTCAGCGCCAGACGTCCCGAGCCCTCCCTACGAGCACCGCACCACCATGACGATCCAGCAAGACGAGCAGCAACCCCCGGCAACCCACTGGCCGCAGGACATCTGGCTTCACAGCCCCTCGTACCGCGTGCTGTACCAGCCTGTCCTCGTGGTCCCCCACCAGCAGCAGCCGCAACCGCCGCCGCCCAACGAGTCTCCCTTGCAGCGGCCAGCACCATCCACCAATGTGCCAGATGCGCCACTGCACGATCCGTCACAATGCCGCAACGGAGACGACCCGCGGCCCGAGGGGAACCCCGCCGACGGGTGTGGCCGCTATCAGCCCAACGGGCATGCTCATTCTGAATCAAAGAGTGACGGGCGTTGAGACATTGTGAAGGGCATGCATGGAGGAGGGGGAAGAAGAAAAAAACACGACCAGCCAGTCTTTTACACTCGTTTAAGCCACCGGCTTTTTTATTTTTACGATTGTACTAATGGGAATATGCCTTGTTTTATTTGCACTTTCACCGCACACACAAAACAAGAAGAAAAAAAAAGGGAAACGAGGGATTTTGGTCTGCCTGTCAGAAACGAGGCTTTGGGTAGGCATGTATGTCAGAAATCAGGTCTCTGATGTCGGAGCGACAAGGCATTCTACATCAGAGACAGGCGAAACACGAGGCCTCAGGTACCAAAAACAAGGCTTTTTGGTACCTAACAAAACAATATCTATCTTTGGAGAAAAAAGTTTGACACTGTATTAGCATTAGTTAGCGGTCATGATTGATGATGAAAACAAAAGATGGCTTCGCATCTCACTCAATGATCAGCATTCAAACCTCCACTCAACGTCGTCCCAACCACTCCTACGAGTAATCTTCCCACCAAGTCCTTTACCGTGCTTCTCTGGTCTTACCGTCCCGCTTGCAAGCTGTCCTCCCAGCATCTTCATCTCTCCAAACCTCATACCCAAAGGCTCAACATCGAACCCAAGCACCAAAACAGCCATGAAGCCCAAAATCTCTGCAAATGCAAAGTTCCTCCCGGGACATAGATGTCTCCCCCCGCCAAACGGGAAATAAGCCGCCTTTCGCCTCCGCTCCGTCTCGGCGTCGCCAGCCTTCTGGAGGAACCGCTCTGCGACGAACTCGTCAAAGTCTTTGCCCCAGGCGCTCCGGTCGTGGTGCGTCACGCCCGCGGGGAGCTGGAGGTCTACGCCCTTCTTGAGGAGGTAGGATTGGCCGTCGGCGCCCGTGATGGTCATGTCTTGCATGATGCGCCGCATGCTGACCGAGTGGTTCGAGAGGCGCATCGTCTCGCGGTAGCAGCTGATGAGGAGAGGGAGTCTTGCGTCGAACGAGGCAATATCGAAGGTTGCGGTGCGTTTTCCTTCACTGTTGGATACTACTGCTGCAGCTTCAACTTCTTTCCTTAGGCGGTTCACTAGTTCAGGCCTCTCAAAGATAAAGAGAAGCATCCAGTAAAACGTAGGCACGGCATTGAGAGTCGCGACATTCGGTAGGATCACCTCGAGCTGTCCCACCTCATTACCGGTGAAGCCATGCTTTCGTAGGGCGCCTGCACGATTCTTGACAAGTTGAGACGTGGTCGGGTCGTTGATGTCATGCTCTTCTGTGTAGTATTTGCCCATCAGAGCCTGCAGCATTGACCGTGCCCGATATGCCTTAGGCATCGTGATGGATGGGAAGAGAGACAGCAGAAAATAAGGGACAGATTCCTCAAACAGCCTTTCTTGTCAGTAATTGAAGTCCCAACAAGCAATCACTTACCATAATTCATCAACCAAATGTGGCTGAGGCCCAAACGGATCGTGATCTCCATACAGAGCCTTGGTCGTGGCCAGAGTCATGACATCTCGACACCAAAGATACAAATTCTCCACCCTCAAACCCCCATCCACAAGCTCCTCCCTCCCCGAGTTGACCTCATCAACACGCACTGTGCCGAAACTAATCGGATCCATCTTGGCAGAGATGCTAGCCAAGAAGTGGACATTCATCTTGTGCAGCATGGGCGCCTGAAAGCTCGAGTGGATGGCATCGCCAAAGTCGTTGAAGACGTTCGGGCCTCGAACCTTGGCAAACGTCTCCTTGCTCAGGCTAAACGTCTTTTGCGCAAAGTCAATCACAAACGGCTCAAACGAGGCGATCCTCGACCGCAGCGCCGTCTGCACGAGGTGAGGATCGTAGATGGTGTACATCTTGCCATTCAGCATGGGAAGCGTGGCGATGGGCTTTGTAGGGTTGGCATTGCTTTTCTGAGGCGTCAGCAGCATCCAGAGCAGCAGCGATACAGAAAGTGCAGGACGCACTGGATGATCCTGTGATAGTCCGATTGGTGCCGTATGATGCCGATGATGTGGCCTACGAGGGGGATGGTGGGTTTCACTACAGGAGGCTCGCGGGGGTCCAATCGCGGCGTGAGGAGCAGAGACAGCGCGAGGGCGCCCGCCAAGAGCGCCGTGATCCAGACTGCTGCGGTGCTGTAGTTGCCATCGACGAGATCGGCGACGAGGCCCTGCAGGATGGAGTCTTGTTTGAGGACGCCCATGGTCTAGAGGTGTGGGATAAGGAGAAGCATGATTGTTTGGTAAAAAGAAAAATGCAGGCTGAGAGTTGCTTTTGAAGCTTGAGTATCGCGATGCAACGCCCGCTGCAGCTTGTTAGCGTGGGCGCGAAAGAGGAGGGACTCTAACTGGACTCGGGATGGGACGATCGAGAAAGTGCGAGTTGGCCAATCAGATGAGGATTATTTCGAAATTCAGGGCTGCGCCGTACGGAGTAGCGTACGGAGTAGGGCTTGTAGGGCTGCTTGATTCCGAGAGAGGTCGGGAGCTGACGTGAGATGGGTGTTTTGACAACAAACAATTGCTTCACAGGGGTGTCATAGACTTCGTGATCTTGCAAGGTGCACAGAACGATAGACAAGATCTCTTAGTAACCATTGCAAGATCTAACGAACCCAAGAGCATCCTCAACTCAAAGATGCCCATGCCAAGAGGAGACCTCGAGGAATGGGGTTAGGGGGGCGGGTAACACTGGATCGAAAGCATGAAATGCGGGTCACGGTAGGATAATGACCAGGAACATGGTCCCTTTCCTTGCCTCTGCGGGCTCCTCACCAACAGGTTCGGTTCGGACACTGCCGAGTACAGATGAAAGAGATGGGCAAAGCTTATAGCGACGTCCATTCATACCGAGGACATCTTGGTGAGGTGGCAGAAGACAAGGTAAATATGTCCAAATCTGAATGATGGTGACCAGTTCAACACAAGGACGACACCCTCCGATAATCTCTACCGCAAGGGCGGATAAAAGTTGATAGATCTCGGCTTAAGTGTCAGTCATCAATGGGTTTAATCATACTCGCAATCGTCATTGTCCATGATATTGAAATCTAACATCCCCATCCAAAGCTCCAGGGTAAGGAAGCTGATCGTCTACTGGGAGTCAATTGCATTGCTCAGTGCGGAGTAATGCACACTCAAAAAACTCCCAAAGTCGAGATTGAGGGAATTTGCACACTAGGGAGGAAGATTGAAGAAAAAGGCTGCAGACGCATGTTTCCAACCTACTCATCACGATAGTATCTTAGAGTAGCCACGCTGCGCCAGTACCCAAATTGGTGGCGGGTGCTGAGGAGGCATGTTTGGGCCAAGTACACGGACAATATATTTTCCGGACGCGATAATTGAGGGAACTTCTGAGATTGACACACTTCCCTCAAACTGGAACAAATGGAAGCTCCCGCAATTGCTTAGGGACGCCAAAGGAATTACTCCGACAATGTTTACAGCCGATCTTCCTTCCCCGAACGATGCGATACGATGCGGAATATGTAGAAGCGGGCCTGCCTGGCGTGGGTTATGTAGAGGCACAAATTGAACGCGTCTCGCGTTGTCAATTGGCAAATGCTTGAGATTGAGGCTCTCTTATTTTGTCTTGTGTTGGACTAGCCGTTCAACGCATCGATACCGGCGACCTCGCGGGACTGTGGGGAGCCAGTCTCTCGATGCCACTTGCATCCTTGGCCGGGTGGAGCGTTAAAGCAGCAGGTACTCGTTGAGGATGGGCCCAGCTGGCCTGGTGTCACGATGCCGACTCTGGAGGTGGGGGATATCTTTGCCCAAGGCCGTGGCTCATGTCCAACAAGTATCGCTATCTCGGCGAGACAAGAGTCATACCTTGAGGCGTTGTCTGCCATGTTGGCGTCGCGAGTAGTCAAGATGTTGGAGTGGACAGATTGAAGGTTTCGATATCATCACCGACACACCTTTTCCAGCTGTAGCAATTCCTTCGCAAGTAACCAAAGGTACCCCAGAAGCCGGAGGTACTCGTACGCCAATTGGTAGCAAGCCTTGGTGTCAGGCCGCTCAAAAAGGCAAACCAGACCTGAAAGTGGGGCCGTGTCGGCCGGCCGCGGTCGCCGTCCGACGGACGATCCTCCGATGACCATAAAATACGGCACATATTTTAATCTGACAATCTTTTCTAAGAACTTGACAAGGTGGAACTAGACTACACATGTAAAGACTATCATTGAAGACTCTTGAATCATACTCGAGTAGGATCCGGGCCGCATGCACCTCGAGATCCGCCAAGTGAACTTTGGTTCTCGTAGTGCCGACATGCAAAGCGGTCTCTCAAATAACATTGCAAAGGTACCTACCTACCCGTGCCTAAACTTTGACAAAATGCCTTCAGTGAGTCATCAAGGCTTTGGTTTATAAATTTCCCGTTTTCCCCATGCTCCTTTGCTCTTTGCCTTGAGATCTTGACAACACCCATTATCAGTTTGAAGTCAAAACGTCGACACGATGTCGGGTTGGTCTTCATTACCTCTCGAGGTGCGCGACATCATCTTGAAGTTCCTAACACATGATAACAAGATCGCGCCCTATGCCACAGTCTCAAAAGAATGGCAGAGTGTCATAGAAAAGAAGAACTTTGGCCGCCTGAAACTTCATCAATCATGCCTCGACTCACTTGAGCGACTCTCGGAGCAACAGCAAGGATTCGTCAAGCACATTTGGCTTAATATCGAGCTGAAAACATACACTTGCCGAGCTTGCTGGAAGATGGAGTCGCTTACATCGATCTATGCCAATCAAAGAATCCTGGCAGAAGCAATCGCGAGGTTGTTCTTCATCTTGGCCAGCTGGAAGCAGAACAGAGGGGGCTTGACACTGGAGCTTAACGCATACTCACCAAGCGACTCAGAACATTGGTTCAGGGGGTGCTACTTTGGAGCTCAGGGTGAAGATGAGCTCAACACCCTCGAATCCGAGGGTCTCCTGCAAAGTGGCCTGCTTGCGACTGCGATGCATCAGCCACACCATGGATATCGGCACGGCACACCCTGTGATGATGCCTTACGACGGCCATTTGGACCAACTACTCTCAAGTTTCAAAAAGAGCTCCCTTTGGTTGAAGCTGTTACAAAGTTCCTTCTTCGCCGACAGTGTCGTCGTCAGTTGTCTCCTTGGACCTTATCATACCTTTGGGGAAAACTTCCCCAGCGAGGAGAGGTTATCTATGAGCCGTGGCAGTTATCTGAAAGGGTCTCTCAAGACGCATGGGACTCTGGTAAAAAACCCATCTAGATTCATCAAGTTACATGACTAACCATCTGAATTATAGGCTATGAAAAAATAATTTGTTATAGACTTTCGAAGAGCGTCAAGAAGGTCAAAATATTCGAAGACTTTAACGAAAATTACCTCGAGTTATTCCAGCATTCTCGAGGGAGAAATTCGTTCCTCAACCCAGACCGAGTCCGGGTCACACAACCCAAGACAGGCGCTGCATATGCGCAAAAAAGCCTTCAACTTGAGGACTTTTCAGTTGCTTTTCTTATTGACGCCTGCCACTTCTTTGACGCTTGCCAGCCGCATTGGAGATGGCCTCACCTGCGTTCGCTGGCGTTGACCTCCCGGCTGATGGACAAGAACAATCCGCTCTCTATCAGAAGGATACTAGAGGCTGCAGCGCAATCTGCACTTGGCATGCCAGAGCTTGAGACCTTGACTTTATGGAATGGAGCAAAAGGAGAGGCATGCGCATTCACCTGGTGTCGACAAGATGCTTCGATATCCTGGCGTGGGACATGGGATTTCAAGCTGCACCCTTCGGTGATTAAGCATTGGGAGAAGGTGGCTTATAAATATGCTCGTCACGAGTTCGCAGTAAACGAAGAGCTATTGACGCAAGAAATTCGCTCTCATGGGGATGCGATTCAATACCTGGGTTTGCGATCCGTGGTTGACGATGTGTCCTTGCGGCAAATACGTCGAGAGAATAATCGCGGCTAGTCTGGCCTTGATGACGCAAAGGGTGGCTGCTTGGTGGGCAGAGGGAATGGGCAGGGTCAGTGGGTGTGGTGGAAATCAATACTCAGAAATGCATGCTACTCCTTAAACATGTTTGTCCATCTACTTCCCAGAGTATCCAAACACGAGTTCTCCAAAAGTGGCCAGAATTGACCAACAACCGAAGATGTAAAAGCTGTCTTCTCCAACCGGGATTATGGATCCAATCCGCCAATCCAAGACTCGACCATTATCCTCGAATGGTGGATGAGACAGGGACCTCATTAACTACCTTCAAGGTACCTTGGTTAGTGATCAAGATTATCAATGCCGAGAATGACGATGTTGGGACAGGAACGAAGGCTAATGCGATGGCATAGACGTCGCTGGATATTCAGAAGGATTTCGTTTCGACTTGAGGCTTCGCTTGGAAAGGGTGACGGCTGGGTCATGGAAAGAGTGGCCTCCTTGGTAGCTCTGTTGTTCAAGGAGGGTTAACGTATTGAGGAGTTACAGTCTCAAAGTGCGGTGGTGTAAGGCACACTGTCCTGCGCGATGCAGTCGAGCCAGATTTCTTTCGGAAGGCCAACCTCAACTGGGCTAAACCGTCGGGCAAGAAACGCCCAGGGCTGTTATTGAACATCTCACCCGCGAATCAGGATGCGAGGTCGGTAGCACACAGATAGGTCCATGGTTGAATAGCATAACTACAGTCGCTCCGAACCGCTATTTAAAGTTGGTTTAAGGCGTGGGGTTAGAGTTGATGGAGGAAGAATGGTTGGGTCGAGATGGGGGATGGGGGTGTAGCGGCGTTGGAGTTTCAGCGATAGATATCGAGAGCATGGTGTCCTAAGCCCTAAGCAAGTACCCTAAAGGGGTTATAGTTAACTAAAGCCCTCAATAGGGGCATTGCATCATCCTTACCTTAACTCTTCCTGGAGTAAGTCCTGCGGCTACAAGGTCGATGGATCCGGAGCAAGGGTGTGGAAGAGCAAATGCACAGCCTTCACCGTGAGAGAAACACGACGCCCTTCCACAATGTCGACATGGTCCTACAAGCATATCCATGTCAAGAGAAGTTAAGAAATGGGTTAGGGGAGCGGATAACGTTTAGATCCAAAGCATAAAATACGGGTCGATCGACCTTCTCCCGCTCTGAAGCACAACATGATCTTTTACCCTGCACGTGGACACGGGATGACAGGTTTCATAACCAGGCAGACGGATGTCTATCTGTTTATGAACGTGGCGACAATATCACGAGATGTTTAGCATCGACGTGTCACATCTGGATCATCACGACACAAGATCTTGGTGTGTAGCGACGAGATTACCATCTCGGTCTCGGGATATGCACATCTACCTTGCATCGCCTGACTTTGACAAAAATACGCGTAAAAATGCGCCACACCCGTAAATTCTCCCTATAAGAGAGCGAAACCGAGAAAGAAATCTTGATTCATCTTGCAAGTGGGACGTGGCGCTTCGGACCCGGAAAGGGGGCTACCCCGGAGACGTAAGCACAACTCGTGCATAAAACCGGACGATTTGCACAATTCTTCACCCGGAAGCTGGAGGTGCCGGGCGGGGACAGCATAAAGTCGGCGCCGACACCCTTCATCCCCGGCCAACCCCAGAAAACGTCCAGAAAAGGGTGTCGTCGGGTTATTTAACGGGTCCGACAACCCGGGAATGAAGCATAATTCGTCGTCGGGTGTTGCAATTTCCAGGTGCTAGCGCCCACCCCTTCGGTTTCGCTATCGCTCTCGTTCGGTCAGGGTTGCGATTGGTTGTGGTGTCATGTGGACGAGGAGATGGACATGCAAGATGAAGAGCATTTAAATATCTTGCATTCCCAATTTTGGAAATGATTTGGGCAACCTGTCTGTGACAATCACAAGTTCGTTAATCCATCATGGCTGAGAAACAAGAGTCTCCTAAGAGCATCCAGCTCGACGATATGGCTCGTCCCGAGAGCCAGCGAACACTCACTCCTTCGGTCCCTGCCAGCGAATCGGGGAAGCGACAAACAGACGAGGAAGCAGCTGTTCAGAGTGGCAACAAAGAGGGTGAAGCTTCGAGCTCAGAGCCTCAAGATCCTAATGCTGTTGGATGGGATGGCGACGATGACCCCGATAACCCCATGAACTGGACACCAAAGAAGAAATGGGGATGTATCGGCGCTCTATCACTCATGACCCTATTGACGTGAGTTACTTCTCCATCTAAGACGAAATACAATACTAATGGCTTCACAGTCCCCTCGTATGTCCCCCAAACAACCCCCAAGTTCCCCTCTAACCCATCACAGGGCTCCTCCATGTTCGCCCCAGGCGTCCCCGACATTATGCGCGAGTTCAAAGACGACAACGAAAACATCGCAACCTTCGTAGTATCCGTCTACGTCCTCGGCTTCGCCTTTGGTCCCCTCCTAGCCGCACCCCTCAGCGAGATCTACGGCCGCGCGCCCGTCTTCAACATTGCCAACATACTCTTTATCATCGCGACAATCATCACCGCCCTCAGCCAAAACATGCCCATGCTCATCGTCTTTCGCTTCCTCATGGGTTTCGCTGGCTCTACACCTGTTACGAATGGTAGTGGAACTATCTCTGACATGTTTCCTGTTGAGGAACGTGGCAAGGCCATGGCTGTGTGGGCTATGGGGCCGTTGCTGGGACCCTGCATCGGACCGCTGATGGGAGGGTACATGATTGAAGATCTCGGTTGGCGATGGGTATTCTGGGTCATCGCCATCTTTGTAAGTGCTTTATTTGCCGTCAAGAGTGCCCTGGACTGACAAGATAGGCCGGTGCTCTGTCAGTTGTCTGCTACTTTGCAGCCCCCGAGACATACCATCCCGCCCTCCTCGCGAAGAAGGCCGCCCGTCTTAGGAAGGAGACTGGAAACCAGGACCTCTACTCGGCTCTACATAACCCCAACCTAACCAGCAGGAAGCAGTTTGAGCATGCCATCATTCGCCCGATGAAGCTCCTCTTCACCCACTTCCCCGTTCTCATCCTCTCTCTCTACGTCGCCATTGTTTACGGCGTGCTCTACCTTATGTTCAGTACCTTTACTTTTGTCTTCGCCCAGCAATATGGCTTTGGCACTGGAACAATTGGTCTGGCGTATCTGCCCACCGGTATTGGCATGTTGTTCGGTGTCATTCTGTTTGGCGTCATTACGGATGTCATTGTCAAGAAGAAGCTCGCGCAGAACGGCAAGACCGTTCCCGAAGATCGTCTTCCCGTCTGGCTGATTGCGCCCAACGGTATCATCATTGTCGCATCGCTGTTCTGGTATGGATGGTCGACCGAGAACAACACGCACTGGATCGTGCCCATGATTGGCGTCGCCTTCTTCTGCTTCGGTCTAATGGGCATCATGGTAAGTCGCCTGCATTCCCTTCAAGAACATCGCTGACGAGTATTACAGATGTGTCTCCAGATCTACCTCATCGACTCCTACATTTCCTACGCAGCCTCCGTCGTCGCAGCCGTGACAGTCCTCCGCTCAATCGCCGGAGCCATGCTCCCACTCGCGGGTTTGTCAATGTACAACCACGTCGGCCTAGGCTGGGGCAACAGCATTCTCGCATTCTTAGCGCTATTGTTGGCGCCAGTGCCCATTGTATTCCGCTACTACGGAGCCCAAATCCGCGCCAAGTGCCCAGACAACCTGGGCTGATAGAAGTGTCCTTTTGTATATGGAGGAAAGACGGTTCAATTGCCACGTCGGCAACATACATACAATCCCCGAAAGCATAAAGCATCATCATCCGGAGTTCAGCGACATACCGAATTTGTTTTGTCTATAGAATTATTGTGTAAAAGAAATATTTAATAGAGGTTTTAAGATGCTAGAAAATATCCCCGTACCAAGAATGACGGAGCCCAAAGGTGGGAATGCCCGACTTTTAAAAAGACCACCCCTTCACATGACACCCCCGGACCGGACCGGAGCCAATGAGACGATTATTATACTGTAATAAGACAAGGTCTAAAATGAGAACAAAGTACGGAACTTTTTCTAGCTTGCCAAGTCTAAAGTCCAAGCGTTACCCACGCAAGAGAATGGGGGGCTATTCCGAGTGGCACCACGGTAACGGTCAATCTGCATGAACCTCAAATGTCTTCCTCGTCTAGCAAGCGAAAAATGCCTTCTTTTTGTGGCGCTTTTAAACTCTAGAACGATGGGTCAGCCCTGTAAGCCATCCATTATTAAATTCCGAATCTTGGCCGGTGCTCTTTTTACGTATCCACGGAGGTAATGGCCCAGGTTGCCTCTGACTGATCGCCGTCTTCCATCGGGGACACGGAGGAAGTGTTATTGTCCGGAACTAGGATGTTCCCGTACTACCGAGTTTCCGGATGATCAGCATTGAGCTTCTGACATTTGTCTTCCACGATGGATTTGCGCGTCCGCTTCTTGGCATACAACAAAGGTCGTCTGATGCGATTGATAAACTGCGCTGATAATCTACCGCGTGGCAAGCGAGTCAGATCAAGTGGTCTTATGTTCTGCCAAGTTCTCGGCGACATCACCAAGACGTTTTTCTTACGCACACAAGATCAATAACATGAGTTGAGACAGAGCTGAGCTAAACCCCAGTCAAAGCTTGTTCCAGCAAACTGGTAACAGCTACAGCACTACCGGGTGATTCCATCCGCAGTGACCATGTGCTCCAAATGTGTCTCGTGTCAACAAAGAACAGCCGAGATCGCGCCGTTGAGCTGCATCGTGAAGGGCATCTCGAAAGCCCGCCATGACCCGACGACAGTGGGGTGAATGAGACAAAGCTCTCTACCATAGGTGGACACTTCAAGCTTGAGCTCTGAACCAGCAGGACGGGTTCCTTGCCAGGATCTTAACCTCAAAGGACCTCCCACGCCAAGCTCCCAGATCTGACCGTTTGCATGTGGGCATTAAAAATGTCGCGTGTTCAGGGTTCCCTCGTCCGTGAAGCTATTCCCAACGCGGAGAAGACAGGCAGGGACAGGGTGAGGCCTTTTGTGTTGGATCACGGTTAGATCACGGTTTCTCAGGTGTCCATCACGGTCAACGCCAAGAGAGAAACCGGGTCAGCCCACAGTGGAACCCGAGCTCACGCCGCGTGTTTTGAGTTTTGGTTGATCCCCATGCCCTTGATCCACGCAAGACTAGCCAGTAAGGTGGCGATCTGATAAGATTAGATGACTCCATAGAAGGTGCAGAAACCCCACGCTCAGAGTTTTACGGGTTGCAAGTGGCATGACATGTGAGTGAGCCCGATCTCGGTTTGTCGCCGCACCGGGATGTGGGCTAGGCGGAAATGCCTCCGCTGTTGACGACGAGGGTCCGAGACACGAGGAGAATATAAACTTGAGCTGTTGGCCCCGTAGCGTTGCATTGGAAGGATCTGATTGTGAACCACAGCAAGGATAAACAACTCAATTTCTCTCTTCTTTCTGTCTTGCGAAAATGGCTGCAGATACTGCGTCTAATCCTCGAAGCTCGGCCGATCTCGAGGCGGCCAAAAAGGAAGAGGGTGTTACTACTGAGGAGCGCCATGTCCCGACCAATACGGATATTTTGGCTGAGACCTGGTCTCGGAGGGCCCTGATCGTCGCCTTTACGGGGTGAGTTTTGGACACAACTCTATCTTGGGATTATACTAACAACTACAGTCTGTTTGCTACTACCTTTATCACCTCATTCCTCAAGTATGCGACCAAGGTGTATGATGCCTACGCCACGTCCGAGTTCAAGAAGCACTCTGCTTTGACCACCGCCAATGTCGTCGGTACCATTATCGGTCTCGTCACATATCCCATCATGGCCAAGTTCTCCAATGCAAGTAACTCAAACCAAACTACAACTCGTCATCTAACATGTTTAGGTCTTTGGCCGTGCTGAGGGTCTCACCTTTTCCATCCTCTTCCTTGTCCTCTCGCAGGTCATGTACGCCGCCTGCCAGAATATTGCCACCTACATTGTAAGCCCCCTTCTCGCCGTATCAAAACACCACTAATAGATACAGGCTGGAGGAATCTTCGAGTCTATTGGCGACACTGGATACGTCATCATGCAACAAGTCTTCATCGCCGACACAACCAGCCTGATCAACCGAGGTTTCTGGACATCTCTCCCCGAATCCGTCGCCTCAATCCCAACTCTGTACCTCGGATCTATTGTCGCCGATAGCGTTCTCAAGCACTCGACCTGGCGATGGGGATATGGAATGTGGGCTATTATCCTCCCCTTCTGCGCTGCGCCCCTCATCATCACCCTGTACATTCTTCAACGCAAGGCTCGCAAGAATGGTTATCGCCGTGAAGGTGCTTGGGATGCTGCCGACAAGTCTCAGCCTCTTGGAAAGCGTCTCATCAACCTCTTCTGGGTTGATCTCGATATCCTCGGTGCCCTGCTCCTGGTCGTCGGTCTCGGTCTCACCCTGATTCCTCTCTCCCTTACCGGCGCCAAGCGGAGCGACCGATGGGACCAAGGGGGATACATTGCCATGCTGGTTATCGGAGTCGTTGTCGTCGCCGTCTTTTTCGTCTGGGACGCCAAGTTCGCCAAGGAACCCTTCGTGCCTTTCCGTATGATCAAGGAGCGAACCGTCATTGCGGCTTGCATCCTCTCCATGCTCGACTTCTTCCACTACTCTTGTTTCACCATCTTCTTCCCCAGCTATCTCCAGGTTGCCGGTGGATTCAGCCCAGGCCACTCCACTCGTATCGAGTACGTCCTCCAATACCCCTTTTCAAGAGAACCATACTGACAATTTACAGTAATGCCCTCCGAGTTGCTTTCCAGATCGCTTCGGTGCTCGTCGGTGTCCTCATGAAGTACAGCAAGCGCACTCAGATCTTTATCTTTATCGGAGTTCCTCTCGTTGTCCTCGGCCAGGGTCTTCAGATCTACTTTGTCAACAAGAACGGAGGAAGTGCCAACGAAGCCTCCTTCATCACCGCCAAGACCCTCGTCGGTGTCGGCCGTGCCTTCTATCAGACTGCCGCTCAGGTCTCCATCCAGGCTCTCGTCGCTAGGCGGGATGTTCCTGTTGTCACTGGCGTTTACTACGCCTCCATGAACCTTGGTGGTGCCATCGGTACCAGGTAAATTGCCTCTGCATACATATCAAGAGCGATGCTAACTCCCCCAGTGTGAGCGGTGCCATCTGGAACAATATGCTCCCCAAGAAGCTCGTCAAATACCTCCCCGAGAACGCCAAGGCCAAGGCCATGCCCATCTACAAGTCCATCGTCGCCGCCCAAAAGTTCGCCAAGGGCACTCCCGTCCGCGCCGCCATCGACAAGTCATATTGCGAGACCCAGCAACTCCTCGCCATTGCGGCCACAGCTGCCCTCGCGCCTATGCTCATCGTCATGTTCTTCCTCAAGACTATCGATCTTACCAAGGTGGATGATGCCAAGCTTGATGAGAACAAATCTACTGATGGTGAGATTGAGCCTCCTATGGAGAAGAACGTCCAGCAGACTATCAGGGCTGAGGTACATTGATATCCGGGACTGGATAAGACACAAAAAAGTTGAAAACTTCTCTTCTCCTGTACTGGATAAATAATAATTGTACATAATCTAGTTTCTACTATATGTAGAGAATACATGAGCTCACTGTGTGAGCCATTAACAATAGAGAGTGTCAGGGTATTGCTGCTTTTGTGACAATTTGAGGAACCCAGCACCCTAAAACGACATGAGAGCTCTCCGTTTAATGACCATAACCACAGAGCGTCCAAATGCGACTTCCAACTTGCAAACACAACCACAACTTGATCCTAGCTGGATATCTGAGTGGTTCCACGTCCATCAATGTTGATATCACCTCACCTCCCACTTCCCAACCGCAACTTGCTAGGTAGACCATTTTGCCGCCTCCAGCTCTCTGAGCTCTTTCTCCGCGTCGTTGACTTGTTTCCAGCCATAACATCCAGATTGACCATGCAGATCATTCCAGAAATGGACTCTGCTCCCAAAATTTCTCTTTGCAATGATGTACACGCTTCTGATATACGGCTCGGCAGGGGCCGTTAGACGCCCACTGATCTTTGAGCTGAAGCGGAGAAAGTAGTTGCATCGGTCGGGACTGGCAGGCATACGTGGACACTCGCCGACCATGAAGCAAATGTTGACTTTGTCGGAGTGGGCGGTATCCCCTGGCATCTCGAGAATTTTGCCGTCATCTCGTCTTCCTTCATCATCATGGACGCCCTCGTAGATGGCGATAATGTCATCAAGGAATTGTTGGTAAGCGTCTTTATTCTCGACAGTCACCTCCAGCCGAGGGTAAATGTCGAAACCGCAGTCGTAACCCATTGTGAAGGGAGAGATGTGATAATGTTTGGGCAGGGTTGTTGCCAACTCGTCTGTGTAATATGTCGTGACGTACATGGTCGGCCTCCCAGTGGACACGTGACCCGGGCAGCATAGCCCAATTGACGTACACTAGAATTATTGATGTAGACTCATTGGAACATAGATTAAGCGGTACTGTACCTGAAAATTTGCTCCGGCTCGTGCGGAGAGCGCCAATGTATGAAGAGGGTTCATGAGACATCGTAATAGCTATAACACCAGAATGGTCTACACTCTGATCACATGGCTACCAAGCTTAAAACTTCTTCCATCTTCTTTCAGGCTGACACAAAGTGTGGACACCGGGAGTATTAATCATCATGCCTGAGACAAAATATTGCTTGCTTTGACTGATCGCCTCGACGTGCTGAGTCCGTTTTCCGGTCATCATATTTTCAGACAACGAAGAGTTCTGAGCGCATGTAAACTAGGAGCTGAACACCAATCATACGAAGGGTACCTAGGCCACTGCCTCAAACCCGTAAGCTACCCCGCTTCTAGCACTGAAGCACAATGGTCCATCGTCAACAAAACAAGGCCATCCGAGAGAGACGTCCCTGGCACCATGAGCGCCCCTACCGCTGAAACTTGCGGCGATCCGATGTCGCTACCGCAGATAACACTAGAATGGAGCGTTGTGGGATTCAACTTCAACATCAGAAACACTGATTCGGAGCTGACGGTAATGTGCCGTGGCAAACGCTTTGTCCTGCGTTTGTTCGCCGATAACTTGTCCGAATCACCCAAGCTGAAAGAGCGTTACCTCTTCTTTCTGCGAGTTGCTGAAGAATTCGAGCTGGATGGTTTCACCGTCGAAGACCTCTGGGATTGGGCTACAGCCTCTGTTTACCCTCTTCCGGAAATTACCCCCTCCAGACAAGACGCGTCAGTTGACCCTTGATGACTTTTTCAACCCCGAAACTTTTGTCTACACCTTGCGAGCGGCCTCCGATAATCTGGTCCCGGAGAAATGCGAAAACCAAAACCAAGATTCTATGTTTGGCATTCTTCTCCCTGACGAACTCTTCACGCCGTGGACGTCTTTCGAACCGTCCGAAATCCGAGTCTGCGAGGAAAAGGTCATTGGGCCTCCTAATCACACACCACGCAAGGTCCTCCTGAAGGACGACACCGTCGCATTCTTGAAGCTCATGCATCGCGGCGACAAGCAGTCCCTCAAGACCGAGTTGGATACCTATAACAAGATCGACAAGACACAGCTTGACAGTGCAACCAGGGTCTCACGCCTCCATGGTCTGGTGCGGGATGACAGCGGCGCAATTTTTGGTCTTTTACTCACTTATATCGACTGCAAAAATGTGACGCTGTCTTGTGCGGTGAAGCCCGGGTTGTCGACAGTCCTGCGCGAGAAATGGGCAGCTCAGCTCCGGGACAGCATCACCCAGCTGCACGACGCTGGGATCGTCTGGGGAGATGCTAAGCCGGACAATGTCTTGATCGATAGCAATAAGGATGCTTGGATTGTCGACTTTGGTGGAGGGTACACAGAGGGATGGGTGCCTAAGACATTGGCTGGCACGATAGAGGGTGATCTGGTTGCTCTTGAGAAGATGATAGAACTCATTGAACGAGAAGCTACAGCGGACTGAGCATGAATAAATATAGTCTATAATCTGATCTTATGCCTGCCTAGTTCAACACTCCCTTACCATTCTTTTGTGCCTCCATGTAATTCCACAAAGGTCCCTTGGGACAATCATCCCGATCCAAAAAGATCTCCACCATCCTAAGCTCCTTGCCCGTTGTCAGTCCCTCGTGCTCCAGCACCTCCTTCAGTTCACGCCAAGTCTTTGCTGAACCAGTATAAGTTGTCTCCTTGGCTCCAAAGAAGGATGGTGCTTGGAGATATCGCCAGGGCGTGACATCGTTATACTCTTGATTTCGCCCGTGGATGCATCGCTCGATGGTGTAGCCGTCGTTGTTGATCAGGAAGACGACGACGTTGAGATGATGTCGAACCATGGTTGCAAGTTCTTGGACAGTCATTTGGAAACTTCCATCGCCAATTACGAGGATGGTCTTGGCTGACGACAAACCGTGGTATTTGGAAGCTTCGATAAGCTCCTTCTGTGCGAGGGCAGCTCCCTGGGCGCCAGGTAGCATGTAACCGATGGAAAGCCAAGTTACGGGTGTAAACACTCTAGTGTGCTGAGGGATGGCCATCTCTCGAACGCCAAAGCCAGCAGTACCAGTCTCGCCGAGGATGATATCTCCAGGCTCAATGACGTTTGCCAGAGTTTTCCACAGCTTGTCTTGAGCGAGAATCTCATCTGTCGGCTTCTCCGGAATAGGGAGGAGGATGTCGCGAGGTAGCTTGGGATAAGGGGTGTAGGATGGCACTTGTTTGGGGTCCAGATCGCGCACTAGGCGAGAGACGATGTTCTTGGATGACACATCTCTAAATAAACGAGTGCCAATCTGTACTCCACTGATGGTAAAGAGGATTGCGGCGTCGTCTTTTGGAATGGTGGTGTAGTTGCTGCTGTTGGTGTTGCTGAAATGTGGTCCAAAGAAGAGGACCAGGTCTGAGCCTTGGTAAAAGTCTTGAACGGGTTGATCATCAAAACACCCCTTGTAGACTCCGTGGAAGTTGTCTAGAGTCTCATCTGTAAGACCCTTGCCGAAAGGCATTGACCATGTCGGCCACTTGGTGTTCTTGATGAGAGCCTGAACGTCCTCGCAGATTCTAAGTGGCCTGGTTTCGCCATCGACAACGATAAGAGGCTGTTTTGCACTGTAGATTCTGTTCATGATCTTGGAAAGGACCTCATCTTCGTCCTTGTTGGGCTGCGCTTCCGGGAGGACGATTAGAGACCCTAGTCTCTCCTTGGACAGAGGCTTGGCCACCATATCAACGGGGACTTCGATGTAGACGGGCCGGCTGTGTAGTAGACACTGTCTGAGAGCCTCATCAATCTGCTCCGCACTTGTCCGAGGGTCGTTTAAGCACGCCTGATACACAGTGACGTGCGCATGCATAGCTGCGAAGCGGCGATATTCACCATCGTTGAAGGTATGGTGAATCAGCTTCCGAGATTGCTGAGCGTCCCGGACTGGGATACCAACGATATGCACGACTGGAGCAAATTCGGCGTATGCGCCAGCAATGGCATTGATTGCAGATAACTCGCCGACACCAAAGGTTGTGACGACGGCTCCGAGTCCCTTGATTCTCGCATAGCCATCGGCGGCATAGGCGGCGTTGAGCTCATTGGCGTTTCCGACCCATCGCAGGCCTGAAGGTTGAACGTAATCGAGGAGAGTGAGGTTGTAGTCCCCTGGGACTCCGTGGATGGAATCAACACCCAATTGGCGTAGACGAGTAAAGAGGTACTCCGCAAGCTTGACAGATGAAGACATGATAGCGGATGGGAGAGTTGAGGATTGAGTGAGGTGTGAGTGTCAGCAGGGATTCCTATAGTGGTGCATGCGTGTTTAAGTAGGACGAAAGATGGGGTCGAAGGGTGATCAAGACAAACCCGATAGCCGATGTCCATCACTACGCCGAGGCTTGTTTTCTCCGAGTGTGACACTCCGGACCCACTTTCTCTCCGACACTCCGAAGCCGGCTCCGGCACTTAGACCCCGTGATAGGAGAGCAATACTCCGTGGGGATATAAATTTAATAAGGGCGGTATTGCTTCCCTTGTTCTCTTTTCATCAATCTGTGTATACCCATTCAACTCCGTCTTGTTTTTCTGCCCCTTACCCACTATCCGTCACCATGTTGCGTAAGAAGCTTGCTCAGATTGAACAGAACAGGGCATCCTCTGATCCCCTTCCAAAAGTCACCGCACCCTATGCATCATCAACCTTTTACAAACTGAAGAATGTTGAAGACAAGCCCAAAGCCAAACGATGGGACGACCGCTTCAGCGTTGACAGCCATAACCAAATCATCTCACCCCTGAAGCTGGCATCCAGGACCTTCAATCATCCCGACATGATTAGTCTGGGAGTTGCTCGGCCTTCCGCAGAGTACTTCCCTTGGGAATCCATGGATCTTTTCTGCCCCGATAGTTCATCACCCGGTGCCAAGAGCCCTCTTGAGTCAGGTGTCCGGATGGGCTGTACCAAGGGCGAGTCTGACTATGACCTCGGCATCGCCATGAACTATGGCTACTCTTCGGGATCTCCTCATCTCCTTCGCTACCTCACTGAACACACTGAGCTACTGCACAACCCCCCTTACCAAGACTGGGAGACTGTACTCAGCTGCGGCACCACCTCTGCCATGGAGATTGCCTTTCGCATCTTTACCAACCCTGGCGACACTGTACTTATGGACGGGTACATGTACTCAGGCACTATTACTGCTGCTCAGTCCCAGGGGTTGAAGATCCTCGGCATTGAAATGGATGAGCAAGGTATCATGCCTGAGGATCTGGACCACAAGCTCAACACCTGGGACTCGAAGAAAGGGCGGAAGCCTTTTGTCCTATACACTATCCCGAGTGGACAGAACCCCACAAGCACAACACAAAGTTTGGAGCGGCGCAAAGAGATCTACCAACTTGCTGAAAAGCACAATCTCTTTATCCTCGAGGACGACCCTTACTTCTATTTCCAGATGGGAAAAGACTCCGATGTTGCACCTCCTACCGATCTAGACGACTACATCAAGAGCCTTCCGGTGTCTTACCTATCACTCGACGTCTCTGGCCGTGTCCTCAGAATGGACACAACCTCCAAGATCCTAGCCCCAGGTCTACGCTGCGGATGGGTGACAGGAAGTTCGCAAGTGATCGAAAAGTTCATATGTTACTCAGAGGTCGGTGTCGTCTGCCCAAGTGGCCCCTCGCAGGTCATGGCCTACAAGCTACTGGATGTGACATGGGGTCACGAAGGGTTTATCCGGTGGCTCATGAACTTGTCAGCCGAATATCGTCGACGCCGAGACGTCCTAGTCGCAGCTTGCGAGAAACATCTTCCTTCTGAATACTGCATGTGGCAGGTTCCAGAAGTTGGCATGTTTTTATGGATTGACCTCGACTTGTCCAAGAGCAATCCAACCATAAATCAAGTCAACGGATCCGAGCCATGGCAGAAATACCTCGAGGTTGAAGCCGATATTTTCTCCCGAGCACAAGAGAACGGAGTCCTCGTTAGCAGGGCCAGTTGGTTCATACCCGATGCCAAGGATTTGAAAAAGGTCAGTTTCCGCTTGACGTTTGCGGCGGCGAAAGAGGATACTTTGGACCGAGCGATGGAGCGATTTGGTGGTGCTGTTCGATCATACTTTGAAAAGGGGCAGACGAATGGGAAGGCGTGATATGGCGGAGTGGACAAGAAAATGATAGGTGGTACAGTCAGAATACTCCCTGATAGACTGTTAGTAAATTGCACAACATAGCGGTTATATCCAAAAAAAAAAAAAGTCTATTAATGTGAACGAATCTATGAGATCAGGTGCCTTGACTGAAAAGCTAGAGCTTTGCCAGGTCCTTCTTGTCTACGGGAACAGCATGAGATCTCAGCAATCGTCGCAAGATCTTCCCACTGGGAGACTTGGGAATGAGTTCAAGAAAGTTAATGCCGCCCTTTAACCACTTGTGCCTTGCCTTGTGGCTCTGAACATGGTCATGGATGGCCTTTTCAACTTCTTCTGTTGATAGACTGCTGGCTTCCTTACTCTTCACCACAAATGCCAACGGTACTTCACCTGCTCTATCGTCATGGATCCCAATGACAGCACAGTCAGAAACATGGGGATGGTCGAGGAGATGAGCCTCAAGCTCAGCTGGGGCTACTTGATGACCCTAGAACAGTTAGACAACGTTCTCAAAGGATCGTTTAAGCTTACCTTGACTTTGATTAGTTCCTTGATCCGATCCACAACGACAAAAAGCTCAAAGCCGGCGGGAGACTTCCGCACAAGCACTTCGTCGCCTGTCCTGAGCCATCGTCCGTCTTTGTCCCATACAAACGTCTCAGCGTTGGCTTTCGCATTGTTCAAGTATCCTAGAGTCACGTTGGGTGATTGCACGTATAGCTCGCCTGGTGTCTCGTGTTCAGTCACTTCTTTGCCATATTGATCGATGATCTTGGCCTTGACACCTGGGAGTAGCGAACCGGAGGACCCCATTAACGAGTCTGTTTCGCTGCTGTGTAAAACTGAGGGTGAAGCTTCCGTCAGACCTAGCGTGCACTGTCAGATTTGTCCAGAATCATTCAAGGCAGCACATACCATAGCCTTGGCTGATTTTCCACGTGGGGAAGAGTTCCAACATCTTGTGGCTCGCCTCGCTGCCCAAAGGAGCAGCTCCTGAGAAAGCAAGACGAACACTACTGAGATCGTATTTCTTGCACTTGTCATGATTGCTCAGGAGCTGAACAAGTATGGGCGGCACAACGTATAACACCTCGATCTTGAATCGCTGGATCGCTGCCAGCAGTTGGTCGAGCTGAAACTTCTGAAGAACGATGACCTCATCTCCTCGGTAGTGCGCGACGTGGGCTACAACCACGAGGCCGTAAATATGACTGAAAGGGAGCACGCCGAGAGAAACCTGGGTGTTCAAGCCGCCTTTTCGATTATCCCCTTGTTCAAACGTGTTTATCATGAGAATGCATGCAATCACGTTGTAATGAGAAATCATTACGGCTTTCTGTTACACGTTAGACAGCTAGGCAATAAAATAAGAAAATCTTACGCACCGGAAGTCCAGATGTGCCGCTCGAGTAAGACAAATAGGCCACTTGTCTCTTTCCTTGTCCTGGGATCCATTTCTGAACAGACACAGGTGGTAAGGTCTTTCCTTCAAAGATCAAGTCCTCGATAGTCTTTACATTGCTGGGTGCTGAAAATCCAGGTACTGGAAGAAGGAAAACGTTCTTCTCTGGGATCCCGACGGCTCGTGCTGCTTTCAGCGCATTGTCGAGTAAGGGCACACAAGTAAACAATGCCTTGGCCCCAGAAGAACGTAGCTGATGTTCAAGTTCGGAAATAGAGTGAGCGGCACTTGCAGGAGTGACAATTCCATCAAGACGGTGGACAGCGTGAGTGACGGGTATGTAATCAGCCTGGCTCATTAGAAGCTATGACATGACTCTGTGCGCAGACTTACGGTGTTTAAAGAGTAGATGGCCACGACCCTGTCCCATTCTGTTCCTTCGAGGGGATCAAGATGGGTAGTCTTGGCAAGCGCTCGAGCAAGATACTCGACACGCTCGGCAACATCTGCAGCGCTGCGAGATTGGCCAGTTACACCGCATGTGTAAGGGCTTTTTGAAGTCGCAAAGGATCTCCTCCCATGGACTTCGCTATTGATGAACTCATCAACGGTGATGGAGTCTGGGATTTCTACACATTGTTAGGATTAGTATTTTGAGGACGCGTTTGCTCACGAACCTGGAAGAGGGGGGACCCAAGGGGGCGGGTGAAAGACCATTATGGCTTCACGGGTCTTTAACGATTGAGGACAAAGCTGCAATATTTAGCTAAGCCGGAGGTTTTTTACGAATGGGTTTCACGCCGCTCTGTTGCCTGTTTAAAGAGCAGCGGAAGATGGGGAATGGATCGACGCGGTTGAGGGGTTGCCTCGGTAGGGTCAGCTCCTCGGCAGTCGTCGATCTCGGATTTAAATCCCGGCAAGGCCAATCAGGCCTCGATTAATTGATGTTGTCATTGCTCAGGGCATAATCTGGGGTAACTGTTTGCGGGGTTGGGGGAGTTGGGGTCATTGAGTCTGACCGAGAATTGTCAGTGAGGACATGAACCGTTCACCGTTGGGTGAAACAACTATGGAGCTGCAGGTTTCGCTCTGGTTCTGAATAAAGAATACCTATGATAAGCAAACGAATAGCCTTGCAAGGATGCTCAGTTGGAGGAAAGCCTTCCCGAAGGAATCTCTGGTAGCGAGATCGGAGAAATGACCCTCCGGTCGCGCAAACAACGCGGATCCGATGGTATCCGCTTCCCCTCTCTTTAAAAGGCAACAAACTTCGAGATCTACGACTCTCCAAGAGGCTGAAGCTCGAATATTTGTGAATATTACTCGAAACTATTAACAAAACATTCATCAAGACAAACACAAACTCAACTCTTTAATCTCGACTCAACATGTCTCAAGACATTGTGGTCGTAGGGTGAGACACTCCAATCTCTACAAAATAACATGTTTCTGACTCACTGCAAGTGCCGGTGTGAGCGGCTTGACAACCGCCCTTCTACTCTCCAAGGCCGACAAAGTCACTGTTGTTGCAAAGCACATGCCCGGAGACTATGACATTGAGTATACCTCACCATGGGCAGGTGCCAACTTCTTGCCGTGAGTGAAACCACTATACGATCAGCACAGTGTAGCTACCTAGTTGAGCAGAATGGCGAGTAAGGAAAACTCGCGATGGGAGACCAGAACTTGGCCAGAGCTGAAAAGGCTGGCCGAGGACGTCCCGGAAGCTGGTATTCACTTCCAGAGTCAGTAACCTTCTCCCGCCTGTCAACTCAATGTCTCACCACAGCTCTTGCAGAGGCCCGAATGTTTAGACGAGACAAGGACATGAAGGGTTCTGTCCACCCTACCGATCATCTTCTTGACCGTGATCCTTGGTGCAAGTCTCTGTTTCCCGACTTTCGGGAGCTGACGGCGGACGAGCTGCCTCAAGGATATCAATCCGGCAGTGAGTTTACCAGCGTTTGTATCAACACCGCAACGTACCTCCAGTGGCTGTTGGGCCAATGCTTGAAGAGCGGTGTGATCGTCAAGAGGGCTGTTCTCTCAGACATTAGCGAAGCCAAGACAATGAGCCACACCGGCTCCCCGGCATCTATTGTCATCAACGCTACAGGCCTGGGCTCTCTCAAGCTGGGCGGCGTCAACGACACCACGCTCACGCCCGCAAGAGGTCAGATAGTCTTGGTCCGCAACGAAGGGCCCGTCATGCTAGGAGTATCTGGCACAGACGATGGGTCTACTGAGGACTTGTACGTGATGCAAAGGGCAGGCGGTGGAGGCACCATCCTTGGAGGAACCTATGACATTGGCAATTGGAACGCCAACCCAGACCCTAACATTGCACTGCGCATCATGAAGCGCGTTGTTAATATCTTTCCTAGCATTGCTGGTGGAAAGGGCATTGAGGGTCTAGACGTGATTCGACACGGTGTGGGTTTGCGACCACTTCGAAAGGATGGAGTTAGGATTGAGACCGAGAAGCTTGACGAATCAGCCTGGCTTGTTCACAACTATGGGCATGCTGGTTGGGGATACCAGGCATCTTACGGGTGTGCTGAGAGGGTTGTGGAGTTGGTTGAGGAGATCAAGCAGCGCAGCGCGCGAGGATCTAAGCTCTGAGCGATAGATGGTATTAGATAGCGTTTTTTACCCAGATGCTCTAGATAATTATCGTGCATCTGAAGCTGTGGAAGATTGAATTGACTGCGAATCGAATCCCCAACCTGCGATCCTTCTTCTCGCTGACAGACTCTCCCAGCCCCCCCTGTCGGTGGACAACTCCGTCTTTGCCCAACTGAAGTCTATTCCCCTCTTTGTCCGCTCTCGCATTCTCCTGCCATGATAAGAAACGTCCTTGTATTTGCGCCCTTGCGCCCTATTGCTTGTAATAGCGGGTCGGTTGGGAGCGGTTATTGGCGCCACCAAGGGTAGGATAGGAAAGTCTACCCGAATTAGCGTTGGTGTCTCGGGTCCGGGTCACACGGAGTACAGGCCCACATAATCATCGTGACTTCACCGACAAAGGGTTGTGCGTATTCTCCGCTCCGAACACCCCGTCCATCATCTCTCCGATTCATTGATCCTGCTCTCCGATACCCAACCCTTCTCCGAATTTGAAACATGGCATCCAGGCAGCCGGCGTGTGACCCCTGCAGAAGGGCCAAGCTCGCATGCGACCACAATCGTCCAGTCTGCTCCCGTTGCCGGAGTCAGCAGAAGCAGGGGTTGTGCACATACAGGGTGTCACCCTTCAAGAGAAAACGTGCAAGTGATTCCTCGCCACGACAACAAGAGAGTCGCATTACCCGGTAAATCATACCATTACTTCGTCGGCGTCAATACTAAGCAACATGTGACCAGTCGTCGTGTCTCTCAAGATGTCACCCCAACCCGTACCAGCCCTCAAGCCCATGTCGCTACCAAGACCTACCTATATCCCAATCCAGGACATATCGGACTTTCAAGTCATGTCACTATCTTTAACCAAATATTCCCCGACCAGCCAGATGAGTCTCCGACGGCTGCAACAGGGCATAGTGGTTCCCCAAATTCCGTAAGCCCTGAGGGCCCCTCCTTGGATGATAATCCTTTGGCAAGAAAAGGAGCCGGGCTGTTAAAACAACTGCTGGAAACATATAGTCTCTCATCTATGGAGAAGTTTGTCTCCTTCTGGATTGAAAATGGGGTAAATCTGCCCCTCGCAGAACCCTTTGTGGCACTTTGTGCCCAAATATCCAACTACTCCTGTTTATCAACCTTTGAGGGTCCAGATTGGCACCTAAAACTGGCCCAAAAGATGTTAGCCAACACAACCCGGCCCTTGGAATATGACGGCAACACAAGTTTCTCTGAATATGTGGCCCAATTCACAGGGGAAAACACACGCTGGGAAACCTTGGGCCTCTTCTTAAGCGCGGTTCTTCGGGCTTTGATCGAGATTCCCTTCTTTCCTACTCTTTACACTACAGAGAATAGCCAGCGCGATCTGAAAAACAAGCTGCTGGCCTTGGTCGGCTGCTCCCTGGACGTTTGTCTATCATTGGACTGCCTAAACGACCTGCAGCATGTGATCCAGTACGAAAGCACCATTACTTACACATACACAAGCGGAGACCAAAGTAAGCAAGCCTGTCGTTTTCTCTCAGGGAGGTCAATGCTAATGTTTGAAAGGCTTCTTCTTGTACCGAAGGCTCGGGGACGTCATGGCTTCCGTCTTTGCCCTCGGATATCATGAGAACTTGGACGCCAAGTCTGACACGCCCCAGTTTCTCATTCAACTACGCAAAGCCGCGTTTGCGCGTATCTATTCGGCAGACAAGAACGGCTCACTTTTTCTTGGCCGGCCGCCGCGTCTAAGCAAGCGATTCTCTTGTTTCCAGCTCCCTGATAGTCGTCTGCCTCTGGACTGTACCACAGCGACGCTTGAACCGATCGGTACGCGTGAGTGGGATCCAGACTCGGTTATGAATTACAGAGCAGAGACTCGATGGTCAGCTTTGTGCGCGTTTGTGAAAGAAGAGGTGATGGAGCTCATGTTTGATAACAGCCGCACTGATTGCCACCAGAAGATCGAGTGAGTTGGCATATAGACATTAACACTAAAGGCATAACTAACCAGATCTGACAGAGCCTTACAAGAAATGGCAGACTCACAATGGAACGCTCTGCCACCGCACTTTCGCCTATGCACCAGTCTCAAACAGCACAGCGACGTTCCGTTTGAACGCGACTTTGTGGCCAGCACACGTCTTAACTACTTGCACACGACGTTTCTTATCCGCCGCCTGGCGCTTGATCGTTTATCTGAGCCGGCAGCACCTCTGATTGAAGTTTCGATTGAGATGCTCAAGCTTGCTGTCGAGGTTACGGTTCTACGGGAGGAGCTGTCAAATTCAGGTACTAGACTCACTTGGAAGGTTTGTTCGACAGTCCACGAGTTCAACTTGAGCTAAGTTGTTGCAGATTGCTCACTATGGTTTGCCTGCTGCTGGCATAATCATAATGGCGATGCTTAACCAGAGCCCCACGCCACCGTGCCTCCGAGTTTCCAGATCCAGAGTCCTCCAGGACTTGGCTGTTCTAGTGGCCGAAGTCGAGAGAGGCACGGTGGTAAAGGCCGAAGATCCCAACTACGCCATCCTTTCAAAAGCGACGCAGATCATCCAGCGATTTCTCGACTTTATTAATAGTGAGCCGAGCACTGAAGCGGTCCCCCAGCTACCAGAACAGGTGCAGCCTGATGCTCCGTGGGGACAGCAGCTGGGACAGGACTTGGAGTCTGAGTTTTCATTCTGGCAGGGCATCGCAGACCATCCATCTTTGTACAGTCAGTATCTTTTGCCGCCAAGTGAAGCACTTGGAGATCCAACTAGCACGTAGGAGCGACAAGAAACTTAGGATCGGTCGTATTCCCTTCATCAAACTTGGGTGAGCAACGGGATAGGAAGGGTAAAGCAACTCAAAAGCGTTTTAGCACCAGAAAAGTCACTCCGGATCCCCAGAGCCTTTCGTGCCAGCTGTGACGGGATCGTTGGTTGATCAAGTTTCAATCACGAGAGTCCAAGAATAAACCCCACCAGGATATACTCAAGATCATGGCGGTTCGCAAAGAGAGACGGGGCATGACAACCCAGTGTCTCCCAGTCAATGTTATCCATGCCGCGCAGTGTGAAGACGTATTCCCAATACTCTGGGTACCACCCTGCGTACTCCCAATCCAGCAGAGCAACGATACGACCATCACGCACCAAGATATTACGCGCAGCAATATCTCCATGCGTGAAGACGATGGGGCTCTCTGCAGCAAGCTGCGTTGTAATTTGGTGCCAGTACATGGACTGAGCCTTTAACCGCTTCGGCGGCTTCACCAGCCAGTCATGAAACTCAGATACAGTAGCAAAGGGGCCCCCGGAGCGCGTCATGATGCTTGGGACAATGACGCCCTGCCCGTCAAGACGGCCGAGGTATATGCCGCTCAGGGCACGCATCTGAGCGATGTATCCCCGAAGCTGGGTCAAGATGGCAGACCGCTGATCATCCGTGAGACCCGGCCACGCCTGCTGCAGAGTCTCGCCCTCGATGTATTCCATAGTGATGCGATCCCAGTCACTGCTGATGACCTCTGGGACTGGGATGGTCGTATAGATCTTGACAAAGCGTAGGGCCACAACTTCGTTCGGGTGGTCGTTAACACCCATTCCATGAGGGCTTGTAGTGTACTTGGTGACATGGCTTCCATGGCGTACTACATAGCGATCTTGAATGTGGTGTATCACGTCGCCTTCGGGATACGGAGCAGGCTGCCTCGGGGGCGGGGGTGAGTCACCATAAAGGGCTTGCGTGCGGTCCTTGTTCCTCATTTCCTGGAGGCGGTCTAGACCCTTGGTCTTTTGCGCACTGTGGCTTCCATGGCTCGGCAGGGGAGGAGGAGGTGGTGGAGACGCCATCTTGGGTTGAGGTGTTGATGATATCAGTCGGGAAGTGTCCCCTGGCCTTGCTCCTGCGACATTCCGTTTAATGCCGAGTTGGATTATGTAAGGATATACAAAGCCGACCCTTCAATGAGACCTCATATGAGGCCTGCCAAAGCCCTGTAGCTGGAGATAAGACCTTCACTTCTAACAAAAAAAAAATCTCTTATTAAAAAGCCCATTAATAGCTCAGCTAATGGTTTTAATAGGCTGTGAGGCTGATTAAGCCGCACGTGACTGATGCCCACATCGCATTGGATGAGCCTTGGCTAGGCCAGTAGCAGTTATCCTTACTTCCCTTCCCATTCACTCACCCACCATGAGGAACTGCATCCTCAAGGACAAGGCCGAGAAAAATCGCCAGTCCTTCATAGACTCTCTCGACATTGAAGTAATCTGTCGTGTCGCCTCATCCTATCATGGAGGCGTTCCTTGCACGACTTTCGGTTCCCCCAAACATGGTTCCTTCAATGTCTGCGTCTTTGTTGAGTTTGAGACATCTTCTCCAGAGAGATGGGCTGTCCGGATGCCCATCCCGGCACGCGCTGCTTTGATTGATGAAAGAATTGAAACTGAGCTGGCTACCATGAAGTAAGCCCACGTCGAGCTTTCGGCCATGTAGAAGTGATTTAGGCATCCATCAGCTGACAGAGGATAGATATGTCGCGGTCAAGACAACTATCCCCGTGCCACGTGTGCACGCCTACTCCTTCACCGAGGACAGTCCCATCCAGACGGCATTTATTATGATGGACTATGTTGAAGGGCACACTCTTAAGGACCTTGGCTTCAAGAAGGGGAAGAAGTGGCGTACCTACACCGGGCCAACCGAGGCAACAGCCAAGCTTCACGAGCAGCTGGCTGACGTCTATGTCCAACTCCGCAAGCTTGAATTCCCCGAGATTGGCGCCCTTGGTCTCCCCGTCATCGAGGGAAAGCCCTCGTACAATTGCGACGCGGACGACATCCAGATACGCCACAGGCCAATTTCGATAGAGATGATGATGCAGGAGCTTGAAGGGATGGACCCCTGTACTAGGATCAAGCCGCACATGACTTTTTCGACAGCCAGAAGCTTCGTTGATGCCTTATTCTGGCTGGCAGAGAATGAATTCGACAGATCTCCCGATCCAGGGTTCGACATCCGTGGGCAACGGAATACCCTCTACGCCAGACATCATTTCCCCAATCTTGTCCGCCATGACTGGCTTGACTCGGCAGCCGATAATGGGCCATTTGTGCTCACGCATGGAGACCTCCTCATGCAGATGAGCAACCTGCTATTTGATAACGAGCTCAACCTTGTTGCCGTGCTGGATTGGGAATGGAGCTTCGCTGTCCCGGCCCAGATGCTAGTCCCGCCTGTCTGGCTAAGCGGTGGCGACCCAAAATGGATGCTTCTCGGCACGAATCTATTCTATAACGAAGTTGGCCGTCTCGTCACCGCTATCCGAGACCGAGAGCAAGCGCTCCAGGTCCCTCCACGGCTCTCGCAGGCATGGGCTAAATCAGAAGCGTGGTGCCATACCGCCATAGTGGTTGCCCTTTTGTGCCCAGACCTGACCTACGACGTCTACTGGGACTTTGTATTCTATGAGACTGAAGAGCCGAGGCCGGAAGACCCCAATTTTGATTTTAGAGCCTTTTACATGAGAGCCATTCATCCTCGCCTGACGGCCTTCATGGAGACCCCAGAGCGCAAAGCTTTGCTCGCGCGCAAGGAGGAGGAGCAGATGCGCTTTTTTCAGGATGAGAAAGAGTACTTTAGAAAGCCGTTCGCAAGACAGATAGCGGGAGAGGGTTTGTAATAGTTCAGATACTATAGGGGTAAAGATACTAGTTTGTTAATAAAGCAACATACACTATTTCCCCCTTCTCGATACCATCAGCACCAATACGCAGAATGCGTCTCCTTCATGCGACTGGACACAAGGTCAAAGAAGTAAAGACGACCACTCAATTTGCAATACTTTCACACACATGGGAGAAAGACGAAATCACGTTTCAGGATATCGAAAGGCCTGGGGCGGGAGAAAAAGAGGGATACAACAAACTAAGAAACGCGTGCTCTGTTGCCGCGGCCGACGGGTTCGACTATATATGAATTGATACTTGCTGTATCGATAAGACAAGCAGTGCGGAGCTGTCTGAAGCCATCAATTCCATGTACCGCTGGTACCAAGAAGCCGAAGTATGTTACGCGTATCTTGCTAATGTGCCGTCTCGGGAGTTTTCACAGAGCCAATAGTTCACTAGAGGATGGACCCTCCAAGAGCTTATCGCTCCATCGACAGTCATCTTCTTCAACAATGAATGGGACGTGATAGGAACAGAATCTGAGCTGGCAAGGCTTATATCTGACCAAACGCAAATGCCCATTGGTATCCTTTCAGGAGGTGACATTTGGAGCGCGAGTGTTGCGCAGAGGATGTCATGGGCTTCAAAGAGAAAGACGACGAGAATTAAAGATCTGGCATATTGTCTAATAAGTATATTTGATATCCACATGCCCATGATATATGGAGAAGGTGAGAGAGCCTTCATCAAACTCCAAGAGCAGATCATGAAGGACATACCTACACCCTGTCAGCTCCCAAAACTATCTCCTTGACATATACATAGACAACAAGCTAATATTAGTATAGACTACCACCTACACATCGCCAGAATGACCAACGACATGCGAGCCCAATATCGGAGCTTCTTACAGCAAAAGGTCCTTGATACAGTTACCCGCGAGATAACCAGGAGGTTCAATGAGATGCCAGAGAGTCGGGATTCCTCAGAGGAGCAGGTTTCGGAATTGATACAGCGATCGGTTTGGGAGGCTTTTGATGCTATCTTTCCAAGTCACCTCACGACGATATGTTAGAGTGAAACAGATACTAGGTTTGACACCCTAGCCTACTATTATCAGGGGCGAGGCTGGGGTGGCCTTATGAAGGAGACTGCGAGTTTTCGTGAAAATTTAAGACAAAGGCCCCTCTCTGTTTCACCAGTTCAACATTCTAGGTGTCTTTAACATGTTGATATAGTGTGCCGGTAAAGGTTCCCGACGTAGTAAACCGTAATCTAGGTAGTTGGGTCATTTTGGCAGTTGAAACGGGGCGTAGTGTACTGAGCGCAACTGAGATAATTGACAAGGTCAAACTCGGTAGGAAAGGTTAATTGCTTATAGAAAAAGGCAGATTATAATTCACAATGAGCCCTGACATAGGGAAAGGTAAACCTTGCGTACGTAGTGTATCAGACGCTGCCTACCATATTTAGTAGAAGATAAGAAATGGTCTCCCTTGTTTGCTAATCCTAGATAAAGAACTTTCCCTTATCAAATAGAACTGATACTAGAAGCGAATAGGATCTCGTTGTTGCGTTTCGTCACCGAGATGGTTATCATTCTGGGCTTGCAGGCCATGATGCTCCTAATGAGCCTTTGCGCGCTGGCCTCAAATCGACCACTCCCAGGACAAACAAGGCCAAAATTCTGCAATTAACGCATAATTGGGAAATAGGCTCCTCTTTGCGGATCCATGCAAGGATGAAAACTCTGCTCTGAACATGCATCTTCAAGTGGCCCATGTCTCAGCGTGACGGAATCTATATTCCGCGACAAGGGGGAGTACCTCTACTCATCGCAGCCGCGCGAAAAATAATGGTAGATTATTAATAATTAGACTACTTACAAATCAATTGTGGTATTGAATTTGACACACAGCCAATCACTCTGTTTATCTTTGTTCAAGTCCGAGGCGAGATGGGTCTCGTCCCCATCAGCTGACGTGCAAGACTGGGACAATGGCCCAGAAAGCTCCCCTATGATGGATCTTTCTCAAACCTTGATTTATAAATCTCGGAAACACAGACTGGGCTGTGGACATTCGTCTGTGACTTGAAATAGCAGCAGTTTGCTCTTCTCTGTGCCAATGTGTTCTAGCCGCCAGAGGAGCCGAATTTCCTCAACGGCCTAATCCTGGCACGAAAGCTGGATATCAATCAACATTATCTTTTATTCTACCGGTCTTTAACATTGATCCTACCTTCCTACGCGTCTCGATAAACCTCCCCACCAGTCTATCATGCCCACCTTACCAGTAGATTCACCGATCTGGTGGCTTGCAAGACGATTCTTTGGCAGGGACAGGTACCGTTTCTACGAAGAAGAGGATGATTTTTATTCTCAAATGAGTAGCGCCGGATGGGATCAATGCTTTGATACCCTTCAGGCTTCTTCGGGGAAGAGCACCTTGCCTTCCAACACCAACGAGAACAATCCCGATCCTTCATGCCTGACACTATGCAACGGAACGCAGGATGTCGGTCCCTTGGAAAACAAAATCATGGTCTCAGAGCCACAGCCCGAGGTGGACTATGCCTCGTCATTAGAAAAAGGAGTGTACGACGGTGACGGTGGGAGAAAACTCAAGGTTGTCGGTTGGTACGGCGAGTCAGATCCAGCAAACCCCATCAACTGGCCCAAGTGGAAGAAAGCCCTTGTCGTCTTGACCATCAACTTTACCGCATTCGTCGTCTACATGGCATCGGCCATCTACACCCCCTCACAACCAGGCGTTCAGAGCGAGTTTGGCGTGTCAGCCACAGCATCAAGCCTGGGGCTTGGTCTCTTTGTCGTGGGCTACGGCACCGGGTCTCTGTTCTGGTCTCCCGTGTCGGAAATCCCAGCCGTTGGGAGGAACGGCCCTTATGCTCTTACGCTGGCGATCTTCTTGATCCTGTCTGTTCCAACAGCTCTCTCCAACAGCTTTGGAATGCTTCTTGCTTTTCGATTTCTGCAAGGCTTCTTTGGGTCTCCAATCTTATCCACCGGCGGCGCTTCGCTGGGCGACATCGCGGACCCATACACAAAGCCCTACTCACTGTACACTTGGGCCATTTCATCCTTTGCAGGCCCATCTGTTGGCACCATCATGGCGGGCTTTACGGTTCCCCGACTAGGCTGGCGATGGGGCTTATGGGAGATTCTGATCGTTGTGAGCCCGGCTCTGGCTCTTCTGGTAAGCTTATCCTATTCAGCAAGACAGATTCTGCAGGTGTGCTAACCGAGATCAAGTTATTCCTCCCCGAAACTTCAGCACCTACGATTCTATACCGTAGAGCAAAGTTGATACGCCAGCTCACGGGAAGTGACTCGTACGTAGCGAGGTCCGAGATTGAATCCAGCCATGTCACACTTATGACCTGGTTCTATGGGTATCTTGTCATCCCTTGGAAGATCAATCTTCTGGATCCGTCCATCATGTTCACGAGCGTGTATTCCGGCCTCACTTACGCCATCTTTCTCTCCATGTTTGAGTTCTTCCCCATGGTGTATGGAGATATCTACGGCATGGCCCCGGGTGAGATTGGTCTGGTTCTCATCTGCAACATTGTCGCAACTATCGTTGCTGGTGTCCCATATCTTGCCTTTGTCTACTACAAAGTCAATCCGTCGGTGAAGCAAGGGCGGCCGATGTCACCGGAACGCCGGCTTCTCCCTGCGGTAATCGGTTCTCTCCTGGTTCCGGGCGGCATATTTATGTTCGGATGGACCTCTAGGCCAACAATTCATTGGATTGTGCCAACGATTGGCGCACTCCTCTCCTCGGCTGGCTTTATCGTCATCATACAAAGCATCTTTGTGTATGTCACCCTCGCGTATCCCACGTACGCTGCCTCACTTTTTGCCGGCAATGGCTTCATCAAGGGGTTAGTTGCCTGTGGTGGCATTCTTTGGTCACATCCGCTATACCAGGGGCTTGGCCTGTCCAAAGGCATGTCGGTCCTTGGGGCCCTCTGTGCGGCTTGTATTGCTGGCACTCTTATCCTGTACACGTGGGGCCATAAGCTCAGGGAAAGGAGCAGATTTGCAGCTTAGGACTTGAGTGACCATGCTGTTTCTCCTTAAGCTGTTTAGGAACAGCTGGTAGCTGAACAGAAACTGGCTTGTTTAAGCCCCAAAAGAGCCCCGAATCTGCATTCTTTACTGCTCATTGAATTCCAAGAGGTGCGTTCTGCATGGGATTGAGACTCGCGCCCTACAGACTACATGATTGTAACCTCTCTCACTGCCCCCTTGGGTGCGTCTACCTTGTCGGCCTTCACAGCCTTGTCTGTGAACGACGCGCGACCGATCCGCGTATACGTTCCTCCTTTGTCGTCCTTCAGAGTCAGAGCATAGGGACTATCCAAAAATGGTGCCACGGAAGGGAATGTTGGCTCGTTATCAAAGTGAGCGGTGCCCTTCTTGGAGGCCTTTGCAACTTTGAAGCCAAAAAACGTGCTTTTACCACTTGACCACGTTGCATACATCCCTGTCTGGAGCGGGTGAATCACCCCTTCACGGCCGTCAAATTCACGAAGGGCGAGTTCATAGATGAGACCCTAGGGCATATCAGCACAAAATTCGGCCAGCCTCTAGAGTCTTGTTACGCACCTTCAATGTCACGCTTCCACATGCCACGCGGCCAAAGGCATCTTTGCCCATCGGCTCAACTTGCACATCAGCACAAGCGGCCAAGACCTCGTCACCCAGCGCCGAGTAGTCAATTTCAGCATCGAGGGACGCCCACGACCAGGACGGTGCTCAATATTCGGCAGGGTATTCTACGGTTGACCTAGTGGCGGGTGGCATGGCACAATCGTGTGCGGTATCTGAGCATTGATGCGTGGGTTCATACGCCTTGATGGCCCAGTTCAACCCGCTCAGGAAATCGCTCTTCCACAACCCAGCAAAGTACGTGTCGCCGGTTCTCTCGGCGGTCAAGTGTGCTAGACCGGATAGCGCGGGGAGTTTGTCGGAAGCCACAGTCAAGTTCCGGGTCGAGTATTGCTCAACCAACCGCATCCACCGCCAGTTGCGATTCTTCCCCGGTTCCCCGGGTCTAGCACCCCAAAAATAACTGGGGGTTGTGAATGCCCTCCGGATCAGGGCCCCGTCTTCAGCAAAGACACATCCTTGGCACTCCCAGTACATCTGCGTGCGGCCGTAATGAATGGTACGTGGGGACAAAAGCCGCTCTTGAAGTGTCCAGCCCCGTTTGCTCAGCGGCTCGTCACCGATGGGATTGAATGTTCCTCCGAATTCGCCCGGAATATACTTGGTCGGAGATCTCTGGAGATAAGGGGGCATCCACTCTGGTGTGATGTAAAGCCATGAGGTGTGGTTCACCTCGGGGTCGGTAACCTCGTCGGTGGCCCAAGTCCATCGTCCCATGAGAGTTGGAAAGTTCCCTTCATCATCCCGCCGGACGACAGGAGCCGCATGCGCGAAACATCTTCTGCCCGTGGACCTGACGTCGACGGATACAGAGGGCTCGTCAAACCTCGTTGAAGCGTCTTGGAAACAGCCGCTAGAGTCATCCTTTGAACTGAGGGCCGCGATGGTGAGGTACGAGTTCGCGTACACGAGACCCATGCGCGCAGCTTCCGCCTCCCAATCTGCGGCATCGTCTTGGATGATGCATAAGGAGTCGATCCAGATATTGTTTAATACTCTGGCGACATGCACAGCATCCCTAAATGTCTTGGGAATGTCTGCGACCAAAATGCCATCTTCGACAAGGGTCGCCAAGTTTGCCGTTGTCAGAGTGAGCCGACGTGTCGAACCCCAGGAATGAGATAGCGCCAGGTATTTTCCTGTCTGTACGGCAGTCTGGCGCAAGAACATCACATCTTGGCTCGCACCGACATTAAGAACCCGTGTTGGGAGGCTGCTCGGGGTGTCCGAAGGCAGGCATGGGTAGTGGTTGTCACAGATGTCGAGCCATCGTCTCAACTTGCTGAGCCCGTAAGGGGAGCCCCAGTCCGCTGCCAGAACTCTTCCAGGTATAAAGTTGATGTCTGCTCATGAGCCCGTTGGCCCCCAAAAGTTGAGCAGGACAGGAAGCGCGCATCTCATCGACGCACCCTGATCAGTCCGGAATCGAAGAAACGAGCCTCGAAGATTGACCGTGTCTCCGTCAAAATCCACAGAATCTTCAATCTTCCCACTTGTCCCCAGCCGAGCACCTAGCCCAACCATCAATAACAGCTTATTGTCGACAAAACCTGAACTGTACCAGTTTCCGAAGAGCCAAGGTTGGAGAGGTTTTGCCTCCCCGTCCTTCACCACGGCACCGCCAGGGAATGATGCGCGTAGATCAGCTCGGATTGGAGGCCGATAGTCAGCAACGGCGTCAGAAAAGTCCTGTATCACGGCACCATTCTCGAGCGACCGCATGCCATATTTGCCGTAGATGCTCGCTGTGGCTCTGGCGGATAGTCGGGTTCGTGAAGGAAGTTGCAGGGTCTGAAAGGAAGCCATGCCTCCGTAGTCCACAAGGCTACAGCTGGCTGCCCAATACAGCAGAGTACACATGGCGCAGTCTTTGCCGGACTCCTCGAGGGCGTCCAGGGTGAGGTGATGTGGGTATCCTTCTCCATCCTAATATGGCCATGCGTTCATAGGAATTTCACTGCAGATGCTGCACAGCTGGCCCGGACCTAGCTTGAGCCCTGGCGCTGCCCTGAAAATGCAGGGAAGGGAGCCATTGGAACGTGATGAAGGCTAGGGAGTCAGAACACATAAATCGACGCGATTGCAGCAATAGGAGAAGCAGCCATGTTTATGAAATACCCCGCAGACCTCAGAGCTGATAAGAAGATGTCACAAGGATCGTCGATGAACGAGTCTAGTCAAGTTGACCGGGCTGAAATGTGGCTTGGCTTGAATCCAGGCAGCGGCCGAGCGGACTGAAACAATCCTTTTTTTCTTGTTCCTGGCTGAGGTAGGAGAGTGTTGGACAGTGCCCCATCGGCATCTATAACCCGGAGGCAGCCAATGGCGCGGAGAGTAGATGGCTGAGGCGTCTGTGGCTCCCTTGAATGTGACCTGGTCGTGTCTCTAGTGTACAGGTAGTTGACGACTTGCTGCCCGTGAATTGGCTGCTTGGTGAGCCGCGGGTCAGCTTGACCAATCAACACCTCGGTGGCAGTGAATTACCTAACCACAAGCGGCTGGGATCGCAAACTTTCATGAAATTGCGGACAGCCTGGGCCTCACTGTCGGTGAGCTCGTCCAATCTCAGGCCCCCGAGGCATCTGAAGCCCCCGGCCAGAACAAATTCGCTTCGTTTCTAGATACCATGGCCTCTTCCGATCATGCACCACTCTATCCGCCATTCAAGGATGTTCATCTTCAACACTGTGCTTGACGCCAAAGGGGGGACGCACAACCTCGTATGCAGGGTCTCAGAGAGAAGAATATATAAATTAGCCAAATCTCAGGTCGTTGGGGAAGTAGAAGCTCTCTATGGCTGGATAATGAATGAGTCTCAGTCATCCTGTAGATTGAAAGGTTGCTGTCTCTGGCTAGAATACAACCAGTCTATGAGGGACAATAGACCTTGGCATAAGTCTAACAAGTGTTTCAGGGACCTCAAGAAGTGCATCAACTATTCCAGGATCGTCCCCATATCTACCAGCACTGAAATGAATGACGTTTCACGCCGCTGGCGACTGTGTTGCTTCCTCATCCGCTGAGGCTGTCTGTCCAGGCCTCTTTGGCTTTTGGCCGTAAACCAGGTGCCTGTTGTCAATTGGTCAGCCACATTGTCCGTTATTGGACTTTCCTTCCAACAGCACTCACATGTCACCGTTGGTAAGATTCTTGGGGTTCCGGACTGCAGCACGCATCTGGGCGACAAGAACCTGCACCTCGTCGAAGCTCCAGCCGAGTATCTGGCCGATCGGATAGACGGCAAACCCGTCCAGGCTCAAGTCAAGGTAGAAACCAGTAAAGCTGCCCAGCTCTTTGAGCTTCTTGTCTTTGGCCCAGTCCCCATACGGTATCTTGAACTTCTTATGGGTGATGCCGGTAAAACCGGCCTCGGTTGCCCACCTATCTATGCTGTCGTCGGAGAACTTGAAGGTGCGTCCCAGCTTGTCACCGGCGTCGTAGAATAACTGAGCCCATCGCTGAAAGATGCTAGGCGACTTGTCAGCCCTGTATCCACGGGAATGCACATGCATCGGAGAGGTCTTTGGTAGAGAGTAGTATCTCTAGAGAGATAGAATCAACCAAGATTTTTGAGTACCCAACTTACTGCTTCTCGTCAACCTTCACGTCGGGATTGTCACTGCGCAACTCGATATCAGGCTCCATATGCTGGAACCAACCGCCGGGCTTGAGGAACTGGAACATTTGGCGGTAGAACTTGGGCCAATCATCGATGGCGCCCTGCATATATCGCACATGAATGAAGTCAAATGATTCAGGCTCAAAAGTCCAGTTCAGCTGAGCATCATCGATTTGGAAGCTCAGGTTTGGCGGCACCCAGCCTGGCTGGGTGGGCGAAATATCGGTCCCGATCACCTCGGCGGAGGGATATTCATCTGCGACGTCGCTGGAAATAGTTGGAGAGAAGACTCAACATCTTGCACGAGAGGTACTTACATGGCCCAAATACCTGACCCAGTTCCAACATCAAGAATGCGCTGCAGCAAAGGTCAGCTTGATCACACTTGCATGATAGAGACAGGAGGCCAAACCTCGGGGTTTTCGCCAATCGGTGCGAGGAACAGCTTATCATTTAGCATCATTGTCATCCATGCGTGCCTGTGATCAAGGCGGCTATTAGTTCAGACATTCATTTACTTCAGCGCTGATTCAGGGCTATACGCGACTTCAAAACCCTCCAAGTGCTTGTCGTCGTTTGGGGCCCTGCGATCTATGTGAGCCCTTGATCACTTCGAGTTGAGAACAATGCAGCGTGCGACTGCATACCAATACTCGGTAGTCTTGGAAGACTGGTATGTTCGGCCTCGGATGTTTCGGTACTCTAGAATACTTGAGGTGATGGAGCCGGTTGACTCATGACGACTGTGAGGAAGCCATCAGTTTGATGCTCTTCAATATACGTGAAACAGAGGGTAACAAAAAGGCGTGTGCATCACTGAGCTACGATACCTTTCTGAGTCGATGGCCGAGTCATCATCACCAGCTTCGACAACATCGGGGTCCTGCACAAGTTGATAGTTCTCAGCCAATGATTGCTTCAAGATGTCGAGTGGAGCTGTTGGGGAACAATACTGCCTCGATCTGGTTCCGAGTTTCTTCGGGAGTCGACATTGTAGCATAGATGGGCCTCAGGTATTCGAGCAAATACTCTATCAAGAGGCAAGATGAGGGAATATTCTGGATATCAGGCTACAGGAGGAGGGGAACAGTGCGAGATGTTCTGATGAGTACTGTTATTATTCAGCTGAAGAGTGAGCCTGGCGAAAATGGATTACGACCGGGGGTTCTATCCCCTGGCTCTGTCGATTGATTTGTCATGGAGACCTGCAGCTCCACACCCTTCCTCGTGACTGACAGATATCACCTCGCTTAATCCTTGAAAGGCATGTCCGAAATTGTCATTTATAGCACGTATTTAACCCGCTCATAAGGATTGTCATTCCCTTGAACAACGCAAAGGCCCTGGGGGTGAACTAATGGTGAGGAATAACAAGTACATATGAGACCCAAGGCCCAACTGTCTCAGTATTTTTGACCTCGTATATGTGCGGTGCACTTTATTCACCGTTCCATAGGCGTGATAATCTGCTCTCTGGTTTTCTAGTCGTGGTCTTCCGAACCGTTCATTTATCAGCCTTATAAGCATACTCACCTCCGAAGCCAGAACCTTGGGGCAGGCTTAGAGGGTGAAGTATCTGGACGATCTGGCAATCAGGCTGAGCTCAGAGGGGATACGGCGTCCTTCTTGTGCTAAATTCCTCTTGGAATGGGCAGTCCACGCTAGAAACTTCAAATCAACCGATACCCACGTCAACTCTCCTAGCCGGCTTTACCTCGAATGGCCGCAGCACTATAGGAGACCTTTTGCTGTTCAAGCAGCGAATGAGAACCTGACTTGAGGACAATTCCCAGCCTGGTTGTTGCTGCAGCACAATCACATCTCGGCTTGTTGAGTAAGCGGACGACTCTGCTGCGAAACGAGGCTGCAGGGACGGACGCTAGCCCTGCGCCCGCGATGCGGAGTCTGGCAGGGCGAGAGGCAGGTATCTAAGGCTTTGGTTATAGACTGGCCACGACGTACCTTTTAAGGCTACAGGCGTGGTTTGCATCAATGATCCCATGCCTCACTTGGCCAAGACGCTCCGGTTAACCACCTGCCCTCATTGGCTGGAAACCCCGGCGTCCGCCCTGCCGGGTCGCCTCATCTTGGGTTACCGCTCTACTCTCTCGAACCCACCGAGGACCTTGTTCTCCTCTGCCCTGGCAGTCCCACCATTCCGATTAGCAGTGAATTACCTAGGAACGGCGGGCTCTATCAAAGACTATACCATGAGCTCAACGGGCGTACTAAATTGGGGAGTCCAGTGACAGCTCGACCTTTTGTCACGACGATGAATGTTCCCTTTGTAGCGTTCTCAGAGAGTCGATCAAACTCCAATATGCGAGCGAGTGAAGCCCGAAGCCTTTCCATGCCATCTCGCGTTCTAGACTAACCACTATTCAACCAACATAGGCGAAAGAGACATGTTCGGCCCTGTAATTTACTCGACACCGACCTCCTCAAGTATGTACTTCACAGGTACCTCGTTCACCTGATTTTAACCTCTCTGTTCAAATAGAAGCGGACGGCTATGCTATGAACCATCATGTTGATTCCGATCTTCATGCCATACTCATTTGTTACATCGCAGCAAGTAAGCCCGAGCAAAAGTTTGAAGCAGATCCTGGCAAAACCCGACCTTCTCGAGGATTCGATTGTGTAGGTGGCCACTTGGACACATGACGGCAAGGGTTAACTCATTGCATCTCATAGACTGAGGGGATGACTAGGGACGTAGGAGGTGATCTTGAATATCCGGAATGTGTTGTCTACCGCGAAGATGCAATCATTCCGGTTGGGCTAGTAATGTATACCCGAAATTGATTGGAGCCTCGGTATTAATGGCAGCTGAGCTACAACCTCCACTACCTGTCGTTCAAATGTCTTCCTCATCATCAAAGTTCTAGCCCACTATGTTTACTACAATGGGAAGATTGAGAATGTATAAGGTGAAGACGAAGGACTACCAGCAGAGAAATCGTATCTATCCCATGGAGTGATATAAATGAGAGTGGGTTCGAACAATATGTAGGTGTATTGCGTCAGGGTATATTGAATTTGGCCACCGTGCTGCACCAAAGTATCCCTAACCCATCGCAGATTCACTCTAACAGACAATCACTACCCTTACGCAAATACCTTTGTTCTCCAACAGTGGGCAAAACCCTCAGGCCGTCCCGGGGGTTGTCATGCCAAGGTTGGTTGCGAGATGAACTTAAACCCTTCTTCGGTTCCTTTAGTAAGGACTTCAGCAATCTCTAGGCAGATAACCCATCGACTGGACGTCACTGTAGTATAAGCCAGTACGAGCATCAACATCCCGGTCTAGCCTGACCAATCTGATGCAGGACAAAGCTCTGAAAACCTGTTTCAAAGCCACTGGCTTCCTTAGAGTTCGATTCGCCCTTGGCTGGGGCACGCATGGCCTAACGTTAGCTCACACCTCTTGACGGCCGTCAACATCTGCACACCTGCAACCGGCAGCTCAGGCAACCAAAATCAAACTGAAGGTATCAATGCCAATAAGCATTTCTTCAATCGCCTGGGGACGTGGCGTAGTGGTTAAAGTCCTCATCCCGCTCTTGAGCAGCTTGGATGATCGATAGTCGGCGCCCCCGAATAGTGGGAGTTTCTGGATCTCAGCGACGATCGATTGAGCGATGTGGCATTTGTTTTTTCTTTTTTTTTTTTAAAAAAAAAAGAGGTCTATAATATTAATTTTTCCTCGTCGATTTTTTTTATTTTATTCTACCTTTCTTCTCGGGGGGGCAAAAAGAAATTGAAAAGACTGCACCTATGGTTCACACGGAATAGGGGAAGTTGAACCCCAGCGCAACCCGGTTTAAACATAAGCCTTCACTGTACAGATGGAGCAGAATTGAAGCCCCCTCCATGATTGGCTTTGAGTCGATGGAGCGCCTCGTCAGCTCAGATCAGGCCCTTGACCTCGGATAAGAGGGTTCGTTCCATCGGGATCGCGTTCCTTAACACTGACTCAATGCTTGTTGCATACAGGATCAATTTGGGACGAAATTCAGGTGGCCGTGGTTCGTCTCCAGCCACCGACGAACACTTTCTCGTAGATCCAACTTCATCCCCATAGCCTACCACATGACCATCGAGTCCAAAGTTCACTCTGGAAACATTCATGGGGATGGTTGTAAATATACGATGTCAAAGACCTCCTCTCGTCTCTCAGTCAGCGCTGCCGGCCAAAACTTGACAAAGTTTCCCATGCTGAGAATAAAATCAAGTCAACTAAATTCTAAGGAAAACTAAGCTTATGAAATATCTTCCTGATCCTACGATGGTGACTCCTGGCTGTCATTTGTCAATAGTCGATCAGAAGCTTCGTCCTCGTGCCCCCGCCACCCTCAGCACTGAACTCCCACATATGGTCAAATTCAGAACTTGTCTGAGTATTGAGCCACCTATTCGCATGTGCAAGCTGGAAATCAAACCGCACAGTCCCAGATCCAGACTTCCAATCGGAATCCGGGGCCCCGGGGGACGGCTGCTGTGCTGCAAGCGCCCCGCGAAGCGATTCCGCATCGCTAACAGAGGACAAGCGTAGTGTAGGCGTCGTTTTTTCAGTTGAAATCCTCGCATCAGAAGGCTGTAAAGCCCCGAGCTGCTCAACCGGAGGCCTGAGCGTAGCAGGGCAGCCACCAGGAGAGCCAAGAGACACTCACCCCGGAGTTGTATGCGAGGCCAGGGCACTTGCCGCTAATGCGCCTGGCCGCGTCCCCAGCGATGGGGCCCTAAATCGGCGATGGTGTATCGCGTGGGTACGGGGGGCTTTGTCTGTCGACGGTGATTTATCTAGCGGCGACATCGATGATGACTGAGCCGGTGACGGTCTTCGAGGATTGGAGCGAGTGCGGCGCCTTGGCTCACTCTCAGTCTCCAGAGGCTCATCAGCTGGCGATACGATTCGCAAAGCCTCCGCTGGCTGAGGGATCTGTTACCGTCAACTATTCCGGGTCGGAGATTCCATACGGAGTTATCGCAGAGTAGAACTTGTCGGTTCTGTCTGTCTGACATGATACGGACTGTCACTTGCTCGGGCCTCTGGCCCTCGACCGCTCTAGTAGATATAGCTGCAGAAGGATTATTTTCAACCATTTCCTCCCGAAGGCAACTATTTCCCTTTTGATGGCTCTTGACACGTGATTAACCTACTGCTTCTACTAGACGAAATGATGTTTCAAGAATGATTGTGACTAGAGGTAGCTCGCTACGTGGTGAACACAAAATAACAATATGCGGCTCGTCTTGGTGGGATAAGATGAGGTCGGCTCCCACATGACGGCGAACCTTGAAGTTGAGGGCCCGGTCAAAGCCCTGCTCCTTGCGCCATGTTTAATCAGCCAACCTCACCTTCCATTCTAGTAATATCTCGATAAAGTTTATCCAATTTCTAATGCTCTTCTCAAAGTGGGATGAAGAAAGACACCAGCTCTGCTATTTAAGAGTGAAACACCTCCTAAAAGGGCTGCAGCGTTGTCTTCAACACCTCTTCAGCTTCTTATCCGTGCCACCACAAGAAAATGGCGTCAAGCTTTACGTACCTGATCACCGGTGCCAACAGAGGCCTCGGCAAGGGCTTCGTCGTCAACCTCCTCAAAAGACCAAACGTCAACATTGTCGCTGCTGCTCGTGACCCTGCTGCTGCGGGTGTTGCCCTCAACGACCTACCCAAGGGCGAAGGCTCCAGACTCATCATTGTCAGGCTGGACTCCAAACTTGACGTGAACCCTTCCGAGGTTGCATTGCGTCTTCAAAAGGACTTCGGCATTGCTTCCATCGACGTCGTCATTGCAAATGCCGGAGTTTACTACGCGGCCAAGCGTACCCTCGACAATGGCCTTTCTGCATTCCGCGATCACTTCAACATCAACACGACTGGTGTTGTCGCTTTGCTTGTAGGCCTTGCTCCGCTCTTGAAGGCTTCCAAGACCGGCAATCCCAAGTTCGTCGCCCTTTCAAGCACCCTCGGCAGCCACGGCTCAGCGAGCGATGGAAAAAAAGCTAAGCCGTGATTCATAGCAGGATAGTTTCAATGACTATTTTAACCTTGAGCATATGTTTTGTGGTTCTGTTTGAGTGATTCCGCGATGTGATCGAAGCCACCTGGGAGCATGATCCCTAAGGCGTCACAGGTCAAGGCATGCCATACCATCTGTACTTTTACCCATTTTTGGGTTGCGTTGACGAGAAGGCTCTGACGTACCTGGGAAATCTGGCCACCTGTTTCGTGAGCATGAATAGCGTCAAGACACACGATGCACCAACTGTAAAGTCTGGCGTCTGAAGAGTCTACCTCGGACTGCAGAGCGGGATGAATGTTATGAACAGAAGAATGATTGATAATCTCGCGTTTGATTCAATCCGAAAACTGACTCAAGTGTTTTGAATGAGCAAGTTAAGGTCAAGTACCGTCCAGGTCACCGCCGCTTTGTTCTGCTCCAGCAAAAGGGGTGCAGGAGCTAGGGGATACCTGTGTGTACAGCCCCTGTACATCGAATTCAAAAGCAACACATAAAGTATCCTGGTCTAGATCACAAATAGTACAGCAGTGAGCTCGGGGCATCGTTTGCTTCCGACCCCGGTAGCCAATCACCCTTTACGCTACTGACTAGCCAGCTCCTCCTGGATATCGATCAACTGCCGGCAACGGTTAATTCCACATTTCGGAATTGATATTGCACCGGTAACTTTATATGAAGATTGTTAAGCCAAGTTGATTGGACCATGGCTTTTGCCTCAGTCTGGAAGGATGAGACACGCGTCCGGAGACGGAGTTTGGGCATGACACCGATGTGGCAAGCCAAGATTCTCCATAGTACTGCTTGGCATCTAGCACTGTTTTCATGTTGATCAAAATTGCATTGATCGATCATCAATATTCGGTCTAGTTTCCTTACTACCTGAGAGTCTCTTGCAGCCTTGATGAAGCATCAGTGCCGGGAGAGTTCTCTCATCGTCTCATATTCTATACCCTTGTCTTTACTCTATCGCCTACACCAAACACCAAATCAGCCGCAGTCTATGAAATGACCAGGATCTCCGTGGCAGGAGGAGCTTGAGGTCTCGGAAAATCCATCGTCGAAGCAACCCGGAAAGGCTCAAAGCACCATGCCGTTATCTCAGCCGCCACGAGCATCGAGACCCTGCAGCGATGGTTGTTGACTATTCCAGCGCCTAAAACTTGAGGAGCGTCCTTGACCAAGAAAACATTGACACTGTTGTCTCAATAATTGGCGCATACATTCAGGTTCATCACCAGTCTCAGCTTAACCTTATTGAGGCTGTGGAGCTCACACCATCGGTCAAGCAATTCATCTCAAGCGAGTTTGCGTTCCAGATTGGACCAGAGTAAGCCTTTATATATCCTCAGGGCCCCCAATAAGGAACTAAACGAATATCTCATCTTTAGGCACGCGAAACGAAGCCCTTCATTCCCATTTAAGATCGCCACTCTTCGACGGCTTGAAGGATCACCCCTAGAGATCACCCTCATTCATACGGGTGTCTTCTTAGATTACCTCGTATACCCCCGAATAGCATCCCACATGGAATGTCAGACTGTGTGGTTCCATCTTGGACCAGATGCTGCCGCGATCCCTAGGGACGGCAACCGTACTGTCGCTTTCACGCACACCAAAGACGTCGGGGAATTCGTTTCCCTAGGTTTGGATCTTCCCAATTCGGAGAGGCAATATTATGGCTACGCAGATCGTCTAACGCTCAACGATATCGTGAGAATTATCGAAGAGGTCAAAGGTGTCCAGGTGAACGTCACGTATGACTCGAGGGATTCTTTGAACCGTGTGGAATGCACACTGCTCCCTGGGCCTGCTGAAAGCGAGTTGAAGGACAGTAAGTTCAATGGGTAAGTTCTCTTCAAGACGTACTTAGCAAATCTTGGCTCCATTGTTGACGACGGCCTTGCTGACCTTCATGCTCCTGAACCCATCAAGCAAACATTTCTTACTTACAAGCCACGTACTGTTTGGGGCACAGTTGAGAAGTGGTTCGCCGCAGAATGAGCGTTGAGGAAGTTCATTGACTTGATTTGGTCAATGTGCAGTAAAGATATGTTCAGTATCTTACGAAACTTATTCCGTACATAAATAGCCTCCTTTCTATTTGGGCCAAACGAAATCCCAAGATTTCTAAGGCAAGAATCCTGCCATACACTAGGACTGATGGCAATACCTATTTTACTTGCCTGCCACTTCGTTATATGACAAGTATCCAGCAGGGAAAGCAACCCCTTCAACCCCGACTCCCCGAATGGTTCCCCGTCGTATGATTCGCTTAACCACCTGCATCTTGGCTTGTTGGTTCGACCTTGTCGCCTTGCAGGACAAAAAATCTTTGAGCAGGGGGTCCGAACTCTCTTAAAACCGAGCTGTGCCCCAGGAGAAAGAAAGAGGGGTAACCGTCTTTTGACATTCGACACACTGCGCGATTAAGAGAGGAAGTCTTATTTGAACCATGTGCAACGACACAACCATCAACCCGGGGCCAATCATTGAGCCTGACGACGAGGTTTATAGCTCATATTCATCATGTAGAGCATGAGTTAATCCGTTGCAGGTGGTCGATGAGCAAGACTCTTCGCTTGGCACGGTAAGGATGCCAACTCGCCTCCCTTTGCCTGTTGAAGGAGCTTGTGGTCTGATATGGTTCGTCAAATAGGACTTTGCTTCGTCGTCTTCGAGTCTTAGGAGCTCTATCCTTAGTTATCGGCAGGAAAATGGGAGAACCTACCATCGGTACAAAGATGGCAGTACGTCCACCTTGGCTGTTGGCCTCATTGATTGGACTCTGATTCATCATCTAGAATACAACATGCCGAACGACGATCTTGAGTGTGAGAGACTAGGTACTTTCCAACTGCCCTCTAGACATAATGCGTAATCGCTCATTGAAGCCAGATTTGCAACACCATTTGGTCACCCTCACCCTAGGAGACCGACTGGGCTTAGCACCACCCAACGACCCCGACTCCAAGGTTAAGCGGGTCCTCGATGTTGGCACGGGCACGGGAATCTGGGCCGTTGACTTTGGCGATGAACATCCCGAAGCTAAGGTTATTGGCGTCGACCTCTCACCCATTCAACCCAGTTTGTATGGCTGAAGTTTACAACCCTCACCTCGGCATTACGCACGAAGCTGACAGATTCGCAGCGTCCCCCCAAATGTCGAGTTCTTTGTCGACGATATTGAAGAGCCATGGTCGTTCTCTGAGCCTTTTGACTACGTCCATAGCAGGATGATGACCTTTAGCATCAAGAGTTGGCCGGAATACATCCGCAACATTCACGAGTAAGCCCCCGGCCCAGCCATCATCATGAGCATGCTCTCAAAGACCGCCAGCCACCTCAACCCCGGCGGCTACGTGGAGCTCCTAGAGATCGATCTCTATGGAAAGTCTGACGACGGCACCCTCAAGGAGCACCATGAACTCTCACGGCTAGTCAGGCTCCTAGACGAGGCGTCCACAAAGATTGGCCGTAAATTCCAGGACAACAAGAAGAACAAAGACATCCTGCGAGATACGGGTTTCGTGGACATTGTCGAGACTACCTTCAAGTGGCCAACCGGGCCTTGGCCTAAGGACAAGAAGTACAAGGAGCTCGGTCAGTGGTACAACACTAGCATGGATGCGTTCCAGGGCCTTGAGTCGCTTGCCATGGCTGCACTTACTAGGGTACTTGGATGGAGTAAGGAGGAGGTGATTGTCCATCTCGCACTGGTTAGGAAGGAGATGGCTGACAGGAGCCTTCATGCATATTGGCCGATGTAAGTGTTGAATGACTGGTTGGCTTGACAGTTGCTGACTCGATTAGATACTCGACTTACGGGAGACGGCCTCTTGAGTAACTTGGAATAGGGGCAGGGAGGGAGTATAATTCAGTTAAAGTATTGTCGTAGATCCAGAACCCTCTTTTAGATATCCGATAGCTACATACCGGTTTTCTTGCCGTTGGGGTGAGGTGCATTAATACATCGACCAGAAGGTGCCATTTGGACAGGACAATCCGTCCTATGATGGCCTCATTATTCAGTGGAATAGCTCAAGACTTTGTTGACCCAAAAATCCCGCACCCGCAAGTCTGATATTGAGGGGAAGGGTCCCCAAGATGGCCTCGCTGTAAGAAATTTCAACAACCATCTCCGCTTGCTTACTCTCTGTGGATTCGCTGTATTGTTGCAGTTTGATTGGCTGGGAGCTTTCAGCTCTTCGAGTCGTCGACCTCAGACCATGACTTGAGAATTCTCCCATCTCTTGATACGTTTTCTACGGGAGTTACTCCAGGTCACCGCCGCAATTATGGAGTCCACAGCTGGGGAGCCCATGAAGTTGGAAGAAGATCCAGCGTCGCAACAATATGAGCTGAGGCTTTATGATCAGCGATGCCAGGCGGGTCTCATCCAGCGTTGCAGCCTCTGTCGCAACATCGCCCGCAGACGATTTCCCTACACGTTGAACGCAGATCTCAGTATTTTCAAGGCTTCAGCTCAAGACTGTAGCGTTTGCGCTGCTTTATACGACAGCTTGACAACACTTCAATCAAGCTTGCAGACGGGGTGGGACAGGGTGGATTTCCGCTTCAACGCTTCGACTAAATTGTCGAGGTTTTTTGCTTCAGAGGTGACACCCAAAGGCGCATACCAATCCTTTCAGCTTTTTACGGAGCTCGGCGAGGCACCCACGACTTGCCCGCTTGGTTCGGAACCCATCATCGGTGCTGCGAGGAGCATTGCGGCTGAGTCGAATTCAAGCCAATGCTTTGATCTCATACGGTACTGGATCTCAGAGTGTGCTCAGCATCCGACATGCGCTCCCCCCTCCTACTCTACTAGACTGCCCACCCGTCTTCTCGACATTCTGGCAGGCGATGGTGGTTGTATCAAGTTGTATGAGACACACGAGGACGACAAAGATATGTACATCGCTCTCAGTCACTGCTGGGGCCCCAAAGGTCTCCCAGACGAGGCCAAGACAACGAATGCCACCAAGGAGGACCGCAAGCGAGGGATTCGGATCGAAGACCTCCCCAAATCTTTCCAAGACGCCATCACAATATGCCGCGCGCTCGGCGTACGGTACCTGTGGATTGACTCGCTATGCATCATCCAACAAGACAAGGATGACTGGGAGAAGGAGTGCTCTCGCATGAGAGACGTGTACAAAAACTCGTACTTGACAATATCTGTCGCCCGCTCGCGTGAAAGTTCCGAAGGGTGTTTCTCATCACGCCCTACCAAGCATCTATCCACAAAAGTCGGCTCCATCAATCACCAAGGCCAAGTCTACGACATCAAGGCCAGGGAGAGCATTAACCACTACGAAGTAGTGGGGTCTGACAGTCCCAATTCGGATTTTCCTCTCTTTTCCCGAGCATGGACTTTTCAAGAGCGGCTGCTCCCTCAACGGGTAGTACACTACGGCGAAACAGAGCTGATCTGGGAGTGCAACACTATGTGTGACTGCGAATGCGCTGCTTCTCGGGACTTTCTGACACCATGGGCCTGGGAGAAAAGCCCCAAAGTCATGTTCGCCAACATGATGAACTTGCCAAGAAATGGGCCAGAATTTCGCCGCAACTGGGCCGCCTTGATGCGACGCTTCTCCCTCATGCAGTTAAGCTTCGACGCTGATCGCCTTCCGTCCCTCTCTGGCCTTGCCCAGGAGTTGCAGTGCAGCGAGACAGGGAGATACTTTGCTGGCATGTGGGAGAGGGAACTGCCCTGGATGATAGGGTGGATGAGCATGGGTAAAGATGCATGCCGCCCATCGTCAACTCCAAAACCCCCAAGCTGGTCCTGGACATCAGTTGAGAACATTTGGGTTTCCTGGAACTATAGTGCTGATCTAAGCGCCCACGACGTGTGGACTACTAAGTGGCCAAATGGTATAGACCTGACGGAGCACAATGATGCATTCAAGATAATCCAGTGTACAGTCAAGGCCAAGGACTATACCACCCTCGGAGAACATGACGCGTTTGGGCGAGTCTCCTCTGGGACACTCATCGTCTCCGGACGACTCGTCTCTGCGGTACTGGGGGATGACTTCTTTTGTGAGCGAAACACGATCCACCAACGTTTCAACCCAGATGTACGAGGGGAACCAGATCTCTATCTTCTAGGAAAACCGGTTTACTGCCTCATGATTGGCGCTATGAGAACCGAGAGCTCCAAGTACCCCGGCCTGGTGACTGTTTCCTCCCTAGTTCTGAGACTTCGAGAGGAGGATGGTGAGGGGAGAGGTACCTATGAGCGGATTGGACTCATGAGCCAGAACAATCACTTTGCTTGGAAGGAGACGCCCGCCTGGTGGGACGATGCTAGGAGTGCTGTGGTGGAGATTACGTAGCGATATCTATCCTAGACTCTATGGCTAGCTCGAGCTACCTAGAAATCCTGGTCCGAAGTCTCTTCAATGCCAACTGCATCTTATACCTGCCGCCCCCATTGCGTCCTTTGAGCAATAGGCCCACACGTTGCCGCACCGACAACCCCCTGTGGCCATCTGGGTCCTCTGATACAAGCTGATTTCTCCCCTTTCCAGATTCACTCTCCGCTCTGAGATGGTCGCTGCAGTTGATCCCCGGATTGCTACCAATGCCTTGATTGCTACCTCGCGGTGGCTGTCTGCAAACCTGGTGAGAATCATCAGGATACACACCCCGGGCATTTTTCAGGTCCACTTCATCTCGATCCCTAGGATCAACAACCTTTTCCTTATCGGTTGTGCAGGAGAATCCTTCATCTGATGAGTCTGGGTGGCAGGATGTTGCAGGAGTGAGATGGCCCGTTGGGGGGTCTGCATCTGGGCTCAACTGCAAATCTCCCGGTGAAATAACAGTAAGTTCCAACGATCCAGACGAGTCAGACCTGGAACTTTGGTTACTCGGTACCCTCTTTTCAGAAGTATACCAAGTGTCAGGCGGCGAAAGATACTGGCCTACTTTGCTCTTGACGTCGCTGGTTGGTTGTGCACCCAATATGGACGAGAATGCAGTGTCCTGACTGGTTGGCTTCGATGGCTGGTGCCCTGTTGGCCTCGCGTCGGCAAAGTATTTCTCGAAAACATCGAGGTCCAACTTTGATCGGCTGTCTAAAGAGGAGGTAGAAGTAGAATAGGTCGTTTTGGGAGCCTTTACCTTTCTATACTCCTCAGACTGAATAGGACGTTAGCAGATGAGTCTCGTGGTGGTAAATGAATGATATACCTGCTTGGTGAACTTGGGAGGGAAGTTATCATCGTTGGAAACGTGGCCGGGCTTGTTCGGGTGACAGTACTGATCGTTGTGTTTACAGTCCTTTAAAATCTCAGCCAGCTTGTCGCGCACCTCATCCATCGACCATCGGCCGTGGGGCACTGCAACCAGCATATGCTCCTCAACGAGGTCTAAGAAATCGCCCATGGCCGGAGAGCAATGTTGGCTTCTATGAAGCATCCTGATCCACTGGTAATAGTTAGTTCAATACTCAAAAGTCTGGAGCCTGCTTCTGCTTGCCTTCTCGACCGAGTCCTTTACCTTGGCCCCAGACCCATAAGTTTGGGTGAAGAATCTATTCGTGGGGACGCCGTACTTCTTGTCTTCTTTTGATCTGACCAGCGTGAAGCTCTCCAAACATTTCCCGTCGGGTTTCGTGAAGGAGTCCTTTCGAATTGCGTCGTATCCGATAAGATACCAAGTGATGAACTCCAAGTAGACGCAGCCCAAGGTCCAGATGTCATATGTCTGACTGACACTGGTATACCAGCCTGCATCCACTTCTGGTGGGTAGTATGTCTGAGAAAATCCCACTTTTCTGGCTTCAGTGTAGTCGACAGAGTCCATGGAATGAAATCGCATCAATGTAAAGTCAGCAACAACGAGATGCGCCTGCGATGCCTTCTCGTCTTTAAACCAGAGAATATTCTCGGGCTTGATGTCCCCATGCCGACCCCGGTTTCGGGAATCGACCAGAGATGCGTCTCCAAAAGAGCCATTCTCTGGTGGCCAAGAATCGTTTCTGTGAACCTTGCACAGCCCACGGGCCAGGCCCTCACATTGCTGGATGAACCAACACAAGTCGTCCCGCGAGGCGGGATTGCTCGGGTTCTTCTCCCAGAACTCGGCAAGGTTTCCTAGCGCCCAAGGGAAAATCATGAAGCATTCACCTGCTAGCTGATACGATAGCAGAAGCTGAATAAGGTGCTCGTGCCCCTTTCTGGGACAGCTGAACCGCTCCAATGCCGCTTTCTCTTGCTCGAATTTGTTACGATCCCGAAACCTTTTGAGGGCGAAACAGGATTTATCACCCATACGAGCCTAAACGAGGGTGAACTTCTGCACATCCTTCCTTGAGAGGCTGCCTTACTTGGTCGGAGTTCCAGGACTGGTGGGCTGGATGAATCTTGACCTTGGATATCGTTCCGTGAGCGCCTCCAGATTTCCATTCAAGACGTTCCAAAAACGGCATAGGAGCCTTTCCATGGAACTCACTGTGCTCCAGGGTTCTGAAGTCGAAGACAGGGGCAAGCACTACATACTGTCTGTCGCAAAAGCTGTCGATATGGCTTGCTTTCCACTCCTGAAAGACTGCCAGACCAAAATCACGGGGTAGGGGCAGTTTTTTATCGCAAACATCGTGCTTCAAGAAGTGCTGTATATACTTCGCCTTTCCAATAAGAAGGAGTGTTGCGAGTATCTTGATTCGCCTCGGCTCGGATCGCTTTCCGCAGATCTTCTTCCTTATCTCGGTTGCTTCGGTTTTGCTGTCTGGCAAAGCTTTGGCTACTACCTCGTCCACGACTCCCTCGGACATGATGGACTCTAGGTCACTCATTGGGAGGAACTGAGCCAGACAGTCGTGGTCATTGTGACTTGGTAGAAGTTTGGCACGAAGTTGGTTTCCCACTATGTCAGAATTCGTACGTCGCAACTGGGAGTTTATTGACCCGGTATCCGTTCCAATGCCCGAGCCGCTAGTATGGGAGCTTGTAGGACGTGTCTCTACCCCAGAAACGGTCAAACGGTGCCCCTGGTGGCGGTATATGATTAGCTTTGACAGAGGTATTTTGGGATTCTCCTTGATTGCGGCCTCACCTCAAACGCCGGCATTGAAGAGGGACAGATATTGGGTTAGATTATTACAATACACCCCGAGGTTGATGGAAAGATGGGAAACTTGGCGACTGCAATTTTGAAAATCTGATGACTATGAAAGTATCGACCAAGACATATATGGGTCGACTTGACTTTGACAGGTAACAGAGCCTCGGGAAACTCAAGAGTCGAGCGCCAATAGAAGCCGATTGAAGCTGTTTCTGTAATATCCACTCACCCTTGACAGATCAGCCCCCAATTTCTCGGAGCAGAGCTGAGTCTGTAGCCGCCAATCGCCGTGACCGCCGCATGCCATTGAGAAATTTGAAATCAGGCTCTGCACAGAGTGTTCTGAGTGGTTGATTAATGGCTCGTCACGCATGTTGGTGTGAAAACAGTGCTTTTCACAGCCTTGGCAGGAGCCCGTATTGCCAATAATGGTCACTTGAAGTGCAAGTAATGGGCGCAGAGGGGGAGATGGCTGAAGAACCAGCGCCTCAGCTAAGACACTTGGTCATGGATTGTTTATCCCTCACCCTCCACGACCTCAGGCATTCATCGAGTCATCTACAGTTCCCAGGTCAACTCTCTACGACACATCCTCCTTGGACAATGTAACGTGGTCTAAATACTCTCCATTTGACGTACAAGGAGCGTAGGTCGTTGTGGGTGAGTGTAGTTCTCAGACGAGTGGCAAGGTTGATCGGATCGGCCGCCTCATGATGACAGCGACAAGGAATCAGGCTGCCTTATCTTCAAATAGAACAGTAACGTCCAGCCAAAACTCGCCTGGAAGCTGGGCAGCCACGGGTTGGGGCTATGCATGCAGGGCGGCACAAGGGTGCGAGACAGGCTGAGAGGCTGGCGCTTAGAGGTGTACGGAAGGCCAAGCAGGTGATCTGCTGAAGAAGTGAAACCACCCACACCTGTCAGCTCGCTTTGAGAAGTGTGGCAATGACCGGACAACTATCAGGCTCTGGTAGGCAACTTTGGGGGCGAAGCTGGGTGAGGTGTGGGACCCCTGAAAAGTCCGTGGCCGTCATAGAAACAAGGCTCTCGTCGCCCCTCGCTCTCCCACATCTGAAATTTTCTTCTCTCATTCAACACTCGCTATCACTAGTTTCCCATCTTTCTTCAATTTCATTTCGGCTTCCCTTCGCTACACATCTCCCAACTCGACCCACCTCAATGGACGACAAGCCCATAGTACGACATATTCCGTCGGATTGCATCCGAAATCCAGAAGACCTCATCAAGACCCTCCAACTGTTCTGCCAAAGGAACAGCTTCGAGATGGAGAGTCTCGAAATGAGGAACGACGTGTACATCGTACGCGTTAAACCGATCTTTCTTCAAAACCTAGAACCACCACCAGTCGCGGTACTGGTATAACGTGAGGGATAATTGCAATATGGCGACTGCTCTGTATTCTGACCATGAATTCATAGATTCCCATGACTTGGAGCAACAATTCTGTTGCTTTGTTTGTTTTTCTTATGCCAGCGATGTTTGGAGAGCCTGGGACTTGGATAAGAGGATAACCACCCACTGTACATTAGGTAGCCGGTACAATATATTGTTCAAGGAAGTGTGATCATCGTATCTCTGCGTGGCAGGCCTGAATTAACGAAGAGACAAGAGAGAAGAGACAACTTCTTAAGTGCGGCAGCACCAACCGGCGCCGTGGCGTAGTCGTCGACGGACTCGGCTCGCCCACGTCACCCTAATCAGGCCTCACCTGCAGTGTGCTGACAATCCATCAAATCTTGGTCATAAGTAACTGCGGACTTGTGCACGGAGGGGCGGAGGGGCGAAGCTGACTTGGCATGCGCCTCTTGTTTCTCTCTGTTTTTGCTGATTCGTGTAAAAGGGTGAACCTGACTACATTCTGCAGCAGGCTGTACCAAAAACGGTACGAGCTGAAAACCCAGCATTCGGTACATCCCCTGAGTGGGCATGGTGAGAAATAATGCATGCATGCTTACAGACACGTTGGGCTGCAGGTGGTAGACGAAAGAAACGGGACTCAAGGGACAGCAGTGGCTGGGTGGCAAAATTAGTAGGTCACATTTCCACGACATAGGTTCCAGAATAGTCCGAGTACTTTTATCGATACCTCGTTGCAATCCCGCTTCTTCCCTCCGCTGGGCTGGTAGGGCTGACATTATGATCTGACTACGTTAAACACACTGTCCTTCGCTCTTCTTTCTTGCGTCGCCTTCGACTTCGATAACACTGGTATTGCGTGTTTCATGTCCCGGGAAGCAAGACATATCTACCACCTCAACTCAACCCTAGAAACGTCATACAACAAAATATTTCTACCACTTCGGGGATTCAATGGCAGCCTCTAACCGCCAGCAAGAAGGGATTGTCTCTGACAGCAGCATCAGAGACTGTTGCGTCAACAGATTCGGTGATGCTACCGGCCAGGAAACCTATGACCTCTTTGTGCCCCAAGACGATATTGACTCGTTAACTGAGAGGGACAGGGTGGAACTCACATTGAAAGATCAGCTCCAGCTTAACATGGCTCAAGATGTTCTCGAATTGACGGAGTACGTCGTAAAAAAGGCCACGAAAGTGTTCCTACTCCTCATTTACTGCGACGCTATCGACCACATCCAGGATCTTCAAAAGGCCGATTTCACAAATAACGATCTTCCTTTGTTCGAGAAGCCATACCGTGGTGGCTCCGGAGTATCCATGCACAAGTGGCGCCTCAACGATGACGCCTCGACGTATGCAGAGGAGCAAATCCTGTCCTGCTTTTCGACCTGGCCTGAATCCAAACTTGACGACTTCCTTCGCAAGCAATGGGTTTTCCTAGCTCCAGCGTTCACAAAAGACAAGTTCGACTATGTGTTCTATCCCCCGTCTCCCCTCCCTTATCTGTCTACACAGGCTCCTGGCAAATCAGCAGGTGGAGGGCACTTTGGTACCATAAAGAGGTGCGGCCTCCACAACGGACATCACGACCATCAGAGTCTGTTTGAAGTAATACTCCACCCATGTCCCTACCAGTTAATCCTTTGACATAACTTGACTAGGGTGAAGAGACCGAGCCGCATGTCAAAGTTGCTGTGAAGAAGTTGAACGAACGCGACTCACCGGACACAGACGTCAACAGGTTCTACGTCAAAGAAAGAGATACCCTTGAGAAAATGAGGCGACTGGATCATCGCCATTTGATCAAGGCCATTGCTGCATACAAAAAGGGGTTTGATCGGTACTTCGTGTTCCCGTGGGCACAGGGGGGCAGCCTTCGAGACCTCTGGCAAACTAACGTCAGCCTTGATGGAGACCTGGTCTCTTGGGCCATTGACCAAATGGCAGGCCTCTCCGATGGCCTCAGGCAGCTACACAAGAGGCACACTCGCCATGGCGACCTCAAACCAGAAAACATACTTTGCTTCACATCTGGCAACGGCAGTCCTCATCAGGGGACTTTGGTGCTTGCCGACGTCGGCCTCGCAAAGTACCACCCCGAGTACACCCGGGACCGGACCAAACATACGACTACTCGACACGGGACGAAGATCTATGAGCCGCCTGAGATGTTCACAAACCAAGGAAATGGCCCCGTATCACGGAAATATGACGTATGGAGCCTGGGATGCGTCTTCCTGGAGTTCACCATTTGGTTGCTGTATGGTCGAAGCGGCCTTGCCTCGTTCCGCCAAAAACTCTTCCAAGATCACAGGGCCGAGGGATTTTGGGAGACTGAATCTACTCAAAAGCCTAAAATACACCAAGATGTTGAGGATGAGATCAACAAGATACTAACCGAAGATCTCAAAGCTGATTCGGCACTCCGGGACATGGTTAAATTGATCGTCAAACTACTTCTAGCCCCTATGATAGTGGAACGCGCGACTACCAAGGCCTTTCTTCCTGAACTCAATGCCATCAAGGGGAATTGTTCAAATACTCAATACCTGTTCAATTCCGAGCTCCAGGAACTAGCAAGGCGCAGGAGCGAGTCAGACGCTAATGTGGTCGATGAAATACAACATCCTTCGAGAGAAGTAAGCTAAATTCCCTGCCCGATCCTTTGAGCACTCGCACTAACTCTCAATACTTAGTACGTAAGTATATACCATATCAAATGCCCTTCTGCTCAGGCGGTGACTGACCAAAGCCTCCTGAGGCTTCAAGAATGCGAGTGAAACCTTCAGCTCATATTGACTGAAGTTGCTAACACCACACAGCCGGTAAGTTGGACACAACAGAGGTCAAATGTCATTAGTAGGCGTTGCATTTTACTAACCTATCCAGCGCACGAGCTTGCTTCGTGACCAGTGGCAAAATGTGGCAGACAATGAAACTGCACGCACCCTCATCTCGCGTCTCGGTTGGCCTTCCTTACACCCAAAGACTGATACATCGAGATTCTGTCATTCTTGCGCTGCTCTGGACTTTCAACTGCCAACCTTGGACTTACATCGCAGCATTCAAGAGTTGGGCAGTGGCCCGGACGACTGCTCGCTCTGTCACTTCTTGTTCAGCTGTCTTGTAAAAGTCAAGCCCACCCCTGACGAGCCAGTGAGGCTGTTCCGGGACGATGCCTCGCATACACTTCGAGTCCTTCCTAGCGCTTCTCCCATAATATCCATCTATTTTGACCCAGGTATGTGGTGCTTACTTGTCATCATCGGGTGTGGGAGGATAATAACCCCATTCTAGTCTCTAGAGACACTCCTCCATCATACGCCCAGCTCGGCCTACCGATTCTTCCTGAGCGAGGTAGCCAACGGCAATTCAGTCTTCTGAATGAGTGGATAAACTTGTGTGATACGAACCATGACTGCACCTCTGTTCAGGAGCACGAGGGAAGCATCGATAGTATGCCTACCAGAGTCCTTCATGTCGGTACAGTTGAGAATCCTTGCCTCCGACTTGTGGAGACTGGGGACAGTATCAGGGACAAGTATATCGCCCTGAGCCATTGTTGGGGGAAACTTTCAGAGGACCAGAAGTTTACCACGTCTGCCGGCAATCTCGACGATCGCAAGCAAGAAATTCCGTTCGATGAAATGCCAAAAAGCTTTCAGGATGCGGTGAGAGTCACTCGTAATCTTGGTGTTTCATACCTCTGGATCGACTCCCTCTGTATCATTCAAGGAGACGAAGCAGACTGGGAGGTAGAGTCTGCCAAGATGGAAGAGGTTTTCAACTCGGCATATTGCACCATCGCTGCTAGTTCCGCAGAGTCCTCACTAGTTGGGTTTCTCGGGGAAAGAACACCGAGAGCTTACGCCACTATCCAAACTTCCCAGGGACCCGTAATATATCTTGCCGAGGCAATCGACAATTTCCAGGGGCATGTCGAGCAAAGTGTTCTAAATAGTCGTGGTTGGGTGCTACAGGAAAGAGCACTTTCTCGACGCACCATTCATTTCACATCGACTCAGGCTTATTGGGAGTGCGGACATGGCATTTACTGCGAGACCCTGGCTCAGCTACGGAAGTGAGTAATTGACGTGGAAGGGCCGTGGCGAATACTGATTCAAAACTAATGCGTTGCAGTCCACAATCGCAGTTTCTCGGTGACTCCAGTTTCCCAAATCTTGGGCTGCAGTACTACAAGGATGAGCGGATTCGACTTGTGCAGCACCTATATCGAGTCTACTGCGCACTTCAGCTCACAAACCCCGCCGATCGATCCAAGGCGATTCTGGGTTTGCAGAAACGGCTCTCTCGGACCTTCAAATCTCGGGCAGATTACGGGGTCATCTATGGCTACTTTGAGAGGACCATCCTTTGGCAAGCCAAGACCCCGAATAGCTTGTCTCGTATACCGTATGGAGACGAGAGGGCTGTGCCATCTTGGTCATGGATGGCGTGTACCGGGGAAATCCAGTACATGGATATTCCCTTCCGCCAAGTCAGCTGGACGGGAAATCCTACGAACCCTATTGAGAACGTACCAGAAGGTGCGGAATGGGATGGAGAACTGACCGCTGAAGCAAGTCAGCTCTTGATTGGTAGAAATGAGCTCTTGAGTAGAGCCGTCATTGACTGCAGAACGTACACGTTTGACTCGGTCACTTGGCGATGTGTTGTGGTTGGCAAGAGTAAGATGGCAGACGAGCATGGCAATATCGTTCATTACGTGTTATTGATCCGACCATTGGGAGGACCGGCTCAGGTCTACGAAAGGGCTGGAGTTGGTAAACTTCTGGACACACAAATCTCGAAGGGAACCACAAAGGTGTATCTGAGGTAGTTTGGAGAGACGGGGTCGGGAAAAAAAGTGATCGGGCAGTCTGTCTTTTGATCTTGAATGGTTTCAACTACATTGAGTTTGCTTAATTCTTACATATTTGTTTGTTGATCAGGAATCCTCGCCCTCACGCCTTGACAGCGCACCAGGTCCGCATGGTTGCCTTTTTAACAATAACTATATTCGGGTAACTATTCAACAATCACTACTAGATGTAAAACAGGATATGGCCCTTGCTTCCATCGTCAAGCGATGCTCCACCAAGACTTTGGAGTCAGACTGTAATTCGTTCTCGTTCTCTTGCCAACTCTAGCTATACTCTGAACTGGCGATGCTAACCGTGTCCAACTCTACATCTTCATCCACAAAGAACTCAACTAGCTCATCAACATCGGATCTCTTTAACAAGAGACGCAGAATTAGATACTTGGACCCCGCCACAAGTATAACACTGAAGAAATAGAAATACGAGCCAGGAAGCTGACTCAAAACACAAAGAGGAATTTCCTCGCTGTCCATCAACTCAATTTCCATTAAACATTCGTCGTTTGAGGATAATGGTTTAATCCCATAGTAGGCGTAGCAGATGCAGGTAAAGGTTGTATAGAAGATGGCTTGTAAGACCCATAAGACAGAGCACCGGATGTATAAAGTTTGGCCCGATGAGAACTATCGAGATTCAGTTGACAAGGAAATACGCAAAAGAGTACCACGGCCTTACCTTATTAGCTGAGAAGCCGTGTAGCGTGAATGCCATGCTCGCTGTATGGATCAACACTATACAAGAAAGACTGAGGACGAGTACAGAACATGCTATATCGACTCGGATGGCTGTGAAAAGAAGGTGCCCGGGCGAAACATCGTTATATGGACGCCCCATCGAGCTAACAAAGTCGCATACATATCCAATGTGTGTGAGAACAGGGACTAGTAGCATAAAGGGGACTGCAAGTGAAAGGATTCTTGCACTTTTCCGATATGGCGTTCCATGCTGGTTCTGGGAGCCACCCAGACTCAATCCAACGCGAACCAGGATTATAAAAATTGGGCCATCCGCCAAGCAGTAGAAGGCTTTGGCTGGGCCCGCGATGTACAACTGAAATCGATTCACAACGAGTGAATCGGCTGCTGCGGGCTTTATCTGAGGCAGAAGAGTCGCGTATTCGACCATGTCCAAGAAGCAGAACCTAGACCAGCATCAGTGACTCCCAGCTCATGTTGCAAGATATTTAGGGAACGAGGCATTGCCTCCAGGGGGGAAATCACTCACATTGCCAAAAGTCCAGTCGCGACTTGAAGATGTCTATACAATGTCGTTCCATAGCCATGATACTGTCTGGCTTTGTGGGTACATTGCAGTATGAGTTTGATGACCAGCAACAAAGTCATAGTGATGAGGATAATGTGAGCGATAGAGGCACCTAAGAGCCCATTGCCGGGCGACCCCGAAACGGATATAGCGAAAACCCCGAATAGGACCGTCATTGAAGCCGTTAGTCTCAGCAGCTGAGATGAACCCTCGCTTAGTTGGACAGGTTAGCTTTGATTTGGTGTCTGGCGAGCGAGCGAGCTTTGAGCTACTCAACACGCCTTTAGGTCCAGAGTCGCAATTTTCGTCAGCAATCGCCCGATGTGTATGAACTGACATCTTGTGCATATAAGGCTTCCAGACAACAGCTGATCAGAGCGCAAGAGGGGTTGGCTGAGCAAGGCATAGTTGTGCTGAGCCCCGCTTGGCACTCTGCTGTGAAACATTCTTGTTTATCGATGACGCCTTGGTCTTACACATAAGCAAACAAGACTCTTCTAAAACACATGACTGGATCAAAGTCCAATGCTGTAAAACACGGCAAAGGCTGTGAGACATAACGATCGGCAACTAGGTAACCAGTCAATGTAGCCCATCGCAAGGGATGACCAGAAGCCTCCAGGTAAGCGACAGACCCCCTCAACCTGGCTCCCCAGCCTAACAGCATCATTTCTAAAAAATATCCCAGTCCCTTTTTTATTTCCAAGGCCATCTTTTCCTTTGTCTGACAGGACGTCCTGAAGCCCCAATTCATCTCGCTTTTGGCTGTCCGAGCTGTGGTTCCTGTCTAACAGTAGAGCCATGAACCTCCCACCCGACAATGCCCCCCACGACAATTTCGCCGGACAATCCCATGAGTTGACCGATCTAACAGGATTACTCCACGGTAATGTGAACGAGGCCCAAGAGACAGCATCTGAGGCCGAACCTCGGTCAGAGCAAAGCATATTCTCCAAAATCAAGACAACAAAGGGGTTCACTGGGTGGCGGGTTGGCGCATCATACTTTGCTCTAGGCGCGCTCATCTCCCTCGTACTTCATATCGTACTCGCAGTCTGGATCCCGACGCTCGATTCTTTCCACAACGGAGTCGGCGTTGTATCGTCTGGCAGCTGCCGCACGGCAGGCATCTACAGCACTCTGATCCGCGTCGGGACAACTGCCGTCTCCACGTTGCTCATCGGTGGGAGTAACTACTGCATGCAGTGCTTAACGGCGCCGACGCGAAAGGACTTGCAGAAAGCCCATGACAAGGGCATTTGGCTTGATGTTGGCGTGCAAAGTATACGCAATCTCAGGACTATCAAGGGATATAGGTCATTTCTCTGGCTTCTCATCACCATTTCATCTATTCCTATTCATCTCTTGTAAGACTTTCCTGTCCCTTACATCACTCCTAGTCCGCCACTCACCACTTCTCAAACGTACAACTCGGCCTTCTTCCTAAGTCTGGGCACCAACAGCTATCAAGTATACGCCGTTTCCCTCGACTTTTGGAATAGCACCGACATCATCCCGGTCCATCCTATGCCAACCATCCACGCGAGGAATTTTACGGAAGAGCTTCCTCGCAATGCCACGGAGTATCTGAATAGTATCAAAAAAGCACAGGACTGGCCCGGTTCAGCTAGCGAGAGCGACATTGGCAAGTTTAAGCGTTTGTCTGTTGAGGAGTGCATCGACGCATACGCAAAACCAGTAGTCAGCGGTCGACGAACCGTGATAATAACGACCGCCAACGAAACGGGAGGGGAACCATTTGCTTTTGGGTATGAATACTTTGTGGGACGATACATCAATACGACTACTAGCGCCTACCGTCCATATGAATGGTAGAAAAGTATGAGCCTGATTAAAATATCACATCGCTAACGTCTGCCCAGGATATGCTATGACTTTCAGCTTCCGTATGAGTACGCATTTTCCTGTTACAGGTTCATCCACAATTTGACAGAGCAACGTGGACAATGGGCACCGTGGTTTCTCCCAGCAATGTATTGTCACAGCGAGATCGTTGAAGAAGACTGTGCCCTCAACGCCAGCCAGCCCATCATGATCGCCATCATTCTCTGCAACTCTATCAAGTTGATAATTATGACAACGATGGTGTTTTGGGTCAAGGGATGGCCAATCATCACTCTGGGAGACGCCATTCAATCGTTTCTCAACGAGCCCGACCCAACCACCGAGGGTCTCTGTTTGCTCTCCAAAGCCGCTGTGACGGACCAACCCGCACTCTGGCCTAAGATCGAGCTGACAGATGAGCCCGATCCCATCATGGCTCGAAGAAGGCGTTATCGATGGTCAGATGCAGCGAGCTCCAGGAGATGGTTTTATACCCTTGCGATCTTCGGAGTATCGCTGATGGGGATGATTATCTTCTTCGGGCTAATTATCGACCTGATCAAGAACAACGACATTGTCAATCCCTTTTCTATTGGATTTGGATCAGTGGATACAGCAGCCGTTATGACATACCTCTCAATTCCAACCTCGACGAAACACCGATATCGCATCCTAGCAGCCGTGGTTGTCGCCAATCTCCCACAAATGATATTTTCCGTCATCACATTCTCACTCAACAATCTCTTAACCGTCATCTATACCGCTCAAGAGTGGGAAGGCTTCTCAAGATATAGGAAGACACTCCGGGTATCGGAGCCAAAGGGCGAGCAGAGAAGCACATACTTTCTTCAGCTGCCATACCGAATCGCGGTCCCTTTTCATGTTGCCACTGGTGTGATCTCATGGCTCTTATCCAACAGCGTTTTCCCCCTTGTTATATCCAGCTACGATTCCCTTGGAAGGGCGATGACGGATGTTGATGTTGCAGCATGCGGCTTCTCCCCCTGGCCGATGGTACTCGCCATAGTTGTAGGGGTTGTTCTGATGGCTGGTGTATGTTCATTCTTTGTCCTTCGTTTCGTCAGCACAATGCCCATGGTGGGAACTTGCAGTGCAGCAATCTCGGCAGCCTGTCACCATGACGATGGGCAGGAAGAGGTTTCTCTGAAGCCCGTGAAATGGGGCGCGGTGTTTGTCCCGGAGACAGAAGGCCAGGAATGGGTTGGGCATTGTTGTTTCACGAGCAGTCTCGTCAAACGGCCAAAGCCGGGGCGATTTTATGCCGGCAAGGGTTTGCCCTATAAAGTAGAGTAGCAGTGAATAGTCTGTATGTGCCTACAGGCAATAATTTTCTCTCATTATTTTCTTCTAGCCTCCTCTCCTCTAAGCGTGCGCTGGGACGGTCGGGGACTGTTTCTCGGGAGGGGCTGTATACGAGGACTCGACGGGCGCTTGAAGGAAGCGGAAATTACACCATCAAGAGCAATCAACATTGTGTATAACAAGGTGGCTTACAATAAGTACCAAGACAATTTGGATCATGTATGCTGCTCAGTGTGTACTAAGTACAGTTGAGGTGATCCGTTGACGAAAAATTAAGGCGTAATTGATAGTTCCAGTAGGTATCAAGGGGCGATCATCCGTACGAGGTGCGAGGTACGATGAGGCTGAAGGACTGTGAAAGTACAAGTCGGCCATCAAACTCCGCGATATAACGGTCGCAAGTCCAGGATGACGACGGGCTCGCGAGTTAAAAATGACGACTCCTTTGTCTCTCAGTGAGAAGCGCAGTTGCCAAGTCCGTCACCGAGCATAAAGTCGCAATCCCTTCACGCCATCCCAATATCGAAGCAGTTGAAACCAAATCTTGGCGACAATCGAAAGCATCCCACACCAAGGAAACTGCCGAAGCCTCTGACGGACTCCCTCGACCGCCTAAGCACACTGTAACGTAGGCAAGCACCCCTGCGCTAGCTTCGCAATCACGCGGCTGAAAAAAAAAACCGACCGATCGGTGATATTGATTAGCCTGATTTTGATAGCGCCACCTTCAAACTTTGCTTCTGTTTACGATGTGTTTAAAAATAAACAGTGGGATTGCAGCAGGAAATGCAGTTGCAATGCAGGTTGGGATGAATGGGAAAAAGACGAGTCAAGATAAGGTTAATATGCTTGAATTAAGCGATGATTTCTACATGAATGAATCCATTTCTCTCTCAATCCTTTTGCTGAGAATCTCTTCTCACTGCCGCAGTCGCTGTCGGGGATATCCCAGCCAAAGCACCCGCGGGCCCCGTAGGCCTCCCCCCTAGCCCCCTGTCTCTGGAGGTCGCCGCTTTGTTCTAGAAAGGCCTCTTCAATAAACACCCCGTTCCTCCATTCTGCTTGGGCCAGTCCTTAAAAAGTCAATCTCTCACGGCCCGGATTTGTCTCTCCGCCATGTCACCCGACTCTGACCCGGCTCATTATCTATTCTGAGGCCCGATCCGTCCACCGTCAGACCATCTCATGGTCTCGCGACGTCCGACGTAGACAAGTAGAGATAGTATAAGTATTCAAGATGGCGATGTGTCGATGGTCATTCCAATCTTCAATCGTCTTCCATCGCTTCAATACACATACTTCTTATGCGATAAATCCTTTCCGTGCGATAGATTATACATCGGCGCAAAATGACCGGCCACATCTTTGACCCCAATAACGACTCGGACAAGACACTTGATCATCACCACTGCATCCAAGATAATCGTCCCGAAATGGCCACCACCCAGACATTCCGCATTGTCACCTCTGAACCTCGACGGTTCGCCAACCCGTCGCCGCTAGGCTTGTCGGCTTTTGCCGTCACCACTTTTGTTCTTTCGTGCGTCAACATGCACGTTCGAGGCGAAACAAAGCCCAACATTGCCGTTCCCCTCGCCTTTGGCTATGGCGGTTTGGTCCAGCTACTCGCTGGCATGTGGTATGCATCTCACAACAGCGCCCGCCTATCATAGCATTTAACTCATTCATTTAGGGAAATGGCTGTCGGAAATACCTTTGGCGCTACAGCTCTCTCCTCCTACGGTGGCTTCTGGATCGCCTACGGTATCCTCCTCACGCCCACATGGAACACCCTCGGCGCGGACGGCCCCTACGAAGGCGACACAGGATCAGTCATGGGTTTCTTCCTCACCGCCTGGTGGATCTTCACCACGATGCTCCTGATCTGCACTCTCAAATCGAGCTTCGCATTCTTCTTCCTATTCTTCGCCGTCGACATGACCTTTCTCCTCCTCGCATGCGAAAGCTACGCCAGCGATCTAGGCAACGAGACGGCCAGGAGCGGACTCCAGCAAGCAGCCGGTTTCTTCGGTCTGCTAGCCTCGTTCCTCGCATGGTACAACGCACTGGCCGGCATGCAGGACAGCAGGTTTGTGCACCCTTGTAAACGCCGTTGGGCATCCTTGCTAACCTTGTTCTAGCAACTCCTTCTTCCGCGTCCCCATGTTTCACTTTCCATGGTCTGATGCTGGCATGCAAATGCGAAAGGAGAGGGCCCAACACGACTTGGCTTGATTTGAGACTCATCACGACCTGGTTCGATCGCCATTTGGCTTGATCGCGCAATATATTCTGTTCTTGTTTTTATAGATTATGACTTGGGAAAGACAAAAGTAGGTTAGAACGGGACTGCTTTGACTACCTAGACTAGACAGTAGGCCATATTTAATGTTACCATTCTACGATTACCGTTTCAATAATTTCTGATACACAAATAATATCTGACACATTGTTGACTCGGTCGCGGCGGTGTGTTTGCGCCCGAGGCGACCGACTTCAGGCTCAATACAAGATATCTCCCGTCGGTGGTTTTACCCGTGGCATCATGTTCCATCGGCGCAATACAGACAGACGCTAAAGGCGAGGACCGAAACACGCCACGCAAGGGGCTTGGCGTAGACCTGCGCCATCAAAGTGTGGCAGCCTGCCTCGATCGGGTCTGCAGGGCCGATGACCATCCCTGTCGGTTCGTTAGCATCTACCGACAGACAACGCCATGCAGTCGGCCCTTCGCTCGATCCAAATCTGCCGATGCGACCACCAAGTGGTTCGGATTGGAGCACAAGACCTGCCAAGGCGATTTCTAGCGGCAAGATATCTGCTGAGGCATTATCTGGAGGTGTGAAGATGAGGGGTGTACGATGATGGTGTCCAGCTTGAAACTTGACAGATTGCCAAGACAAGCGAGGATGGAGATACGGCCCGAGATTGCGAACGATATGTCTAACTTGGACTGTAGGTTAACTGTGACATATAAGCTTGAGTTGCCGGATTATTCGAAACAGGTTTTTGTTGATAGTAAAGAACCATTAGCAGCTCAAGGAGAATTGAAGCGACCGTCAAGGTGTTTAGGATTGAGTTGATCTGAAGCGCACTGTTCGAAGCATAAAGTATTGATATCGTGTTTTTGTTATAATTCAAGCCCGGCCTTTTGATGGGATAATTATGCCAGAAAACAGCTGGAAGAAAGCTAGACAATTCCGACTTGCTACATTACTGTGATAGTTTCTTCAGCAGTTAGTCTATTCATTTCACTACTCATACAATCCCACCACAACATGCCCATTGTCTCTGAGCTCCCTACCGGTCACGTGACCTCGCGAACCTTTGCCCACGCGTTGGCCCCAAGTTGAAGCAGTTCATCAATTTCACGAGGTTGCCCAGATGACTTCATCTCGCCATGAGCGGCATCATCTTTCACTGTTTGAAACGGCAAGCCCCTCAAGGCCGATCGTCTTTTCAATTCCCTCCAGTTTTTTTTCCACATTCAAGCATTCCCTGCTCAAGGATGTCAACCACACCGTCCGCACGTGTTCTCTATGAACACATCGACGACGTTGAAAGGCTCGAATACTATCGGCCTGGAGGGTACCACCCAATTGAAATCGGCAATCATCTTCATGGACGATATCGTGTGGTGCACAAGCTTGGCTATGGCACTTTCTCGACAACTTGGCTCGCCCACGACAAGACGCTATCGAAGTATGTCGCCGTAAAGGTGGGCACAGCAGACTCGGATCAGAAAGAAGTCGACATCCTGTCCCACCTTTCCAGCTCTACTCTTGAAGATGGCGACCCTGGCAAGGAATCAATTCTCCCAGTGCTTGACCGCTTCAGCGTCCATGGCTCAAACGGGACCCATCCTTGTTTCGTTACCGCTCCTGCGCGATGCAGTCTCGCCGACACCAAAGAAGCTTCAGGCTCTCGCCTATTCCAGCTCCCAGTGGCCCGATCTCTTGCCGCTCAACTCGCAATGGCGGTAGCATACACTCACAAGCGAGGATTGGTCCATGGAGGTGAGTCTTTGTTCCGTCTCTGCACCGTGTCCAATTTGACATGTTGTTTCCTGAGACCTTCATTTGGGCAACATACTTCTTCAGCTACCGTCCACCCTCGATCAGCTTTTAGATAAACAGCTATACGATCAATTTGACCCACCAGATCCTGAGCCTATCCGCCGAGCCGACAGAAAGTCGCTCGCGTCCGGTGTCCCCCATCATGTCTACTCTCCAGTCTGGCTCGGTGATGCAAGCGAAAAGATCATGCTCTCTGAATCCAAGATTCTTCTCGCAGATTTTGGGACAGCTTTCTACCCCGCCCAAGAGTCAAGGTTACAGTCTTACACGCCCCTCGAGATACGGCCACCAGAGGCCCGGTTTGAGCCTACAACGCCGCTCTCCTTCCCATCCGATATTTGGAGCCTTGCCTGCACTATCTGGGCCATCATTGGCCAGAGGTCGTTTCTTGATAGCTTCCTGCTGAGCCAGGACGACGCCACGCGTGACCAGGTTGATGCTCTTGGTCGTTTGCCGTCCGAATGGTGGGAGAAGTGGGAAGCACGGTCCAAGAGTTTTACCGAAGACGGGAGGCCCAAAGAGGGCAGATCTCCCTGGTCATGGGACCAGCGTTTTGAAGACAGCATTCAGCAGCCCAGGCGTGAGAAGAGCGAGGGGGCGCTCGATGAGAAGGAGGGGCATGCTCTTTGCGAGATGATACGGTGGATGCTCGCCTTCCGCCCTGGCGATAGACCTAGTGCCGATCAAGTACTCAAGACGGCATGGATGAGAGATTGGGCAATTCCCGAGCTCGACAATATATCCAAGATTCTTAGGCTTGAGATCAGCAGTTCTAATCGACTTGCCGAGTCATAGCATCTGCTGAGAAGTACGGTCTGGGATGGCTCCGAGACGGCTAAATAACTCGGGTCTGGAACAGGCATCCAAATTACGAAATAGAAACATAGAAAAGATCAAACGTCAAGCTATACTTAATAGCACCGAGATCAGAAAAGAAGAATGAGCTCATGGTGGATTCAACGGCCTTGGCCCTCCGGTTGTACGCCAAGCACCTCTAGTGAGTCACCATAGGACCCTACGAGGCCGATCCAGCTCCGACAACTTTGACGAGACCGCAGTAGACCAGCAACCTAATGTTCAAGTCTTGGCCCTCGCCCCTCGAAAGTTTGAAGGGGCATATCTATCTCCTGGGTCTCCTGGGTCAGCCTCATTTACAGACATGTCGTCGGCAGTGAGCGCCCCAGAAGGGGGCACAAGAAGGGTCGTGCGTGTATGGAGCGTGGAGTCGTTAGCGAGAACCACAAAAGAGATCTCGGCAATGAGTTGGCAGTTGAGAACCCTCCAAAGGGTGGTCTGTGATTTCAATGGGGATGGAAGCAGGTTGGCCCCATGAAGTGGCAAGAAGTTGGCCTGTGCCACAATGGAGACACCCAGCCGCATGACTTTTTGATTTTGGGACACGACCTTCTTCAGAGTCAACATATCATGCAAAGAGGCTCTTGGATAGGCAGATCTCAATGATAGTAGGACATCTTGGCTAGGGCCTTGGCATCGGGTTGGGGTGGTTGAATTTGTGCTGATTGTTCAACCCCCCTTCCACCAAGACAACTGCCAAGCATACTAGCCAACACAAACAATTTGAACGAAGAACTTCTACTAAACGTTTCGACTACAGCGAAGCATAGATTCATCGTCTGAATCTTAATAGCCTTTCGCTTTGCAATGGAACCAGGGAGAGTGTTCCCGCCCTTCCTGGATCCTCCTCGAGTCCTCAGTTAGAACTAAGTTGAGGATATGTCTTTGAGAAGCTTTTAGATGCCGTGTAGAGGAATAAGTATGTACAGAGATATAATACCAAGCACTGAAAGAAGAAGAATAAACTTTTGTGTTGAAGGAGATGCCTGGGACAGGACCAAAGCATCCGTTCTCACCGATCCGATGACTCACTCTGACATTATCTTACCCCCCAACCCCCCTAGCCTATACTTGGCATTTAAATAGATACAATATTCTCGTAATTTAGTCCCGAATGAAGTGGAGGCCATGTAAGCTATTTTCAGATGTGTTTCTCTAGTTTAACCCTTAGTAGTGACCCCAACGACGACCGGTTTGGCAGACCAGGTGATGGCAGCTGAGATTAGGAGAAAAGATCGAATGGCCCCTATGATAGTATCCACAGGGCATTTGAAACCCCAGGAATGTAACTTTCCTGATCTGTGCTTGAGTGGTCGTGATTGTGGTCAACGATTCGTCGGCGCCGGGTAGCGCCGCTTTCGGAGCTCTGACAATGCACACCATCGCCAAGACCACCTAGTCACTGAATACTCCTTGTAGTTCAATTTTTAATCTGACTACCTCACAAAAGCTCGGCGATTCCTCAGAATAGTGAAAGAAGCTTCTTTGCTGAACGAGCCGAGTGAGTGAATGTCAATGCCCACTGGCCAGCTACCCGGGAGTGCCCCTATTTTCAGCTTGGGCTTCGCGTTTTTACCAACGTGACTACAAGAAGCACATGAGCATGTTTTTTTTTTTTTTTTTGACTTCTGAAGAGACATCCTACTATCTATTTGATAGCTTGTTTGCTAGGATGAGAGCATATTGGGGCTTGGCACCTCTGGTAAGGCTGAAAAGGAAAACCCGAAGAAGCTTCTCCGACAAGAGCCAAATGACATTAACAGAGCCTGTTTTGAACGACTTGACAGAATCTATATCAGTCTATGCATTTGTTCAAGAGGGGATTCCGAGAGAATCCGCTATCAGATATGGGTATTCCTTGTGATGTTGCCTCCAAGATAACAAGCGACAACTTCAATGCCAAACTAGAGAGGCGAGTGATCAAGTGGCAAGGGACTGCAGCATGCTACATGCAGATCTATTCCGATCACCCGTCCACAATCCATGTCATTGGATAAGATATCCATGCGGAAGAAGGCGGGAAGAATCCGAGGAAGCACCCAAGAAGGCAAACATGGAGGGTTGCAAAGGCCACCAGCAACGGCTGCAGACTGTCGATCCCATGTTCTAGAGTACTGATAGCGATTCTATCATCTGCAGCTAGAACTCGCCAGCACATGATCCCACCCGAACGCAGCTCCTTCGTACTCAGTCTCGATCTAGCTAGAGTGGCAAAAGCGGCCGACCCGTTTGGCCTGAAACTCTATGCCCAACTCAATCTCTCTGGATTAGGTAAAGATATTGTTTATTCAACGGGTCTGACCGTGCAATCGGGTTAAGAAACTTGAGGTGGTGTGGTTGGTGTGGCCCACATTCTAAACGAGAGGAGAGAGGGCATGGACATGGGCATCCATCGTTGCAGAAACCTTGAAGGGTAGGGAACCGAATGCTACCATGTGATTTTTCCCCCCTCGCGAAAACCAAGAACGAGGTTGGTTATGTCTGGAAATTGATGGGCTCGCTTGAGAGAGAGGGGGGGAGGAAACACGGAGTTATGAAATGTTTAAGCCGAGATGTGTTGGATCGTGATAACACTTTGGTATAGCGTAATTCCTCGTCTAGCCCATGAATCCTTCCTGCGGTAAGAATCGCAGCAAGACCTTCCTCTTTGGTGAAGCAATCATGAGCCTCTTGTCTATCGGGGACTAAGAAAGGCCAAACAGTAGTCAAGGATGACTTGAACATTTCTAATCAAACCATGCCGGACTCCGAACGACCTGCCCGTTTGCAGAGCAAGCCAAGAAAAATGAGCAACCCCCAGAATCCTCAAGCCAAGGGAACTAACAGCGCCGTAGAACGCCCTATCAGGAACTAGCGAATCGGCGCGGCGTGCGGCTCTGCGGATGTGCCGCTCTGCCGGTCAGCGAAAAAGCACCTGCTTTTTGATCTAGAATTACTCAAGATTTACTGGGTTTCAATGACGATATCGCGGGTGAATCTTGCGAGATTGAGTACAAAGGCCAATGGTAAATCTGGGGAAGAGTTTCCATTACCTACTTGCCACGCGAGAAGCTCTCCACAGGGAGAGACTCAAAATGAGGCCTCGAGTAATAAATACGCGCGCTAGACAAAGGGTCCTCCAAAAAACCCGGATTTTTTTTAGTGCCTGGGGTGATGGTCACTGCAAGGTTACATGATGGGGGAGAAAAATGTCTTGGCTTGGCTTCAAAAGTCCGTGGGGCCACCAGAGCGAAAAGCCGCCTGTCAAAAGTTCCCCTCCCCTGGGATGCAGCGTCACGCGTGTAATTGGCCCTGATAAACGCGCTGTTCGAATAGGGAAGCTGAAACCGTTTTTACAAAAGAACATGGATAAACGCGGAGAAATCATGGGCTTTTGGAGTCGGTTGTCGTCGGGGGAGAGAGGCACGCGACAGCGGCAATCTGAGGCTTGAACCTTACAAACTTCCCCAGGTCCAAAAGAGGAAGTTGAAGAAAAAGGGTTCAATTTCAGGAGGCAAAATAGAATGGGCAAGTTGGTAACTCTGAGCTTTGATGTTGGTCCATGTGGGATCTGGTGATTTTGTGGTTTATTCGGTGGAGACTGGGGGAGAAATGGGTCTTGGGTCAAAATGCAACCATCTACAGATAACGGACCCAAGGTGATTTCACGAGGCAAATGATGCATCAACAAGACAAATTCCTTACCCTCTCTAACTCTTTTTCGCCAAGAATCAAGTCTAAACCTTTGTCAGCACTCAAACATCTCTCTTCGCATCTCATCTCCCCCCAAATCGCGACGGGCGTATCGCCAAGCTCCTATTCCCGACGGCCGCCCCCCAGACCCGATTAGGAAGGTTACGGTTACATGAGAGCACCAAGGCCAAGGCGGCAAAAGTTCTCCCCCACAGGCTATATGACGTGCTGGGATATCACGCTATCTTGGGTGCATGAGCCGTGTCGCTGCTGAGTCTGGACGCGCGATATGGACTGACTGGAATGAGTAGAGGCGCTGAGGCTAGGCTGTGGAAGGTGGTTTGAGAAGGACGCCAAATTCTAGACTATTGCCAACTCTGAACAAAAGTGCTGTGAGGGAGTAAAACAGACGATTGTTAGCCACCACGGCCAACTTTTAGACTGATCGGCCAAGCCATTGACACTTGAGAGAAAAGCCACATCACACGTTGTCGCGGATTTGTAACCATCAGGAGACCATTCTTTTACTCTGATCGCCTTCAGCTGAGGACACAAAGCTAGTGAAAAAAGCTAGACATTGCAACCAAACCTCCAAAGTGCAAAGCCACATCCCGGAGACGATCGCCACATTAGCGCCGGCTCTCCCGATCCACCTTCGGGTGGCTGACACCAATCAGAGCGTCAACATTACTTTTCGGATCCGAGGGTGGCTAGATCCGGGAGGGCGCCACGTCTATTTCCGGAAGCGGACCTCGGCATCTCTGGCGCCACGCCATCATGTTTTTTCAGAGTTTTGTTCAAGGAACTGCAAATCTTGTGTGAAAGAAGAAGGAGAATAATGCAAAGTTGCAAATCTGTACAGAGGTTCAAACCTTGACAAACAAGCTTAATCCCCATGTTAAACCGTCTCCGCGGGTCGGCGCCTGATGACTCAAGATGAGATACATCACGAGAGTCAAGATACAGTACGTACGGCTTTCCACCCTCCGAGCCTCAAAACCGTCCCTCCCCCTGGTCTTCCCGCCCATGCTGCAACGATCGACATCCACACCCCTCGGACGACTTTCCCACCTGCCAAGTCGGGCAACAAACCCTTGCTCCCCTCCAAAAAGGCCCGATCCCTTGCTGGCTCCACGACGGGACTGTCCCCCGCAAAGGGGAAGGACCCCCGGTGGGTTTCGTTGGCCTTATCCCAAACGCTGGGACTTTTGTCGCATGCGCTTTGGTTGGCTCGATAAGGTCATTTCCTCTTGTGGCATTCGTCGTCG